GTAACCTGTCAAGCGTCGAAACCAAGCCAACCAAAAAAGAAAGCTGGTTGCGTAAGATTTTCGGTGGATCGAAAAAAGGATCTGCAGAAGAAACACAACATGCAGTCTCCTCCCCCAAATCCGACGCAAGTTCCACTTCACCACGTAAAGATGATGTGGCAGTCGAATTAGGACCTGGCGCTGAAAATCGGAGGAGACTACGTGGCAAAATCCCGCATTCCATAGCCATAAAACTCCCAGACGACGATGCTGACGAGATCCATCCAAGAGTGGCTAAAGAAATAAAGTGGTTTTTATCCTTATCTCCTTATAGCAGAGCCCTCATGCAACACTTCTACGATGTGAAGGTAACCTGTTGATTATAAAAAGCAATCCTGCCACGCCCATGAACCTCAGGTTAGAATTTTGGCTGAGAATGTTGACTAATACACAGTAGCTCGTAATAGGAATTACGGAAACTTACAGTAACGTGGCGCTATGTCGAACAATCTCCATATGCATCAAAATATCGACTATAAACGTTGTCAATGTCATCAACATGTTCATTTTCTCAGTGAAGAATTGATGCTAACATTGGAATGTGGCAGTAGGCTGTAACCGAAGACTTCACTTATTGGCCATTCTCAACACTGGATGCCTTGGACATTCGATCGAAGTGGCGAACATTTTATAGAAGCAAATTACAATTATCTAGGTATTTCACGGGAGCTCACCTGGTGGCATGTGGTACCTTATATCATTAATAAGGAAACTTATATTAATTAATTTTTTTTGAACTACATTATTTTGAATATTCCATAATCGAAGTGTAGAGGCTGAATAGGTCTTGCACTCTACGAATTAAACAATATATACGACATAACGTGTCACCTTCGCAATATCATTTGCATTATATATTATTTGTATGTTATATTATTTATATTGAATGTATATATAGCCTTTATATATTGGTATGAATGGATTCCTGTGGGCAAGTAGGGTCCTTTGAAATAGTCTCGATACAATACAATAGACTATAACGAGTTTTGTATTATGTATTCGATTGTCATTGTAGACAGACATTGTTAGCAACAATGTTAAATCCATAACGACGCTGAGGTGGGTATCCTATGGCAATGTGTACCAATAACTCAAGTCATATTATACAGTGGATCACTCACGTGTGTGTTGCCGTTAGGCATTGATTGAGGATACAATTCACACTGCATTCTATACTGGTTACAGTTACAGCGACGTTTCTTAAAACACATCACTAGAGTCATTCTTCACACTTATATGACGATGATAGCTTATCGGCGTACATTTACAGACACAATGAGTTGTTCATGTGTATTATTCCTATTATATACTGTGAGCCTAAAAGCGTTCAATGTAGTCGCCAAGTTTCTCGCTAGCTGCAAGAATGTGGCATACATATTTTTCTTTCTAAATGAGTTCACTTATCATCCATAAGATGTACATTCGTCATTGTTAATTATGTATAAATTATAATTATTAGAAAATGGTACATGGCTTATGGAATCCCAAGCCTGCAATATATGCAGCGGCATTGATTATAGCGATGTACCCGATCGGAAGTGTCATTCTGGATATCAGCCAGCAAGATTTTCTGCCTTATATAGATATTTTTGTAGGAACCTTTAGGGATGGTGGTATTTATAGAATGTTTCACTCACACGGCCCCCTAATCAATCTCGTAAAATGCGGTGATGAGATTTTGTTCGACTCATCATATCAACCAGCGCTATCCTTGGATGTTTACGTTCAGGATTATAGGCGTCAAGGTCGTCATATTATTTCAATTAGTCGTTATAACACAGTAAACTGGAAGTTGCTGCGAACAACTTTTTATGAAAAGGACGACTTGTGTTACTTTCTTAGTACTCGTGAATCAAAGGATGAATTTGTAGGAAGCCATATATCATTAACTTTAGATCTAGATGCAGATAAGTTCCATCCATACATTGTGTCAGGACGTCGTACACTCGATAATGCGGTGCGGTACATGGTTCCAACTTATTATAGCAGCCGAGGGTCACTTCCAGTAATCAATATGAGGTCCCCTAAAGATGTATTTATAATATCACCTATTCTCAACATATATAACACTGCTCGTGACCCTAACATTCCTTCACCGTCGATACATTGCTATGCCACTAAAGTCGATGTTGAACCGGATCGAGAGCGGACAACAATATGGATCAGACACCGACGTTTTAGCGTGAAATTCGTAGTAGTAATACCACCAGTTGAGAATGGCGTATTCAGGCCACAAAATATAATGGGCAATGATTCCAGATTCCATAGAGGGGATTTAATGCCTGTATCAAGGCCTTCTAACTTACTCATCGACATTTCTAGCACAGATATAATTATACCAGAAATTATAATTCTAGCTAACCTTAGACGGGGTGATTGGCTCTACACGCAGTACAGTGTTTTACCGCTGATGGAGCATCGGCGGGCAGTTAATAACGTCAATGATTCCAAGAGTCACTCTGCGATATACGAAGTAACTGACAACGCAACCGTGACGCACGTAGAAGTTTTTGATCATGTGAAACACGGGTGGCGATACGTCATAATCAATTTGAGCAAAGCAATGGGACCACGTTTCGTGGCGCATAAAATGATATATAAACGCATAGAAGACCAGGGTAGCGTCGTATATTTCGACCTCAGCAAGTTCTGCGTCGAACCGTACCTAGATATGCTATATAACATCAATACACTTGAAAAAAGTTGTGATAAAGCATGTGGTAATGATATTGTGATGGATACATCGTCGTCATCTTCACTCTGTGACGATTTGTTCAAAGGTTATTAAGGATATAGTTATGTTGGGGTTGCTATCAATACTTTACTGGAGTTTTTTGGTCTGCCACCTTGGATAATGACAGAATGTCAACCAGTGAATACACTCGGTAATGTGTGTGGACACAGAATTTTCATCAAAGCATATACACATTGACCATATGGTTGTGTATACGTAATTTGCCACAATGAATATACGTGTTTCATACGGTGAGTCAATTACCTCGAAGACTTTCCGTGATGGCCGTGCCATACAGGAGGGGGGATCCACAACCGCAGACTAGTAAATGCACGGTTACAAATTAAACTCGAATCATTCCATGGCACATGTAATTATATGTTTTTCGATGCCGGAATGTTAGGTTGTTACGGGTGTGTTACATCTCGCGAATATAATGACCTATCGAATGTTGTATGAATATACCACCTTCCTACATCTTTAATAAATAAAAATGTTTGTTTGGGATATCGTCTAATACTAAGATGCTACTTTAAGAAGGATCGTGGTTTTGGGGGTCAAGAAACCGAAAAGTTCGTCACCGTTATTTGTAACTGTTACACAACGGCATAACATTACTTCAAACAAGAAACTTATATGCTAGTTGTCACGTGTGTTCGTGACAAATGGAATAATCTGGGTTTCGACCCAGCAGCACCGATGCTTTGGTGGAAAGGCAATACAGTTGTGAAAAAACTCAGGATTTCAATAAATCCGTTAATCTCAGCGGTGTCATAACATCGTATTCAAGTGCGATGTTATAGACGAACACCACAACCGTGGACCAGATGACATATGCGAGTGTGGGTCCATTGAGCTGTGGTTGATGAAAATAAGACAAAGGTTAGTAGATGAGACACAGATTGGAATGGTGACCAAAACGAGGCCAAAGTATCTTATATACTACAAGGATGGTGCCACTTAAGGGGCTTTTCGGAAGTGGGCGTTGCTTTCTCATATCGCCAATAAGGCTTGTGATTTACATGAGCGTGTAGGAGGAGATGGTATATATAATGTGGGCAGTGGTGGTAGGATGTATGCCTGGCTCATAATCGTGNGAGCCAACCAACGCATAACTCATAAAATGTTACTTTCATACTAATTATATCACTTTAGAAGGAAAAAATGTTATCCATTTAATTTGTATGATATATAATCAGTAGTGTATTAGGTTATGTTTGCGTATGAGTTTATGAATATGTATGTCGGATGATCCTTGTTGCCGGCCATACTGCGTCGAAAATACCGGATCCCATCCGAACTCCGAAGTCAAGCGGCGCTAGGCCGGGATAGTACTGGGGTGGGGGACCGCCCGGGAACTCCTTTCGGTGTCGGCAACCCTTTTTTATACAACCACAAAATAACATCTGGCTGCTGCGAGCTATTGATTGGCAGATCGGGGCAATCTTTTCCGCGTTTGCCGATAGAAAATACCTGGGAGTACTTCGCGTGTGGTACGATACCCGTTGCGTGGACGTCCTATTTAACTGCATACTTCCGGGTCATAGCACATTATATCGCATATTTACATACACCCAAAATGAGTGAGATTATTGGAGAAGTTATATTTCCCCCAAAATACGTAAGAACCATCATAGACAAAACTGCACAGTTCGTGGCCAAAAATGGCGACCAGTTTGAGCAGCGCTTACGCGTGGAGCAAGGTGATGGAGCCGCGGGATCAGGAGCGAAATTCGCCTTTTTAAACGCTAACAATGCATACCACGCCTATTACAGACTTAAATTGACAGAGCTCAAGAACGGAATAGGTACGAGGTCGTATATATCAAAACAACCACTTGCAGACGTCGAAATAAAGCCTTCCATACCACAAGCAATTTTAGACAGACGAAAAAAGCTGGAATTGAAGAATCAGTTTAAGGAACGTCTCCTCGCGCTCACCGATTTTGGATCCAGTGGCGCGGACGACGAACTCGAGGAACCGGAGAAGGACACTTTTACGTTTACACAGCCTTTCGTCACTGCAATGGACCTGTGAGTTGTGCTTTGGTTCTGTTAATGTGACTTACAAACTTTGATGCTGCGAATGCCGCGCTCAACATACGTCATACCACCGAATGATAGTTTTCTAACATTTTTACAGTGACATCATTAAGGCAACGGCAAATTTCGTCGCTAGAAATGGACAACGATTCCTCGTTGAGCTGACAAAACGCGAAAAAAGCAATCCGCAGTTTGATTTCCTCAACCCGTCGCACTGCTTATTCGGATTCTTCACCAGTCTCACGGAGTCTTACACCAAGTGCCTACTTCCAACCAAGCCACAAATCGCAAAGCTAAACACTATAGCCAAGGATAGGCTAGCTTACCTTAGAAAATGCCAGAAGAGAGCTGACTGGGACGCGCACCAGCAGGCGAAGATGGCGTCTGAGGAAATGCGAAAGGCGGAGGAACGCATGGAGATGAATTCGATCGACTGGCACACCTTTTTTATCGCTGAAACGATCACATTCAGCCCTGTAAGTTGGAATGTACGCTCCACAAATGACTCTTTCGGCAGGCTGATGAAGGACTGCCTCCACCAATAGACTTCACGCAACCGGGCTCAGCCCTGCAACTGTTGATGCGAAACCCTACGACCGCTGCAACGGCTAGAAATACAGGCGAACAGTTGTCGTCAGTCATCCCACAGGACCCTGATGAAATAGACCCGGATAAGCCCGTAATAGTGGAGGAAACCGGAGACGGCACTGTCCCCCCCCTTGCTGAGGATTCAACAGCAACTGGAGCGACTGCCTCAGAGGCCACTGCGGCTCTCGAACAGCCTGCCGCCGTTTCCAAGTTCTCAGATGCTCCTGAGAGCTATAAACGCAGAGTTGCCCGAGACAACGACGTTAGCATAGTACAGGTAAGCAAGGCTTAGCCGGGGGGCAACAACACGCAGGATGGCGACGAAATTATAAAGGTCAAAAAGTCATACACAAGGAAGACGAAGGCGCAAACTGCTACTGAGATGCAGAAATGTCCCATTACAGGTCAAATGGTACCCGCCAGTGAAATGTCTGCTCACCTGAAAATCTTACTTCTTGATCCAAAGTGGAAGCACCAGAAAGAACGCTTCATAGAAAAGGCAATGAAGGAAAGCGCATTCGCCCCTCTCGAAGGTATTACAATTATAGAAACTATACATCACACACAGATGTCGAGGGTAATCTTGCATCATTCGTCGCTGGGAGACCTGACCTCTTCGGCTCGGCTGATGACGAAGTTGGAGCAGCAGGATGCACCGTGCCATTTACACAAATGCACGAACACACAAAGTGAAAAGACAAAATACGTAAAACAGTGGCTACTGTTAGATACTACATTTCACATTAGACCAGACACGGTCGGACGGTGTTTGCACAAATTAGCCTACAAAGGCGTCCAAATCTTAATAAATTAAGAAGATGCGACCTTCGACAGATAAAGGTCCATATTTTCCATCATAGCGCGGCCGTTAGCCATGAATTCCGCTGCTGGACATTCCCTGACTAGCATGCCGTTGCTCATGACCCAGACGGAAGTGCAGGCCCTCAGCGCATTCTTGTTATGTGCCACTATAAACGTCGTGCAATGACGGAAGTACATTTTCACTAGGTCATAGATCGGCAGACCAACATCTTCATGGCTTTCATGAGCGGTGTCCAAAACGTCCATATCCTCATCAACGCAATTTTCCGCCGGCGGCTCGTCGATTAGCAATATGCGGTAGGTCTTGCGGTAAAGCACAAGTCGAGCAAACGACAAGTGACGTAACTGGTTCGGAGAAAAACCTGTCTTGTTGTTTGTTCCCTCTCCTGAAGTGTCAACGTGCTTTAATTCCCCAGTATCGCCGCTGCATCTCCCACGCTTCAAACGCAACAACGGTGGTAACAGATACAAACCCCTTGCGGCCCTTACATTCTCAGCTACCAGTACATTGTCTAATGGATTGCCCCCAGAGATAGTTTTTACCAGCTCTTGGAGTCCACAGCACTCCAATGCGTTTATGATTTCGTCGTCAGAGTATAACATGCGAGGATCAAGGAACCGACGCAGAGTCCAACCTTTGAAAATAAAGGGTGTTTGTGGCAGAACGCCCACCACATGACGTAAAACACTGCGTGGGATCGAGCTCAGATCACGACCGTCGAGTAAAACCGATCCCTCCCGACGGGGACCAATATTTCGAAGTGTACCCAATAAGGTGGTTTTACCAGCACCAGTCCGACCAACGATACCTATAATGTCACCTACAGAAGCGGTGGCGTTCACATTCTTCAAGATATGAGCTCCTCCATTTGACTCATCGTTCGACTCGACCGTGACCGAGACACCTCTCAACTCCAAGGTGCTGTGGTCCCCGGGGAAGTAGAAAGCAGAATCCAAAAATTCTAACTTAGGCCGATAAAAGTACGTGGTGAACAGTGATGTATACCTCCTGAACATGAAGTTTCGGTACTCGGCCTTACGTCGCCGTACCAATCCACCCCAACGCTTTTGGTTATCGCCAAGGTATTCCGAAAAAGAGCTGGTGACCATTACCGTCTCGACCATTCTGTCAAATACATCCCCCAGGGAAGCTTTGCCCTGGAGGAAGTATTCTTTGAAGCGTACCATGGAGCACATTTGTTTCTCCAACAGTGAAAAGTTGAGAATGAACGCATTTAGCAGGACGTTCAGTCCTAAGGAATACGAGATACCAAGCCCTATTTGAGCCACCTTCAACTCATCACCTCTGATATATCCGTATATTGCAGGTATGAAAGAGGCGCATAAAATCATGAATACTATGAGTAACTTGCATGTCAGCATCGCCCATGTGGTAAGCGCTACTTTAAGAAATTTGATACCAAAGTAATTCTCCGAATTTGTGCACACCCTTTTAATGCACAAATGTTCTTTCCGGAAACTTCTGTAGATGTCGGATCCCGAAATGACATCTCCATAAACTGCGTTAATGGAATTGTTGGCTTCTAACATCACCCATTGAAGCTTCTTCGAAGCCACAAGGTAATTCCTCACAACGAATACATATAAAAGAATAACCATTGCTACCGGAATTGGCGAGATAATTGGAATAGCATAGCAAATCGTCATGAATTGCGTACATATGTTGAGAAACGCAAACAAAGTAGCAACAATGAAACGACCTACATGTTCGTCGATATAATATATATCAGAAGAAAGAAAAGTAACAATCCTCGCCAAAGAATCCTTGAGCTTCAATTCACTAGCCGTCTTGTGAAAAATGGAATTCATTATAAATTCATGAATTTTCCTTGAAGCACGCACATTCGCAAACACAGCTATGAACATACCAACAAAAACTAGAGCCACAAAGCAAGGTACCAAAATTCCCATATCTCGGGCTACCCCTTCGTGTTTCTCCAATATTAAATCGCCCTTCATGTCGTCAACACGACCTTCTAAGCTCTTGATAGAATCGGACCAATTAGCCACCAAAATGCCGAAAACTTTGTCAAGGGTCACTGCCGCAGTCAAAGTAACGACGACTGCAATGATATAGAAAGTACCCATTGCGGAAATATAAGTTTTATACGCTGGCCAAGTCCAACATTTTTTGTTTTGTTCTTCACACTGCACCGAAGCAAGCTCTTCTTCATATTCCGTGCCAATCTCCGCAGATTCAATGGATTCATCAGCATCGACATGCGCGGAGAGAAAATTATGAGATAACATCAAACTATCATGCCGCCCCAAGGTCTCCGGCCCATCCACGTTGACACCATCCAACAGCTGGGTTGGTTTCGGAGTGATAGCTGTTTCCTTACCCATAGCCACCTTATTGCATAATCGGTCTCCAGTTATGTGCTGAATATAAATAGCAGCCGTGTTCACCAAGGCTTCTGGTGCACTGCATAATGTTACTACACTTTTAGAAAACGTCATTACAACAGCAACATCGTCCCGTATTAAGAGGCCCGTATCTTTGTCGAATAGATTGTTGAATATCGATAGAGTCACATTTGGATCTAAACCGTTGAACGGCTCGTCTAGACAGACCAGGAAACAGCACCTATCCTCCATTTTTTCATTTGCCTTGCTGTACATCACATATGCGTAGAGAGCACGTGCAAGGCTGATCCTTACACGTTGCCCACCACTCAATGAAAAACCTTGCTCCGAAACCTTGCGCATATCACCATCGGCCCATTGCTTGAAATCTGTATCAAGCTCCGCTGAACGCACCACTTGGCTGTATACCTCTTCGTCATATTGATGGCCGAAGGTAATGATAGAACGAATGGTGCCTCTAGGTAGCCATACATCTTGTGAACTGTAGAATATGGGCATTCCCGCAGATAAAGGCGCCACTGCCATGCTACCAGAAACCAAACTCATCTCTCCAAGCACAGCCTTGAGGAAACTTGTCTTACCACAACCTTGGTTACCCGTGATTATCGTTATATCGCCCCTTCTAAGTTCAAAATTAACACTTGTGAACATAGGAGACTCCTCCCCTCTTGGTTTTAAAGCGTCTTCCCGCTTGTTAATCCAACAGAAAGATGCGTCTTTAAACACTACCAGAGTATTTTTATCCATTGTGGCATCCTTCTTTGGCAGATTAAGCAACAACGATTCCCTAACAATTCCAGTGACACTGTTACGGTTTGTTAAGTAGAAATTGGGAGAGCATGTTCTTACGTATGTTTCTACCCTACGTGTTGCTGCCACGCCCTCTACTATAACCTTCAAACTTTTCAGCAAGTGGTCGAATGATCCAACAACGGTATTCACGATATAGAGGAGTGTTATTGGGACTGAGACGTCAAAAATGAGATCGCTTCCTGCCGCCTTTATGTTTCTAATGAAATCAAGGATGACCGCAAGGTAGACGATTGCCCCTATGAGCCTCATTAACGAGCGGTTGATTGAGAAAAGCAACAACCTGGACCTTAGCACAACGAGTTCATCACTTCTGCTGTTTTGCACAACGTTGTAACCTATATCTTCTAGCCCAACCATCTCCAATAGTTTCAAAGAGCCAACCACATCAGAGCTTTTTGAAAGTCTATCGTCCTTGGATTGCAGTGCGTGTATAATGTTACAACCGTTTACCACTTCAACTAGAATCATGACCAAAATGATTCCTAAGATGATAATCATGGGATAGAATACACTCATACCTATTTGGGTATGTATAAGGACCATTCCTAGGGTCATATTGGAGACGAAGCGCACAAGCATAACGGTAGCATCGACAAGCGATACTATATAGAACGTATCGACGAACATAAAGGTATACATGCTCGGAGGCAGTTCATTGTTTTGATGCCTTCTGGCTGGGCACGCCAACATCTCACAATCTCCGTCATTCATCGGAGTCCCCGAATGAAGTGTTCCTTTACACCCTTGCCTGACTCCATATGCGGCCATTAGATTTGGAAAATCCCTACGATGACAAAATCCATGTTGAAACAGTGTGATTGAGATCGAAGCTTCCATGATATTTTGCAAGCGCACATTGTAAAGGTTGGCATGCTGATCTAGGAATGTATTAAAGATTTCGATACCTACAATCGCCAGGACAAATAGCACAATCTGCAACCAATTAATATACTTTTGCGACAGAAGAGTCATAAGGTGTTTCAGCAACATGACAGTTCCGGCAGTGGTGGCGGTCATCATGATCATGACTAATATTGTCAAGAGTATTCGTCGCCAGAAGGTAAGCAATATAGCGCGCAGCATGATGCTGCGGTAGGGTTTCGTGCATTTTGCATCTTTTTGTCCCCCTGCTGCTTCTGCCTCGGCTTTCTCTAGCTGAATTAGGCCATCGCTTACATGCCGTGAGAGTGTTGGTTGCCAATACGAGATCTGGTCTGCTTCGGGAAGTCTGTAAAAAGCCTCCGGCCGTATATATTTAGAGCAAATATGCTTTACCCATGCCTTTACCCAGCCTAAGAATAAGAAATTTAGTATACCTGCATCATCGTACGTGGCGAGTCTCGGTTGTGTGTTTCCTTCGCATACATTTACCTTGACGTGGATCTTCGTTTTACGGTCACCAGGCACACTTACATTATCAGGTTTCATCTTGATGCTAGCTTCACATCCGGCAAATTTCGGGGTAATATATCGGAATCACTCAGGAACGCTCGGCAAACAACATCGCTTACAATAAATGCTGCTCTACGGAGGTGCCATTATAATTCCCAGCCGTGGAGCGCTATATGATAAAAATTTTATAAATTGAGACTCATTATGCTTCTTAGTTGCGACTGAACTACCGCATTCAATGATCACTTCCCCATCATACCTGGATACGCAACTTTCTTTTAAACTACGATTATCAGCCGATATGAGAATCGTGCATCGCTCAGTTGAATGTTCTCATATTCGTATAATTTTTTTTTAGGCAAATAATTTTTATACTCTGATCACGCAAATGGTGTGTACATAATATTTACGATAAGCTACCATTATCTGGACCTTCCATTCTTAAAGTCGACACACCGAGGTTAATCAGATTATTTGCAACCACTAAACCGACATACATCGTATATTTATTATAAGGTTGGATGTATGAAGTAGCGCGCTGGAATTTATTGCTGTGTAAGTCTTATAGACTAGCAGTACCTCATATGATTACTTGATACCCGAGGTACATCGTCATCGCACTCCATTTATTTTATTTTATGTCCAGGCATCGGTTGCTGGGCAACAGGAAGCACACATACATATGTAAAACTTCTTGTTATTTATTCACCACTTACAATTGCACCTTGAATGAATAATGTAAAGGACATTTTTTTGTGATCTGTAATATGGTTACGCCTCATGTGTATCCTAAAATGTTATCCATTTAATTTGTATGATATATAATCAGTAGTGTATTAGGTTATGTTTGCGTATGAGTTTATGAATATGTATGTCGGGTGATCCTTGTTGCCGGCCATACTGCGTCGAAAATACCGGATCCCATCCGAACTCCGAAGTCAAGCGGCGCTAGGCCGGGATAGTACTGGGGTGGGGGACCGCCCGGGAACTCCTTTCGGTGTCGGCAACCCTTTTTTATACAACCACAAAATAACATCTGGCGACCTTTTATGACGGTTTCATCTTATCATTGGACGTCTATGCGTTCAAGAAACTCATGTAAACTGCCTGCAGCCCTTGGTTCTGCCCGGTGGTTCTCCAATCCTACGGTTGTCGGATCCACTGCCTACCTATTAAGAAATATGAACACTATGTATAAATATATAACAGGGTGATCTACTGCATTATCTGTCATGTTTGGAAGTTCTCCCTTACAAAGCGGTCGACAGAGCTCTCGCTAACAAAGCCATCCCGCACGTGTAACAAACGTGAACAGGGTAGCAATGCGTGGCGGTCGTGCGCCACAATGATCGTAATACAGTGAGAGAAGTATCGACGTACTAAATTGTCAATCGACAAATAAGAGGTTGAGGGCGACGACAAATCGTCTAACACATGCTGAACCCCTCTTTTTTTCGACCCTATTATCGGTCCAAGGCGGTTCATCTATCAACAAGAGGCGGTATGTCCGACGGTAAAGCACAAGTCTAGCAATTAACAGCTGTCGTTGCTGCGTTGTAGAAAGCAATACCCGTCGTTCATCCGACTCGTCGGGGCCCATAACGGAGCAAAGGCAATGCTCATATACGTTCCCGGCCAACGGCACCATGGGTGGTGCGAGGAAAAGTCTATGGCGCGGGCGTACGTCATCCGAGACTAATACTGTGTCAAGTGCCTCTACTCCATGGATCCCATTGACTAGTTCCTGTAACCCGCAACAATCAATAGCATCCACGATTTCTGTATCCGAGTAGAGCATCCTGGGATCCAGGAAACGACGCAGAGTCCAACCCTTGTATATGTACGGTAACTGTGGGAGTACTCCCACTAGATGGCGGAGCAACCTCCTCGGGATAGTGTTTATATCGTGCCCGTCCAGCAATACGGAGCCCTCCCTCCCGGGTACTATGTTTTGTATAACTCCTAATAACGTGCTTTTGCCCGCACCTGTACGTCCCATTACACCGATAACATCGCCTACAGTCGCGCGGAATGTCACATTATTTAACCGGCAACCCGTCGATGGGATACTGCCTACTGAAGGAGTAGAAACTGATACGTTGACAAGCTCCAATACCGACGGTGAAAACGAGAGGTAAGGTGAAGGGTCGAGGACATCTATACGAGGCCGATAACAATACCATCCGAAAAGTGATGTATAGCGACGAAAGGCGTACGAACGATACTCTGCTCGTCGTCTTCTCAGTAATCGTCGTAGCACTGTGGAGTCATCTTGTTCTGAGTTTGGTGATTCGTTAACAACAACTGTGACAGATTTGTGTCGTTGAATTTCCGTAATAGTTCTCTTGTTAGATAAACAATTTCCCATAGGCGAATCTTCAGGCGGTGTGCGAAGGTCGTTTTCCTGTGTCTTGAACCCTGAGACTACGCTTTCAGCCATACATTCGAACTTTTCATTTTGCTTAACACCCCCCTGTAGAAAGTACTTTTCAAATCTTGCCACTGAACACATATACTTTTCAAGATGAGCATAGTTAGTGATGAGCCACCTCAAACTGTTCCCGAACCCTAGGCACATTGACATGCCAACCCCTAAATGTGCCACTTCCAGCTCAGTGCCCGCCAAATAGGAATATAGTACTGGAATCAAAATGAACGCCGCTATCATCACTGCGACGCTCACTTTTGTCACCAGTGTGGCCCATGTCGTGTACGCTGCCTTTAGGAATATAGTCCGGTAGTACTCATTCGAGCGTTCTCTTACAAGATCCAGCCACATATGTTCCTTACAGAAGCTGCGGTATAACGAGGATCCTGACATCACCTCGCTATAGACCGCATTAACATTACTATTTGCCTCTAGCATGAGTCTCTGTAATATCTTCGAGGATCTGAGCACCTTACGGTGGGCACAGTAGTACAATAACCAGAAAGTAGCTAAAGGTACAGGTACTGCCATGGGTACCATATAACATAGACTTGCGAACTTGACTAGGAATGCAACCAATGAAAATGTTGTCTCGTAGAGATAGTTCCCAATCATTTCGTCGATGATATGGATATCACTCGTGAGGAATGTCATTAGTGCTCCCATACACGTGTTAAAATATGCTTCGTAATTTTGGTGGAACAACCGTTTTAGGGCGAAGCTGTAAATACGTCTAGAAGCCCGTAGGCTGGTAGAGACCACTACAAAGATCAATACCGCAAAACATGATATGGACGCAAAGGTCAACACAGTAATCCAGAAGTAATGGAGTTTATGGTGTTCCATGATCTCTTTCAGCCATTCGGGTGTCGTAAGACGACGCATTCCATCCACCCATTTGGCAGCGGTCAGTAGCTTCAAGTTTACAGCAGCATTACTTACCAACAATAGAATAACAAAGAACGTGAACAAGCAGGGCCCTACTGCTTGCAGATACACTATATAAGCGCTCCATGTGTATGCAAACTGTTCATTTTCATGTGTATGGGTTTCCTGTCCTACATTGGAGGCCATACCGGCGGTTGTGGCCGGCTGGGCTGGTGATTCGCTGCTCTCTTGGCTCATCATCCTACCAAATGAGTTATATATCACGCTCCTATCCTGATCCCCTAGTTTAGTCTTACTTTCCCACGATCCATCGGTAATCATCACGGGTTCGTGTAACATTCCGTCATCAAGGACTCGCATGAACATATTTGTTAAGGTTAGGCAAGCGTCATTTGTTAATACCATATCCAATGACATTTTTGACATTGTAAGTACTACCGCTACATCGTCCCTAGTCAAAATTCCTCCTACGTTTCTAAACAGATTCTTGAAAATAGCACGTGATACATTGGTATCAAGTCCTTCGAAAGGTTCATCTAGACATACCATGAAACAACACCTATTTTCCATTTTTTCATTTGCCTTGCTGTAGATCATATATGCGTAGAGGGCTCGAGCTAACCCTATGCGGACACGTTGTCCTCCACTGAGGCAGTGTCCCTTTTCGGTAATATGTCTCAAATCTCCGTCTGCCCATGACCTGAAATCCGTCTCAAGTTCCGCGGAGCTCACCACAGTATCGTATACCTCTTCGTCATATTGATGGCCGAAGGTAATGATAGAACGAATGGTGCCGCTAGGTAGCCATACCTCTTGTGAGCTGTAGAATATTGGCATTCCGGCAGCTAACGGCGCCACTGCCATGCTCCCAGAGACCAGACTCATCTCTCCAAGTATTGATTTGATGAAACTCGTCTTACCAGAACCTTGGTTACCTGTGATGACGCATATATCTCTCCGTAGCAACAGAAAGTTCAACGACTGGAATAGCGGCGGAGAGCTCGTGTGATCTCCGCTTAGAAGCTGGTTCCTCGTCGAAATATAGCTGAATGAAGCATCTTTGTAATATACAACTGTATCAGATGAAATATTGGGAGGCAACTTTTGTGGCTCCACCATATTTTCTTCATCTTTGTTCGATTCCAGATAATAATTTGATGAGCAGGTTTGTAGAAAGGTTTCCACCCTATGGTATGACGTTGTTGTCTCCACGAATTGTCTGAATGCTTTGGGTAGATGTTTGCATGATACAACTATATTTGCTATAATGAATATAATAGAGATGAGTTCGCCCAACTGGAACCTTAGGGTTTCTCCCGGTTCTATCAACGCCACTTCTTTATTGAAGACGTACACGAATACCCAGAACAATAGTATGCCTACTGATCGTTCTATGCTGCGTGTTAGGAACCTCAAGAAGAGTTGTACTCTAAGTACTGCGAGTTCGTCGTCCCTGCTATTTTGTATGGCACGATATACTACATCATCTATACCCATTGTTGTGGATAGTTGCAAGTTCCCCAATACATCTGAGCTGATCGATATTCGTGCATCCATTGATTCTAGTGAGTAATGTCTCAAAGATCCGTTAAGGAGTTCTAGGAATACCATTGAGAATACGGCAACCAGTACAGTTATCGTCGGCATTAATATTGGGAAGCCCATGACTGCCTTAACGAATAGTAATCCGGCCGAGAAGCTGCATAGGAAGCTTACTACCGCTATAACCGATTCCACCACCATTGTAATGGCATTTGCATCTAGTACCATGTACGTATACATACTTGGCGGTAGTTCTCGGTGTTGATGTCTCCGCGCTGGGCATGACAGCGGATCTCTAGAGCAGCTTTTGCCCGAAGGTTCGTTGAAGTGCACAACACTTTTGCAGGTATGTAGCGGACTATGCGAAGATAGTGTTGATGCGTAATGTCTTCGATAAACCAGCCCATGTTGGAATAGTGTTATAGAAATAACGGCTTCAATGCATATTTCTAACCTATATACGTATAACTGTATATGTTGTTCTATTACGGAGTGGAAAGATTCAACCAAGACTACGGCGATAACGATAGACAGTATCTTTTGTATTGAATGTGACTTTGCATTTGAATCCGCCGATAGTTGGTCGAATAGAAACTTTAGTAGTATGGCTGTTGCCATACTACTTACACTAACAAAGCAGCATCCTAGCAGCGTTAACAGTGCCCGTTTCCAGAAAGTGAGAACAATGGCTCTCAGGAATATGCTACCGTTCCAACGGCTATTTTGTCCATATGCTGTTGATACCAACCCTCTAGATTCGCTTCTTTCCAACTTTAGTACGCCATCGCTGATGTGTTTAGAGAAGACAGTTTGCCAGCTGCTTATTTCATCTGCCTTCGGTATTGGGTGTAGGGATTTAAGATCACATGTTTCTTCTGCGATATACTCTACCCATGTGTGTACCCATGACATTGACACATAGTTGCATATGTCCCAATCATCAAAATACCTCAGTCGTCTACTTCCTTCCTTGTTCTCCATATTTGGAGTTTCTGCTTCCGCGGGCATCTTTCCTTTGCGATTATGAGTTTACACTCCTAAATTACAGGTCGGTGTGTAGTCATAATAGTCGTGACCATATCTCCTGATATGGTCTTGAAGGCATCCATGACACCATTATCCTTAAATATGCTTTGGAACATTGCCTATGAGCTGGAGCTCGCCGCACCCCGTAGAAATCTTTTAATGTGTATAGCTACTAACCTTTGTGTTATCCGTGTTGAGCAATAACGTCAGTCACGCGGTGTTGGGGTGACACGTGCCTGTGACGCAACGTGACGGTAGACACGAGCGGAGAGTGTCACATTCACTTCTCACACATTATATTACATAAATAAATCATAGACATATTTATACGATTATAAAATTCAAATACATTGCAAAGTAATGCGATGTGTAAGAATCTCGTGAATACCCCAGTCACAGTGATCATCTAGCAATTTTACGTTTCCACCACTAGCCGGGCAAAACGCTAGCAGACTGTCTAAATATTAATATTTAATTATGATGTGTTAGACGACAGCGATCAATCATCGGCAGATTGATGACAACATACATGTGTAGATATGGATTCTTCATTCCATTTAGTGCTGTACCTGCAATAAGAGCTGACTAGGAATAGTAGGAACAAGTTGCTTTCAGGGATGCTGTGTTCTGCATGGTATTAACAACATAGAATGACGGGAGAGTGATACTGACAATACGCATAACTATTTGCTTATTGGAGTGACATCTATGAGCTGTAAAGGCATTCATGTCTAAACATCTCATAGAAATGGTATTGACCGATGAGGACAAAACAAAATATTATTTTGGTGATATCCAACGTGAATAGGCGTCCGGTGGCGTGTCTCGAGAACGAAGTCCATAATTGGTCCATGGAATTTATGCTAAAGATTCATGATTAACCATAAAAATAGTTCACTATGGTTTTAGATACAATATATCACGAGGTGTCACAGTCTTCTCCGTAAATGTAACTGTTGGCAATACTTTATGTGTTAAGGCAAATCTCCAATGGGATCGAATCTGTAGTATATCTAATGGGATTGTTAGACCGTAAGTTAGGTAGGTAATGGATAAGAGGCAGAAGGTCATAAGATATAAGAAGAAGGGTAAGCGGATGTTTTCGAGAAATTCCGCGATGGCCGCAATAAGCCGGTCGAATAAACCATCTTTTACGGCCATAAGTTGTGTAGCGAAGCTATAGCAACTTCTTACATTTTTGTCATCACGCACACCAGTCTTGATATTAAACCCATTCAATGCTTCAGCATTATTATACAAGAATCCATATTTATAGAACAGTGGAAGAACTTCAGCACATTGCACTATGGTCTTACAAGAGCATTTGGAAGCATGTTCGCCAGGTTTGCAGTTACACATGTGAACACAATGAGTACAATTAATATTTTTGAATGCATCCAAAAGTGCATTTAGACCGTCAAGAAGTTCACCGGTCAGATAAACTATGACGGATAAGTACAAACCAGCAAATTCTTCAGGCAAAACATTATAAATACTCCAAGCTATTGGCCCGAGATATTGCCCACACATTTGTCCGGGGCATACGCTGTCATGTATGCTGCGAAGGCTAGCTTTACCATTGTGGCCATGTTTCGCTTCTGTACCGCATAGATCCTGGATAGAAGAAACTAGATTTGTACCATAGTGGTATCCCGGATAGCCATTGATCTCATTCCTTAACGCAGTGTCTACGTAATCGAAATTTTCTTTGTCACCTATATTAATATAGAAAGCAAAGAGTTCTCCCAAATTACGTGGAGTACGCAACGCAAAACGTATCATACATAATATGATGTTGTACAAGCTGACATGGCTTCTAGAATCATCGACAATGTAACATAATAACGAATGTAGGTGGGTACCAGTACGTGCTGGCTCGACACTGGAGAGAAGGCCATTAAAACCCATTGGTATTGGACACCGCTGGGAAGTGTGGACGATGTGGCTGGAGTGTTCGGTGTATGGTGGATATTCGTTTTTCTCGATCTTTGGACACATGAACTGTGCTAGTCCATCAGATAAAAAGGCTTGCAGGGGTGAAGGGTTATTTTTCTTGCCGCACTCTTCGTGATTAGAACTGCATCCACCGGTAGTACAACCATTTACGTGGTTTGTACCTTGTTGTTGCTTATTGTTGTTGCATATCCAGGATGTCACATTTTGAGCTACATTTCCCCCGTACTTACACCATCTCCAACCACAACCCAGGTAGACACATGTCCCACACTGCTCATTAAGAAAAAATAATTGATAATAAAGACAAGATACGATGTCCCAGAGCGTACCAAACCATTCGCTGACATTATCAGGGTAGTAAAATTTGAAGTGGTTATTGCTGTATATGTCATGTAGTAAAGATTTATTCTTATATGATGTGGGACTTTTACCGTGTAACTTACCTTCTATGGCCATCAAAACGAAACCGGAGTAGAAACATGATGGGATCACGTAGTAGTGTGCTGTTTTCACTTTAAATGTGATATTATCATTTTTTCCTCTAATGAAGTTTATTTCGGGTTTGCTAATACCATCTTTGAAGAAGGTTTTAAGACCATTTGTGTCGATATACTTATATACCGGAGTATAAGGCAGTCCCATTAACCAATACAACATTTGACGTACAGTGGTGGGATGATTGGCGTGTTTTCCTTGCTTCGATTGAAAATAAGATCTAGTCACAATATATATAGAAGCGAGTGGGCTGGCAGACAGACCGCTATAACGCGCAGCATCTCCCCTAGATTGCTCGAATACGTACTTTATATAAGATGGATAACCACCTTTGAGAGCCAGGGAAATATTGAGCTCCATGAATTGATTACCTAGTAAGTTTGCAATCCTTCTGCCACTGTAACCAACATTGAGCTCACCCTTTTTATATCCTAATGACATCATATAGATACCAAGTTCCTCATTAGAATCATCTATCGCCTGATACGGCCACTTGGATTTATTACATTGCCAATAAAGGTAACTCAGAGCGGAGAATATTAATGGAATGCAACCCAAGAATATTTTGGCGCATAATTCCGCCTTGACGGTGTTATCCCATTCTGTATCTCTGTAGGCTGAACTATATCCCGTGGCGGGTCTACCAATGCCACCGCCGGTCAATTCCCATTTCCCGCCACTGCTTTTCCATCCAATAAACACTTTCAATTTTGATCCCAAACATTCAATCGCAGTCTTTATACCATCTCTTTTAAACCAGTCTGTTGATTTTTTATTTGACACATCTTGACCAAGTGACAACAGCATGCCCCGCAGTTGCTTGAGCGCCGACTCATATTCATTTTCAATCGCATCCTTAACATCCATAAAAATCTCCTCAAGAGCCGCGGATAATTGATTTATATACTCTACATATATAATGAAACTGATGTTCACCTTGCGACTTACCGGTATTTCCACTGCTCCCATTATCTTTCCCAGTAATTCGCAATATCCAATCTATAGCTTCTCTCACAGTTGTGGGACAATCAGTTAACTTCTTTGTACCCTGTACCGACGCCATTCTATACGATAGCTACGTGACAAAAACCACTACAAGATAAAAAGGGTTATAAAATCATATGCCACCATAGATGTTTGAATGGTATTTCGTAGTATACGACGCTATGGAAATCCAGCAACAATGATATAAACAAAATGCGATATACTTTGTCGGCTGTTTATCAAACGAAAGTCAATAAGCAGCTCTTAATACCACCCGTTATGGACTTCATGGGAGCAGTAGTTTGGTAGGCTAAACATCACACCACCTAATGCGACGCCTAGGATAAATAATGTGAAACGTTACGGCGCAGCCCTACCACAATATGTACAACGACCTAGCTGGACGTCGGTAGTTGTTCATTGAAAGCAGTCCTGACGGTATCCGTGATCACTATCCAGAGGTATGCAATTGTTGCAAGACCGATTCATTGACCAAATAGCTCAAAAAAGTGATCTTCTAGGTCACTTTGAGGGCAGTTTGACACAGTTTATCTGTGAGGAGGGCCGTTGTGGCCCTCCAGCAGAATGCCCGTTTTCATCCTGCGAACATTAGAACGACGAATGTGCCGCAGAGGTCTGTGGGAACCATACCGCCAATTCTACCACGAAATCCCCTTTGCGATAAAATCTTGATACGGCACTGCTCAAGTATAATCGCCGTCTTATACACTGGGAATCGGAGTTACTGCTGTACATGGCCGTAAGGACCACTTGGGAAAGCATGCAAGTTGAGGGCAATACATGTCCATCAGAAGAGAATGCGTGGTGTTCTAGAGTTCATTTGCAACTTTGCATCCGTCCCCTCATGATTTGATTCCTTTCCAAGTCCCTCGTTTGGTCTGCGTCGATAAGCATTACATCCTACACAGAGACTAATAGCGTCAAGAATACAGACGAGCAACTTACCATGATATTGAATATTTTACGATTTGGTCTTCTTTTCTTTGTCTCGTGAACTTACCTCGTAATTCAGTAACCGATGGAGACGCTATACGGGTACCATTCTATGTCGCTACCTAACCCCGCAAAAACCAGGGATACAACGATTAGCCGAAAAAGTTCATACTAGATGTGATTTTACGCCCGTTGGTGGTACTAAAGCGGTTGAGTAGCAACTGCTCTCCCACTCAAACGAATGGCGGCACTAAGTGTACACTTTTTTTTCTATCCAATTCCAGGTCCTTCGGAAAATGGAGCTCAGCATCGTATAGCCGTCTTGGCTCCGAGTTGAGTACATCTTTGACTTTCTCATATACTACGTCGCTAAGTTCCTGAATGCGTTTTAATGATATGTCGGTGTAATTCACCTTTTCTGGTAACGTTGCATCAAAGCTCTGCCAATATGGCAGTTTGCTAAATTGGTCATAAACGTGACGTACAGCCTCTAATTTACATTCTTTTTCGTAACGTTCCATCCCTGTAAAACCTTGTTAAGCACATGTTAGATAAGGGTTTACCGAAATTGCTGCGCATAGCGCTTACATGCGCAGGATTGTCGAGGTATATTACAATATCAGGGCTTAAAAGTCCATCATCTGGTACTATACACCAGTCATATGATAAATTCTGTTCGACAATGCATCAAGTATAGTATAATGGTTACCTCAGCTCCAACTGAATAAGCTACTCCGGAAAAGGCATAGCGATCCACTAGTACATGTGTCCCGGACACAAGGCTGTTCACAATATCCTTCCTACAACGCATTGTACAGGCTTTATTAATACTCACATCATCTCCCAACGGTTGGCAGAGAAGAGAAGGTGTATCGCACGGCGCGAGCGGACGGCGCCGTGCGATGACAGGTGGGCTGCCAGCGTTTTCCCGCAATCGGTTTCATAATCTAATAATGATATTTAATTTTTGGGTTATACATACATGGAAATTTTAGTAGGCGATGATTAATTCCTTCATCTGTGAGCCTTTGCGACAGGAGCTTCAACTGTGTACTTTTGCCGGACCTGTTCTACCGTCAAGTGTAATCTAAACTATTACACACCTGTCTATGCCTTCGAATACCAATAGTTTTCCCGGAAGATATACATCTTCGCGGGGATTCTTCGACATTTTATGTGCTGAATAACAACGACGCGCGTCATTGGATGGGGGCGAGCATTTGCAGGCATGTGCTGAAGGGACATTAGCACACACATGTCGTGGAATAGATAATGGATTTATGATATGTCTTCACTATGGTTATTATTTTGCATATTGGAATGTCCTCCTGAAGGACACACTGTTGATCGCTATTGTCTAGTGTCGCTATGAACCTTTTTGGTCGCACATACGATCGCAAGGGAGGGGCGGTGAGTGTGCGTGAAGTTAAATGTGATGTTGAGGGTGGCGGTAGTGTTGGCTGCGGTTATACCGACGATTTAGCTGTCCAGCCGTCTAAAGAGTACACGGATACTGCAAGTTCTGCAAAAGGTAGTTCGTTAAAAGGGTTTGTAAATGATATGGAGACCGTTGATACGTTCCGAGATGACGTCAGTGCCCCTCCTGGGTTACACCCTTCAAATCTAGGTTGTGATTTGCTGGGTGACATGGACCTTGATGTGGCACACACCTTGGATGAAGAATTAGAGCGTGAATTGGAAAGTGCTGCTCGTCATGATACTGCTACTTCTACCTATTTCCGTGATGCGGATAACAATTCGATTCGGAATATTACAGATGTACTATCTTTTGATAAAAGGTTGGGTCAGGGTGTCTATGGTGATGTGTTTCTTTGTCATTTACGTGCTGACCGTACAAAGAGGTTTGCTGTTAAGCGTATTCAGCAAGCACCATCGCCTATTGAGAAGATATTTGGTTTAGATCAGAATATAATTAAGGAGCTTCACGCACTTCGTGCGCTTAAGCGTCCGCATGCAAATATAGTTCGTTTGTATGACTTTTGTTCTGCTATGGAGCCTGTGGTACCTCGTCATCCTAACAAGGGTGAATCTAAGTCTTCTAAGCGTAAATGTGTTGCATTTTACCTTATATTTGAACTATGTGATATGGACCTTAACCAGTTTGTCAAGGACGCCTCTATGAAGTATAAGGCTCATGAGATGGACCTTTTCAGTAGCACAAGTGAGCATACCGAAGGCGAGTATAATATCGAGGATATTATAAACCAATGGTGTACTTTGTATCTTAAGCAGCGTAAGGATGATAGTTTCAAAGAGAGTGGCCCAGGTCGTTCTATCCGTGGTGAAAAGATCCCTTTGCCGGGTTTACCTGAGGATGTTGTTAAAGTCATAATGTACCAAATGTTACAAGGACTTGCTTATATCCATTCTAATCGTATAATTCACCGTGACATCAAGCCACAGAATATCCTTCTGAAAAGGACTAGTGGTCTGCTTGAGAGTCCCGACGCCCTGACCTCACCTCATGCATGGTAAGTGTTATATATGCTTTTTTCATAATTTCTAGGCAGGTAAAGATTGGTGACCTTGGTTTATCTACCATCGTTCCTGCTAGGTACCTTGCCAGTATGACTGAGGAGGTTGTGACTTTACTCTACAGGCCTCCAGAGCTGTTGCTTGGTGACTGTAAGTACACTACAGCGGTTGATATATGGTCAACTGCTGCTAGTGTTGGTGAGTGTCTATTGGGCAAGCCTATGTTCCGTGCTCGTACTGAGTTTAGTGTGTTAATGCGTATCGTATGTACTGTTGGTATTGCTAATATGGAAGAGATGCCTGAATTTGCGAAGCAGTTGAAATATCTTACCCATAGTTTGCCTAAAATTGAGCGTGATTCAAGATCGTCGCTTCGTAAGATGTTTACTGATCATTTTGGTCGTCAATTGATCAGTGAGGTAGGTTTGGACTTATTTGTGAATATGCTTCAATTTGTTCCTGAGAAGCGTATAACGGCTGAGCAAGCTTTACGTCACCCATGGTTTGACGATATAGATTCCTTGCTGAAGCCATCTATCGCAAGGTCTTACCACAGTGTGGAGCGTGTATTTCCCAAAGGTCAACGAGACATGCTCCCCTTACCATTTAAGGGTGATTTATGTGAATTCCAACGTCAGGTTCGCAAGGCTAACCTTAAAGAGTCATCTATTGATGAGCCTTACATGCAATTTGTCTTCCCTTGACAACGGAGGGGGCGTACCCAGTACACGCGTGCAGGTTGACGCGCACTACTGCTGGCCGCACATGGTCTATATTATTTACACACCTTAAATAATATAAAAATTTTCATATATAAGTATCATTACGGCTCATTTACCGCGTCTGAAATTGTAGCGCTTGCACCTAGCAGTGTGCCTAGTGCTATCTCGGGCACGAATCATCGTGCCCTGGAGACATGTTGAACACTATGTATATTTGAATAGCCATGGAGTCACAAGAATGTGTCGATGATAATAATGAAGTTGATAGTGTCTCAAGTGTTCCGTCTACTAGCAAGCCGTTAAATATGAAAAAAGGTGAATCGTCGCAGCATAAGAAAGAAGTTAACCCTCCAAGGTTTAGATCATTTCATGATTTTTATTTAACTCAAGGGAAACGTCATAATCGTGATTTTTTAACTGCTCAACAAGGCTATCGAACTACTTGGCAATCCCAAATACGTCACACGCCAAATCACGTATCTCCATCAATGGGAGGTAGGTTACACTATCTGTATTATAGTGATCTATGTGTATTATTGTGTTGGTCTATATTGACGTCTCGGTCACTGGAGGTACACCGTTTGCCGTACCGCAAGCTGTGGTATGATCTAAGGTCTAAAAAATTCATATCGCGCTACCGTCAAGGTCAGCACGGTAGATTTGACCCCCCATTTGTATGGTGTAACCCTAATGTCGACGTAACGTCTTATTAGACAAAACGTGTTACCGCTATTTCATAAAGCTAGCCACGAGCTCACGTCGTTGGGCACATCTGACGTGGTACCGGTTGATATACCGTTAAAACATCGGTATCCGCGACAATGTGCCTGTATCTTTTTATACACTTTAATAGAAATACCCGTAGCCGCATAGATGGTGTTCATCGTTCTGCAGAGGGCGGAGGGGCAACTATACCGGAAGCCTACCGGCGCTATGATGAGAAGGAGCTAAGCGTTGTGTTAAAAGGGCATGTAAAGCGACTCTGCGAGTACTTTCAAAATGCCGTCCCTAACAAGAACTATACGGATACTATTAAGGCAATGGTCGCAAAGACCAAGCCTAGACGTATTACCGATTCATCGAGATCAGACACTTCCTGTAGTACAGCGAACAGTGTCAAGACATTACCAGAATTAGATTTATCAACACGTGTACAGTGTGCAAAGACACCTGCCGTTGGAATTATCGAGCTTGCACAGCATTTGGCAAGCAGGAGGCCTAATAGCAAATTGCCAACAGACAATCATGAGGCACTGGAGTTTCTCGAAAATGAGGGGATCGCATATAACAATGCTGTTATGGTCATGGAATCTGCTAAACAACATGGTACCATAAAGCAGGTGTTCAATTGGAAAACCGCTATGAGGGCAATGTGTACGGGTGCCGATGTACCGGACACACCTAGCACCTCTATACTGGAACGTGAGGACGTAGTAAGGGTAGACTTGCCGTTACCTTTGGACAGTGAGATGCGTGATTTCCTTCGTAAACGTGGATTTGTCATTGGAGAAAACGGGATGCCAATAATCGATAGTGACGATGCCGTTGAGTACGATGGTGTACGTTTTTTTGTGCTTCCGAACGGCGATTCTCCAAGGGAAGTTAGCACTCGTCCAAGCTCTGATACTGCCGAGTCAAATGATGTCTGGTTAGACCTCAAAACAGGACCTGTTATACCTGACGTATCGCATGACCCCGATACTCTGAAAGTATATGACCTTCAGATGAACAAGGTCACTACTGAGCCTGACTTAGCTATGACCATCGAGGATTACGAATTTGACCCCAGCACTGCTTCTACAGAGCATAGTGACTTTTTCGATAAGCGAGATTGCAGTTTGGATGAATTCACTAACCACATCTTCGGTTACGCCGATCCACAAAATCTCGACAAAGTAATAGATGATATACGCCGGCTCATGCCAGAAGAATGTGATGGCAGGGAGGTTAATGACGAGGAGCTGTCGACAGACCGACGTGAACAGAATGCTGAGAGTTTCGCGTGGTTCCTTAACCGTCCTGCACCAGTGGAGGATGATGTGATTGAGGCAGCAAAAAACGAGCATGACGATCCATTATCGGCGCTAAGTGATGAGGTTATATCTCAGTTTAAGTGGATGGAGATGTCTTAGGTCACCTGTGGCACTGCGTTGAACACTTTAACAACTAAACATCAATGCATACGTTAACAATGTTTTCGCGATATTTATGGACATTATATGTCCTTTAGCTTTCGGTTTTGTACTTTGAGGCAGTAGAAAAGTACAGAGCACGGTGCCATCACGAATGGCAGTGCGCGGTATAATGAGTAAACATCAACTTCGAAATTGTAAATGTTAGGCATCCTGCTAGGGAACTCGCGAGCGATAGGAACAGAGTGTAGTTGTTGTGTTGACGTGCGCAACAGGCATATCTCCTCGAACGCTATCAGCGGATATAACAGAAGGAACACTGAGTGTTGTCACAGGTCTATATATGTACAACCTCACCTTTGTGTGAGAGCCACTCTAACATCCCATGCCTAGCTCCCTTGCGTGCATATAATGCATCCAAGCACCGAAGAATGTTCAAAAGTGTCCAACCGCTAACAAGGATCAAGAGTGAGCGAATTGATACGGATCCGCGTAGCACTGGTAGCGCAACAAAATACACAGCAACAACACGTATACACTGTTCCAAAGCGATCCCTATAAGTGCGGCACGCCTTTCTCCATCTATATCCAGTTAACAGTTATGAATTGGTTCTAACCTAGAAATGCGTATATTGATGTCAAACATTGCGCGATAAGACCGCATTGGAACAACGGGCGAATATACGCCCAGAATTTAGCTGGATCCGTGTGAGATATGGTATCCATGGATGGCCATCTTCCTTCATCGTGCCGTAGAAAAAATGTCAACAGTAGTAATTCTACACTGACCCAGATACATAACGAGGATATATAGTGTAACAGGACTAGTTTACCGTACCAACTGGTACGCCTCGGCAATTTAGATTCATCCATTGACGTAGTCAATGAAATGTAGTAATCTTGACCGGCGGCATTGGCGTTACAAGCACCATATATGTTCACACACCTAGGTCTTGATACGGCAAGATATCACGGCACGTAGTGGATACATGCTAATTATGTAGAAATCATTATAAAAATCAGTGTTATAATGTAGTAATGAACTTATACAGCGCGTTTCATACGACGGGCAGCTGCCTCAAGACGGCGCTGACGCTCACGTTCCTTATGTTCGCGTTTCATAGCGTCTAACTCAAACTTGTCCGGAATGCCCACTGTAAGATTAAACACCGGCCTTGTATCGGTTGAATCAGGGTCTTTGGTAAAATACCCATGGCGCTCGAAATGTATGGGATCACCAATATTAAGTGCAGTGGCGGCTCGCTCGCATAGACAGTTTTCATAAACTTGAATTGAGTTCTGGTTAAAGTTCTTGATCCAGTCATCCTTTTCTACGACACCCTCCTTGGGGTCAGGTTTGGTGAATAAACGTGAATACCAACGCACCTCGGCACGTTCTGCGTCCTTTTCATTGAGCCAGTGAATAGTGGCTTTTACTTTCCGCCCATCAGCAGGTGCGCATCCACCCTTGGTGGTAGGATCATGGGTACATATAATCTTTTCAATTTTGTCTTGGTTCTTGACTACATTAGTGCATTTAATCCAGTAGCAATGACGTAGCCTAACCTCGTTGCCTACGTAGAGGCGATGGAAATCTTTCGTTGGTTCTTCCATGAAATCTTTACGATCTACGTAGAATCGCTTTCCAAATGTTAATTTACGAGCACCAGGACCCGGGAAAGTCTCTAGTTCCAGAACCTCTTCATAGTCCTCTGGGACATTCTCAATCTCGACTAGTAGCGGGTCAATAACAGCAAAGAGTCTTGAGGCCGTTTCGTTCATACATTCCCGAATACAGTCCTCAAGTAGCTCGATTTGTATCATGTTCTCACGTTTCGCTACACCCACTTTACGACAGAAACGACGTATCGCCTCTGCAGGACAGCCACGTCGACGTAGACCGGATATCGTCGGCATCCTCGGGTCATCCCAGCCACTTACAAGACCTCGTTTTACTAACTGGATTAAAAGACGCTTGTTCATCACACAGTATGTGATGTTAAGTCGTGCATATTCAATTTGACGTGTTGGTTTAATACCCAATTTCTCTTGGAACCAATCATAGAGTGGTCTATGGTTTTCAAATTCCACTGTACAAATGGAATGCGAAATATTCTCGATACTATCACATTGACCATGTGCATAGTCGTACATTGGGTATATGACCCATTTGTCACCAGTGTTCACGTGAGTTGCATGAATAATACGGTAGAGGATCGGGTCACGCAAGTTCATGTTACCCGAGGCCATATCTATTTTAGCACGTAATAAACAATGCCCATCTGGGAATTCACCGTTTTTCATTTTTTCGAAAAGCATGAGATTTTCCTCGATGCTACGGTTTCGATAGGGTGACTCCTTTCCAGGCTCTGTGATACTACCACGTGCCTCTCTAATCTCCTCAACAGTTTGGTCATCTACATATGCCAATCCCATCTGTATTAGTTGTACTGCCCATTCATACAATTGTTGGAAGTAGTCTGATGCGAAATATAGGTGTTCTCCCCAATCGTATCCCAACCATTTCACATCTCTTTGTATAGATTCGATGTACAGGGCTTCCTCAGTAACGGGGTTGGTATCATCGAACCTAAGATGTGTGCGTCCTCCAAATGCCTTGGCAAGTTCAAAATTCAGACATATAGATTTAGCATGGCCAATGTGCAAGAATCCATTAGGTTCAGGTGGAAAACGGGTAATAACTGTCTTGACACGGCCTTCAGCCAGATCACTTTCTACAATTTTGTATATGAAATTATTACGATCGCAATCATCTTCCACACCTTCCGTTGTGCGAGCGGCATAACCGGAAACCGGTGAATCAGGGACCACGGCACTCATATTGCGGTGTAAGACAGGTATACTATACTGTGTCACATTAGCGAAATATGCGAGGCATATATCGAGTGAATCGCGAACAAAACGCCATTAATATCGATATGAGGCAGCTATATTATACGTCATTTTACTGGGCCCTTATACACCTCAAAAATGGGGGGCTCATATTCAACCAAAAAGGACTTATATGGTCATAATAACCTGTATAAAATCGTATACTAAGATGACTAGTTGACCTGTAACCATAGTGGCCTACAATGGCAGAGGTGTAAAGCGAAAGTCACAGTATCTATACCTAGTGTCGGCCGAACTTGGCTGCCAACTTTCGAGTTGCGGACAACATAATGACTTGGTTAGAGATCATATCATTGAATCTCGAGGTTCACAAAATGTTGGTGATTAATTGTCGCAAGGTGTCCATCTATTTGACAACAATTTGCCACGCACATACAGGTCATAACACCGGACCCAAGTAATAGTAAAATGTGCCATCAGTGGTTCTATAGTACAAATCTTGCCATGATAAAGGCAACTGAATATAAATGTGCCAGTTACAGACGAATATCCGAGGTCGTCCTTTGGAGGGCTGGGAAGGGAGCCGCCAGGCACCCCAGAAGCCACGATCGTCGAACTTCTCGTCTAAAAAGGAAACTAATTACAATACCGTTCTGTATCCCATTACCAAGAGTTTCAAGCTACGAAACTCACAGAAGCGGTATATATAAACTCCTATAGTAACCAATCGGACCACACCACTTAGACGCGTCGAAGATTGACGACTGATAACTTTACACAATGAAGAGAGGTAAGCTATACTAACTGTATAAATATATGTGCGTAGGAAGAGGAGGTGCCGGTGGCAACAAGCTCCGCGTAACTCTCGGTTTGCCGGTTGGCGCTATTATTAACTGTTGTGACAACAGTGGAGGTAAAAATCTTTACATCATTGCTGTGAAGGTGAGTATAGCAAGTAATGACCCGGGGGCTGTGTGATGATTTTCAATGATAGGCCTGAACTCTTGATGATTTCATACAGCCGAACAATCCGATTCTGAAACCCCAATATACATGTATCACAAATGCATACTAATCGATTCATAGGGTATCGGAGCATGTCTGAACAGGCTTCCATCCGCCGCTGTTGGTGACATGGTACTTGCTACTGTGAAGAAGGGAAAGCCCGACCTTAGGAAAAAGGTACACTCTGCTGTTATCGTACGTCAACGCAAGGCCTGGAGGCGCAGAGAAGGTTACTTCATATACTTCGAGGACAACGCTGGTGTCATCGTAAACCCCAAGGGTGAAATGAAAGGGTCTGCCATTACCGGCCCTGTCGCTAAGGAGTGCGCCGAGTTGTGGCCTAAGATATCGGCTGCCGCTCCTTCGATTGTCTAACTAGTTGATAATCTAATTTATTAATGGCTGTCATGTCAAAAACAATATGTAGAATATCACAAATGCCACCAATATACAGAATATCTTCAACAAAAGCGTGCGATTACTAGATATCCGCTTGTAATAACGCGACAACTCGCTTTGTGCTGAGCATTTATGTCACAACGTAATTAAGAATACTTACCAGAAATAACATTGTCCAGAGAATCCTCAGTGTCAGCATCAATACGTTGGATCATCTCATCCTGTTGCGTCACAAGCGTTGTCATGCGTTGGAAAATTTGAGTTAATTCGCCAATAGCACGCTGCACGTTTGCCAAAGCCTCAGCCTTGGCATCGGCAATTACAGACCTTGAAGGACGATCTATCTCACCACTAAAATTTGATGATATATGAAAAAAAATATTGTACCCACCTTTCCAGGTCCATCTGCTGTGCTCCTTCAGCAGCCTGTTGCACCGTGAAACGTCGTCTTCCATGACCAGAAGATGTTAAAGTATGATCCAAATCGGTATGTGAATACATTTTGCGTCGTACTTCTTGTTGGATCATAACTTGTGCTCTCTGGTATAACGCGTCTTTCAGGTCCTTGGTCAAATCGCACAACTGTTTACGTAAGGTGGCCAGAAGATTCTCATAATGCTGCTTCAATTGATCATTTCTATGCTTAGTGCCTGCTATTTTTGCATCTAAAGCGTCGATCTTCGTAGAAGCGACCGTTATGCTCTTCTTGACATCGCTAGTCAGACATTCGATCTCAGCGGTATGATCCACATAAATACTACGTTTTCGCGCCAATTTTGTCAACTCAGACAACTTTGTGCTGCACTTTGATAACTCTAGACATATCTCCTGGGCATCCAGATCAAGTTGCGATGGCTCCACATGGCGTGGAGGTGGTGGAGGCCTTCCTTTGGAGTACCGGGCAACCTCCCGGAGAAAAACATCCATGCGACATACACCGCTAACCATTGTCACATCATCCGCAGTTTCCACTAATTTTATATACTGGCCACTCTGGACCTAGGGTGTGATTCGGCACACTACATAACGCGTCAGTGTGCCGAGCTTTAACGTATCTCTCTATATAATGTGTAATATTAAAACTATACACCGATATTTATTAATCAAATATACCATAAAATCACAACTAATAACCCTTTTGTAAAGTACAGCGCTATTAAGCAGCGCCGCGGTAGAAGGCTATCGAGGAATTCAGCAGTCTGCGGGGAGAGACGACCTGCAGCATTATAAAACACAGCAAACGAATACGAAAGCCAACATCTACGTACTCCGTTTGCAGTATCACGTGCCTTCGTAGGTTACTGAGAACAACAAGGACGGTGGCACGTCTTGATAAAAACATTGTCTGAGTAAAAAAGGCATGCGTATGTACAGCGAAATTACGCTTACAACGCAAATAAATATTTATCGAAATCATAGTGCCGGGTATCTACGTAACATTAACATTGGAATCCTCTCTATTATACAGCAACAAGGATACCGCAACTGACAAGTGTCTGGAGCAAAAATATTGAATCGACATACCATTGTTAACCATTATACTTCGATTATAACGAGAAAGGATAATGGCAGAGTGCCGAAGACCACAGTCCCATACTGTGGAGGAAGCTATCGCATTCGTCAGTGGCAAGGTGCGTCCTGAGATTCTGTGGCAGTAAAATTAATATGCAGTTTGCCGATATGGAAAACGATTTGGCGTTGGTCGAAAAAAAATTAATTGCCGAAATGAGTTCCATTTATGGCAACGATATTTTCGAGTTACACTCACGTTGTCAAGATTTAAAAAAACAGGTCAAAAAAATTACATCTGATCTTGCAGTAAGTCATATAATACAAGATCGAAATTATTCGAAGGAACTATACAATGCAAGGCAGCAACTGGTTAACGTTATCGAAAATCAACTCCAACAATCCGCATCTCTGAAAAATATCGAGGTGAGTCAAAAATTCCACAAAATGTCCAATATATGAAATTCAACATTAACAATTGGAGATATCACGTGAATATAGAAATTGTTGGACCCGAATAAGGTTGACGAGGATACCCAGTTGATGGAGATGCTAGGATCTCACTATAAGGGTATATGGTATGACGTGGAAACTGATGTTGAAGAACCAGAGGAAGTTGAAACCGTAAAAATTTTAACTCCACTGTCACTAATCGGGTTAGTATTTACCCAGAGTATTGTGGACATGATCCCTGCAGCAGCCTTGAAATCACGCCAACTAAAGTTGAAGCACCACCTCCTGAGCCTGAATTTAAACCAGTAAGTATACCATCAAGACGGTTATAACATATTCCTAGGTATCACAAAAACAGTATGACAACGTTCCATCTTTGGTCAAAAGAAGAGCCAAATTGGAACAGGTCAACGAGCTGTACCTTTTCCTGTTTAAAATGGCGGTAGAACGCAAAAGGTAACTCGAATCCCGCCAAAGTCATAACCATGCTAACAGGAGTCTACCAATTAAACTTAAAGAAATATCACAGGGAGGGATACAGGTGTTCGGGCAGACAGGTATTTTGCATTTCCGTGAATATGTAACATGATAATAGGTTCATCTAAAATTGCTGCATTGCGCTACCTGAAAATAGTCGAGCTCAATAACAGGTGATTTCAAAATTATATGTTCAACACTGAAACACAGAGACGAAACGGTCACGCTGCTAGACGATAGGTTCCAGGATACACACCAAAAACGTAAAAGGACAAGGCATAATTAATAATAAATATAGCTTTAGAATATACATACAAATCGCATTTAGGACATGGTTTAGCACGGACGTGATATCCCGACATCATACACACACGTGATGTCGTAACGGAATCCTACCATTAGATATATACATACACAATGATAATTCACAATAGAGCAAGGCTAATGCCGTTGCTCATTATCGCAACTATTATCAATACGGTGTGCGCCAGAAACGCCAATGAATTCTACACATTCAAGGATGCAACGGCGACGTCGATATATGTCACACAAACTGATGACGCTCAAAAGTTTGGACCAGCTAGAGCGTTCCAAATAGGAGCTTCATACTGGTGCAGTGCAGGCAGTCACACCTCAACTGACTTCGTGTCATGGACCGGAGAGCTTTGGGACACAGCCAAAATTGCACAAGTCGATGTTATATGGGAATATGCACCGAGTGAAGTTGAAATATCCACATCAATGGCAAAAGATAGCTTCACTGTGGTCATGCCATTTAGAAAGACATTTGACAGCAAACGTAAGTTATGCTCGCAGTAACATCATATGTAAATAGCATCTTACAAAGAAGTTTTCAAATTAGATGCACCAGTCGAGGCCAAATTCATAAGACTAACGCTAAGAGGACCCGTAAATGAGTACTTCGGCATTAGAGAAGTACACGTCGTCGGCGCAGGGGACCCACTGTTTGTCATCAAGGCAGGCATTTCCAGCCCATCCGGAGAAATGTGCCTACAATTGGAGGAGGGACGTACAGACAACAATACTCGCGTAATCCTTGATTTATGTACCCATGCAATCGCAGCTGCAGATGGAAGGGTACGTTGGAATAATATTATAGTGTAATGTTGAAATAGGACCTTTGGAGGCATGATTCAAGGCAACGACTTGTAAGCGCAGTCACTAACCCACCGAAGTGCCTTACGTCGGTCAGCCCAAATAAAATTGGGGCTCTAGTTATCGCAGATTGCAAGGATGAAGGTGATGACCAATGCCGTTGGGAATTTATGGGAAATGGTCAAGTGGCACTTAAAAACGCCAGCAACCTTTGCATTACACAAGCAGATTTATATTCAGATAAAGCCGGGATGGGTAACCTGCTGCAAATTATGAAAAGTAAAGTTAAACTTAACGCATCAAGTACAGCAGAGAAACATGATGTAAATCTGATAATGGATGGCAACATTAAGACATATTGGGCATCAGACCTCTTTCTGGACTCCAATCTACACGTTGTGAACATAACTATCAACTTTGGAGAACTGACACGCGCTGCCAAAATTAAAATAGATTGGGAGTATCAACCTGTCACCTACACCATAGAAGGGAGCACAGATAATATCGTATTCAAGGAACTAGCAAGAAACATGTCAAACGCAAACCATGTCACCATAGACACATTGGATGAAAAGGATTTCAAACAACTGAGAATAGTTATGATGAGACCACATCATTCAATGGGCAAGGTGGAAGGAGGTTATGTATACGGTATCAGGGAGTTAGAGGTACTTACCAGCAACTTAGAAACTGTGGTTGGAGACTGCAGAGCTGCTGCTAACACAGAAGATGCCAGGGATAAATATTTCGTCTCATACGTTTCGGCATTCGAACCCGCTCTGGCAAATGATATCAAAAATATGGAAAACGAGATACATGGGATCACTGGAGAAGTTATGAATGACATGGCAGCACTCAACGATACCCTTGAAGAAACAGATAGTTGCATGGAGGATAAAAAGGAGTACAACAAAACATTAGAACAAATACATACCAAAGAAACCGCAATGTGGAAACAGATACAACTCTCCTCATTGTGTGATAAATCGCAAAATACTGAAAGTATATATTCCACCATAGGAGAAACCATGAAGAACCCTGCAGAAGACTGCTACATTATCAAACAGTTGTCGAAAAAAGCGACTTCAGGGTTCTACTGGATACAGCCACAGTGTTCCAAACACCCCTTGAGAGTATATTGCGATATGAGCTCACAGACATCAATGTTCATATGGGATGGAAAAAACGGTGTATCGGCACCGCAATCTTTGCATAACATGACATCACCGCTCTCCATCAGGTACCAGTGTGCTGCATACGGTTTAGAACCGCTAATTGTTAAGTCTAAACACCAAATTGATGGTCTTAAAGAGGCACTCTATCTCATGGGATTTGAACGTAAAACTGACCATTATGTCCCACTTACATACAAGTTTGGGAATTCACATAAGTTCAGGGACCTGATGAACATATTCACATTCATGACGGAATCGTCGATAACCGGGATTAACAAGTATAGTAGCACCCCAAATGAAGATGGAATGGAACTTCCACATATAGTAGAACACAATGCAGCAGGGTTGTCTCTTGCAACGGGTGAAATTGAAGTCTTTGATCTCGAGACAGCTAATGTAGAGGCCATTGTATGCTCTACTAATGTCACAGAAGATAACGTAACCCCGATCACCATCGGCTGTGACGACAGGCTAGACAAGACCGCATCACTTGCCTCAAACACTAACACTAACATTGTTGTTAGGTGTTCTGAAAACTGCCTAGGAAAAAATGAACTGCCGGTCTATGGTAAGGATGGCGTATATAGTGAGCGCAGCTCGATATGTAGAGCGGCGATACACGCAGGTGTAATTGGAAACAAAGGAACTTTCACTGTGGCAGTGGAGAGCGGGCTCCCTTTCTACAGTGGCAGCACCGAAAACGGTGTCCAGAGTTTCGCGTACAACAAATCGTGGCAGGGATCAAAGGATTTACTAGATTCACAAATGACAGATGGCGTTGAAGAAATTGAACATACAGGGCCACCATCCAAGTTCAGTATCAGAATTTTACCGAGGAAAAAAGTTTGCCCGATTGTACAGACACATGGATCCTTTCTCCAGGTCACCAGTAACAACTCGGATAAGCCAAACGTTACAGAAAAGGAACCATCCGCTAGTAAAAACTCGGACAAACATACAACAAAAGCAGATGCTAAGGACACACAGAGTTTAGAGATTACTGACATGGCTGACGTTGATCCCACAACGAAACATGAGGCTATCAAGGTTCTTGCTGACATGAATGCCATGTATGGTTTGGATCCAAAGACTGTGATCAACACTATCGAAAATATCGCAGCATTAGTTAGCCGAGCCAAAAAGTATATCAAACCACTAGAGTCGATAACACTCCACCAGGAGAAAAATATGACCACATTATTCGATCGCGTGGAAGCAGCATCGCAGAAGGCAACATATTTAAATGAGAACCAGGAATCGCTGAAAACAAATTATTTGAAACTTCTACATGATCAACAGGCAAAAGGGGTGGAGACCGAAACACCGATTGTCATGGATTACACCACGATGGCATTTTCCAAAACATTCAGAGTACATGAAACAAGTATGACATCGGGTGGTCAAAGTTATTGGGGATACTCGGATTCTCCCTTTGATGGACATTCAAGTTATATCGTACAAAGTAGTGATATAGATAGCTCTCTGCCAGGTGAAGGGGCGTTTGCAATATTTAAAAATCGCCGTTTCTTTGACTTTGACCTAAATATAGACCTTCTAGCAAAAAGTGAGGGCTCTATAGGGATAGCATTTCGGGTTCAAGATAAATTTAATCTATATTTGTTCGTATTGAACTCCAGACACAGTAATAAACAGTTACTCAAGGTGCAGGACGGTGTAACTCACGTCCTGGCGACCAATCCGGATGAGGGTTACAAGAAGAACAAATGGATCAATGTTCAAATTTCTGTAAAAGGAAACTCTTTCGATATCGTTTGCGATGGAAAGATCATACTAAAAGTACTGGACACAGCGTTCGCACACGGTGGTGTCGGACTGTATTCCTGCGGAAGCAGTGGCAACTTCTATTATGACAACATTACAGTTAAACCCAAACCAACCGTCAAAGAGGCTCATGATACCCAGTTGGATCGACTAAGGTCGATCAAATGTTCAACGTACAACGAAACATTCGAAGGAGATTTCAGTGATGCATACACTGTCATCAATCCCAGTCACACGCACACCACGTCATGGAGGTTCAAGGATATCATAGGAGGCAAACACAAGGCGATACATCAACACCATGCTTCACAGGATACACTGGGCGTAGGGTCAATAGCCATTCTTAAAAACGACAGAATATGCTCAACAGGATACCTCAGATTTAGGTTCCTACCCACGTGTGAAAACGGAACCATAGGTGCTGTTATCCGATATTCTGATATTAATAAAATGATCCTGGTAGAAATAAATGGACAGGAGCTCAGGATTAGGCGTATTCAGAAAGGTGAAGCCAAAATCCTTGCGAATGTTGCTGCATCCTATGCCGTGTCCAAGTGGAACATCATGGAAGTGGAAATAGGTACCACTACGGTGTCAGTCAAGGTTAAGAAGGGTGTTGATCATGGATCGTTTTTCGCTGGGCTCTTCAGTGGTACCGATTTTGAATGTAAGGCGGAGTTAGGCGACGTAACTGGGTTAGGTCTCGGTTTGGGAATCAAGTCTAGCGGGTGCGATTCATGTTACTACGATGCGCTACATGTATCACCCGAACCATTGGCCAACAAGTTCCCGACAACGAGCCTTATACAGCAGTTTGCCAGTCTAAATTTGTGGAAGCCCTGTGCCGAGAACGTGCACATACTACACAGAGTGGCCCTGTGTAAAAAGATGTATCGTAACCAAGGGAATGCAAATATCTGTGCAGAAAGCTTTTGTTCTCCATGCTGCACGTACCATACAAAGTTACTGGGAGAAGGACATCGTGAATCCTGCATTAACACGTGCCAAAAGAACAACCACGTGGCACAGCTATACCTCAAGAAGTTCCTCTCCTATGTAAATAGTTGTGTCTCGCTTAAGGGAGCTGCTTTCGACCATTGTGAAGGGGTAGGTTCAAAACAGATATTTGATACACTTGTCTTGCAGGATCGACAATGCCTCAGGGAGGCTTGCATTCTCTGCTGCAGCAGCGGCCATGAGGAAAAGGGACCACTAGACAAAGAGCTAGTGGCTCTGGAAACTAAAAGTTGTCTCATGCAATGCAATATCTTGATGTAGACACTAGGCGTTATAAGTGTGCCAAAGAGCATGTTTGTATAACTAATGTTTAATTTAATTTCAAAACATTAACTCATCAATAATACATAGGAGGCATACGTTTATACGGATATCTCTTTGCGTCTCCGATATAGTATATAATAAATGCTCAACGTAATATACACCTGGGTCCCATAGGAACCTCAACATCGTATTCTTTCAGGGGATCTTAATATAACACAAACCCAATACAAGCTCAAATGGCTTACTACCATGGTGCTAAAAGCGGTCGGACACCTTAAGAGCATAGATGTAGACAGTGCAAATCACATAGTACGACGTATCTTCACCCCTTGCATATAAAGCTTATCTCGGCCAGTTATCTTCTCAAATACGAACACGCGATATAACATGAACGCCTCTTGTTGCTCTTTAGACATAGTAGCGTTGGACATCACCTTAAGATGACGCTGCACGTTTTCCACCACGTTCGCAGGAAGTCTACCACTCAACTTGGTCAGGATAAACGGCGCTTTCTCCATGTACTCCGGAAATGTGAACGTCTCAAGAAGACGAAATCCTAAACGACTGCAAAGCTCGGAAAATGACTTCCAAGGTACCACGTACTCACTAGCATCGATTGATTCCATCAAAAAAAAGTGGTACTTGATCCCCCATCGACTCTCCAAGATAGACGACAGCACATCGTGTGGCAACGCTTGACCCGTATCCTCTGAAATCAGTTTGTCCATTGATGACGGATCGACTGTGACTCTGAATATGGAATTGCCGAAATCCCAACGCAAACCTGATTCATCTGTCGATTGGTACGGTGGCTTGGCAGCTAAACCGGACGCAATGGCACTGCAACATACGGTGCTACCGATGAAGATCCCTTTGTCACCAAGCGCTTGATATATATTGCGCAACAACATAGTTGCACTGGCCTCGTCGGATATAATATAGTGGATGGCAAGCTGCATAGACACAACATCAAACTTCCTCTTACGAATATAACTACTGTATACCTTCTCTTCCAACAGATTACCGTGGTGAAACTCAGCCTTGAACCTGAAACGTCGGCTACTAGACTGCTCAGAGAAACGACGACGCGCTTCCATTATCTCGGAAAGAGAAATATCGATGCCCATCAATTGGCTTATACCCACAGTAGCGTATTTGTCCAAATCTTGACAATGACCACAAGCAAGATCCAATACAGATGCTTTACGGCGGACGTTACAAGCAATTAACACACGCTTCACGAGATTATTATTTCGACGAAGTGCCTCTATGGCCGACCCTTTCTGACGAACCAACTTCCGTGTATCGTAGTGAAGTTGCACAGCTTCTGCTGTATCTCCGAAACGGTTCGGGTAAAAGTCAGCCACAGTTTCAGTGTCCACGGAGGAACTATCGAATATATCAAGGATCATGCTCAGGTTGCTGCGCACCATCGACAGTATGTATCCGAACCTGTTCCGCTTGTAATTAATCATTCTCTGAAACTGCTTCACCAACTGAGACCCACGGAAGGACAATTGGATGTAATGCCGACGACTCTCCTCGACAACCTCAAGGTCGAAAAAAGTAACTGCCGACATGTCAGAAAGCTTACTAACGAGACATGAAGTGAAACATTCAACTAGGCTCTTAATAGATAGCCCTGATATCTCTTCATTGACCACGATATCCCAATGATCAACAACGTTGAGCTCAAACTTTACAAGCTTCTCGCTACCGACTGGGACCGTCTTGTAGTTGCGCATATAACGAAATGAGAGCTTTAACGCCGAACCCAAAGTTTCAGAGCCATCGGTCGTTGATTTCACGACACTTGACGACGTTTGAATGCGATAATGGTATTGCGATTGTGGTCTGTAGACCACTAAACTATTTAACACGGTTTGCTCCCAGCACTCTATCTCCGATATCCGAAGTCCTTCTTCCGTATCATATGGCACTCGATAAATACGAATGTGATGAAACCCCTCCAAATCGTCACCAGGTTTGCGATGGTCAATGTTTGACGATGATACCACCTCCACCTCCACGTGATCAGAGGAAGCTACAAGTCTAGCATCACCAGCTTGGCTGGTGAAAATGTCCATGTATAAAGTATCAATGAACTTCGCAGAAACCTCTGGAATGAATGTCACTTTGGAATCATCATTCTCCAAAACAGTTTCTGTCTCTACTGGCAGAACTATGTTTCGGTTCTGCGTGATACCAACCAAACGGCCAACCTGAAAAACACATTTAACAGAAGAAGGGTCGCTCGTACAATCCATGCTCTCTCGCACTAAACGTTGTATTAAAGTGCTGACAGTGGTTGTTGATTGCGAACGTCCGAAAACAGGATAACCCTCGATTAAAAGAGGATTGGAGATGCTAGTTAACAGCTCTGGTAAAGGACGACTAGTGGCATCGGCACCTCCTGGATGGGAGTGCTCAGCAGCCCGTACCTTTTCGTCTATTTCAAGCGCCATAATGTATATACATTATAATATCAAATGTGTTCTCAATTAATGCTCCCTAATTCTTGAATAGTTCGCCGACGATGTTCAATGCCGGAGTCAGAATCCAGCTCAATGAACGCCAGGATCACCCATTGTCGCATCGATACGCTGTAATGTTCATGCCAATCACGTTGGATTCCAAGGATTATATAGTTAACTTTTCGGTGGTGTAAATATGGAATGCCGGATACCGACACAACACACCTTGTAGAGTACCAAAGTTTATTATAATAAAAACTAATACCGACGTGTGATATCGGAGGTTCATATTTTTTATATAATATTTTTGCTTGGAAGACGTTGTTCTGTCGGCTATTTGGGTGTCCCATAGCTACAATAACGGGAAGCGCCAAGCTTGAACACGAGGTTGTGGCGTCGTAAGTTGAAGACGCCACTCTGTCGAACTCTGAAGAATATTGAATTATTTAGTTCATGGTGTGCTGAACTCGTAATTATGGTGAAAATTACGCCGTCCCGTTCGCTAATATGCGCAGCGGTTGCTTCGTACATCAGTTTTGCTATTGTTTCTGCAGGTTATTTGGATGTTTCAACACTAATACACGCGAACAAGCAATTTTGTCTTACCGAACCTATCGGAAAGGAAATGTATACCCATATTACTATCCATCCCTATGATATTAAGAAAGGAAAAGGTCTGGGTGTAGTGATCGCTGAGGATGGTGGAGACAAGCCTATCTTCGAAGAAGCTAACCTCGTCAACCACCTCTCAGTGTCATTCACTGCTGTACACGGAATATCGGTGATTTGTTGTATCGCAGCTCCAAACTACGATGTCTACGTAGGTATTGCGATCAAATCGGGAGCCGACGCAAGGGACTACTCTATCATCGCAAAAAGCTCACATCTAGATCCAGTGGACGCACACCTGCAAAATGCTATTGACGAATTCAGTGCATTCCACAAAGCACAAATTACAGGCAGTCGCTCAATGGACCGAACTAGCAAAAAGGCTGCAGATGCATACCATCTACTGACCAAATTCGCCATTGCAAATAGTGCATTTGTAGTCATCTCGACATTGTGTTTCATACTATATTTCAGAAGCTTCTTCCTTTCCAAAAAGGTCATGTAGCTTTAACAGAACTGTAATTTTCAGTTGACTGTATATTTCCTTTTTGTATATTATAGTTCACAGATAATTACTGATACCGCTGTAAAAAATATATATAGTTTTGGGTTTTTGGTTTTGCATAACAGCCTCTAGTGTTTTTTGTTTCGACCTAGGTAAACTCACAGTGAATTAGGATAGGTAAATTTATTGTGATATTACGTTTTTCCATAAAAAGACTAGTAACGATACAAAAAGTAATGCTAAATTATTTCAGAATTGACAAGTGATTTGCTGTACAATACGAAAGAAATTATGTAAAAATATTAAGTGCATTAAGCAGTCGTGATCACAATGAAGCGGTATTTATCTGGAGAATTATAAAACTTGGTATTTTACATTTCCTATGAAGTACCGTTGCAAAATCAAGTTGTCTTAAATAAAAACCAAGTTGTCATATATAATATTCGACATGATTTCCTACTCTATTGAGTTTTTGAGGTTGAGAAAATAAGGTACGAAAATAAATGAACTACAACACGTTCTCGTAGATGAAAGAAAAACAAATGACAATTTGACTGCTATAATGGGTTGTAAAATGTCTTGCTAAGATGGGTTATTTGACGTCAAATTCACGGTTAGGAAAAAAATAGAATCGATCGTAAAAATACTCTTGAGTGGACGTGACAGCATCACTAAAGTGATTTATATTAACATTTATATCATTTTCAGGCTTTAAAATGTCCTATTTTGTTGGTTGACACTGCTTATTTCATCTTGAACAGCGCCTATGACGACTGGTGATAATACACGGGTTATGGTAATCCACGGTACGTATTTGCACGATGAGTCCGACGTATCATCCTAGGTTCTTTTCTCAAGCAAACATGTACAGCAAGCCTTCACAGATCGTCAGTTTAACAGATGACGCACCGGAGGTGACTATGATCATTCACCCTTCGCAGTTGACAATCCGCGCTTGACATAGTCGAGTATATTAGCGGCAACAAGATTTCCTTGTAGCTGTTCAGGCATTTTTTGCCGAACTACCAATGCTTGATATAGAGAGGGTGTCTCGATATCAAGTAGAGCGTCAAACTCATCCAGCATCGTGGGACTCATCTCTTCAGATATGCTGCTAATATAGCCGTCAAAAAGTACGTCGAGCTCTTTCATTCCTGTATTCTTAACCCTCATCATAAGTCGTTTACGGTGCAATATAACATCGTCATTGATTAATGGTGAGACGGAAAATAAACGCCGATGAACCGTCATCATGTCTACTGCACCTCGCACGCGTGGCCAGTGGTTGCGTGTGAAAACGTGGCTACGAGCCACAATGCGACCTATTGTCTTGAAAATCACTGGACCCATTTCAATCCTCTACCTCTTCTTTTATCAGCTCTTCCTGTAATCCCGTCCAATATTCATTTGAAACATTGTATAAAGATATATAGTGATCGTAGGACATATTGCTGAGATCAATTGGGAATACAGCAATAGCTGGGTTATATTCTGCCGCTAATTCTGCTTCTTCCAATGGCATAGGTGTGACTATATTCGCCACTTTAACACTTTGTGTCTGTTTTCCTTTCGTATTACTCTGCTCTATCGACACTGCAATTCCAGGGAAACAGTGGGGTGATGTGGGATCCACTGGAGGTATTTCAAGGCCTCCAGATAACAATTGAGGGGACGGTACCCCTGTAATGCGGAACTCCTCTAGTTCCTCGGGGTAACTACCTACTTGGTGGAGACCTGTCTCATCGATCACGCATTCATTCGGCCTTTTAGCAGCAGTTTCCGTTGATTTTTGCTTTGAGTCACGATCAAAACAGTTCTCGAACAGCTGACACAGTTCTTTGCCTGTAGCTTTATCGACTTGCTGTCCGTCACGTGCAATTTTCACTGGTTTGCCCTCGTTACAGCTGTTGTTCAAGTTCGAGCATTCAGAAAATGGCAGATCGACCACTCTAATCCAGCTTATATCAAATTGTTTACCTTTAAATTTTTTTCCGTTACCTAAGTAAAATACACTTTCTTCGACACTCGCTTCTCCCGGCCTTGACTGCATCAATGCATAGCCGATAAAGCGTGAACTTCCATTAATGGAGAATATTAATATGACGTTTGACCCTTTTTTGAAAGCTTCATCGAATATTACTTCGTTTTTTGGTGTAGTTGCCCATACATCGTGAGTTAGAGCAATATGAACATTTTGATCTGAGAAGCTTTTCACAACATAATATGTATTATCGTCGCTTTCATCTGATACTTTATGGTTTAATAGGACGAAAAACTCACATATCAATTTAGCTTGACTTGGTTCGATGTTTTTATCGAAATAGTCGCCCACGTCCATCCTAATCGAGTAGCTTCAATATTATCAGACGTTGCGGCGCAACTCCTCCTTCATGTATTGGTAAACACACGTCATTGCTCAATAATGGGCGCAATACCTGCGGAAATCGCTATTACGGATTGCTGCGTGACTGCACGGTAATCAATGGCGTCTTCTACAGTGGATTCGCGGCTTACTTATGGTTTATAGATTATGTTAGGCATTTCGTTGTTATAATGTGTCAAACGTGTATGAATATCTGTTATTTTCTTGCATCGATGGGGTCACATTTTCTGCCGTCCAAAGCCGCGAGCCTTGTGACGCCTCGACGACAATAAGACACGCGATCCATCGCATTGCCTGATTAAAACCCTACGGCGCCTGTACTATAGTTCCGCATCTCGGGCTATTAGCTACTTTGCAGTTATTTCAATGCTGCGAGGTTCGCGCTTTAGCCGCGAGAGCGGTGATTTGAAGACTCCGTTCCTCGCGGGCAAGGAACGCGAGCTGTTGGAATCCAAAAAATGGCCCGCATGTTTTTCAAAATCGGTAGACATTACAAAGGTGCAGATCGAGGCCTTTAAACCATGGATCACTCGACGAGTCACGGAACTCATGGGTGTAGAGGACGAGATAGTCGTTGATTATTGCCTCAGTCAATTGAAGTACTTCGGTGAAACAGATGCTAAAGCGAATGCGGAGAATGCAGGTGTGTTACTTACCATAGTTCTTCAACCCTGTGTACAGTTGCTGTGTTTATTAGACACCTGTAGTGCTCCTCTTATTTATTACCTAACACCATGATTGGATGTAGATACATACGATTGATGCTCTAGAACGTAATGTCGGATTAACTAATATATATTTTAGGTGACGGTGGTGCCTGTTTGAACGAGAAGCCTTTCTTGGATCCAAAGAAGCTACAGATCAACCTGACGGGGTTTATGGCCAAAAACGCACGCATTTTCGTAAAGGAGCTCTGGGAATTGCTATTGGCAGCACAGGACAACGAATACGGCATACCTCAGGCCTTTATAGAGGAAAAGAAAAAGGAGATTGCCGCCATACAACAAGAGGCCAAGGAGGTTGACGACACCCTTCGGCAAATGGATTCTATGTCGGCGAGAGATACGCCAGCTACCGGTGCAGTGGCTCAACCCAGTGATACCACAGCTGTGAGAGACGGTGAAGACTCAGATAAAGGGCGGTCTCCCCGTGATCGTTCTCGCGAAGTACGTAGCGTGAGTGGCTCCCGTGGTAAACGTGGATCACGCGCCTGGTACAGCAAAAACAAGTATAACGAACGACGCAATAATCGAAGTAATGTACGACGTCGTGGAGGATCATCAAGAAGTGGCAGCTTACGTGGTAGAAATTATCGGCGAGAACGTGGATACCGCCGTAGATCCATTTCACCGACTCCTTCTAGATCACGTTCTGGTTCATATGACCACAGACCTGCCCCTCGCAGGGTATCATATTCCAGGTCACCGTCGTATTCAGGTTCATATCGCAGCCATTCTTCGACGCCAAGATCTTCATACGAAGCGAGTCGCCCATCTCGACGCAGACGTTCTTACTCTAGTGCCTCGTCACGCTCTGATTCATCACATTCCCCTTCTGTTGATAGTCGCCATTCGCGATCGGTATCTCGTGACAGTCGTCGGAGGCATGACGTACGTGGCGACGCTTACCGCGATTCGCACCATCGCAGAAGGCATAGCCCACCACGACGAAGACGTGATAGATCACACTCACGTTCGTCTCACGGACGTAAACGCTCTCGCTCGCCGGCTAGACATGATTACAAACGTCGTCGGGGTTCTCATAGTCGTTCGAGGTGATGTGATGGCTATCCGTCTCCCTTTTGATTTACTAGGAGGCCAAAGATGACTAGTCACGTTTAATTTTTTCTATTATAGAAGATTAATTACAAATCTATATAAACCATGAGTCTATCATGGGTATCAGATACGTGTCCACGTTTTGTTAATACCTTCACAGCCCGTATTTAGACCTGAAGGTAGTGTCGATGTCCACGATGTCTTCCATGATTATATCATTTTCGTATCTGCAGATCATATGAGAAATTTATATATGTAACCTACAGCTGAGTTGCTTCATCGGTCGTATACGGCTTTACCTGAGAAAGATGCTCGAGGTCCGATAATACCTTGGAGAGGGGGTAGAAAAAGGGGCTTTTGAAAATGCTGAAACATTTGATCGGTGGTAATATCACGTGCATTCCGACATGAGAGAAGCTATGTGGATAGTTAAATCCGTATATGGCATGGCTTATGATATCATTCACGTTTGATTTTGTCCCAACGTTGTTTTCCCCTTGTGTGAGTCCTCTGAGATGCGTAACATCCACGCTGTTTTTCAGAAAATCCGGCCCTGCATTGCCTGTAAGGATGTGTCTCAAAATAGCATCACACCGTGTCTTCATTTTAGTAATCATAGGTATATGCGTCTTTCTGAAGTTTTTTATATCGTAAAAAGTACCATTGGGTACTGCCGATAGATGTATTGCCGCTGATGGATGAGGTTGGATCATTATTGTGAAGTCGAAACACCTATGTAATATGACATAATCCATGGTACTACTTTCCGTCTCTTGTTTCCTGGCATTAGCGGTTAGGCACAGTGGATCTACTGTTCGTAGCCTTATATCACTGTCCCCTAGCTGGGTTAGACAATGGACACACTGCGTCACTACCAAATTGTTCCAAGATGAGCATACGCTGCATTTCTTCATGTAAAATTTATTGGTGTAGTATTTCCCACGTTGCGCAGAGTGATGCGAGAAGCGTTTGCAAACACCTCGGTCAAGGCCCATCCATGCCCACTTGCTCACACTCTCCGATGCCAAACGTTGCAATAGCAACATCTTATACGATACCTTCAATCCGAAGGCAGGGGTATTCAGTCGGATTGCTACCATTTTGACGTGCCTCTCATCAGTGTTATATTTACCGTGCTTGCAATTATTTTATAGACTAAATGTCGGCATCATTATGCGGTATAACATCCTTTATAAATGAGGTATCAACAGGTTGTTCTTCAACATTTGCCGTGATTTCTATCTCAACTTCTGGGTCTACGTTGAGTAGCACCTTATGTACACCAAAAGTTGATATTACTCCGCCCTCTGTTAATATCTTGACGTCTTGTTCCCTCAACATATCTACAGCCAACAATAGTTTCTGTTCACGCATCTTAGAAATAATGTGGATCGGCAGCAATGGCGCTATGAGGTTCTCCGATCCCGCTTCTTGAGCTGGAGTCTTGAAGTGTAGCACAGTATCATTACCCAGTCTAGCCTTGAGGTGCATAGCACTTGCCCTTCTTACGTTAACCAGCGCTTCTTTATAATCCTTATCTAACGCTATACCTACTAATTCCGCTCGTGTAGTATACCTGGCAAATCCGAAAGGAACGAGATAGTTAAATGCGTAGTTTTTATTCACAATGGCAACCTCTCCCTGTTTACCTACATTCGGCGTATCCTTAAGCAGGGTAACCTTTGTATAAGTCCAACGTTTGGCATTTAGTGGACTTATACTTCTGGTATTGTTGGTAAAAGTCGGAGGAGCGACAAATCCAACCGCTGTTTCCTGGTCTCTGAACGTTGAAGATAGCAAAAGATTTTTTGTTGCTATCTTATCTGACCTTATAGCTCTAACATTTTGGAACCAGATAATTGCGATAAGTAAAATGTTGCTAAATAACCTTCCCAGCGACCCTCTCACCCCTTGTCTAATACCGCGCCGCCCAGTTACGCTATGGGAACATGTGCTGGGAGAACACATACCAATTCGTTGTCAGCAGCCAGAAGTGATTCAACTTGATGTGTGCATACCTGGACTATGTGGAAGGTGCAGAGTATAAGGCTTACAGCTGCAGCACCTTGCATCGCGGAGGTGGTCTCACAATGAGATTTAGATTATTACACCACTCATACTAACACAACATAAAATTATTTTTTAGAAATACGAGAGAATCTAACATGGTTCAAAGACACTTCATAATTGATGACGGCGAGCGATGTCGCCAGTTGTTTCAAGGTTGTGCTTTTAGTAAACACACATGAGTTGCACAGCAACTCAAAACGCCTAGCTAGTAGGCTAGAATGGGTTTGAATGGCCGAAAACTTCAACGTCGTTTCGCAGCGCCTCGAAGTAGATACATTTGTACTGTGTCTTCATCATACTACGTTGATTCGTTGTGTAATTGGCATCGCGCCACTCTTCACGGACGATATTGAACCATATCGTGATAATTCGACGGAGCTCCTCCCATGAGAGCTCCACAGAGTTGTGACCAAGGTCCGCATAGTGATAGAGCAATGGTCCAATGTTAGCCCAAAGGCCACCCTTTCGAAGTACCTTCGCACACGTTCGTATATATGCTACTACGTTTTTCGCAGTGTCGAGAAAAAAACAAGTTAAAACCGCATCGAAAGGCTCCTCCACGTTAGAGTATACTTCGGTAAACTCACCAGTGCACATGCTAAACATACCATTTCCTTCCTGTTCTGCAGGGGCAGCATCCGGTAGGCGGCATGAAAACATTTGATCTTCGTGATTCACTCGATTGCTTGTAGATAGACAATACGGATACAATGTAAACACATTCTTTTGGTGCATGAAATTCGTGGCAAAATATGACCCTATTAACATGAAAGATGAAAACTCATTGCCCTGACTTTCATAACCAAGGCATAATACTTCATAAGGCAATCGGCCCAATCCGCATCCTGGGCATAAGACCCTGCAAAATAGTTAAGATGCCAATGTTATCATTATTAGTGTAAATGAACAACTACCTACTTTGGGGGTCTTGTAGCATCCTTGATAGGCACATGCCGCCGTAAACTTTGCAAAAGCGGCGTGAACGTTTGATCTCTCTCCGTGGCTCCTTCGTGTGACCAGTCCCTTACAAATTGACGTAAAGTCGTTCTTACCCAATTCATATTCCTCGTAAGCACTTCATGATTTGATGTCGGCACGATCTCTTCATCTTTCACTTCTGGAGGTACTCTCCAGAATGGTGTATTTCTTACTATGCGTCTGAGGTTATCTAAAATGGTTATTTTCTTTTCCTTTCCAACATTAACACGTTTCATGCCACCATCCGGCGACATGGGATCATCAACTTCATCATCAAACTGAACATTTTGGCTACAAAGTGCACTGAGCATTGTATGTATGAAGTTTTGATTAACCAGCAGGGCGTGTATTATCTTCATCACCCGCGCTGCTGGCTTCTCGATGAGCAGTGCTTTGTCGTCATCTGACAGAAGCGTGAAAGATCGGTAGATCCGCTGCGCATCGATAGAACCATCGTAATCGTATGTAAGGAATGCATATACCACATTGATAAAGTGTTGGTATTCCTCTCGTACATCCGGTGACAAACAGTCCATAATTAAAGATTATGTAAACGATACCGGGGATCCTATCCATGCTCCGCAGAGCTACACAACTCGATTAGTATCCTATTCAACTACGTTTTAGTTCAAAGCACCGCTGCTTCCGCAACAGACACAGCCCCGACGGCTGGCCGCCCAGCGTACGTGCTTCTAGTATACTTCTAAAAATATATATGCGTACTAAAATAAATATTTGCGCACAACGCATATGTTATTCCTAAATGTGTGACTTCTAAAGTCGTTTCATTCAACATACCGCGGGGCACCCTCCATTGACAAGGTAAGAGATAAGCCCAGTTACACCAAACCAAACGAAAAACACCTTTTACTTTGAAACCGGCCAAGTAGCCATTCTACCTTCATACAACCCATTCGGCATGAACCGCTGCCATGGGTTTCGGTATTTAGAATCCTTCCTTGAACTTTAGCATAACGAGTAATCCGAGTTATCTTTACGTATATTAGTGAAGTAATGTTGAGCTAATGGTTATATCTAAAGTAGATTCCCACTTGTATGTGGGCGACCTTTATACAGCTCATTGTCTGTTTGATCATGTGCGTCAGCCTATCACTCCTGATTCGGATAGCGAAATTGAAGTTAATGAAGCCGAATATAATATCAAGGGTGTGATAACAGCCTGCTTCGATACACCTGATTGGTGCAACAGGTCAGATGAATGTACTTATCAGAGTCCGGCCTTCTCACATTTAGTGAAATCTCCACATTGCGATCGAAGTTATATCGACCTCCACGTGGATCGCATTAAAAACCGTCCAGATGTTAAAAGCGACTCAGATGATTCGAAAGAACATGTAAATAGTTTTGTCTTGCATATGGTGATAAATGCGGAGGACTCCTCTAACGAACGTCTATTCAGGGCATTCCCGTTTACATATGATTTTGTGGAAGCTGTGCACAACATGGAAGATGGAAACACCTTTATTCATTGGTAAGTGCTATATTGCTTTATACAAACGTTTTGCAGCCAGATGGGCATGTCGAGGAGCTGTTCGCTAGTATGTGCATATATGATGCAGAAGCACGACAAACCCTTCACTAAAGTTATCAACCCACTTAGGGCGATACACCCTATCGCATCACCCAGTCTTGGTTTTATATGCCAATTGATTGTCTACTACAAACGTGGATTCAAGGTATCCGATCAAAATACATTCTGGGCCGAGTATCGCAACCTGCTACGCATAGTTGACCACGATCGTCTAGAAGAATATGAAACGAGACAAACCTGCAATGACGACAATGTCGACCGATCTGCAGTTTATAGTTGCGCTAAATGCAGACAAACACTGTTTTACGGTGCGAATGTCGTCCGACACGTACCCGCATCAGGTTCAGACGAATTTGGTACTGAACCTTGCAGCAGCATTTTCGTCGAGCCTATGGACTGGATGGTGGGAATGGATGCACAAAGTGGCAAGATAACGTGCAAAAATTCACGGTGCTCATCTAAGCTGGGATATTACTGCTGGCACGGTCGCCGGTGTTCCTGCGGACACTTACAAATACCCGCATTCCAGATCCAACTGTCTAAAATAGATAAACTGCCTGTGGAATCGCGCTTAGGCGGATCTACGCCCAATCGAAACGATGATTTGCTCTAATTTATATAATTAAGTCGCTGTATAACATCATATACATGATTGTCCCGCATTTGGGCTCTGCATAATATTCCTGATACCACCACTATTGCGGTGTGACACTTTCTCCGGTTAACCTTCTATGGTGTATCTGTAGCAAGGCATCAACAATGCCTTCATCGATATCTCCATTCTGATATAATGTTCTGAGTAATAGATCGACACTCACTTTACTTTCCAAGGTCACCGAGTTTCCTGACGGAAATAGCAATACTACCGTGTTGTATCTGCCGTTTAGCAGGTTCATAACTACAGCATCCGCTAGCGTTGGGGGTTCTAGAAGCTTTTTGGCCTTTTCAAAAGACACGTTATGGTCAGTCTCCAACTTGAAGCAGCACACTGTAGTTCGGTCTCCAAATGTTTTCCGCAGCATCTCACTGTTGCCACTGTTTCATGACCGAAATCATAACTTACCGGACTTTATTTACCCGTACAAGGGTTACGTTCACGTCGTTATCGGATGATACTTTGTTGTCCGGCTGCAGCAGTGTTATGAACATTTAACATGACATTATATCCCTTATGTGGGATGGGTGACGTAACATAGATAATGTTAAGATCAGAAGATGGATATAAATACATACCAACATATCATATGGCACTTCGAAATCAGCTGCCGCTGCGGCTAGGAAGAACAATGGAGTTGTAGTTTTGTGCTTTAGAGCTTGACAAATTTGCCTACTTATGGTGTGGTCGCATGTATCATGGCTCACTCCAATGTGCTGCGATATTCATCCATCACTTTGAATTTAAGAACTAGAAGATGATCCTTGTACTGCAGACTTCATAATTAAAAACGTTAGTGTTACCATTCGATAGTCGCGAATTGCTCTGCGAACGACATCTGCTCTCTGCATAGGTGGCACAACTATAACAATTTTTGGAAATCAACAATATTCTTACAGCTGATAGATCCATAATTATCAATATGAAGTGCATCTATGAGCGCAAAACTTCCATCCAAATCGGCTATCTCCCTCAAAAACGGCAAATGACTGCCTTGTCTACATAAGAAGATAACGTCATAGCCTCGTAGTAGTAGTTCCCTTCATGATATGAAAGTAGTTTGAGGTATAGAATCGCTGTTTCGGTGGCTACTTACTCTGCGATACGCGATCCTCTTCGTCCAGTAGCAAAGGTATCTACGAAACGTACGCCACATCGGTCGAGGGGTACACAAGTACTACCGGATGTGACAATAGCCAGTCGTTCGGACCCTACAGTATCGTTAATGCATTGTTATCGATGGCTTTATCGGTTGTCATTCTTTTTTTAACATACCGAACCCTCGATCGAGGAGGTACTCCAGCGAAGATTCCTTTGTCGACATATCTACAGTGAATACTCAATTAATTCATAATTTTAATAGTGAAAAAATATCGTAACTATTATCGTTAATTCTATATTGCGAGAACATGGACAATGAGACTAGCATCGCAGAGCACTGGTACACACCATGAAAACGAACGAATCTTTAAACATGTGTTTTCACGAAAACACCTCCACCACAGTATGTGGAACAAATAAGGTGACTTCTTTGGCAATAGCCTCTCGGCTTAGTCGAAAAGTGAGAAACCCATGTCGTCTTCTTCCTCCTCTGGCTCTGGTTCGGGCTTCTTGGCCTCTTCCTTGGCTTCACCAGCAGCGGCGGCAGCTCCAGCTGCGGCAGGGGCTGCAACTCCACCGGCAGGCATGCTTTGGAGTTTGGTCATACCGGCTGCGATCGTCTGCGTTTGTTATGAGCAATAGCATAAACAAATTGGAATAAAGGCACGGCAGCGTGTCCACAACATAACCATAGCGTGTCATACGTTTCAATAGACATTGATTCATGAAATTTAATACTTACCTCGTGTACGGTCTTGCCGCTCATGGCCTCTACAAGTCCCTCAAGACATTCTTCATCGACCTCTGATCCTACAGCGTCAAGAATCCTCCTAAGGTCAGCGACGCTGGGGTTTTCGTTGCCGCTGGCAACAGCGAGCAAGTAACTGGAAACGTATTTAAGAGACATCTCGTGATGTGTTGCGGTGGTGTTAATGCCTGCAGCGAAGAATGAGAATTTTTCAATTTCTAAGACACATATATTAACAATAATGGCACACACAAGCTATACAATACGTCCACTTAGGCGGACGTTAGTCATACAGAGCTCCTTTTGACATGGCCACGATGTGGCCCGATGACAACGGCACATCGCGGCCAAGTTTCACAACACCACCCGACAAACACTTACAGTATTATATTGCTGCGACGAATCGTCCGTATATGAAGCGTCGATTATCAGTGCTACCGCTGTTTAAGGTACCGGCCACCTCTGGGGCGCGGTTCAGTCTGATGGGGGAGCCAGTCCTCCACCGGGGTCGACGCCAGGTGAAGGTTTTATTTGCAGCCGATAGGGGTGTCTTCATTTAAAGTTAATCGGTGTAACCTCATTTTCGCAATAAAATGCGGTAGTCTTCAACAACAATGTTGCTGCTACACGTGGACACACCAACGTCTTTCTACACCTAAACATACACAATTTAACCACTATTTAATGGGCGTACTTATCAAAATGACTGCAATAGGCGTTTTACACTATAAATGTGCCTACTACATACATTTCATTTTACCGGTGGTCGTCTTTAACAGGACGACCACGAACATCGATACAATGTAGCCGATACTATTGCTGTGCATAATACACACATTTCTTTGTATTAGTCGAGGTGTAGTACAGCAAATCAACGTACTTCGTGCCAGCCTTTACTACTCAATATTTAACCCGTCGCGGCGACATCACTGGTCTAGCTCACGGTATTACAATCATTACTATTTCCCCGGTAATACTTTACCGGTATTACTAAAGGTCATTAAATATATGTGAGATAAATCAACAAGGGTTTACTGTAGCAACCCTTTTGATTCCACTCCAAATTTAAGGCACAGCCGAGGGGTAGTTCGCCCATTTTTCCTGTGCTTTCTGCCACATATCCTTATTTATCGTATTCTACAACACGATTGGCGACAATGGAGGGAACCGGTGACTTGGCGTCACTCAACATTGACCTAAACGATTTCCCGCACAACTCGTTGGACGGTAAAGGCGTGCGTACTGCTTTAGGTGATATGAGTGTTACACATACGTTGGAGGACATCGATTATAAGCATCTGTTGAAAGAGGAAATGGCAAAATCGAAGCGTCTACAGAAGACCCTTGGTTTCCAGGAAGCAATGAAGAATTCTATTGAGCTAAATATGTGCTCTAAGTCAGCAAGGTTACCCGGTATTAAGAGCAGTATGCTTTCAGTAGAGGTATTAATGGACAAGCTGGATACATTGGAGCCATATGAATATATGAACGTGGAGAAGCCACGCAACGAATTTGGTATCGGCGGTTTACATTCGCTGCTCGAAAACAAGTTCAACATATGAAAGCGGCGCTAAATAAGTGCGCTAATCACTTCGTCATAATTATAGAATGGCATAGCAATTGTTAGTGTCAGTTACATAATCCTTATTTATGGAATAAGGCACCTAATAGATAACTACATACTCAATATTGACACACGTTATATAGTTGCTTGTGTGGAGTAATGAGTGGCGCCATGCGTTATAAATATTATCGGTTTATAGGTTTAAATTGTAGACCAAATGTAGTATATAGCAGATTTTTGCTCTCTAGCTCGTCGAAATAAGTCGAATGGTCGATGCGTTCCCAAGTTGCCATCGGTGTTCCTGCAGTTCATTATTAACCTCATTTCTTAACTCACCTTTAAGTAGATCGTCATCAGGAGCACTGTAGAGAGTATTACATATTATTTCTGCAACATCTAGTGGCAACTCTGTACCGTCTCTTGATTTCTTAAGAGGCAGATTCTGGTTGTACTGGTTGGTGACATGCCTCAGCACCTCGAATTCCACGGAACACTGCTTGATCCATTTAACCCTGAAATTTTCACCGAGCCTTGAATGGAAACTCCCCCATATACCTTTATAAAGTCCAGGTATGGGCAGTGTCATCATTTTCGCATAACCTTGGAACCCTCCGCTTTCATTCCCAGAGAAGATGAGTACCACGTGCTCACACTGTTGGAAAGCGTTCATCAGTTTCATTGTATTGTTGATACCAGTAGCCCATATCCCATAACATATAGAAAAATATATGTTCATCATGTTGTTACTCTTTATCATGAAACACTTTGTATTTCTGCTATTGATATCGAAGGATGCGTTTGAACTGCGTTCCCCTTCGAACATTGACGTGCTACTTAATTTAAGCAACCCAGGTATTGAAGCACTGATAACAGGCTCATCTACGTGTTCCTCGTAATCTTGAGCGGTGGTTGCCCCAATCACAGGCTCGGCAGGTTCTCCAAGATCCTGCGGTTGAGGTGATGGTGGTATTGCCTCTTCCATTATGGAACAATCTGTTATTTTCGGGAAGACAGTTGCCACAGCTAGAACAAAAGCAGTGGCAAATCCATCAGGGTCCGTTTCATGCGATATTTCGGCAAAATTGATACCATTTGCGATAGCTTCTTTGATCCTAGGATCCTGTGCTGCACCGGAATCTGGTTGTTCAACAACATGTTGAAATATACAGTTACCACGTTGATTATCGATACAGAACCCATTCTTTTCGAATAGTCTGCACGGTGGCATCCTTGAGTATACAAGTTGGTGTAAGAAGTCACAAAACTCGCCCTTCATGCACATCCCTTTAAGCCAATGGCGACACACAACCGAGTGCTTTCCTCGTGTTCTTTCTATATCAGCTCGTTCATAACCTTTAAGCTTTAACAGCACTGCCTTTTCACTCTCGCGTTTGACCACGCTGAGTGCGAGTGACATTAGCACGCTACATTTCCTTTCTTTAGAAGCCTCTGCTGCCTCGTCACCATCGGCATGAGCCGATGAGGCAGTAGATTCGTTTAAAATTGAATGGAAGTCCATCTTCCAACGCGAGGAACCTCAACGCCTTCTTGCAACCTTACGGATAAGCTTGCCTTAAAACCTGGCTGCGATACAATTCAGATGGCATTGGTGCTTCCCAAAATTATTTAATATATACGTAATTCAATCCATTATTATATATTGGCGCTAAACTCGTCATTTCGCGTGGGATCTTTGGTAGTGAGGCGTATAGACATACACATTTCTCGATAACACCTAGAGCATTCGATTTTTCCCGCTCCAACAACCTGTATTTGCACTATTATATTGTATTGATCACAAATATATTCCACATTCATCTCGAATGTTTGGAAGAAGGTTGCAAGTAATAGGATCGCTGCTTCGGATCCTTTATTGTAATCAAGTTACAGATAGTGCAAGTATTGACTACTTTAGTGGTGTATTGGCACCTGTTGGATTCGTAAGGATGCCTAAACGTCTGATAACCGAGTTCTTCGACGCCCCTAAAGGCAGTTCAAAGCGTCGATCGAATGGTACCACTGTAGTTGTAGAAGAGACAGATATTGGAAAGGGCGACCCTACAGCGGAAAATAAGCCGTCTGATAAGAATACTGAATCTGACGACGGTTCGAGCGTCGCTTCTACCGTCCAGAAGCTCTTGGGAGAAGAATGGTTTTCTATGTTATCAGAGGAGTTGACTAAACCATATTTCGAGAAGCTATGGAACCTCGTGGCCAAAGATCGCAAAAGTAAGAAGGTCTATCCTCCAGAACATTTAGTTTTCAATGCTTTCAAGCTAGTTCCACTTTCCAAAGTGAAGGTGGTTATTGTTGGACAGGATCCTTATCATCAACCTAAACAGGCTATGGGTTTATCATTCTCCGTACCTAGAGGTGTTGCCATACCACCTAGTCTACGAAACATTTTCAAGGAAATCGGTATCGAGTGCAGCCACGGCGACCTGACCTACTGGGCACAACAGGGTGTGTTCATGTTAAATACAGTACTAACAGTGATAGACAGCCAGCCATTTTCTCACAAAGATTATGGCTGGAACATATTCACAGACGTAGTTATAGAGCTGATTAACCGTCATCGGGAAAATGTCGTATTTTTGCTTTGGGGCAAGCCTGCTCAGAAGAAATGTGACAGCATATCGCAATCACGTCACTGTGTCCTCAAATGTGGGCACCCTTCACCGCTATCGCAGAAGTTCTTCATAGGTTGCGACCACTTTAACAAATGCAACGAATACCTACGTAAAACACAACAGACTCCAATAGACTGGAAGCTGCCATTGTGACACGACGGTAAATAAATACGAAAACTGTAGAATATTACTATTTTATAACAAAATGTTCAGTGCTACTAGCATATCCCACTTTAATACATGGGTGGAGGTGGTGGCATATTTTGTGGTAGTCTCATAACTGGTGGAGCCGGGGGTACCGGTGGCATTGGCGGTACTGGAGGCATGCCTGGCACAGGTGGTACGTGGCCGTAGGCATTGACTACTGGCATTTGTACCGGGTGATGCGGCATAATAGGAGGCATCCCAATGGGTGGTGTCGTTATAGGCGGTGGGTACATGGGTGCCGCCGGTGCCACTGGCGGTACTGCAGCCGCGTAAGGTGACACTCCCATCTGGTTGAGGAACTCCTGTGGGCGGTTTGCTGCGATTAAACGTTCGGCTGCGCTTCCATGACGCTCGCCCTTGGTATCCTTTTTATAAGCATACGATACGTGTATGGGTTTGTTGCAAAGGAATTGCCCATTCATAGCTGCCAGTGCTGCGTCACTGGCCTCGAAGCTGTCATATGATACGAAGGCATAAGCCTTCATTTCTGAAGAGTCACCATCTCGCACAACCTTTGCCGATATTACGTTACCAAATGAGGCAAACGTGTCGTGTAAGAGTTTGTCGTCTACCTCACTATCGAGGTTACCGATGAAGAGATTGGCTCCTATCTCGAATGTTTGTTTATCTCTTGAGGCCTTGTTTAGTTTCAATGGTTTATTATAGAGTTTTACAAAGTTGAGAATGCGTATAGCATAATCTGCGTCATCCTCAGTATCGAATTCGACGAATCCATAACCTTGATGATGCCCCGTTACCTTATCTCTTGGAATGTGCACATGTTTTACTGGGCCGACTTGTACAAAAAATTCCCAAAGAAGCTCTTCATCTACTTGTGTGTCTACATTTCCAACATACAACGTTGCTTCTTGGTTGCGATCGTATAACGACAGCGCATCCAAAGCGCGCGACGCCATTGTCGCAGCGATGAGCTATTACACGGCTCAGGCTTAATGCAGCATTTGTGTTTATATCATACCGTTACTTCATAATATCTTATTTCTCTTTGTTTTAACTTAGTGCTATCGGGATTGTTCCGCCACTCCAGGAATCCTGGTACACCCCCGCCTGTATTTAGTGAGTTATAAATTTGATTACATTATATATATTATTTTATCCATACATATCTACATAACATATTCGGCTATGATGTGTTGTTTTTTACCGAGGTGATAGAAGGTCATCCACCTAGACAGCCTACGAGTGATGATTAGAACTTGAAGTTTGTACGTATATCGTGTTTGACAGTTTCGACTGTATTTTGAACACGGTTATATGGATGTATCCATGATGAGAAGTATTCCTTTGCCTGATTATATCTCCTATCCAAAAGTACAATCACACCCTTGTCATGCTTGGTGCGTATACATCTACCGATTGATTGGTTAACTGCACGATACGTTTCCCGAAGATACCAGTTGTACTTTACACCGTAGGCTTTATTATACCTCCTAGCAATATCGACCTTCGGGGCAACAATACAAGGAAACGGTAGTCCCACAAGTATAAGAGAAGACAATTTGAGGTTAAGTCCCTCTGAACAGTGACTTCTAAAAACTGCAAAAACCACGAACTTTTGCCGTTCCTGCAGTTCTTTTAACAATTTAGCAAACTCGGCCGCCTCCGCAGGCTCTTGATAAAAATTCATATCCTTAAGCATCATGATATGTTCTAGTATACTTGTGCTTTTACCATCTGCCGAATTTTCCGAGTAAGGTGTTTCTTTCCACAGCTCCAGGCATGATATCATTGCAGATCGGTTTGGGAAAAATATGAGCGTGCCTCCTGGCATCACCTCTAGTAAGCTGGCGATTATTTTACCTAAACGTATAAGAAAAGCATTGTTTTTAAGGTTCTTGAAATTACATTCGATGACATCATCGGCATTTCGTGATTTAGCCACATGACTGAGTGTGTATATTGCGAGCTGATCTTGGTTCAGAGTTTGTGACGCAGATAGTATATTGTCCTTGAGCCTTCTCTTGAACGTCTCACCCAAACTATCGACCATCGCCGGTATAGGTGCAAGTGTACCCGAGGCAATGACGATGCTTTTTGCTTCGGAAGCCAGCTCGTCAAACATTGCAGCTGGGTTCATAAGCCAAATACCCAGTGTATATGCTTTTGGACCAGTGACTAGAACAAGTACACTGTAGCAATCTGGCCTATGGCATAACATTACCATAATTGCAAGTAGGTTCTCCAAGTGGAACATGTATTCCTCGTAGAATGGAATCCCGTTGCGCACTAATGCCCTCGTGTGCGTCCTTATCTGCATGATACTACAATATATAATGTATACTTGTGCGATATCGAGACTGAACTCTTCTATGAATTCGCTTGATCCACCTAGTGGGTCCTTAAATTGGTCATATCTGTCCCAGCTGTGGAATACTCGTTCTCCAGAAAAATTGTCTTTAGCTGGCTGCTGCCTCCTCTCCGCACATTTGACAAATGCGTTCAATCCTGCAGTGAGACTTTGCAAGAAATTGATAATACGCGCCAGTGGTTTCGTAATATGTGTATTGAGTTTACCAGTGGTCGCATTATCGTTGGATTCATTAGTCTCTGCAGTCTCTATAGCTTTAACCTTAGATCTCATCGACCTCATCCACGTAAGTATCCTTTTCATCAAATCAAAACTAATGTCCCAAGAAGCCTCTTCGACACATGATCGTTCTACATTATGCCCCTCATCGAAAATTAGTACGGCGTTCTCAAGATTGCCAAACATAGCATTACTAGCAGTTCCATTTATGTTAGTTTTTTCATTGATCACCTCCATTATTTCCAACTTCACATCATCGAACCTTCTGTCAGAGAAAAGTATTGTGGCAACATGGCTTGGAATGGATTTACCCTTGACTACGCTATGAGGGTCAATGATGTAGGGATATGGGCAAACAATAAAATCAGACACCTGCGCTACAGCTTTAGACGTGTAGTATGGGCAAATACCTGGTAGCCTCTGCCCACCATGTTTCCTCCTTGGTGTTAGGTACCTTGTGATATCCATTTCTTTGACTTTCTTAGGCTTCACTTCAACGTAATCATCGCATCCACAACCTATGGAAGTTGCACCGTCACTGGATTTCGAGCCAAAATTTATGAGATCTTCAATGTCCCACGTACCTTTATCGTTTTGTAATACCCTAATTGCGGTACTAATGGCATAGTTCTTGCATCCCATATTAACATAATATGGGCAAACAGGTTCGTTTTTACTTGCTTTTGCATATATCTTTCTTCCTGAGCATGTACCATAAATTGCTGATGTTTTCGATCTTATCTTATCGGTATTCCCTACCAGTTGTCTACAATGTTCCACGATTCTGTTTTTCGGATCATCCGACTCGGTACCAGTTTCACTATCTTCAGAAATCGTTGCGCCCTTGCAAGATTTATACGTGCAAAGCTGTAACCTCGAAGCTATGCTGCAGCTTCTAGGCTTAAAACCGCTTTTTGCGATGGCCTGCATGACCTGTTTAATTTGTACATGGGTTCTTGTGAGATATATAATCTTAGGTTTTCCTGTATTCTTTGCTGCCGAACCCTGTTCCGATGTTTTCACAGTTGTTGATGCACCCTCTGTATCTTTACGTGGTAACCTATCTTCGGGTTGGTTTCCTGTAGCAACGGGTCCCTCCTGTACTTGTTCTTGATACATCCATGACAATAGTCCCGACAGTATGGCGGCAGTTTTACCTGTACCTGTAGGAGATTCCAAAACAACATGTTCTGAGTTTTTGAGTGCATGTATGAGTTTCGCTAGCATCTGTATTTGCGCTTTTCCCATACTTGGGAATTGGAATAGCACCTTTAATCCTGCTATGTTCCGTTGCAGCTTAATACTTTCCCAATTTACAAGATCTTCTTTAAAAGTATTGGCAGCTACGCTATGCTGGGCGGCTGCATCCGCGACGCGATTGGGACATTTCGACAGAGTCTCTTCGCTTCGTAATATGCGTGGTAGCATTATTAATTGTTGCACCGTGCGTGCAAATACCTCACCTAGTGGTATCTTAACGGATTTGTACATCTTATCGATTTGAACGAAAGCCGTTCGCAGAGTATCATTTTGTAGTACCCATGGTTCATCGATATCAATAACACCATTTGCTTTGAATACATTCAGTATTCTTTCACACTCTGCATATAGTGAAATTAAAGATATTTCATTCTTGCGTTTTGACAGAGTTGTGTTTGGTGTTTCGATATTTGAGGTGCTATCTGACCTCAATGATCCGCTGAACAGTGTTTTTCCATCATTGTAGCTCTCCTCTTCCTCATAGTTTTCTTTAGATCCGTAAGTTACCAATGGTGATTTTATATCTTGATCGATTTCCTCCATCAGAATAGATTCTTGATGTATCGTTTTAATGTAGTAACGTCCTTTCTAAGATCTTCTGCCATTCGTCGACCAGTCTCTTCCAATGCCGAACTTTTGACACCTTCAGCAATCAATTCTAAACGTTTGTTAGCATTATTTGCGTACCCAGCAATATTTTGTGAAGCTGCCCTTGATGCCGCTGCAGCCTCTTTGTTAAAGTGGTTCAGGTATCGTTCTCCTGAGTCAATTTCCCTGTTATTTCCCGAGAAATATAGAGCACCAAGCGCCACTATTGGTACGACAGCGCCACCTATGGTGAAATACTTGAAAGCAGTATATCTGTTACTCAACGATTCAGCTCGTCTAATTTGATAAACTACATCACCATACCTTCCGATGAGCATACGATTGACCCTTTTCGTTAACAAGTATCCCCAAAATACTGTACCAACAGCCACTAATCCGATATATGGTAGCCTCTTGTTGTACTCTGTTTGACTATCTACCTTCCTTTGTTCGTCTAATTCATCCTTCCTCTCTGCCATTTTGGTTCGTACAATAGTTTGATTGGGGATAACATCATGATTCGCATATTACTTCACACTAAACATATGTTGCAGATAATATCTTATTCGGATTGATTTTTTTTGATGTGAATGACAAAAGGTGGCGTTCCCGGTGTTGTTTTTGTTTTCTTAAGAGAACGCGAGCCTGTACAATGAGGCCTTATGTGATTCCATTACACCTCAAATATATTTGTCTATTAATGACACATACAGATCTTTTCTTGACGATTAATGATGAATATGTCATACACCTGGGTGGGTTGGCTCCACATCGTCCTCGCGTCAGATATAATAAAGTAGCATATCCTCATCTTCGTTGTGAAGAATACAACGCAAAGATTTAGGAATATATTTTTCATTCTTACGAAACATACTACTGTCCATATTGTGGTTCTCTACCTTCTTAGTACCTATCTGTAATATAGAAGACACGTTTTATAGTTGAATGATATTACAGGAGAGTAATACATCGTTATAGGGGTATGGCTATCGTGTGTGAGCTTTAGGAGTCTCATTATTATCGTGATGTGATCTTGATGCATACTAGAGCCATTCCTAGGCGGCTGAAGTTTGACCCCTTTGTGTCATCAATCTACATGCTGGCCCGCGTATATTTACCTCATATAGAATGAAGTTCATTCTGCTATCGTTCCTCATTAGCCCAATAGTGAGCTTCCTGGGCAATCCTAGTAGGTGTCTTACATATCCACTACTTAAGTGTTGCAGAGCGGATATGGAACAGCCGTCGGAAGTCCACAGGTGTGTTTTATATTGAACTAATAATTATTGTAAAGGCCGTGAAATGGCACTTATATTCGTTATAATGGTGGTATTCTTCTACAATTTGAAGTCTACCGAGAATTATTTCGAGCTTCTACATGTTACTCCGCATCATTCAGTTGACGCAATAAAGAAGTCTTTCAAAAGTGAAGCTCTGAATTTACACCCGGTAAGTCATATTGTTTGTTTTTTTTGATGTGTCACAGGATCGTAATGCATCAAAAACAGCGTCACGGCAATATGTAACACTGGCTTCTATATACAAAACCCTTGTTAACGATGAGAAGCGAGAGGCCTACAGCAGATACGGTGATTTATTCCAGGCTCCTTTAGGTAACTAAAGGTGTCGAAGCTGTCATCTTTATCAGATAAACTTATCGAGATGAACCCTTCCGACGTCTTGTACGTGATCCTGATGAACACGGCCAGCGGTTTGATTGGCATGTTTATCACTATCATGGTACACGGTGGTAGCGTGATAAACACATCCGCTCTTTTGTACGAATTGTTCTGCTTTGCCCTAGATGTATATTTGCGCTTTGCTCCTGATGCAAGTAACTTCATGGCCGGAGTACCCATCCTTCGCTACTACACCATTTTCGAGCTTATAGCTGTAAGTATGGTTGCAGAATTGAATAATAAAACTTTAGTTCCTTCGATCATTTCGCGTGCTCTTTATTTATTATTCTAACATCCTGGAAAGCGATTCTGTTGAACTACCTATGAAATCTGGCACCTCGATTCTGCGGAACAACATTCTAGCCATCGAAACTTTAGACGACTACTTGGCAAATATGAACATTTTGGTGACCTCTGAGGTCCCTTTATCTGACCAAGACATTGCTTGGCGTGGCCAGGATAGCGTAGGTGAGGACTATGAAAAGCGGTGGGAAGAAGAAGTAAAACACTCCTCTGAAGGATCAAAATTTTACGATGAGGTATGCACTCTATCTTCACATACACACTTCTGTAGGATCATATAGAGACGATTTGCGGCCGACGTGACAGACGTAACATTCTGTGGTTCTCATGGAACCGTGGCCCGCTCAAGCGTCTACTGAAAAGAGTGGTATGTTATTTTCAAACATGCTTCACAATAATGACTTAGGATACCATCAAAGACAGTAAGGGTATGTCTGTGCTGTTTTTTTATTTGGTGTTAGCTGTGATTTGGTTACTGCTGTAACTACAATCAACAAAATTTGTGAAGTAATTACAGCTTATGATTCTTCCTCTTCTTCTTCTTCTTCCTCATCAGGTTGATATCCGATAGTTGTGTTCACAGTTTCAACGAAATCCTGCATATTTTGATCTTTCGAGGGTTATTGTAACTTACATTTATTACTGATTCCGATGTTTCTTGCATCCAGTACAGCGCTTCGTGGTCATTTTCCGTGAATTTCAGCGCATATACATGCCCGTCGGTACACTCATTGATTTTCTCGAGGTACGCATCTTCAAAAACGTAGAAAGATTCCTATTAAAAGTTCACATCGCGAATTCTACACACATACCTCCACTCGCTCAGCATGACGTGGTAACCATTGTACGCACAGGAGCTCTTCCTCAGTCTGAATGTACAAGGTTTGATACACTAATCTATGACTTACCCTAAAAAGTCTAAGGAATCCCTTCCTCAGGTCTGGGTGTAGCATGTCACCTTCAAGGCGACACCTCCCGGCTCTGATTTGGCATACTGTTAGAGAAGCTATGTCCATGGTTAATTTAATATATTGATTTATGACAAATTATTTCCCCTAGATGTTCTGCGTGGATATTGGGGCTTAACATTGGTATTCTTTCGCCTCTCCATGTTGTGTCTTCTCTGCCTTCGTTCCAACACTGTATCGAAAGCACTTTTTTGATGAACAGTAATTTCTGCACCTGAATTGTGCTTTATGTATTGTGCTTCACCAAGTGGTTGTGAAGGCGGTCCCTTCTTCTTCTTCGTTTTGCCTCGGTCGTATTCAATATCTTCTTGAGAGCGCTTAGGTAGTGCAGGGTGTATGGCTTCGCTCAATTCTTGGTAGGTCTCATCCTGCTCTGCATCAGACCATGTGCCTATATTATCGCTCCGTGACTCCAGCGCCGGTGCGGTACTGCTTTCCTCTTCCGGCATGTTATCGGGATCAACAGTAGAGGACCTTTCACGTGTATTACCCCCTTGTATTCGCATAATCTCGCGAATCATGTCATCAGCTGTGACAAGGTGGCTTAACAGCCTAATGAGTTTGAGCCTATATCCGTGTTTACGGCGAGTCACGCACCTCCTAGGCATAGTAGTGGTTACTCCATCCTCCTTGTTTAAAGTTCGTATATTTCCATCGCTCTTGTTTTCGGTCGCTGGCAAATTAAGGAAAGGTAATGAGTCTTCGGTTATTGTTGGCGTCATTTGCCAGAGTTCAGGCCGTTCATTTCCTTCATCCCAATTAGGAGCCTCCGACCATGAATCGACGCTGTGATCTTCAGCCATAGCGTCCGCGTGTAGTAGATCTGTCCTATATTGTACTATTGTTGATTCTAGATTCCTATTTTCAGGAACAGGATCTGTGGTGAAGATATTCGTGATGGCATTATCGTTCACAAGCATATCACATATCTGAACACAATCATCCTTAGCGGCATAGAAAAGCAGATATGCTTCTTGTTTTTGTGCTAGAACTGTATTTTGCGATACAGATGTGACATTTGCATCGTTAAAGCGGTTCCAGAATCCATGTTGTCCTTTGATAAAAGTGATATAGTGTCCCATGTGTAACGACCTTCCCAAATGGCATACCACAGCATACAGATCATATGTGAGCCATACCGGTTGTTCTTGTTTAGACGTATGTAGTGACATGGAGAAGCTGAGTGGGAATGATATTTCCTTCTTATTCTTCTCACAGCCAGATGCTGCCATACCGAATCTCTTAAGTACAATATTCATGATCCTTGGTGCGCGATAAATTGACATTGCCTTAGTTGCTTTTTGATGTCTTTTGCACATTGGGCAGTTGTACTTGTTGTTACTATCAAGTGTTTCCTCCTTGACAAACGATGACAATAGGTCAACTAATTTATTGGCACGGTATATGTCAACGGAGATATCGAAACATGATTCCAATTTTTCTGACCTGTAGTTGCATTTTTCGCATATCAAAACATTCAGGAGGAACCCTCCGAAGATACGTCCTACGAAACTGCGCATGACATCATTCTGCGGTATGACCATAGGTGAATTATATGGATACTTTGAGCCGTAGCAACCCTTAATGAGTGCTTCGAAGAAATGTTTTAGGAATATAAAAGCATCCTCTTGTCGGCCCAGTTGGTATTGTGTCCATATAAGTTTTTGTACCAAATGTACAAATGGGTTTTGTGTAGGGGTACAAGTGTTGAGTGCCCGTTTTATATGTTCTTCTAGTACACAGGCAACACATACCATCTTTCGTTTTGCGTTTTGGCACACCCTTCCGTGTGCTGACCTTAGCATGGCAGGTGCTAGATATGGTGAATGCGTGAGTACCTGTATGATTACATTCATAAAACATATATTGATCCCAGGGTTATGCAATCCTCCAGCCATCTTGTCGAATTGCCCGTTTCGTATTGCATTCGGTAGCATATCAACACCGAAAGCATCGCTGCCTTGCAGCGTCTGTATTAAAGCTACAGCATTTTTGAATGGCACTTTTGCATCATCCGCATTTGGTGGATGTCTTCGTTTGCTATGAAGTTTGCCATCCTTGAAAAATTCAATTTCATCTTCTTCTACCTTCTCTACTGACTTGATGAAATTGATATTGCGATCATGTAATTGTAAGACAAAGCGCGGGTAGCGCTTGCTCGCCAGCTTCATGGTAACATGATAGCTACGATATCGTTGTAATATTTAACATTTCAGAGTATAGCTCCGTTGTCTTTAGATAAAATAGGCGCATTTAGCCATGTATGACTATATGTGTGTATTCGTCTATGGACACCGATAAAATGCTTTTATCTACCGTATTATAAGTTTCTATATAAAACTTCCAGGCTAATACTACGTTATGTGTTGATTGTTTTACTCCAACCGATGTTTAACCCGCCAGCTAATGTCGCGCGGCGATTGTACGCCTTCCTTTCACGCATACCAGCGCACAATATCTCCCTAAAGGGCCATAAACGACCTTAAATTGCCACTAAAGGGCTCTGCGAGCCATAATGCCGCGATATGACCTCTTTGCGCGTCTTCCACTGCTGTCATACGTAGATCGCATCCATATACGCTATAAACCAGGTTTACGCAATAGTGAAACGTGTAGACAACTGTTACTATCTCTACTTCGTGCTGAAACGGCACGAAAATACCCCAGTCTGTCGTATACTTACGAGCTTCTCAGGTAGTGTCTATAGTCTAATATTTCATATATCGCAGTTATGACGAACGACCCGAGATAACTATTACATTGGCTTCTAAAGTATCGCATAGGTTTGTCCATAAAATATAAGGATTCTAACTTTAGTCAGGTTCTACGCAGACGAATGCTCTCTAGAGGACATTCAACGTGCCATAGATTGTGATCAATATAAAGGTGTGTTTTAGTAATGTATATACCGCTGTAATTATATTTACAGCACATTTAACCTATCTTCGGGATCGTTCTCTGGAGGTACCTAGGGAAGAAGCAGATTGATGGTGGCCGTGTTTTGCGTGGGAGACAGTCAAATCGAAAAGGACTAAAGCTCTCTCAATTGTTTCTATGAAGAACAATGGTTATTTAGTATATATTTGAATGGTTATTTCGAATCACAGAGGTGACGAAGTTATATGTACGGCTTTATACTTATTTGACACAAACACAGTAACTCATATAATATAGTTTTTTTGATTGTTATGTAATATATATTGGCAAATACAATTAGGCTGGTGTTCCGATAACTAGCATGACTGGCATTTGATCGTCTTCCGGTAAGTCTATAAGGTTTATGATTAGTATCACCGTTAACTTACCATTTAATTCGTTATATGTGACTTCTACAACTTTGAACTTGATGTTTGTGTTGTTTTTGTAATATAGTTTGGTACCGTTGTCTTCAGTGAACCACGTTGCAGTGTCACGGTCGAAGGAAGTGTTTTCCGGTAAAAATAATGGAAGTAATTTCACGTCACTAAAAAAACCTAGAGAAACAGATATTCCGGTAGAATCAGATGATATGATGGTTCCATTGAGAATTTGGTCCCTTTCCGGTGAAAATACAAGTAGTTTCAATTTAAGGGTGAACAGGGCACTCGCGTCGTTCGGAAGTATCTTGGGTTCTGATAGGACTAATAGCTCCTCCACGAGGACTACGAGTCCAACATCTACGATAACCTGGGCTCTATAAAGATCCATTGTTCAAGACATACCTTATCTACGTATTTGTCGTCAACTTTAGTTGTGAGTTTTTTGTGTGCGTCGCAGAGGTATTCACTAACTTCTAGCGATATTAAGTCCTCTACGATAAAATACTTAAACATGTTAACTATAAAAAAATATGTATTTATATATACGACATGATGTGTAATTAGTTCAATGTCTATGAGGTACCGTGCAGCAGCTTGCTCTTGTACTTGACACAACGCTTTAACAATTTACGTTTAGCGTTACGGCGATATTGCTCATCAAACACTGGTGGTGCTGGTACGAAACCTCGACGATAGATTGAATCCACAACATGATCAACAGCGCTCCTAGTTGGAGTTTCGAGCTGTCGGAGACATGATTTGATCTCATCAGATAGTGCGACCACATGAGGATCAGCTTTATAAACTTTATTTCCATATCTCAGTGCTGTCTTTCCACGAATAAGGTTCTCCAAGTACCTTCTTAAGCGTGCTTCCTTGCCTTCCATATTCTCTTCCTCAGCCGTTTCTTCCACATTCCGTAGATTAAGGCGATCTATATCATGCACTAATCGTTTCATACGTTTACGTTTCAATGCTTGCTTTAACATTTCTTTGTGTAATTTCTGCCTGTTGCGCTGAGCACGTGTCTTCCTCTTCATTTTCCGACTACGGCTTGCCGTTCTAGCTTCCATATTGTCATCTTCAGAGTCCTTCTCATCATCATCCTCTATCTCATCTAATGCCTTTGATATGGATTCGTCATCCAGTTTGTCCTGTATTATCAGATTAGCAAGCAATTGCTTCTGTTTAAGATTAAGGATATCCACGTCTATATCTGGCAGAACATTCTGTATCATATCACTCAATGGTTTATCATTATCGGGTTGCGATTTTGGCAGTGCTTCTACAGCTTCGTCAATGAGTTCAGCATGTGACTCCGGGGTTGGATTATAACTTTGTCCGGCATGAGGTGCGGCTACTGCTGGTATGATCTTCGCGATAGATGGCATCTTTGGCCTTCTTTTAACAACGGGTTCCGCATCTTTACCCCAAATATCATCACTTTCACGCTGTGGAAAATATAGCCTCCCCAACTCACATTGACCTACCTTATGCGAACTACCAGATTCATCAGTATCGATATCAATACTGTCACGCTTCGACTTGATCTTCGATATGAGTTTTTGAAGCTTGGTACGTTCTACAGCTCCACGTGATGCCAAAGGTCCAGCTAACTGCTGTGCCCTGATTTTCTTGGCAAGTTTCTTGGATGGTACCTCACCTATACGGTATTATCACATATAGCATATCCTTACTTACCCTCAGTATCGATAACTATAGCATCAGCAAAGCCTGCCCTGGCTACATTTTGTGCGATGTTGTTCTCCACAAGGCTCTCGTGGACGGCCGACACATCGATACGTTTCCAGTTTTTTTTTCGTGCCATTATGTTTAATATGTAAACGTATTATATAAATTAAATAAAGTGTATCTGTGGTAGCGATAAACCCGCTAACGCTTAGAATAGTGTTCCTTCTTGCGCGCCTTCCGCAAGTTGGTCTTCTTTCGTTCGACCTGACGTGTGTCAGCACGTGTAAGGTCACGCATAGACAGATACGGTTCCAATTTCGGTGCCAATATCTTGGTTATGTACCGCGACAAGGCATGTCTAATGGCTCCTGCTTGTCCTGTTATTCCTCCTCCATGAACAACAGCTATCACGTTAAACTTGGTATAAGCGTAGATGGAATCCAGTGGCTCGAGCATCTCCCTAATGCGTTGGGTACAGTAGCGTACGTACTGGTAGCCATCACGGTTATTAATGATGATATGACCGTTACCAGGTTCTAGGTATACCAAAGCTACACTAGTCTTTCGACTACCACGTTCATATACCTTTGTAAATGTAGTGGTTTTATCAAAAATTTTCTGTTGCTGTGGTGTTTGTTGCCCATATATTTCATTAGGTAGCTTCGTTTGATCTGGAAAGGTCTCGTTCCTTATACTTGCGGCATGAGCCTTGTACTTCTTATAAGTTCCTGGCTCGCCTAATTCACCAGTTTTCAGTAGATCTAGGTACACAGCAAGCAGTTGTCTCTGATAGAGTGGTTCTATGTCAGCATATGGATAGTGTAAATATTTCTCCGGTTGATGTAGCCCATCGAGACTGGCGAATCTGATGAAATCATCCTCAACATAACCACCTGTCCTTTCATCATCAGTTTCATATCCAGGTTTCATGTAATCTGGAAGTTTGAACCCGGGCGCCAATGACGTATCATGTAGAGGTGGAGATGGTGTTCTATCCTTATTGGGGTCGTTTTTGATAAGGTTAACCAGGTTGTCCATGATCTCCGGTATATTGTCCATGAAATATTCCCTTACCTTCTGAGTGTTATCATGTGGTGGCGGGAATTTTTTATATATGTACTGTATATATTCGTTGTTGAGGTAGTAATTCAGCTTCTCGTCACATTTATGATGCCCGCTGAGTACACGGTAATTGTATTGATTTAAATGTGTGAGATAATGTCTGATGTATCCGTGATTGTCAAACATCAAGCTATCATAATGTATCTTATCCAATGGCGATGTCTGTTGTTTCTCGAGCAGCTCGCTGGGTGACTTTCCTTTGATAGTGTCATAAACCGTGTCTAACTGAGCGGGTTCAGGTTCACCCATTGTTGTACTATAGTGGCGTTTAGTAGTTTGTGGATGAAATATTTTCTCGAAGAAACTATCCGAGAACTTTCCAGTATACCTCGGTTCCTCCGTCATGACACCTGCAGTTTGGGGGTTTGATTCTGGTAAAGATAACCCTTCCGAGCCGTGTAATGCTAGGTCAACCAATGATTTAAAATCGTAATTCTTTGGAATATTAAGGAAATCCATAATAGTTTTACACCCTTCAGGTAGCCTTTCGTTATTAACTGTGCTATAAACATCTTCTCCATAGAATGATTCTGGCAATCGATTCCTTGTCGATGCCAACTGTTCATCCAACATCCTGACAAATGTCCTTTCAGCTGGGTTATCCAATGCATGATTTGTCATATCATTATTATCCTTAGCATCTCCGATAACCGTTTGACTATGATCCTCAGATACCTTCTCTGCAATTACTTCATTTGGTAACGATTCCTTAACCTTTCTTGGTCGTCCACGGCCACGTTTTTGAGGCTGTGACACAGTCACTTCGGCTATATCATTCATAATGTTTTCTTTCGATGATATTTCCGAACCCTGTATAATATCATTTGTCTTTGAAGGCATTTCTTCACTGCCATCCTTAGCATCATCTTGCGATATAGAGTTATCCTTTTGTGCGCTGGCATGTATAGCTGCTACAGTCCTTGGTGGGTTATACCGTGACGATCCAGATCCGTTATCGTTTCTACGGATGTCTGAATTATCGAAACTCCATCTGTAAAAATATATTACAGAGGTGTAATCAAGCATACCTGGAATAGAGTCCGGAACAACGCATCAGCGAGGTGGGTCCGAAATAACACCTACCGCCATATTCCACGCGATAACAAGTGGCCATGATGACTATGCAGGCGTGAGTAATATACCAACAGAGGAATAACGGCGGCATCCCTTTTATCGTGTTAGGATGGTCGTGAGAAGTGTAATATGGGTGTATAGCGCCATTATAAAATTCTAATCACCTCACCGATGGTATATTGTGTAACTTTACGCATTACGGGTATAAATGATCGGCAATAGACAGTGTTTGAGTGGTCCTCTCTCGCGATATCTGGATTCCACAACAAATAGTTTGGTTTATATATTATGGGCTACATATAGATATAATAAAATGTATTGTGGTAATAGGTGTGAAGATATTACCTGTGAATTGTCATTACGGTAGAAATGATAGTCAATGTGTGTCGAGCGAGACTACTGTGTATTAGCGTATATAGCGGATCATATTTCTAAGATTTTCATGGCATGTTTAATAAATAAAATCATACTGTATCAAACCCGGCGTAGGTCCAGTACATAAATCATGCTAAGATCTGCTGTGTGTATGATAACCGGACGATGTGACCGTTTGCGGTCGATAATACAAGATATATCCAACATTATCATATGTCATAGAGTATTTGTGACACACTGAAGCTGTCTAGGTGTATCATGTGTGTCATTAGCGATAGACAAGCGGGGCGATATTGGCACATGTCAGCTATCAGTGGACACCGCGATATGGTATCCCCTCCTATATGTTATACGTTGAATTATGCATTGCATGGGGGATAAGTATTCATTTGTTTAGTGTGGGTGGTGATCTAAAAGGTGTATGTGTTGGGTGGCGCTAGCAGAGACATCTAAAGCACATCATTGAACATATTTTTGCCCTATGGCAAACCCATCGTCACTTTATGGACGAATACTATAATATAAATGTATAAAATAGTTAATAGATTTTCAATATAAGCTGCAGCTTTTTTCTTGCTGCGCGTCACTATGTACCGAGTTGAAATATCAGGTGTCACTACAATTTGAGCGTATTACGGTGTCATATAGGATGGTCTGGATAACGAAATATTGAAATTTTGCAATATCTTAGCGGACTGCGTAGTGTACAAGTCGAAGCTGCATTGGATTGTTTCTTCGAAATTATCAAATCAACGGCCTTTGTTAAAGGCCAGTTGATATATCGATTAGGACCGTTTATAGCGGTCTCATCGTTGGCGGTGTTTTGGACGTTTTTGGTTTGTTAGGTTGGTTAGCCATATAAATTACAGTTACGCGGCCATGGCCATGTAGTTTAGGCTTCCGTCCCATTACAAGCGACGTCATCAAGCAATAAGTGTACTAATATCGACGGTTAGTCGTTATATTTGTACACTGGCTTGAAGCCAAAATTGCTTCAAGTACATACAATTTACAAACGGTTATTAAATTGGAGTTCTAATGAGTCGTAAACGAGGGCAAGTGCTCTGTACGAGCGATGCGGGATTGTTGGACCGGGTGTATTGTGATGAATCATTGACATCTATTAACCGTAAGAGACACTGCAACATAAGGTCACCTTATGATCTGTCCAATCTTGCTCACCGAGAGCAACCATTGGATTCCACATCCGATAGTGGTCCTGCTTCCGACAGATCACAGGATGTACCAGAGTCGGATTGTGAAGGTCCACTTCAGAACTTAACGTTGGAATGGAGTGGTAAAATTATCGAGGGGCTTCGAAGCGTGCAGAGCACCCGAGACCTCAAGGAGCCACTTGCCAATTATCTGGCACAATTCTATCATGCAGCAACTTCATTAACATGTGATTCTGTATCTAGTTCTATCGAGGAACAAGAGGACCCGAAAGCGGAACTCTCCAATCGCATTGGCTATCTGCTACAGCGAAACAGTGTGCTGTGCAATGTGATTAGACATCAATATGATACTATCCGGAGGCTGCAAACGAACGACATGATAGTGTCTACTTTAATGAAGGAAAAGGCGGCCTTGAGTGACGAGCTCATGAGATTGAGGGAGTGTGTGAATGCCTATATTGGTTCAATGACAACAGGGGTGAGCTCAACATGCCAGCCCTTTGATTCACACTTCACAAGACGTCCACCGGACGTTTGTTAACCCAATGTTCTTAAACTTCTTAGCTTACTGTCACCTATATCGTATGTATGGGGGTATAACTGCCTCGCAATCCGTGTACGCGTGTCACTCAATAAAAACCATGTACCATCAAGTCATCCGTGAAATCGTAAGTTTATACATATATAGTTTTTGTTTATAAACCAATATATCTAGTTAAGGTTTATCTGTAATGTATTATGTGACCAATTTTTTATATCGACGCGACAAGGTACTACGTATCTTCTGCAAATGTCATGGGCTTATACCATCGTATCTGTTACGTCTAGATTATATATGTGATTATCTTGTCAAATAATGTTGTATCTTTGTTGTAAATTTTGCAAACAAGACTGATCTACATTTTTTCGTAGCTAACGGAAGGCAGCCTACAATACTAATCGACTGGATCAATCTTCACTTTAAAATCGTCTCGCAGTACCTACAGGAACTACCTTCAAACGTAGTGTACAAGAGGAAGAATATCGGACATAGCTCCCGGTATTATCATACTAGCTTAACGCTAGTGATCAAACTTGTCATTATATACTTGGCAGGGGTGCCCTGTGGCAAAAAGTGTTTGACTGTGTGAGCTCTACCACGTTCTCTGTGATTTGTGTAAATGTCCGAACGGTAGAACTGTTAGAGCCATTCTAGGCTCCTCTAGCGTCGTTGATGTACGCTGGTTTTTTGTGGTTGAATCGGTCCTTCTATAAAACGTATGAGGGGTAGTATTCAACTGTGAATAACCTATTCTATCGTAACCGATCTAACGGTCGTTATCCGGTCGATCCTGACGAACCGTGTTCTTGCTGTTTTGGCTGTGACCGTTGAACTGGCAGTTAACTTGATCAATAGACGTTAGAAGCCACAGTAATCCGATTTAATCAGTCACTATGTCCGATTTGTTGCAGTGGAAGTTGAAAGGTACTAACGTACCTTTTACCACTTCCAGGCTTGTAAAATTACCGTGCTCGGTGAAGGTTGCTCAGCAGAAACTCAAAGAAGAATGTGGACTGCAACATGTATCGGCAGTGGATTTCGTACTGTATCTAGCACAAGATGAGTCCGCTGTTTTACCCGAGAGTTATGTGCTAGATGGTAAGTGTGATGTCCTTGTAGCTCGATGCAAGGCTTCTGAGGCAAGGGAACTATTGGACGCTGCGGAGCAGCAATTCAAGTCGTCGAATTCTAATATCGCAACCAAGAATGGATTTATATGTGAAGCTACAATATCACCAACTACCACACCAAAATCATTAACTGGGTCGGAACCTGTATCTGGTCATTCGGATTCTTCTTCATCATATGATGAGTCACCTGATAGTTCTATACAGCAACCGATGGAATCTCAACATTATGCCGCTTCAGCAGACACTATGAGGGCTGTACAACCAGGAAAGATTAGTGACTCGGGCAAGTCTGTCGCTGGCGACTCTCCTACTGACGTACCTAATGAGTATGATGAAGTGGATGATGAGGAGCCTGCATCATATTCGGATGAAGGTAGCGAATCTGATGAAGATAGTAGAATTCAAGCTATAATGCAAGAGCGTGATTTATACGGTGGTGAAACTGCTGATTCGTTATCTCGAAGGTACTATCGCAATAGGAAGCTTGAGCCATCTGAGACGGAGGCACGTGTAGCAGCTGTGGTATCCAAAGTGACACGACCGCAGGCTGTGGTTCGAGGGTATTTCGATACATCTAGCGATGTTGTAACGGTGGACGAGAATTACATTTGCCACATGTGTGGACAACGTGGACATCATATTAAAAACTGCTCACTACAAGAAGGCAAGCGACAACATAAAAAGATACGACCTGCTACGGGTATACCTGTAGATTTCTTGCAGGTTATCAATGAAGATGATATCACGATTTACGATGAGGTCTACCAATTAAAAAGTAGGGTGTACGTTATGAAAATCGATACTTTTCAGCTGGTGAATTTGCTGTAATGAAGGATATGTCTAAGGTGTCTGGCGGTGCATTTTTCACAAAATCGGCAGATCAACGCATCCAAAACCAATTAGGTTTGACCGAGATTGAATCTAAGAATATGGTTCGTGGATTACGTTGCAATATATGCGACAACTTCTTTAACGACCCTGTTACAACACTATGTTGTGGAGAATCGTTCTGTTTGGATTGCATTATTGATCGTTCTGGAGGCCGTGTAAAAGTACAACTGAGCAAGTTGTACAACTGCCCGAAATGTCATAACGACATTCGTTTTACCGATATACAGGTAAATAGCAACCTCAAGGGTACTATCGAGGCATTGGTATTGCGTAAAGAAGATATGTTGAAATCTCAATCCACATCAGAAGAAACTAAACGACCTTTTGATGCCTGTAACTTTCGAGTGGATCTCTCTTTTCTCAAAAGGTGGGTTCACATAGTGGAATGATCTTATCCTTCTATAGGCAAAAGGAGATCACATTGGCGTATCTCGCCAACAATCGTCGATAATGAAAAGTATAAAACTCCTGAATATCGACAAACCCCCCAATACTAATTTGTATATTAAATCGTGCGTTGTGTTATGTGCTGCATTGTTTGATGTGTAATACACAGCATTGTACGTTAGGTTAAAGCCAATTGACGCGATCATCAGCGATTTACGTTGTACTGCTATATCGCCGCGTTGGCCCTGAGTCGTGAAGCGGGAACAACGTTACACCTGCTGATATAGACCCTGCCAGTGGCCCTATCGGGGTACATCGTATCTATGTAAATCCTGTGATCGATAAGCAATCCACCACGCAATAGAAGGTTGGATCGTTTACGACACAGTTACGTAAGATCGAGTACTCATGATCGATGCTAATTATAGATCACGGCGGCTGTTTTAGCTACATCACACAGGTTCGGAACTATAATGCATAAAATTCAAAGGATCGCCTCATTTAGAGACATTTGTTGCACACAATAGAAAAACGATACGGCCTCATGGCGTCGCAGTGTCCCTAGGGAGCCCGTGGTTGCATAACGAGGCATGGAACATTGGTGCAGTGCGCGTCGAAAAGAAGTGTTTAAGAACGCATATGTTCTTACTCATCAATTACCAATAATAATGGATAATCAGAAATGCCGCCACATGAGCTAGCCATGTTCGCGTGTCCATAGAAGGCGACCACCCACATATAGTGCTACGTCGCGCGCAGGACATACGGGCATAAACCAGCAGTGAAAAAGTGGCCCCCAGATCATTGTCACTTATATCAAATTGTGCTTGTGCTTACTTCCCAAACTCTACCGCCTTTTCACGCGGTTGCTCCAGGGATTAGCAGAAGAACGTGGGTCACACCCCAAATACGCTGCGGTCGCAAGTCTTCGTTAAAGGCTTGCAGCGCAGCAGCTGCTGCTCCCAACGGAGGATGGCCTGAGGCCTAATTACGCGTGTAAGATTTCGCTCCATGCCGCGGACGGAATCGCATTTGTCGGCAGGAAGGAATGTGTATTACAATATGGAGCTAGACGTCGATAGTATAATTGGACGCCTTCTCGAAGTGCAAGGCAATAGGCCTATGCGCACCGTACAACTCAGTGAAGATGAAATTAGAGGATTATGTATGAAAAGTCGTGAAATTTTCCTTTCAGAGTCAGTACTACTCGAGCTAGAAGCACCTATCAAAATATGCGGGGATATTCATGGGCAGTACTATGATCTATTGAGGTTGTTCGAATACGGAGGATTCCCTCCCTCCTCGAACTACCTTTTCCTAGGTGACTACGTAGACCGTGGGAAACAGTCTCTAGAAACTATATGTCTGCTCCTATCGTATAAAATTAAGTATCCCGAAAACTTCTTCCTTCTACGTGGAAATCACGAATGCGCATCTATTAACCGTATATACGGATTCTACGATGAATGTAAGAGAAGATATAGCGTAAAACTCTGGAAAGTGTTCACCGACTGTTTCAACTGTCTTCCAGTTGCAGCTATCATAGATGACAAAATATTCTGTATGCACGGAGGACTATCACCAGAATTAAACTCTATGGATCAAATTAGGCAGATACCAAGGCCAACGGACGTACCCGATAGTGGCCTACTGTGTGATCTGCTTTGGAGCGACCCTGACCCAAATACTACTGGATGGGGTGAAAACGATCGTGGCGTATCATTCACGTTTGGCTCGGATATTGTAGTCAACTTCCTCATTAAACATGAACTGGATCTTATCTGTAGAGCCCACCAGGTTGTAGAGGACGGATACGAGTTCTTCTCAAAAAGGAGACTCGTCACGCTATTCAGCGCACCAAACTACTGCGGTGAATTCGATAACGCTGGTGCCATGATGAGTGTCGATAAAACACTCATGTGCTCGTTTCAGATACTGAAACCAGTAGACCGCAAACGACTAAAGTGAATTAAACTTTAATGGTAGCCAAAAGTCTATATAACATAGTGGGATCACCCACGTTGATATTTGTGTGAAGTATTGTTAGACCGTAATGATCCAACACCACTGATACTAGCTTGTGCGAAACACATACGCTCGAACCACTGGAAAATAATGCAGTCACGACCAGATTCAACTCCGGAACCATCAGGTTCAGTGAACCTGATACGTCCACACAGCCCAGTCCGATAACATCTCGGCCATCACGATAACGTAGGTAAAAACGCTGGTACCCTAAACACCAAACTGGGGTGTAAAATGCGGTCAGCATCTTAGTCACTATACCACGGTCCAAGGACTCTGTTGACATCACCTCAGACAACAGATCACTGCCAACCAACACGCCGTCCAAAATAGACTTGTAGAAATAACTTAGAGCTTGAGCACTTGCACGGGCGTTCAAACATGGCACAGATTTGCTGTAGGTCGAGGGGTAATCCATGGCCAATGGATCTGTGATGATGCAGCGGTAGTTGATAGCGTCATAATTGCAGTAATGATACGCAGGTAGTTTAGACGGCAACTTCGTGATGAACCGACGACGACGCAGTCTGCTAAGAACAGTGTCCTCGTTAATCAGGTCAAAGTCGTGGAGGTCAGCATCTTCAGTTAGCACATCTTCCTCAGATACAAGGATTGGGTGGTAACGACCATTGGTACCCCTTCCTTCATTTGCGCTTAACAACTTTTCAGCCTCAACGAGATCCAATTTCTCAAGATCTACAAGAGGTAGGCGGTAATGACGAACAAAACGGGTTGTCACCGGACATTTTTCAGACGGCGAGAAACAACGGTGGTAAAACTCCTCATCAGTGCTGGAGTTTACACCACACATACATACTACAGAAGCGGAACTAGAATCAACGTTGCTACCACCTTTAGGTTCCAGACGTTGCAATAGACGCTCAGCGTAACCCCGCCGTTTTTCAGGTGGTAAACATTTTGCCCTAGCAACATTCTCACTAGGGCTAGGCATCAACTCCGGCGTAGACGGAAGCATGAGGAATTCTTCCATACTCATCAGTATATCTTTAACGTCCACCTTAGTCTCCGGTTGTGGTGTGACAACCGGCTCTTGTGACGATAAAGACGATTGCAAATGGGTAACGCTAGAGTTACGAGACATCTCAGTTGTTTCGGAGCCCGTTTTAGTCATATCATCTTGACTGTTCGATGAGTCAAAGGATACCATCGTAACACGTTTAGGCGCGATTTCTCGTCCGTTAATAACTATAGTGTCCATCAAATTATAACCCTTATCCCCAGATGAAGAAACCGATGTGGTACTCATGCTACTGAAGTCAACAAAGCTCTTGAACTTCGATTTCAATGCGGCACTATATTCCTCGGTAACCTTCACAATTGTGGAATCAAAACCTTTAGTCTGCCCATCTTGCTTCACCTCGGGGTCCACCGACGTAAGATCCAGTGTTATCAGATTTGTCGATGATATTACGGGGGAGTTATCCCTCGATTCATCCAAAGAGTTCAGTGTTTTATTGTCTCCTAACGGGATATCGATCAGAGGCTCATCTATGCATAAGACTGAGCTGGGAGTAGGATCCAACACGGTTGTTTTCATCTCCTCCTCATTATTTTTAGTATCATCACTGTTACTCTTTTTCGATGCATAATCAGCGATGTCTACTGACATAGAAGGGAATACAAACTGTGTGAGTGGTATGTCGGTAGAAGCTGCCATGTTGAAGATGTACTCTTCCAATGACTTCCCACTAACACGGCGAACAACCTCGGCCATTATCCAACCGAAATAGAGATAACCGTACGATGTTTCTTTCGGCATCTCTTTGTGTAGATACGATTTCTCTATATCCTTAATCATAGTATCGTAGTCGAGGTTCTCGATGAGCAATATGTTAGGGTACGGGAGTATCAATCCCGATGAGTGGTTCAACATATCCCTGATAGTTATACCCTCCTTGCCATTCTGCCCGAAACTAGGCCAATGCTTCGATATAGGGTCGTCAAGAGCCACATCATGGTGTTCCGTTAGGTGCAGCACAGCAGTGGCAATCAGGCCATTCATAAGGTTGCCAACCTGGAATAGCGAATTTGGGCTGATAGGGCGACATTCATATTGACCCATGAAACCATGGCACAAATCTACTTCAACCTCTCCAGCATGTAATACGAACACTTGAGTTGCGACTATCAGGCTGTTATCCTGTGAAAGGTGCGTCAGCAGTGACGACAACTTAGCCTCGAGTGCACCTCGCGGCTTGCGGAAAACAGTAGTGCCAGAAAAAACCACATTGCTATTCTCGCTATCCAACGCCTGATTGAATACTTGCATCAAAATCTGCTTCTCGGTAAGATCGATACAATCTGCCGAGAGCAATTTTTTCACACGCCGTACCTTGCGCATCAACACCGCCTTGCTGCTCTCACTAGAGAGTAACTTTGACAATGGTGTATAATACAGATTGTATTGGGCGTTACCAGCGTTTTTATACAATATCTGTAACAGAGGCACTGATGTCTTCAACATTAGAGCATAGTTGCGATACTCCGACACGACCTTGAGTAGTATAGTGAAAAAGTTTGGAGCGTTAGTAATAAACTCCTTAATAAACATCTTCCCATTATAATGCCACTCTACCGGCATTTTATCCTCAGACGTCGAGCTCGTTGCACCTTCATCAGCACAGACATCCAAAACTTTGCTGAAGTCAGATGCAAATATGTTATACAGAGATTCCAGAAACTGCTCGTAACAAAAAGTCTTATGGGTACTCATGTCGAAGCCTGCCTCTACGAAACCCGTGAAACAACCGATAGTATCACCCATGCAAAGGGCGAAGGTCAATTTACACAAACCAACACGCTGTTTAGTGCTAAGTGACTGAGTCATACCCCAATCAATCAAAACAGGGTAGAATTTCCCGTCGCTTTTACCTTGAGTCATGAGCAAGTTACCTGGGTGTGGATCTCCGTGAAATTGTCCAGCAGACAAAATCTGGAACATAGCAAAATCGTGGATATCATAGACGATCTGTGCAGCGTTGATGTTATGCTTTTCGAAGAATGCTAAATCTGTCATCTTATATAATTCGAAAAGCTCCATAGTAACTACACGCCTTGAGCAGTATTCGTTGAATATGCGAGGGATAAATATCGGTATACCAGATAACTTAGCATCCACTGATGCACGACGGCAATTTTCTGCCTCCTTAGCGAAATCCAGTTCATTCATAGCAGCGGCTGTATAATCATCAATAGATGCGAACATATTCTGACAATGTCCTACACTCTGTGCGACCCAAAGGATAACTTTAAATATCTCAAGGTCATTACGCATATTCTGCTCACTGCATTTGTGTTGTACTTTGATAGCTACCATGGTACCGTCACGAAGTGTTGCCTTGTGAACTTGTGCTATGGAAGCGCTGGCTAAAGGGATGGAGTCGAAGTTGGCAAAAACCTCGTCCATGTACCCTATCTCCTCTTCGATGACATCAAGGACTTCAGCAAAATCACTGTGACCCACACGATCCTGTAATTGAGAAAAGGCATCAACATAGCACATTGGTAACATTCCAGGTTTTGTACTCAATATTTGGCCAACCTTTACCCAGCATCCTTTCAAGTTCTTGATGTTATCTACAATCAGCTGTGCCATTTTCTTGTGGCTATCTTTCCAGTACTGTTTCTGATTAGCTTGACTAACGAAAGAACCCATGACAAGGGTTTTATTCCATTCGACAGTCAAGTTGGTGATGGCCCAAAAAACGTCCATAGATCTCTGTAGCGGAGTCCTCCCTGTATCAGCATTATCGCTCTTCGCACTCTCCGTTCTTGCGATACCGCCAACTTGGCGCCCTCCGTTTGCCGTAGTTGCCATTTTGCTCAAACCCCAATGGTTATAATCCCCTCAACGAAAATTTTATGATTCAACAACGATTTTACACAAGGCACGTTTCGGCTGCTGACGGCATAGGCGCTAGCCTTGCCTCAAGCTAGACCGAGCACCTTTGCTAATGTAAAGTATATATATATGAACATATAATATCAGTCCGTGAAACTCGGGAACGTTAGAGCGAGCGCGCATGAATGCCCTCTTAGAGGTGTGCTCATGTCAGATGTGCAGAAAACACGGTTGGTATTTATCAGTTGTATAAATCCATAAATATACTGATTTTATCAATGTGTAAATAGTATCATATAGAAATAGCGCTAACAGCGCAACAGCTGCATTGCCATCGCGCACCTATCTGGAGCTATGTCTGCACGAAGCAAAAACTCAATATCTGATGACATGGCGGACTATCCAGGTGTAGAATCTACCCCTAATGCGTTAATGCGTATGCCTGGAGACTGTATCAAAAACGAAGAGGATCGTGATAAGGTACTACGAAAAGTACGACAACTACTCGGTTGGAAACATGAATCATTTCCCGGGTCACAACCAGTATCGCTCACCAGGTAAGTCATTGATGACATATATACTTGGTTACCATGTCGGCTGACACAATTTTTTCTCGTTTATCCCACTCATGCTTTGCAGAAATGATCTACCGCTACTGTTCCGTAGCGATTACGTAGTATGTGAGAAGAGTGATGGTATCAGAGCTCTTCTACTAGCCGCATCAGGTGCAATTTACCTGATAGGCAGAGATGAAGAGGTATACCATGTCCCAATAAGGCTACCGGTCCGTGGTAACGCTTCGGAGTCACAACAGTTGACACTACTGGATGGTGAAATAGTGATCGATACTGTAGAAATCGATGGAGTGCAATGTCAACAGCCACGATTCATGTGTTACGATGGCATATACGTACAACGAAGGTCACTCAGGGAGCTAAATTTTCTTGAAAGACTTTCGATTGTATATACAGATATAATACAGCCATATGCAAAATCACTCAAAAACCAATCGTACGTGGGAAAGAATTCAGAAACTAATAGCAAAACGAATACGCCGCCTCTAGCTATATATTTAAAGGATTTCTTCGACATATCGCATATATTACATATCGAAGAGTTCGCACAACAACTGCCACATGTAAGCGATGGGCTTATATTTACACCAGTCAGGTTGCCATATATGCCTGGAACGTGTAATAAGCTACTGAAGTGGAAACCTCCTCATCTTAACACCGTGGACTTCAGCGTAGACGTACTATATGACGAACATAGGTCACCCCGATTGGTGGAGTTGTTTGTAATGTTAAAGGGGACGCGGGTATTCTACAACGAATATCTAGCACCATATGGTGAAGTATATCGACATATTTTGTCCATGGCAATAAGAAGCAAAGTTACACAACTTATCGTAGAATGTTCGTGGATTACAGATTCCAGGGTGTGGACTTTTATTCCCAAAGTACGTGCAAAACGCGAAAATACACATGTTACCAGTGTTAATGATGGAAAAGCAGATTACGACTTTGACAATGGGACGTGGATTCAAGGGGGATGGTATGCAGAACGTATACGTGTCGACAAAAAACTACCAAACAGCTTATCGGTAGTAGATAGTGTCAAGTCAAGTATCGAAGATGATATCACACTTGAGATGTTACTACAGGAGTTTGATCTTTTCAATAAGAATGGGAAAATACCGCTGTATCAAAAATGCATAATGCCTAAAGGGTATTCAAGTGTGTAAACATTCTCAAAAAATAGGAAAACAATTAAACTAATATCGCAAAAACATAACCGTTGCATAGAATGTATAGGTTTATAATAAAACGGATAGAAACAATCACAAATTCATGGGTTCAGGTTGACAGCTATAAAGAGAGATGTGACCAGTGCAACTCCTGGCTATATGAAAGTTAAACTCGGCAGTGTTACATATGCATTGACTAGCCATCGACGTAGAAAGTCAACGCGGAATCATATCGGAATTAAATGGGATGGGTGTGTGGGCTGGTAATCTAGCCGACGCAGGTGTGTAGCCATCCCAACATTGAAGTACAGAATCCGCACACAAAGACGTATAATTATTAAATTTCAGCACGTAGCATATATACGTATCTGCGTGTTCTGAGACCCCCGACCTTACAGACTTTGACACGTCTGGTGCCACGCCGCCCATTCACAGTTGTGACCTGAAACTCCACACAACTGTAACAACGGCCGAAGCAGGTCGTCTTAATATCCAACCGACTCAATTGGTGTGTGCTTAAAGGCACAATTGCCACTTAATGATATATTTCCAGCAACGAGGTCCCTGCTGAAAAAAAGGGTGGCACGATTATTCATACTGCAGACACTTGACCTCATTAACAGCGTGGTTTTCCATCATAACTTGACGAGTAGAATACTCGTTAGAGGGCCTCGTTAACACGACTGTTAAACGGAAGAAAGGAAACGGCAGAATGGGTACTGCAGGACGACGTTTATGCTCCATTGTAGCGCTATTGACAGCTACGATCATCAGCAGCGCTCAATGTTCGATGCTCGTAGATCCTATGCAGCACGAACTTCAGGTTGGAAATGAAACCACCTTCGTATCAAAAGTCAAGGTAGCACGGCAGACCACATCCACAGCTGCATTCTTCTATACACCAAATGACAGTAAGATCAAACATATTATAGACAAAGAGATTGATGTCGTCAGTAGAGAACTCAAGGGAATATTCTCCATAGTCGCTATAGATTGCAGCGTCAAGTCATTACGCAGTATATGTGAAACAGAACTTGGAGCGGGCTACACTACACCTGTTCTAAGAGTCTACCCTAAACTACCAATACCGGCATACAACTACTCTGGAGAGTTAACTAGCGCATTAGTTAAACGGGAACTTGTAAAACATGTAGCATCATTGGTGGAGATCATCAAACCTGGTAAATTGCCAGAATTCATGGGAAAGTTCGAGACTATGCCAAAGGCGTTACTATTCAGTGATAAAACCGGGCCAAACTATATTTATAAGGCTCTGAGTCTAGCCATGGACAAGAAGTTACTATTGGGATTTGTAAATGTTCAAGAAAATCCAGAACTTAAAGCAAGGTACAGGGTAAAGTCACTACCTCACCTTATAGTTGTGAAACCAGATACCAAGGTCGACCGCTTTGAGGGTAACTTCGACTACCCAAGCATGTTCGATTGGCTAAATGTATATGCTGAGACTTTCCTACTAGGTAGTGGATATGAGGAGGGTAACGCTAAGGCAGGAAAATCAAAACCATGGTTACATGATCCCCTACCACAACTCACACTAGAGTCACATATGGACATCTGCTTTAACAAGGCACATGGGTTCTGCGTGATCTACTTGACCGAAGGCACGCCAACGGACGCGGACAGACAGATGCTAATTGAACTAGGAACCCGCTACAAGGGTGAATTTGCCGGAAAGTGGATGTGGATGGATCTAACATCGGAGACAGGTTTTGCTGAGCTTTTTGGCGGACCTGAACACTTACCTTCGGTTGTAATATTCAACCCGAAGAAAAAGCTAAGGTATATGCTATTCGAGGGAGAAGGAGCTGTGACAAGACGTGATATCGAAAATATGCTGGAAAAGATTCTAGGAGGTGATGCGCGATTCAAACTTGTTAGAGGCGATAAATTGCCGCCATTTGCCCCGATCAATGCTGCTAAACATGATGAACTGTGAACGACACACACATACACACCGCTATAATCTCGCTTAGATTAATCTGATAGATCCTAAATGATATCGATATATATAAATAATGTGTGCACAATATACGTTAGCACCGTGGAACCTAAACGTACCACTCCAGGCGGGGGCGGTGTCCATTCTAGACAGCGCCATGTGCGCGACCCCCAGAGTAGACGCTTGTGCACGATCACTTAAACTAAAACCGACACATTGCGGTTTTTAATCGGGGCGGATCGCGTAATGCCCATCGATTAAGAGACCGCAACGCACGCTCATCATAACACAGAACATATATTAAGGAAATAGGCACGATGGGCCAATCCTTATCTGTTGTCAACTCCTTCATATTTCCGGCACCACCGCCATCGGTAAGTGATAGATGACTCTAAATTTTATCATGTGTAGTACACCTCACAATTATACGAACTTATATGGATTCCAAAAAGGTTCGGATACGATCCTGACGGTAGTAGGAAGGCAACACCTGGATCTTTCCCAGTACTCTATTTACCTTCACCAGTGCCCTCAAACGTCGTATTAATCTATCTACATGGTAAGTAATAATATAAACGATATATATTACCCCTAGGAAATTCCTGTGACATCGGACAGGTAAAGCCTGAACTAAGGCTAATCAGCCATGAAATTAATGCTTCAGTCATCGCAGTCGAATACCCAGGATATGGAGTATCACCAGAAGTGACTGTAGCGAACGGAGAGCTCATCAACTGCCGTGTGAGGGCAACATTTAACTTCCTTACCTCATTAGGCGTTGACCAGAAATCGATCGTTTTTTTCGGTAGGTCCATTGGAACAGGTCCGGCAGCTGCTTTGGCGGCGGAATTCAAGAAACGGGGAATCCAATGTGGAGGGGTAATACTCCAGTCGCCATACATATCAATACACCGGATCATTGAGGAGTACTTCGCATTGGGAACATGGCTAGTGAGCAATTTCTGGGATACGGAAAAGGCGTTAAACGAAATGGGACCAACAACACCGTTGCTCATTATACATGGACTAGCAGATGAAATTGTACCGGTATACCATGGGCAAGCGCTTTACGAGTCATACCAAAGTGAGCTTAAAATGGCAGATTTTCAACCAAATTCGAAACACAACATGTACTCCATTATTGACGACCTATGCCTACCTATTTCAAAGTTTCTCAACAACCTCAGCTTGTCAAAAGATATGCCGCCTGTTAACCTGAAACTACCACAATGGTGCCTGTACAGCTGCCACAAACTAGTCAGTGGGCAAACCATCATGGAACGCAGCAGGAACACTGGATTCAAACAAACACATATGAAACAAGTGATGTCTGCTAGGGGAGATGACCGATCTGCGAGACGTGTATTTTCAAGAAACTACTCAATGAACGACGGTGCCTATGTTGTATGTAAGAACCCAGACTCCGCAAGACGAAGCACACCAGCCACCGAATCGCCAAGAGATATGAAACCACAACCATCTGTAGTTACTGACGACTGTGCATCGAAGGGTTCACAGAGGGAGGTCAAACGTACAGTATCTAAGACAAGCTTCCAGTCGTCGCTACATGAACTATGCGAAAACAACGTCATTACAACCGACGACATCTCTGTTATCGTAAACGATGCTATAGAGAGGGCGTCCAACTTGTAGATGGATGCCTGGTAACTATGCATGGAATGTTGGCAACTTATTATAATTAAGGTAGTATTTTAGCAGCGTGTTGCATTGTTCTGTGGCAAGTGCTGTGATAATATTGATGCAAAATCGCCAATGTCAACACCGGATGCCACTAACTCACGACATAGTGACTCTATTTCGCCCACATTAAGAGTTAGCAATATAGGATTGTTGTGCACAATGTCCCACGCCGTAGAAAGAGGGATACCTGATCCCGTCAGAGCAGCAATGGTAGCACTAGCAGCCGACTGCTGTAGGCGAAACAGAGTACAGGACTTTATGCCCTGCTTAAGAACTGAACAAATGTTCTCGTTGGCAGCCTGATCATCACCTTCATCCTGACACTTGACTCCACCATGCCGGAAAATACGCATCATTCGGGTAATCTCCCCGGATGATACACCCGAACCTACCAACATATTGATAACGTCCTTAGCTGCTGACAGGGCACCCCGTGTATGGCTCTGCTTTGACTGCCAAGGTGGACGGCGGTGGCCATGAACCGGTGCCGAGCCTTCTGTTTTCGTTAAACCGTGTCCTTTCGCTGGAGGTACGGTGCTAAACCGTCTCAGCAAACAACCAAATGGCACGTGTAATCGACACATCACGTTGTCAGAGAGTTTTGTAAAACCTAAAGATAAAATCATAACGACCTCATACGTTGTAATATCCAAAATGATAAAGGGGTGGCCTAAAATAGGGTAAATATCGTAGCAGTACTATCGGTTGCAGTATTAGTCCGAGTCGTATTCTTCGTTGATCACGTAACGTAAGAGCGCTACCACTCCGGTAAGATTTTTAAGAAATGAGCTAGAGAAATGCTCATCCGAAAAGTACAATACACGACCACCTTGGTTCTTAACACTTTCAATGACGGTATGTACTTGCTTCCGGGTATCAGTTGTACCTCCCCTAACCAAACCGTCCGAGATCAGAAGCGACTCAACCGCACCTAAGTCCACCGCACGTATTACGTCCTCAAGTCCGATGGATACCGTATCGTCGTTAGCTTCAAGACGCTTACGAAGAGACTCGACAGCCCTGTTGTGGTCCACGTAGTGTTGCCCACATATACTAGCGGCAAAAGTTTCGTTGCTCAGTACTTCACCAATCGCACGCCTGTCCGCCGATGTGGAAGCGCAAACCACAAACTTCTTCAAGTGGCACTGTAAATCACTGTAGCCCAAGGATGATAGATTCTCACGCATATATTCGTAGAAGCTAGTCTTTGTGAAGCCGGGACCTGTGATTACCACTGTACGAGTGACATCGAAATTGACCGTCTCTTTCAGACGTTGAATTACTGCCTTGAAAAATCCATCAATAGCCTTCTGATGGTGTGAATAACGCAAATTGGAGATCTTCCTGTTAGGGATGTTGTGAGTCAAAGTGAAGGCTTCTTTTGTGAGATAACGCAACACAAAATACAACGACGCACGGCCCGTGTCAAGGACCAAGAACGCTTGCTCAGCTTGAGTAGACGCTTCTGTCACTTCACGTAATCTGTCGCTGTAATAAGAGTTCCATTCGTTCTAAAAAGTTTAATTTACAGTCCAAAATGGTGCTTACCTTTGTTAAAGTGAACTTTGAGTGTAGCCGAATTTCAGCAGTGTGATATTGTCCAATCTGAAACAAGTTCTTGCTCCACTCGCATGTTAATACCCACCTTAACATACGGGTTATCGGATAAATTCTTACCAGAAACCTGAAGATCGTCGTCGGAACACGCGTAGGTGATTCGCTGAGTAATGTTAAATAAGGCAATGAAGTACCAACCTCGATGGAAAGATGGATATTGAACTTCTTAACCTCCTGTCGAACGGTACCTGTGTTAACGTTCTCGGTCTTCACCTTTCTGTGCTATTTAATTAAGTCCCTTGGAAAACGTACCTGGATGTAAATACGACGATATCGTCACCCTCGGACAGCAGGTTGTAGATACACCAAATATCATCCGGATTCTCTGCAGTGAGAACTAACACTATTCCTCCTGATGGAGTGCGTGAGCGTTTGTGGATTTGCATTACCGGTCGCAAGAACACTAGTTTAATGAAATTTGGTATATTACCAAACTCATTATACAATTCATCACAAGATGCCACAACGATCACACATCTCACAATTAAGCAACATGGCGAACAATTATTGAATAATTATTTTATACGTCGTACTTCAACGTACAACCAAGTGGTATGTGAACCGCCGTGTGTTGGAGGGCCTTCCGGCGACTGGGATGTTTCATAACAATTCACTGCGAACTGCAACCATGCAGCTTAATATTTGAAACACAATAAATAAATGATAATTGTAATAGACTAGTTTGCGGCAAAGGAAGGCTAGCTTCACAACAGCTTTTGCAAATGTTGTTAGACGCTGGCGCGCCAGGGATTCCACAGCCCTCATGAGATAAGCAATATGCCATGGCCAATAGTTGCAGTGGCGTGTGGTAGTGGTATACTCATAGGCAGATACCTGTATCGCAGACTACCCGCTCACTGGCAAGTGTTCTCTTCTAAGGGCGGCCAACTGAAGGCCAGTGGGATAATGGGAGGTCGTCTAGGACGAATGAGCCTAAACGGCTTTGAACACAAGATGACGCTCTCTGAGGCCTGCAATATTCTCAACGTATCGGCAACTGCGCCAAAGGAAAAAATTAGGGAAAACTATAAACAACTTATGATGCGAAACCACCCAGATAATGGCGGATCGACGTATCTTGCATCAAAAGTCAATGAAGCGAAGGACTATTTGCTTAAATAGTTATCAATGTCGGCGTTAATTGAATTTATCAATTCAGGGAACGTGACATCGAAATAACACTTCCATCATTCTATCGCATAAATAAAGATTTGTCAGCACGATAGTGCATTATGTTATGAAAACACATATTTAATCTAATCATACAATAATATTAATAATATTAGAGTGAACTGGCCAACTGTTACATGTTAAAGTCTACACCATCTATTCTGACTATTGTTCTATGTAGTGTATCGTTTTGGTTAAGATATTATTTATGATAGTGTTATTTTCGATTTTGCTCCAGCGATATGGTCTCTGTTTTCAGTACCTTTTCTTTATTCGGGAAGCGATAGAAGTCAACTGTTGTTACGTTTGCATGTCGTGTCCGTTTTTTGCCACGGCGTGCAACACCTGCCTTGACAGCTTCAGGGCCATGCGTTACAAGGGTGAATCCCTCGTCGTCAACGATAACTTCTTGTTCTAGACGACGATCAAGATCTTCTGCGATATCGTAGGCGACCAAACATTCGTCAGCATTTTTTTGTAGAATGTCCATACCACGATACTGACTGCGGTGACGTTCCAGTGCAGCTGAGAGTACAGTACCATGTGTTTTTGGTTTGTGCGATTTTAAAGGTATCACAATATCACTTGCGTCATTTTGTGGAGCGATAACTTGTCTTGCTGCCTCGGCACTTTGAAAGACAGCGTGATACAACCCTGGCCCCTCCGAGCGTTTTCGTTCATTGCGTGACGTTTTAGTCAACGCAGTTACTTCCACCTCACCGAAACGGCTTAACCCACGTGCTAAGTTTTCATGGGCCAAACATGGATCCAAAGATTTTAGGAAAAGGGTACGACCCTCAGGCAACTCATCCAACTGATCTGTACCTTCGCCATGGATGTGCCATGAACATATCACCTGTTGATATATGGATGTCATAAATAACAAAGGATAGACACTCTAATGAAGGCGATAAACATGACAATCGTCACTTACCTGAGAATAGAAGGGAAATCCTTTGCCAACTTGAAAGAGCAAAACTCTCCTAGTCTCAGAGTCCATAGCGGCATGAAATGCTGATTTTTCTTAAATGTAGTAGAGTGTAATATCCATATTCATGGACGGCATATATAACTGTTATAGAAAGCCATAGTAGCAGGTTAGGTACCCGCTTTGTGATGACTTGGAGGTCCCTATGGGTGGTATGAATGACCTCTATACGGTTATAATATTTTACTTTTTATTGATGAAAATCGCACTGTGTAATTTATAGGGCTCTTCAGAATCGATATTGCCGTTAAATCATCGACCTGGCTCGTACGGCCATGGTTGGCACACCGGTGTAGAGCTAGGGAAAGGACGAGAGCCGTTGTTCAGCGTTCATTCTGCTAGTTATTACAACTCAAGTACCTTGGAAGATCAGGAATCTTTTAGATGTAAGAACTTGGATCTAGACAATCACTTGATTCGGTGTACTACGGCAGCTCGAAACAATGAACGCAACAACAATAAACGCCCATATAAACAAATGGGCGTCCGACTTTGTCCGGGCTGTGGATACTTGCGACGGTAAAGCACTGGCATTTTTAATTCGTAACAACTGTGATAAACTTCAGCTCAACAACCGATGCGGGTATTACGAAGTGGGTTAAACTTAACAAAATTATGCATTAAGGTTAGGCAAAAATGGAAACAGCTTGCCAAAAGATATTTGGAAGATTCGACAATATATATGGAACTGAGATGCGCCTATTCCTCACGCATTACTTCAAGGTTGCGATACTAATCTCCAACGGGCTAGCACCGTGGGATGAAATCCTGAAGAAGTCATTCAAGCTATTAGACATATGGATGGATTTATACCTTGCACAAACTACGGTTGACTACAACTGGCTTGTACCTACACTAGACACCATCTGCAATCTTGTTTGCAAAATAGGACTCAGGGTATGACCATAATAGCAGTGCTAGTAAACCCTGCTACAGGCTGATCGTGTATCTGAGGATACCGGTGAATTTGATGATTGCGAGGATGATGACAAGGACAAATATATGAAACAAGTCTTAAGCAACGTGCGCAGCAAGATGGGACGTGTCAGAGGCGATGACACTCGCCATCCAGCTTACATCATCTTATTAGGGCAATCTATAAAAGGCTGCATACAGGTATGTGTATATGTAGTCTAGCAGATGTTAATGGTTACGGCAGCTTGGTAACATGCAGATGGCGGCAGGATTTCTTAAGACGATAGAATCGCAGTTAGTATTTGAGTGAAATGATACTGAACAACGCAGTGCCATAAATTATTCGAGAGCTCTCAGAGGGCCGCTGATTAACTATCGCTATTATTTGGGTAAATTGCACATGCAAAAGGGAGACTACCTTGAGGTAACAATGAGACCCTTATTATCTTACGACCTATAGGCCGAAGAACATTTGGCTTGGGCGTTTTCCAACACTCTTCCCGATTCTATCAAGATGCGCAGGTTGGTGATACCGCTTGATTATATGCCAAGAACCGTTCAGGCACATATTAGAGTGTATTATAGTGGTTCGTGTTGGACTAGGGAAACTACCTTCCTCGCAGCTATTGGAGAAATACCATCTAACGCACTACTGTGACATTATCCGTGCAGTTAAGATCGGTGATGTGCGCTTATTCACTGATACTGTGATACGTTATGCGGATGTCTTCACCATACAGGGTACAATACTGTGCGTGGAGCAGCTGAAATATATCGCCTATCGCACACTAATTAAAAACGCCAAGCACTGGTGGAACACTAATGTTCCAGAAGCTAAGCAAAATATGCTATCCGTGGAGCTTCTCACCGCGATTGTCCGTTGGCAATTGCCACATATGACTGACCAAGAGATGCTTTGCATCTGTGTCAACCTTATCCGCCGAGGGCTTGTCAAAGGTTACATCTCGTGGGAAAGGCTGATGATCGTCTTCAGTAACATCCAGCCTTTCCCACCTATCAACTCATGTGTGCTCTAATTCGTGTCACACTATTTAATAGTAATATAAACATTGGCAAATCGTAGATAACGTTACACTTCTAACTTGGCCAATAGGTACCGGTCTAAAATTACACAAATGTATGTTTACGATTGTACGCGGTAGCCCTCTAGTAGTTCTAAAATTTCGTCTATACGTTCGTCGGGGATGCGACTGAGAGATGGTATCAGCGATTTCGCTTCATCTACTGATTTTGGCAACAAGTTTACCAAGCTGGCCATTTCGAACTCATGTAGCGAACCTTCGCGTTCGATTGTTCTGCGGGATATAAGATTTTGAAATGGCAAGTCTTAAAACAATAAATACTCATTACCAAATATCTTTGCTCATGATACGTATAACTTACGTTCGAATGTCTACAATGGCACTCCTGAATTTCAAGATAGCAAACCGGCTGGCGTAGTCGTGCGATGTTTTGATAAGCCTGTATAAAGTCGTTACCTCAGGTCAACAATTACACTCACTGTTTCGCCGTTTCATTTCTTTTGTGTTGCAAACGTAACTGATCACCCAAGATGAGGTGGAGTTCACATAAGTTAAGGCACTTAGCGTTCCTCAACTCCTCATCCACCTCCACGTGACTAAATTCCTTTGCCGCGTCCATCGAGTCCCCAACTTTGACACAAAAGGGTGTATTGCGATCAGCTGTAAACTGGCAACTTAACCTAGAGCTAAACAGTACACATCGCTACACGGCGGTCACTGTTAAGCTGGTGTAATGTTATAAAGCCTTCTAGAATACGTAGCGGGGCAATCTATTGTAGAACGAATAGTGGTTACGGAATTAAAGTGGAAGGAATGTGGATGAAGGAACTGTTTACGCTCCGAAACCGAGTGTTCGGGCGGCCCGCGTCAACTTGATGGTAACAACTCATCGATGGATGGGGAAAGGTCATAGCTGTTGTTATCCCAAATTTTATTAGAGCTTTTATTAAATACATTTACACGGTGTTCTAACCGTAAATGGCCCATAGGTAACCGAATACACTGACAACGAACAACTCAAGGGTGCCTGCTACGATTACGGGATTGTTAAACAACAGAAACAGCTGCAATAGGGACGAGGCAACCTATCAATCTGCTTTTAGAAGAATCAACAAGTATTATACAACCGGGTCATGGTAGAACCATGTGTCGTTTCTAAGCGTTCCACTTTTGCCTTTGGCACACGTCGAAGCACGTAAAGGCAGGTGTGAGACGTATTGCTCATACTATAGGGTTTTGGTCTCATAACACTTGAGAGCAGGTCGAACCTCGTGTTTGCTAAAGGAAGAGTGCCAGGTTATTACGTCAAGACCCGTCAACATCCAGTAGAAGCACTACTGTTAGAAGGCATCTTAAAAACTATTTTAGCGTTAAACAGAAGGACCTATCGACCGTTATATACTGATTTGTAATCATGCAGGGCGGTAACACGAACCTTTTCGGTTCGTCCAACGTGTTTGGTAACACGACAGGCAACACCGCCAACCAGGGGTCAGGCCTCTTTGGTAACACTGCTGCTGCAACGAACAATACTACCACCCAGGGAACTGGATTATTCGGTAATACCGGAACTACTGCAACAAATACCAACATATTTGGCAGCGGAAGTAGCTCTGCAGGAGGGCTCTTTGGGAATACTACCAATACCACAGGCGGTAATATTTTCGGCAGCAGCACCAACGTTAGTAGCCCATTTGGTACTACTACTGGTACCAATGCTACCACTGGTGCTGGGATTTTTGGCAGTTCTACAAACACCAGCGGGAATTTGTTCGCTAATACCCCTGCAACGACCACTGGTAACACTTCTACAAACATTTTTGGTGGCACGTCGTCTGGCAGTGGATTATTTGGAAATACAAACACGACGACGAATACCACGGGAACCAATTTGTTCGGCGCCACTCAAACAAACACTGCGGCTAGTACCACTGGAACTAATTTGTTCGGTGCAGCTACTACTGGGTCTACAACGGGTACCACAGGAACTGGCCTGTTCGGATCAGCCACATCAAACACGACACCAGCTACCACTGGTACCGGTTTGTTCGGAAGTACCCCTGCAGGTACTATTACAGGTACAACTGGAACCGGGTTATTCGGTAGCGCCGCGACTGCTACAACACCTACAACGGGTACCGGATTATTTGGGTCAACTGCAACTGCTTCAACTCCCACTGCTACGACGACTACTACCACTGGCGCAGGCCTTTTTGGTAATACTACTGCAGGTACTACAAACACTGGAGCAGGCTTATTCGGAACTGCGTCAGGGACCACACCGGCTGCTACCACTACCACTGGTACGGGCCTATTTGGTTCCACTACTACAGGTACCACTGGTACCGGATCAGGCTTGTTTGGAGCAACTACGAGTCCGGCCGCTGTTACTCCAGGTACCAATATTTTTGGAGCTACCACCACCACAGACTCGTCAACTGCTACCAGCGGTACAAATATATTCGGTACAGCCACGACGGGTTCTACCACGGGTACTACAGGAACTGGATTGTTCGGATCAACAACTACAGGTTCTACTCCAGCTAGTACAGGGACTAATATATTTGGAACAGCAACAACAGGGGCTACAACTGGCACCGCTGGAACTGGTTTATTCGGCTCTACAACAACGACTTCAGCGCCTGCTGCTACAACAACCAACATATTTGGCACAGCCACGTCGACATCTACAACAGGGACCTCTGGAACTGGGTTATTAGGATCTACTACTACTACTGCAACAAAGGATACGACAGCGCCATCTACTACCACTGGTACGACTGCAGGCGCGCCATCAGTTAGTATCACGGGTGTGACGCCGCCTTCCACCTCAGTTGGAACCTCGACTGGCGCCGGAACTGCCACATCAACCGTTACAAGCGGCGCTACCGCGGGTACAGCCCCTTCTACATCGAATATCTTTGGCACAACTACTACAACGTCATCTACTGCCGTCACAACTACACCTGCCGCGAATAAAACCGATGCCGCAAAGCCAGCGACCCCTGCTACATCAACGAACATATTTGGCGCAACAGATAGTACAAAGTCATCGTCTGGCGGTTTGTTTGGCGCGTCAACATCCAAAGATACCACAACCAATACCAGCACTCCTTTCACTTTCGGAGCAGCTACAGCGAGTTCCAGTACCTCTGGTCCTAGTGTAACTTTTGGTCCTGTTACTACTTCTACTGTAGCGAGCACTTCGGGCGTACCAGCGACGAAGGATGATGGCAAGCCTAAATTCGATATGGATTTCAGCATCACTGAGCAACACAACATTTTGGAACTGCTTGATAGTTGGGAGAATCGTTTGTCCAAGAAGATCGAGTCCTTTAAAGGTTTTGCGGATAAGGTTGCCAACATAGACCGTAACTTGGTGCTGCAATCTAGCAACCTGAATAAGTTGTTGAACGAATATAAGTGTCTTGTGGAGAAGCATGAGAAGATGGAGGCTGCGATAAAACAGATGGAGGAAGAGCAGAATTCCGCTATAAATATTTTGGATGCAATGGAGCGTTCGTTGCAATCGCAGCTTGGTCGTGTCCGCAAGTTCAGTGCCAACTACAACACTGTACACAATATAACTAAGCAACTCCAGGAACTGGGTGAGCAGCTCTCACATGCTACTAAGGAAGCGGAAAATACTGCTGCAGTGTGCCAGCCGGAGCCACTTTACACTGTCGCAAAGGTGTTATCGTTCCATGAGGCCAGCTTGGTTAATCTGGAAAGTCAGTGCAATGAAATCGAGAACCGTATAAAGGAGATCGAGAAGGCTTAAGATGCTGGAATCTTCATCTATGCCATTGATGAATTCTTTCACCATTTAGTTGCACATAATAAATTTCTAATTTAGCTATATAATCTATAATATACGCTAGTTTGTGTTCTTATCACTTGTGCTTTTCGGTTTTGTCAATGTGCAAGGGGATCCTTGTATGTTGCGATGTGTAGGCCTCCCCATGGAGCGAAGTAATCGCCCATTATAAGCTAGATACATCCTATAGTTCATTTCATTTACTTTTTACTTCTGACTGAGATACTTTTACTGTTTTTTCTAAGGGATTCTATCCTGGAATTCCCACTGTTTACTTGAGATTCTCGGGCCGAGTGCCCGAATCAACACTCTGGGAACTGACCTTACACCGGGAATCATAACTGCCATCCGGCTACAGCGGATTTTAATGTTGCAAATGTGACTTTTGTGAAATGTGGATCCTGCAGCGTTGCCATGGCGTCGCCCAAGGACAGAGAGCACTGCTGGCTCTAATAAGGGCGCATCGCTACGAGACATCGTGGCGGAGAGTAGATGTATTGTCGTTCCATAGTGATGGTGCTGTGATATTGTCGTCAGATGGGCTGTTAAATCGTATCAAAGCTTGTGGATTCGCCCGCAGCTCACGTCACTTTTCGTCTAATGGTAGCAATGGGAATGATGGAAAGGATGACGCGGAAACCGATCAAAATGTCGAAAAGGAAGCAGAAAAGGACGGTAATGAGCATGGCATGAAACCATTTGGAGACGTGTTCTACGGTCACCCTAATTTCATTGTACAACTTATTCGTGGTAACAAGGTAGAAAAGAAACGTATGGGACGCAATGCTACAGGAGGTAAGATAAGACGTATGCCAATACCTATAAAAGATGGTGGGAGTCGCTCCATCAGCAGAGAGAAACCAACGGATGGGAGTACTGAGGATTCTGAACAACCGGACGTCACCATTGTCAAGGTTGAGGAAGTTAACGAAGGTGGTGATACCCCTACGCTGATCGCAATCACAGAAGCACCAAAGGATGCACAAGAGTCTAGTGCTGTCGTTGACAATGGAGGTGACGCATCTGAACAAAAGTCATCAGTACCTGAGGATGATGGTAATGCACCCGCGCATATCAAGCTGCCCATATTACACTTTCATTCGACCAGTAGACTTCACGCACTACCGGCCTTGGCAATGTTCCAGAAACCTGCTTTCCCTGGATTCTACCAGGTACTACAAATACAGAACCAAGCTGTGTTACAATGCCTATCTAACGTGAAGCAGAATTCTGGAAACGAATACGTGGGTGGTTTCCTTACAAAGACACAACATACGCGAGATTATCATAGCCCAGGTCTCCCCGTGCTTCGTGACGACGCCGGTGCAGTGCAATCGTTAGATGAAATGCACGTATACGGTACGCTGCTTCAGATAATCACGATTACGCCACATGTATCTCACCAAGGAGGACAGGTAATCCTAATGCCCTACCGGCGCATCAAGATGACGGGTATCCATGCCGAACCCTCAGATTCATACCCTTTATTTAGGGTATCTATCGATTATGTGGAGGATGACCCTAAAAACTTCGAGGATTCACGTGTAACTAAGGCATTACACTTGGAGATTATAGCAACGGTCAAGGAACTAATCAAGACCTCGAACTTCTATAAGGAGCATTTTGACCACATCATTCGCATATATAACCTGGACAATCCATCTAGAATTGCGGATCTTATCGCTGGTATCTCAATGGCTAAGCGTGATCAGTTACAGGCTATACTTGCTGAGGTGAACATAGACAAGCGTCTGGCTATGGTTCTTGAGGTAGCTAAGAACGACCTTGAATTTGCCAAAGTACAAGCGGAAGTCAAGACCCAAATAGAGGAAAAGATGTCCCGGGAACAAAGGAAGTATATACTTACAGAACAGATGAAGATGATCCGAAAGGAGTTAGGACTAGACAGTGATGACAAGAGCACACTTATCGATTCATTCGAGTCTGAATATGCACGTGTTGAGCAGCACATGCCTAAGGAGGCCAGGGATGGTTTTAAGAGTAGTTTGAGTCGTCTGAGGCAGCTTGAATCAGCAAGTGCAGAATATGGAGTGTGTCGGTCACACCTGGAATGGTTACTGGGTATGCCTTGGGGAAAGTTCACCAAAGACTCCCGTGATATTCGCAATGCGCAGCAGGTGCTAGATAAACACCACTATGGTCTTAAAGATGTCAAAACGAGGCTAATGGAGTACATGGCAACATCAATATTAAAGGGCAAAGCTACAGGGAAGATAATATGTCTATCAGGTCCACCTGGTGTGGGTAAGACATCGATAGCAACTGCTGTTGCTGAGCTGCTAGGAAGGAAGTTGTACCGTTTTTCTTTAGGTGGTTTGTTTGATGTAGCTGAGTTACGTGGACACCGACGTACGTATGTTGGTGCGTTGCCGGGTAAGTTCGTTCAGGCCCTGAAATACACGGGCACGATGAACCCGCTCATAGTACTGGATGAGATCGATAAATTAGGTCGTGATGCTCGTGGAGATCCAGCTTCAGCGCTTTTAGAGGTTTTGGATCCTTCCCAGAATGAATTTTTCAGGGATTACTATCTCGATATACCGGTAGACCTATCACATGTCCTATTCATTTGCACGGCGAATGCAGTTGATACAATTCCCACGCCGCTCGTGGACCGTATGGAGATCATAAACATACCTGGCTATCTGCCCGAAGAGAAATTGCAGATTGCGAAGAATTACCTCATACCTCAGACACTGAAATCGACGGGTCTTAAGCCGGATGTCGTGGAGCTCCCCGATCCTACTATAAAGGCCATTATAGAGCACTATTCTAGAGAGGCTGGTGTGCGAAGCTTACTGAGGTGTATAGAAAAGATATACCGTAAGGTTGCGCTTACGATAGTTATGGACAACGCCGATAAGATCCCAGAATCTGATAGCGATGTGCCACCAGTTATTGTATTAGGACCGGGCGAAGATTCAAATAACACAGATGGTGAAGGTGTTGTATCTACAGCTGCTCCCAGTGACTGTGGAGATGGGCAAAATGTTAACTCAAAGGAGTCTACACTTTGCGATATGTTGACTGGAATACCCCCAGTAGTAATAGAAGAGAGCAAGCTTCAGACCTACCTTGGTGTTCCTATATATACTAAGGATGCTTTACATCCCTACCCGTTGCCATACGGGGTAGTGATGGGCCTTGCATGGACAAACGCTGGCGGTGCCACCATGTATGTCGAGGCTCGTGGTCAGATGGTAGATAAGCGTGGTAACATTGTGGAGCCCAACCGTATGTCTGCGTCTGAGATCAGTACAAAGTCTGAAACTGTTGAAGATAGTGCGGAGGACGAAGGAAGTTTCGGATCATTCCATGGTACTATGAAAGTAACGGGTCATCTTGGAAACGTTATGACTGAAAGTTCACAGATTGCGCTTACGTTTTGTAAAAGTTTCATACGCAAGCATCAACCTCGTAACTTGTTCCTGGATGAGGCTCACATCCATATCCACGTACCTGAGGGTGCTACGCCAAAGGACGGCCCCAGCGGTGGTATTACCATGGCGTCGGCGCTTATCTCAGCAGCTGCTAAGAAACGTATCAAGCCACATCTTGCTATGACCGGTGAATTGACTTTATCAGGCAAGGTGTTGCGTGTTGGAGGTATCAAGGAGAAACTGATTGCTGCGATTCGTGAGGGTGTGACCACTGTGGTATTGCCCAAGTCCAATGAGCCGGACGTTTCAGAGCTTGAAGAGAGCATAACCAGCAAGCTGAACGTTGTGTATGTTGATACCTACGATGATGTTTACGCCGCTGTTTTCCAGCACGAATAATGTCAACATAGACCATTGGCAGTAGCGTGACAAGTGACCTTTATGATAGTAGTTCGTGCACTAAATGAGTAATGTCCATCTTGGTTGCTGTGTGATAACGATATTTCAAATTATATTTTCGATGTTTGTGTGTCCGATGGTCCACTACCTCTATGCCTTTTGCACCAGTAATAATTGCAATTGATCGGTCGTACAGCATAGAGCCGATTGGTTTACATGGGCCGTGGTGGCATGGTCCCGACAGGTGTTTGTTGCGGTGCCATTTGTAACGGTGCAGCGCCAACCAAGCCACGCATCGGTGCCTGAAGAGGCATCCCTCCCGGAGGTAGGTGTGGCATACCCGGTTGACCTGGTCGTGGCATACCCAGTGGTATTCCACGACCCGCCGGGGTAGCCTTTCCAGGACCTCCCATAGCATACGGTACCATCGGTGCTGCTGGTGGAGCTTCTGCAGTGAACGATACGATATTTTCTCCGCGAAGTAATATAAACCCAAGCGTTCTCTTGACTTCCTGTTAGCACTGGGTGAAAAAGAGAATGTAGCACAACTTACCACTTTTTCTTTATCAGGTCCCTTGCCCTTGGTGATACGGAATTCCTCGCAATCAGCCAGTACAAGGTTCATGTGTTTATCAAAGGCGATAAAAGTTCCAACGAACTTGCGTCCATCCTTTATGGCTACTCTTACGCGATATTGCAGCCACTGCTGCATACGTGTGTTTTTTCCTGCCATTTCGGAAAAACGGTCGCAAGACAAGCCGGCCTGCCCGGACGCCTATTGCGTTCGAGATTCCTTAGCCAAACCCGCGGTATACAGTACCACGAATTTGTTTAAAAGCAGATCAGAAGCTAGATAAACGATAATTCACATTCAACAGGACGGTATTGGCCACCGCAATACCTCCACTCATGGGGTCCGAGCGCTGGGAACTATAGGACTAGATTAGTAGCTAATAATACAAACAACATTATTTCTGTAGACATTTCGTCAAGGTATTGCCGTGGCGCCGCATATGTGTTAGCAGCGTTTACACCGTTGTACTATCCAGGAGATGTATATGTGCAGAGAAGGACCATTGCCGCTTCGGATCTTTATAATACCAATTGTAAACATTAAATGAACTATAGTCCACTGGCGCCTATTATTTGTCGCCAAACACGCGTTTAATACGTTATTTCACAAGTGACATGTAGCCGGTACACATGTACGAACCGCAACGGCAGACTTCGCGATTAGCGGACCCTGCTGAAAGACGGTAGTTATAATAGATCTCCTCACCGGCAGGTATAATCTTAGATGCATAGATACCGACGTGCGTGCCGAAGCCTTCTTCATCGATATAACTAAAGTTAGTAGTAGCAGTATTTGGGTCACAAGAATGGTTGATAAAACGGGCGCAGTTCCCGTAAAACGTAGAATCGATAATGTGGTTCAGATCTAGCCTGAACATGTATATACTTCCACAGAGCAAACGCTCGTATGCAGTCTCACGGATGTCAGCCATGTGGTCCGATATGACCACGCCGGCATACTCCATGATCAATTCCCCTTTGTTTATAGTATCCACAGCAAATAACCCATAGCCGTGGATACGTGATTTGCCAATAATAACACGTTTACATTTCGTTAAAAATGGCATCTTATGTGACAATCCCAACAGATGCTTCTGCTCGGCAACCACGTCTGCCAGCATAGCAGTTCTGTAATGACTGGTTTCCAGATGGAATAAAGTATTGCGAACGCGTTGTATATCCGTACTTTCCGGTAAAAATCCATCTTCATGGTAATAATATCCGTTACATGAAGAAAGAAACGTCTCCGGACTATGCTTGTAAAGTACCGTCAACAGGTCGACCAAGTGGTCGGCGTAATCCTTATCGTCACATATTGTTGCATCAATATTAGCGTAAGGATCCATGAATATGAGCCTTGAAGTACCTTCTTTTCCTGTTGTTAAAAATGCCTTTTGCAACAGGAAGAACTTTTTAGATATCTGGTTTACCGTACCCATAAATTCTAGTTGCATGAGGTCTTCAGCTGTAACTACCTTGCCATACATTTGACGGTCTCTGTCAGCCTCATTGCAAGGTAAGCTACCGTCGTCGAATATCCAGTCTCCACGTCCACAAAACTCTAAACGTAAATTCAATACACGCGTTGATAAAACAGCGTCATTAAGGTCGGCACTAGCTATATATTTCTTTGTTGAATACTGGACCTGCTGGTGATAAATCACCGGAACATCCCTCATTTTGAGTCGTTTGAAGGGAGTGTCAAAGATCCAAATACCTGAAATTAAACATGATAGGGCCACACATAGACAACATACCAAACTCCATATCATGAGGGGTAGCGGGTGTACCGCCAAAAATAATATACTCGTTAAAAACCGTGGGACATACTACATATTTAGAGCGGCATAGACAGAAACGGTCAACTGTCTCTGTTCCGTCACAATATGAGCGTTGCCCATCTGTTGTGTCTGATTCTGCATCTAGATTAACAGGGTCGAAGGGCGTCAACCTCTCCTCTACGGCGTTAGCATCTGTATTTTTATGCAAGATTGCTGCTATAGCTCCGTATATCAAAGCATCAGGGCACTCGGCATGCACTAGCTTCTTCACCAAAGCGAACAGTTGTTCTCTCACATCGTCCTTACCGTTGGTTCCTGGAGAAATAGGATCGTCAGACCCATCATCTAACTCAACTGGGTGTTGGGATGTCAATGCTACATATATCTTTTGTAGCATCGATACATTAGGTTTATCTGGAAGAGTTCGGTATCTAGATGTATTAGCCGAATCATGTCGTGTTAATTTTGGTGACATTACTCGGCTAGTAACCTTACCATCTTCCACTTTGAACACTACATCGCTGTCATCTGACGCTTCAGTGACTGGTAGGCCCGATTCGGCATCTGGGCTGTCGGTTACTTTTTGATACTTGAGCGGGCGGTCACCATCGTTTGGTTCTGACCCCGAATGTTTATTATCTGAAGATGGTTCTTCAATGGTGTTGTCGGTTTCATCGTCTTGGCAGTGTTCCGCGCGTGTGTCATCTTCGGTGTCTTTTGCCGCTTGTGCCACGGGATTTTTGAGCACATTGAGTACATCGAGTGCACATCTCACGTCAATAGGCTCGTTGCTAATTACTGGGGTCCAATTACAGCTTGGATTGTTTAAATAGTAAACCCCGTGGTGCACCACACGCTCAGCAATGGCTGATAGGTGGAATGCGTAGTTCATTTGTGTTCTGGAAATGAACCGCATCTCCATATCCATTATCAGGCACCTCAAAACGGACGAGCGCCCTCCAAATTCTGGTGACGTTAATGCTTCTTGTACGCTTACAACTTGTGGAGATGTTGAAGAGTCAGAATCTTTACCGGCGAACGTCTTTGTTTTTTCACCAGATAATTTTTCTCGGTCCTTCGCGTTCCCAGAAGAGTAGAGGGTGTTGATAATAGAATTTGTATCTGATTTTTTGCAGAAATCTTCTTTGTCATCCACTGAATCTAGCGATTTTTTACGTGGAGTACGTAGAAATAGAGAAGACCATCTATGTTCTACTACAACGACCGGAAGATGCGTTGCTGCTGACTTTCCAGCTCCGTCACATTCACCATCAACTTCATCTTCTAAACTACCCATATCTTCTGAAAGTGTGTCCCTTGCTGAAGAAACTTCATCGCGTTGTGACACGCCGGGGCGAGGCGATAGGTTACAACTTTCAGTGGAGTTTGGAAAGCCTTTACAAGAGGCAGAAGTACCAATTGGTGGCCATAATGAACCTTTCGGTGCAACACGACGTCGCATACCCGGCTCATAAGCAACAAGGTTGCTACGCTCGAACCATGAGTAGCGCGTCACATTGGTGGCCTCCTCGAACGGATATTTTATGCACAGACCAGATTCATGCATTGTGCATAAAACTGTGTGGAAAATCACGTTTATCGAAGAAGGTAAGGCATCAGTTAACGAAATTCACACACGCACATTGATATTATACCCCTTCGTAAAAAACTGCCATAAAACGGGCAACAATGCCTAACCACCAATGCTAGGGACACTATAGCACCAAAAAAAGGCGCTTTAATGTATGGCACCTAGCCGCTGCAGCCGAAATGTTAGCACATACGGCTGGAGGGGATCATGCGGGAAACGTATACGGCGGGCCCTGCCGGGCGTACCGTTGACCACATTCCTACAAAGTTAATGTAATAATTGTGTGAAAAATTCGATTTGGGTTTCATGGAGCCCCGGTTAGGCCACGTAGCAACGATGTGACGATAGAAGGACACAATACAATCCAACAGGTCAATGCTCGGCGATAATATAGTCTACCGTTGGAGGCGTTGTGAAATACGCCTTCGCAGTAACATGCGCGACACTAATCCGCGTTTCTGGGTGCCAGAGTCAGGTGAAGCACCGGGTTCTAAAACATATTAACACATGTAGACAAACAAACATACCTTTGGGGTCCAATAAATTACCACCATCACCGCCCTCGACTGATGCGCTCTTAGAGGAATGCCGAGATGATTTCCGACTTTCACGCTTCGACTTCTTACCAGATGATCGAATTTTATCTCGAGATGGTTGACCACTTTGAATAACATCACTAAAGGAATTTGTGGACTGCTTAGAACCAGATAGTCTCATCTGGTAACCTTCAGAACCAGCTTTACCACCAAAGTTGCCAGCTACCGCGTCATCACCGTCCTCGCCTTTACCTTTACTAGAACCAGCAATGGCGTTTGCCCACCCCACGGTACCACCTAACACGTTCAGACTACGTTCTTGAGTACTCTGGATAACAACCGCCGATGACTTCTTCCCGTAGACAGTCAGCTTTAACAGCACTGGCGCACCTGGCAGCGTTGGAATTTCTTCAGCAACCACCTTGGAAGCATCAATATCAAATACGTTAGTAGGCGTCTCAAAAATCAACCGATCCGTTTCGTAGTTGAACTTCACTGTACACAACGACGATGTAGCGTTCTTCTTAGCTGCATAGAGGCTATAGAAATCAAACTAATACAAAACTCACATCTGATAACGTAAACTGTAGCTTTAAAACCTTCCTTCAACTGCTTGTCTACCAGATGACGAAGTGGACGAGGACGAGTCTCAATGGCATCTGTTTTCTTTTTCTTCTTCTTCTTCTTCTTCTCATCCTTGTCACCACCTTTAGATTTCTTGGCAGGCTTCTCCGCCTTAGCAGTCTTCACTTTGGCCTTCGACGGTTCCACTGGTGGTTCCTCCACGAATGGCACCTCAGTATCCGTAGGCAAGTCAAACGTAGTTTCAGGTTCTGAAGGGGGCTCTAATTCAGCATGTCGTTGTGTTTCATCGTCCTCGTCCAACGCAACCACAGACATATCCTCCTGTACCGGCATTTCAGGCATATTGCCAGGTGACTCGGTCCACATGCATGATGAAGGTCTGCCATAAGCTCCAACACCTGGAATAGTCCTTTGTTGTGACAGTTCGTCGGACGGAGGTTCAGTTGGTAGCTCAGTATCTAACGCTGCAAGTTCACGGCTAGCAACCTTGGACGCCGGTTCTTGCGGTTCCGATACAGCACCAGTCAACAATTTTGTAGGTCTAACAGACAAGGGTGCCGGAGGAGAGGATTCGGGTGGAATAGCGGTATCCTGCAAAGTAGGAGCCTTGCTTACAGGCACATCAACTTCAGTGGGTGTTATCTCAGCGGTAACAGCGCCTGGATCATAACCAACACCTGTTTCAACAACAGGTTCCACCTCCTTATGGGAAATCGGTTGAGTGTCCATTTTCAACATCTCCTCTTGTGCAGATTCAGGTTGTTCCACGCAGGTAGCGGATGTGCCCGCCCGTGGTAAGGTTAAGGTTTTAGAAACAGTCAGCAGCTGTTCAGATGTGTCTAACAGCGCCTGGTCTAAGGTTACAGGTGACACAGTGATACCTGCCCGTGAAAGATGATCCTTCGTGAGAATGCTGGTAACGGAACTACTAACCGCAGATGGTGCCTCTAGTCCCGTAATCACGGAGGCACTCTTCATCACTGGAGCTGTTAACATCTCACCAGGAGTACCGACGTCACCAGCGAGTGCAATTGACGGCAATGGCAATACAGGCTCCTGTAATTTAGGCATATCCACTGCAGATGTCAACCGTACAGGGTGTGCATCCAGAGTAGATGCAGCATCGATATCAAACAGCGTCCCAGCCCTGTTGATAGGTTCGACTTCAGCGAATACACTAGAAGCCACAGGTAGCGATAAAGCAGGTACCCTTATGCTTGGTGCTCTAATAGCGGTATTCATGGCGATATCAGAGTCAATGATGTTGGGGGCGTGGCCTGGTGTGCCCTCTGTAGCTGTCGCAGGATAGTGATCAATTATTTGATCATCTTCAGCCGAACACAATAGTGTCATACTCCTTGAGAACGCCTTATCTTCCGGTGTGATAGTATTTGAAGATATCATACGAGATATCTCAATATCAGATACCATTTCTTCAGCGTCAACATGTAGAGTGGGTATACGTTCTGTTGGCATTCGCAACGTAGCATCATGTAGGTTGCTGAATACATCCGCAGTACCAGGTACGACAAAGCCGTCCATATCACCATCTGATTTCTTTACATATTGTTGCATAGCATATGATTTCTGGTGCATGAGTTGTAGCTGTGGATATGCTACATCGGCAGGAAGCCGACCCTTTGGATCTGCATGATCATAGTAACGGGCATCTGCTGATGTGACTATACCACGTTGCAACGATCTATGTGCATTTCTCTCCAGGTATCGCATTAGGTAGGTTCTTGTAGTCTTGTTTTCTTCTACCGGCATTACGTAATCTGCAAGGGTATCATCTAGGATGGGCGCAGCAGGTGGCTTTGATGTGGATTCAGACAGCGCTGCAATATCGTCACGTATCGGCTTATATACTTCATCAATATCACAATCTTTTGGCAATATTTTCCGCAGGATAGATTTGGGGATTGTGAAGGATGGTGAGTGCCCCCTTTTTTCCACATGTCTAATACGTTGAGTATTTGATGTTATATCCGGTGTCTCTGTAGTTTCAGGAATAACACCTCTCAGTAGGTAGGCTACTGAAGTGTCTAAGTCCTCTGGACGTGGTCGACTACTGTATATCCCGGTGACTGACGTGGACCCTTGATCATAAGCACTGTGTGTACTGCTCTGTCGCATTTCCAGACGTTTTCTCAACCGTCCAGCAACACGGGATCTAGATTCGTTATAAGAATCACGTGTAACACTGGTGTCCCTTGATCTATCTTGTGTACGACGTTTCATACTACGCATTAACCTAAACAGGCTGCGTATAGGTGACCTTTTCGGCCTATCCGCTTCATTGGCTGACTGTTTGTGGTCAATTATAAAAGAGTCCAGAGGTGTATCACGTATTGTGAGTGCATCATCGTCGGTTAGGGCATAAGATCGTGGTTCGATATATGTATTGGAGCTTGCATGCCTATCAATTGCAACATCGAAAGCTTCAACTTGTGAAGTCGATTGTGGGCTAGCTGTTGTTTGAATTTTTGTTGTTAATCGATCCGGTGTCCATGGCTTACTGTCTATGGGTGAGTCTTTTGCCAACAATGCAACCAAACTGCGGGGTTCCACCTTGTCAAGTGTAACGCTTTGTGATATTCCCAAATCTCGTTCATTGTACTTAGCATCTCTATATATTCCATAATAGTTAGATATATCGTTTGCGGTTTCATCGTGTGTTCGTGTTGTTTGTGATTGTAAATCTCCAACATCCAAATATTCACCACGGTCGGTATAACATATTTCATCATTACCTGCGTATGAATCAAGAGCATGTTCCAATGCTTCCCATGAGCGTAGTGCGTCGATTACATCTGATTTTTGTTCTGCCGTGCCTTTTTGGTGTGCTGAGGGGCTGACGGATGTTGCTCTGTAGCATACCGTGCGATGGTCGGCAGATACCACATAGTCGCAACGCTGAGAGTGTACAAACGGTGAAGATCGCCGAAGATACGGACCACCGTAGTGACCCATGTATCTGTACACACGGTATATCTTGCGATGGTTGATAAATTCAGGGGTGATGGAACCAAATCACTGATCCATCACACACCCTCGATGATGGAGTAGAGAAGTATTGAAATTACACACCCCAATTATAACCAGACCCACAGTATTCTATAATCCAATAGGTGTTGTCAGTATACCACCGATCTCCCCAATACCTTTTCCGGAGTAGTGTTCCTCTAGAGCGTTATAGACAGCATAGAAGCGGTACTGAAACTCGACACATCCATATAAGACAGTGTGAGTAGCATATCACGAGTATTAATATTAGTATGCGATCCAACACGCATTACACATTAAAGGTTTGTATGACGATTGTTACTTCCCGTTATACCATCACAACTGTGGAGTGACGCGCGCACACATCTGTACTCCAATCAGTATAAATAAGAGCCGAAAAAAACATACATTCAACTAAAATAACATGATAATGCCACTTATATCGTTAGACAAGTAGATGCCCAAACGATCAAACAGAATCATGGGAGGGCGTAATACCAGTGATAGTCTGATAACACACAGACATTTTATATAGATATTAATTATACGCCAGTGCCTATTTCAAAATCTTATAACTGTATGTGCCAGATTATATTCAACCCCTAATTTACGTTGATATACCGTCACATTATGAAACACTAGTTGTAAAACAATATACTTCGACGAATCGACACAAATATGATATAACATGATGTATAATGATATTCTATAACGATGTGTAAGGTAGAGGAACACTGAAACTTAGTTTGAGAAACAGAGCCTCGGCAAGACTTGGCGTCTTGGTGGTGGCAGATTATGTGCAAAAAATAGCTTAATAGGTATTTTATCACCGTGAACTGGTTACTAAAAATTGTTTTTATTCACTATTATCGTACTTATCGCAATATTTTCAATCTAATCGAGGCCTAGTAGTGGATGCAGAGCTACTTCAGGTGGACATGGATATTCAAATCGTTCACTTTGTATAGCGATAATAGGATCGCTTAATCACTGTTAATGTCAATGTAAAGGGAACCAGCACATCGCAATTTGAAAAGAGGTACGGACCGAAGCCCGTTGTAACCTGATCATTGGTTTAAAATCACAAAGGGTGTAATCATGGATATAGTAGTTGGCAGCCCACACTCAGAAAACAAGCTCAATGTAGACACATGGAACGACTATATGGACAAAGTGACCAAAAAGGCGTTACCATCTAACTACAATTTTGAAATCGCAAAGTCGGTTGCAAAAATACAACAGATACAAGCAACAACGGTGGCATTACAGATGCCAGAAGGACTTCTAGCTTGGGGATGTGAAATTGCAGATATACTCAAATTCTTTTGTCAATCACTAGAAGAGGTCATCATTATGGCTGATGTCACATATGGAGCATGCTGTATTGACGATATCACAGCACAGACCATAGGATGCGATCTCATCATACATTATGGACACTCGTGTTTGATACCGGTCACTGATGTACTCGTACAGTGCCTATATGTATTCGTGGAAATAAGCTTCTCAGCAGACCACCTAGCAAACGTAGTCACACAGCTGTTCAAACCTCACGATAAAATATTCGTTATGGGCACCATACAATATTCAAACGTACTACGAGAAGCTGCAGCAAAAATTGATCGATCGGGATACTTCAAAACCAAGGTCATAGTACCACAGGTCACACCGCTACTGCCTGGAGAGGTTCTAGGATGCACATCACCAGTTTTGGAGAACTGGGAATTTCAACGTAACCCGGAAACAGATCATCAATCAAAGGACCAGGTTGGAATTGATACTGAAGAACACGAGATCATGTTAGACGGTGAAAGGAAAATACTCTTTGTAGCTGATGGAAGGTTCCACTTAGAGAGTGCCCTCATACATAACCCTGGAATAAAAGCATACAGGTTCGATCCTTTCAATAAAACAGTTACAGAAGAGTCGTATGATATATCGATGCTACATGCAACCAGACAGAGTGCCATTCAAAGAGCAAGAGGTGCCAAATCCGTTTGCTTGGTACTCAGCATGCTAGGAAGGCAGGGGAACATCAATATACTGAAAAGCATTGTGAGGATGTTGAATAACGCCAAAATCAACCATCATGTAAGGTTATTATCGGAAATAACAATCGACAAATTGGAAATGTTAGATGTGGACGCATATGTTCAAGTAGGATGTCCCAGACTGTCAATCGACTGGGGAGCGGGGTTTGGGAAACCGATACTCAACCCCTACGAGGCCTTTGTGGCGTTCAACAACGAAAGCTACAAAAGTGTATATCCCATGGATTACTACTCGAGAAATGGAGGAGACTGGTCAAACTATACGGCCAACCGTCTTGTAGCACCCTCTATGGATGCTAAAGAGGCCATATTACGAAGATTACAACAACGTACCAAGGCAAAACAGCTGATGTACTCATCGTAGTTATGCAATGACAGAAACATATTTGCAAACACTCTAAAGTGACATCTTTAACATTTAACAAATCCGAACATTATCAAGGCAACATGTTAACTGTTTTTTATTATATCTAGTAAAAACTCATAGTTTGGTTGCGCTCACAACTCAGCTCTTGGAGGCTCGTGAGGCAGAACTTCTCTCGCCAGTTGCCAATAATCACCATGTATCTTATAAGTTGATGAATCAGGTCCCTTGAACATTTGAATCATGGATACCTGGTTGTTCTTGTCAGTCGTGTAGATGGTAACAATGTTACCCTTCTTCATCTTTTTCAACAAAACTGCAGTCTTAAGCGTGCTAGGCTCTTTCAAAATAGCCCTTTCCTTATTATCCAGATAAATGGCACAAAAAACAGTATTGTCCTTTTTAGGCATCATATAGATATGGGTTGCGGATATCCTGTGTACCTCCACAACATCGGTGGTTTGTGACGTTGCATCGGCAAAAAGGTCGACGCAACGATCCGCTGGAACACGCTTACCAAAACTAACGTGTTCAGGGTCATCCACCACTCGCGTAAGAACTTTACGTGGAGGAGTGCCATGTGCCTCTGGTTTTTGAAGCGCAGGTTTACTTGGCCTTCTTAGGACTTTCGGAGAAACTTTCGCCTTGGAAGGGTCAACAACCTCTACATCACCACCGCAATTGGACGTGCAAGTAGTATCATTTTGAATCGGTGGAGTGGAAGGAGGCCTTGGTGTGACTTCTGTTGCAACTTCTCCATCTCCGAGCGAACTTAAGCTCTGAACTTCACCTACGGCAACACCATCATTCTCCGGAATAGTGTCACTTGGCGCAACGTGCCATATAGTTATACCAGCACCTAATGTCACAGCCAGAACAGTAGAAACCGATATTATCCATCTCCAACGGGCCGCACGGTGGTTTGACGGGATCGCAGAGGGCATCATCGTGCAGTCATATGTGAATCAACCGGTATGAGACGGCGACGCAGAAAAAATTGAAAATAACAAAAAATGGACAATAATAGATGATATGTCAATATTGATATTGAAACTAATAACAAATATCGACAATGGACATATGAACTTACGCAAACAGTATTAGATCAATACACAGCTGGTTGGAATCTTTGTTAACTCTCTGGAAAAAAAAGATTGTTATGCACTGCAACACTTTAATAAATGAATCCGTAATAGCCTCACGAAAATTCAATTTTTTTGAGGACAGCAAGCGAAAAAACAGCAACGCTGCTAAATTTCCCACTGCAGCAACAAAGAAAAAAATTACCAAAGTCACCGACACAGCAGTTACGAGACAATGTAAATTATTAATAGTTGTAATGTACAGCTAGTCCGCGCTAGCCACGATCTTACCGGCACCTATGCAATCGTTGCCTGCATAAAAAACTGCATATTGACCTGTAGCCAGACCAACGTCTGCACGGTCCAAGTTTACCGTCGCGCCAGTGGGCTGCGCAGGGCTGTTGAATTCAATTTTACCGGTAGCGAAATTTGGAGAGTGTCGTAACTTCAGTGATAACCTACGCTCACCGTCAACTGCACACCATGAAAAATTATACGATGAAAATTACCGCCACATAATATATAACGATGATAATCCGGTATATTCCACGTTATATCGCGGATAAAAAAACGGCGACGTATGCCACCCTCATCCACGTATCTACCAGTGTGGTAGCACGAACTAACATATAAAGTATTGGTACCCACGTCCTTGCCAACAACGTGACGTAATTTATAAGTCTCACGGACCGAACTAAGGTACTGAGCAATACCCTCACGTTGACCTATTGTAAAGTGGTACAACCCTGGATGCTCACCGACACGTTTCATGCTCTCGCAGTCAACGATCGGACCGGGACATCGGCCAAGACGCTCGGACAAAAATGATCGCACATTCACCTTACCCAAAAAACATAAACCAACAGAATCCTTCCGATCATGATTAGACAAACATAAAGTACGGGCAATCTCACGAACCTGATAACAATGTCAATAATAAAGTGAAGAAACTCACTTCACTCTTCAAAAGACCATTCAGAGGAAATAGCACACGTTGTAACTGAGATTGACTCAAACGACTCAAAAAATAAGTCTGATCTTTAGAAAGATCCTTGCATAAACGCAAGCGTGTTACCTTACCGGGGAAACCGTCGGTACAAGTGTCGTCAAACACGGATGCGTAATGACCAGATGCAACATGGCTGAACCCCCAACGTGTTGCATAATCCAAAAATACACCAAACTTGATAAACTCGTTACAACAAACGTCAGGGTTTGGGGTCTCTCCCAACCTGTGAAACATGCAATCATAAAACACTGTTTAACCTACCTTGTACCCTCAATATACGGGTCTAGTACACGTTCATGGTACAGATCCTGAAATGGCAATATATGGAGCGGCACTTCAAGACGTTTGCAAACGTCCATGGCGTGCTCAACGTCACTAGCCCACTGGCAAGTACCTGCAATATACTCAGTATAAACTAAGAAGAACAAACCCATATCATCATCATTGGCAACACCCCAAACCTTCAAATAAAATGCTTCGACATCGTAACCACGGGATTTTAATGACCATAATGCAATAGATGAGTCCACACCGCCACTTAACAACATTGCAATCCTGAATTCATATTAATATCTTATAAATTGTTTACGTACCTTCTCTTTTTCATAATACTTGGGCGAAGTTTGAGCTGCGGCGCAACGGTTGTAGAGGCACTTTGTGCCCGAACCTCAGATTTTATGTGGGATAAGATGCTGCCAACACCATCACGTTTCATGAAACCAAGACCACCTAGCACGGACTCATGTCCAACATCACTAGCGGTTACTTGAAGCACATCTTCGACACTTTTTAACGCAACACTGTCAATTATAAGTGATAGAATAGCCTTGGTTATCAAAGAGTCTGACGTCCCATCAACGTAGACAATGCCAGTGCCATCCACGTGGACGGCAACGAAGATAGAAGCTACACAACCTGTAACTAGCTTATAATCCACATCCACTGGTAGCTTATAGACGAAGTAATTGCGATATTTTACACTATCGTTTCCAGCAACGGGTAAACGGAAACTGTTAATATCTGACAGACTACGTGGAGGTACTCTCATCACAGAAGGCTCAGGAGCATCCTTGAAAATTTTAGAGCCCATTGACACCAACTTTGATATACATTTATCATGATCTTCCAGGCTAGATAGTTCCGATTTCAGTGATCTGATGAGTTCACGAGTTGCCAGAATGCCTCCATCCAGGGTTCCCTCGGCATCCTTGCAAGAATCCTCTATTGATGGTGGCACATAGTCCTTTGGAATAGACCAACAAGGATTAACAGAGGGCTTTGCAGCAGAATAGGAGCCCGTTTCGTGTGTGAAGGCGTGGCAGCCGAGATGAGGTGTATATACACCATCGTTTCTTCTACCACGTAGAGTCAGCGTGTTATATAGCGGTATATTATTGTGTTGCACGTTATTTCGTATCGTACTAACGCCATTTAAAGCTAAGTGGCCGCTAAAATTACGGATGTGTAACCCAGACTTAGACAGTGACACACTTCTACCGATTAAACATAACACAACAACCTGAAATAGATGTACAATCATCACATCATAGTCACAGATCTGGAATTACGACATCGGTGTGCAAATTATCTAATTTCATACTTGTGTATGAAACGAGAATGTGGAAGGCAGTACGTGGTGTCATAAAACCTGCATTTAAATATAAATTAAAATGTCAAGGGTTATAATGATCGTGTTGCGATAATACAATGGCTATTTGTAACTCAGCCCAAGGTATTCTCGTTAGCGTAGGTCATATAGAGGATACCGTCTGAACCGTATTTTCGATACAATTCTCCAATAGCCGTTTGAGAAACTGGCACTATATCACCCACATATAGGAAAATAGTGGCATTCTTCGCAACATAATTTGTGTCCTTGGCGTTCTGGGAGACGAGGTGTTTTTGCAAAATATACTTGAACTCAGCGTACATCATAGTTGAAGGAACCAAGAATCTAAACAAAAATTAGATATGATTAACCATACAAAATGAAACAAATGAAAATATAGATATATACTATATTACATTGCTTTTTCAATTAACAATAGGGACACTGGAATTGTTTTTCTAGGGACATTAATAGCACCCTTTCAAATTTTCATATTATAAAACCTACTTTGATTTCTCTATACGAGTAGTATTCTTGTTCCTTGGCAGACACATAACCGGGATGCGGTTAACAAAACGGGCCCGCAAATTATAAGCTTCAAGCTGACTCTCAGCTGAGCATAAATGACAAATTTTTAAAATGATGTAGTATAAACATGAGGAGATAGAAACTTACTGAACGAATCAGATCGATCAGAACTACTCCTATCCGCCATTTCGATGACATAGTAGGAATACACTGATGCCTAGAAGGCAAAATTGAGGTGTGTCGCCCAGAAATACACACCGCGACACAAATAAAAATCGACGGTACCCGTTGAATCACAGATACATATATATGTGAAAACAGAAATACAATGATAGAAGGTGATGGATCCGCCTTAATTTAAAGCAAAACGTAGCAGTGATACACCTCAGGTAAGGGGCCGCGTAAAGCAACGACCGACCGGATATATAAAGCGGATTGGATAGATATTGAACTATTAATATAAGTTCAACAGAATAGTGATACCCCTGAACACGGTATCACGGAAATTTAGGGGGGTCAACGTCGGTAGAAACACCCAAAGTCCACGAGCAACGCGCAGCTAACGTGGGCACAAAAAACAACACATATCGCAAAAAAATATCGCATAGAGAAACAAATAACAGGACCTTTAAAACGTAATTACACAACACCCTGTTGTGAATTACAAGAAAGAACCAAGGAGCTGGAAGGTCACAAATGGTACAAAAAAGACGTATAGCCGACCATGGCTCACAAACTAGCTTTGGTCAGAATATATGATTCAAACATATCAAGTGTTAACGCTGTCGCATTCTCGCCCTGTGGGCAGTATATAGCAGCGGCACGCCAACCTTACGCTGTGGAAATATACAACGTCGAAACAAGGGTTCATATCACGGTAAGTATGCACGTCGTATCCCGTTTAAGATGACACAATGCCCGTATAACGTACATCTTACCTGGATGGTCATTGAAACTTTATAACTTCAAAAAATCATGTTACACAGTCGTTACGCGAAGCAGAGGAAAATGCCGCTGTAAGGACAATTATATGGATACCAAAAAAAGAAGGACTAATCGGTAAAACATTGAGCGGATATCGTATAGTAACCATCGGACTCCATGCTGTCATCACAGATTGGGACCTTGAGCTCCTGTTGCCAGTGGTAGGTATATACAAAAATAGAATCTAACTTATTCACAGAGGTCATGTTGTTCATATGGAGGGGCAATATTTGCATCTGCACTCACAGAAAACGGGACTAAAGTACTCATAGCATGTGACGATGGACGGGTAAGATCGTTTAGACTATGGAGCGAGGGGGATAAGGAAACGAGGGAGCCTGAACTTAGCTTCGACAAAGTATATGCCTGCCATACAAAAAGTATACTCAGCATATGCGTATTACCAGATGGATCATTCTTTTGTGGAACAGCAGATTCTATTATATTCAAGCTTCATGCCGATGCAGATGTACCAGCAACCAAAATTAAGGTACCAGGACCGAAGAAACAAGTAGGACCTGCAACAAAAAAAAGGAAACAAAGTACCTCGAAATTCGAAGATGATGCAGATACAAGTGCAGAAATAACAAAAGGTGGAAATGAAAACCAAAACAATACCGACGAAAGTGAACCGCAAATTTGGGCACTTGTATATATCGCAAAACATCAACTATTAGCAAGTGGTGACTCGGCAGGAAACGTCATACTCTGGGATGTCAAAACATGCACCATGCATAAAATGTTCACGCAACATTGCGCAGATGTACTATGCCTCGCAGTGGGAGCCGACGGTGATACTCTATTCTCAGGGGGGGTTGATACGCAAATCACGGTATACGCTTACAGTGAAAGGAATTATATCAAACAAAATGTACCTGTGGGATGGAGAGCAAACGGGGTCAAGTACTATCACAGAGGGGATGTTAGATGTTTTGCAGTACACCCAAACGATGACCGCATTGTCAGTAGCGGAAGTGATGGGATACTCACCATATCAAGGGGTCTAAAACATCAAAATAGCAAGAGATGTAAAACTAATCTTATACTGCTCAATATACCTAGCTGGGTCTCTAAACCTGTGGTCATGAGCAGAGATAAAACACTGGCATTGTGTAGATACAGAGATCACTGTGACCTCTGGTATATACCCAAGGAATCGCAAGATGATACTGAAATGCCATATAAACTTGCAGCTATCAAACTTAAAAAAGAAGGTGGACAAATTATAGCGGCACAGTTATCAGCAGATGCAAGGTTTATTGCTGTCGCAAATCAAAAACATCTAAGGATACTTAAATTCAATGCCGAAAACTTGGAAATCACAGCAGGAAAGTCATACCTGGAAGATGTAACGGTACATGCTATGCATTTCGTATCCAACACCAAAATGTTACTATCTTACCTCAAAAAAGGGACCACCACGTTCCTACTCTCTACCCTAGACCTGGAGAATGGGGAAATAAAACATATCGAACACAATATCAGGGATCCTGTAATCAAGGTAGATGTAGCGCGATTCAGCTTTAACGAGAAATTGGAGAGGACGTTAATCACGCTTTACAGCCTTGAAGGGTATGTCTACCTGCTGGACCTCGAAACTTCGGAAATACACGAACTACCAAAGTTTGAAAATGGATACAGGGTAGTATCCACTAGTGCTAGCCCAGATTTCAAATACCTCGCTGTGTTCTCGAAAGGGTCACTGTTCTACTTCTACGATACAGAGTTGCGTATCATCGCTGCATATGATGGTGAAACAATACACAGAGTACCAAGCAGAATATGCAATAGCAATATCCAAATATTCAATGCACTCTGGCATTGTCAAGGTGATATGAATCGCATATTTATACAAACGTCAAACAATGTGTACTCAATCAAAATCGAGGAAGACCTGTTTGGTGTAGAGGAAAAAACGCCTCGTGAAAAAACATCGGCACAAAATGTTGTAGCTAATACGAGACAGAAGATATACATTGGACCTAGGAAGTTCAGCGATGTACCAAGGATCAAAAACTACCTATTCCAACCACCTGCACTATTCAGGGTGTCGATGCAGCAGTTGCAGAAGTTCAAGAACGTTGAATCGCCGGACGATGTGGAGGTGGTACAGCAACCACTGGCAATTGGTAGGTATATGGGCATCAAGAAGTCAAAGTTCCTTGTGCACCTGGAACTAGAGGCGACAGAACAGGGGATACTGCTTATCGCCTTCTATATGGCACCACCACAAAACAGTATATTCCATAGGAAACGATACGGAACTTGATTATACTAATTTGTCTAACTGCTTGTCAACAAGTGTGTTTATACGACACCGTAACGCCTCTTGGAGGTCAGATACTGAAAGAGATTTTACGACCGCACTCAGCCACTTACCGACATTGGCGTCCTTCTCTTTCTCGAGCGTTGACACCAGATCCACAACAATGCGGTCACGTTTCACCTTCTCCTCCACCGATTGCATAAATGATTCGTCCAATTTCATAGATTCGATCTCCATGCGACGCTGAAAAGGTCGTGTAGACCCGAATAGCTTAAACCCACCTTCAGACAAACGGCTGTTGCCCATGCCACAGCGATGCCGCTGAATTGGGATGGATCAACCGATAGTAGACTTGTGAAGCGTTTCCTCGCACAGTCTACTAAACGGGTTGTATCAGAAATCTTCTCGTTCGTGATGCGTCCTGAAAAGAATGTTGTAATAGACCATATAACTAACCGATAGTATGCAATACATCACGCTCCTTAAAGATAACAGGTTTGCTGCTGTAAAAGCGTTAATCACGAAAAGTATGACTTACCCGAATATAGCATCAGATTGACATTCAACAATTGTTCTAACTCGACAACGGTTATATGCACGGCGCGCAGCTGCTGCAGATCTAGGGGTCACAATATCAGCACGCAGGCCCACGAAACACACTGGAGATGAGGTTGATACTCTTTCCGGTGGTCCTGTGCATGTCAGGCTCTTGTGGAGCATCTTGAAAGCCTCAGATATCCTGTTAGAATGGTCTTCCGGGGAGCAGCGCAGTGAAACTGTGCCAACCTTTCGCAACACATCTTCCACAACTAAGCAGTACGAAAGGTAACTACCATCTATGGCGATGCCCAAGTAACGGTCCAAAGTTCGCATTGCTCCGATGCCGCCGCTTCAGTAGACACATTAACACTGACAAACAACTGCATCGCACACATGTCGCGACAAAGTAGAAAACAACGATCATACCAATGTATAGTTGTCATTATGATAGAACGGTGGTGTTCAGGCTTGGCAAACGCGCTCACGCGTCATAGGGGCCATGGAATCCACCAGCATAACATTAGAGCGGTGGGGAGATTTGTGGACAAATATGTCCGGTAAAGTTAATACCATTAGTTAAGAATTTGTAAAGAGGTCGAAATGAGTCCTTTTGGGGGTTACCAGAAGAACGTTGAGCGTAACAGAGATGGCACGCCGATACTCCACACCTCAGACGACGAGCAAATAAACAGCACCTTCGACCAAGTAGCGCTGAAATTCAACCAAGATGAACATGGTAAAACCAGTATAATGTGATACAGCAGTAATCCCGCGCAGGAAGCGGGACCGTATACATGACCACCAGGCGGCTCATATGGGTAGCAAAAGAGCCATCAAATGCCTCGTATGCATTCCCATATCCAGCTATGGTACTACACGCTATCTCAAAAGACAAGACACTCTGCGAAGTCCCCTGTATATTCATACAACTTCAAGGAGATTGTGAAGACGAAGGTGATATACCAATTGTTATCCTAGCACCTTTACAAACGCAGCAAGTAGAAACCATATTTGAAGCCATCTCCCAGATGAACTCACTAATGGATCCACCAGCTTCAGATTCAGAAAACGAATCGGTAGGTTAAAAGGGCAAACACATTATTTAATCCGCAGGACTTTGGTGAGTCGTTCGACGAAGAGGACGAAATAGATCGGCCAGAACATGAAATGTAATGTTTCACTACATTCTTAATATCACAATGATATGGGTGGCCTAGTGAATTATCAATAATAGATATTAAACACTTACAGCCAATGGTCCAACACATTGCTAGGACTACGATCCTGGCGTTGAAGCTCCCGGTACTCCTCCGAAATCACATCACGATAATCTTCCACACCGTTCTCAAATGCCTTTTGAACGCGTAAACGGGTGGGCCAGTGCACATTCTCGAAAAACATTTCCATCAAATCACGGTCACGATCGGGTACCATGGGAAGCAATTGCCATGCATTGGGTATACGAAACTCCTGTCAAACATAGATAACTTTAATCAATCACTCACCAATGCATAGTCAGGACGAACATCCATGCAATCAATAAGCTCCTCGATCATTCCATCTTCGTCCCACTGAGGAAAAAGCCCAGGGGCAGTGGCCTTACCGTATTTGGCCTCTAAACGAGGGTCCTTCTCCAGCAGTGCGCAGCGCGTCCAAAAACGAGGTAACACATAAAACTGAAGTGTCCCACCACGAGCATAGAAAATGCGTACGAGATCCGTTATATCACCTTCAAAAAACACCTCACATAATGGCATCTTTACATCAAGCTTCATCTTAAAAATTTCCAACCTATCAGGCGGAAAGTGTGATCGCACTTTCTTCACAAACGATTCTAAACGCTCTTCATCACGCTCAAGCAATTCACAGTAGTTGCCATGAGCAGAACGCACAATCCACAGTTTAGGGCGTACAGGCCTTTGGCCACCAGGGTTGGACGCCGCCATCTGCTTAAGATGCATTATGCGATCTTCCAGTTTCATACGACCTTCAGGTGAAAGCCGGTAGTTGAAGGAAGGCATAACGACATTGCCGCTGTGATCACCAGCTTTACTTAAATTTAGCTCTTCCACATTGTGCTCACCGAACAAAAAGTTGTCCGATGCATCACGGTTCCGATTCTTAGCTATCTCCTCCATCACAATGTCCTGCCAACGTTCACCATCGCGGCTACGATTTGGTTGATCTAAAACAAAAATGAACTTACGACCGAACCGTTGAGGCGCCGACGTCAACATAGTCGTCAAACTGCTCCTTGAATAGATTCTTACGACCTCCAACACCACCAGTGGCTCCCACACCCGTCCATCTACCGGATGAAATCGTAGAGGAGCTGCACAACGGCCGGCCGCATCCTAGCAGATGTCTATCGTCGACAACCGATAAGAAGGCCGGACGAAGCAAACAATACGATGATGGAATACCCACCCAAACGGTGCAGAAAAAAACCGCCGCATACAACACACCTTTACATGGAATCATAAAAACAAAATACAGCTAAGGACATTAAAAGAAACAACATTAAATAACGCTTTGCAATACTTATAAAGGTGTTATCAAATAAAAAATAGACCCCTGGACGAAGCCGCCTTAGCATAGGGGTATTGCGTTTGATTCGTAATCAAAAGGTCATGGGTTCGAATCCCATAGGCGGCTTATCTCTGCCGTCCGCTATATTAATCATTACAATGTCAGGGTTCTTTCAACTTATAAATGCTCAGATACAGTCGTCAAAAGAGCTAATGTTGACCTTGAAGAGTTAACACCCATCACTCTTGTGATCATGCATCCACCTTCTTATCTTCAAACAGACCGTACATTACCTTCACTTCCTGTTTGTAGATAGTCTCGTCACCGTGAATATCAGGAGTCTCCAGTATAATGGGCATATTACGGAAATAGCCACTGTTAGCAATGAACTCGAAAGTTTCACGAGTCAGCTTCCCAATACCGATATTCTCGTGACGATCCAAACCGCTACCGAGGTCAGACTTACAGTCGTTTAAGTGCACAGCCGCAAGGTAATTGAGACCAACTATAGAGTCAAACGAACGCATTACCTCCTCGAATTTAGCTGTGGTGCGGATGTCGTAACCTATCAGGATTGAACAAAAAATATCGAACAACTAACCAGCAGCGAAAAGGTGACATGTATCGAGACATACCGCAATCTGTAACTGTATAACATATGAATAACATGACAAACCCGATCCTTGTTCTCCACCAAATTGATGATGTCACGTAAATCCTCAAAGGTTGAACCCACAACATTCTTCTGTCCGGCAGCATTCTCCAATACGATTTTTGCAGAACTAGTTTCCTTCATGGCCATGTTAATACACGTCTGAACATGAGATGAAGATGTACAGCAACAATAGACCAACAGCAATGTTTCGGATGCCCTCAGACTTCTCGCACATACCGACTGTAGATCCTGAAAAGGGTTATAAGCGAAAACGAAATACGCACCCGGATGGAAGTTGTATAGAGTAATTCCCAATTTCTCACAACGTTGGATGTCGTCAACAAAATGGTGATATGATTTCATACGCTTGTCATAATCAGGGTTCGCAATGTTAATCAGATACGACCCATGAGGTAAAATGAACTTCAGGTTGTAGTTATGCTTGGAAATCATATCAGCAAATTTCGTAACTGTCTGGTTTGACAAAGGTGGACTGTCCCATCGACGCTGATTCTTTAGGAAAAGGGCAAACGCCTGACCTGAAATCCATCATGATCGTGTTAATGACACCAGATCATGAATCACAGTTAACAATGTAAATAGAACATAAGAGTTACAAAAGTAGATTTAATGTATAAATAAAGTTGTCAGTACCAGATAATCATGCAAGTGCCTCCAATTACAATCGTCATGGAGATGTAGAGAACAAACACATACCACATATGTTGTAAGCGTTCACTACGGCATTTTCCAAGCCACCGGCAGTGGAGATGTGCGCACCAATATAAAGTCCAGAACGTTCGCTGGCTGCTTCTATTTCGGCGAACGCTGCAGCTCTGTCCTCCTTGGGGTCTGTAAAGCTATGTGCAGTAGGCAAAAGCAACCGTACCTAATTTGGGCAGTGTAACCCACGGTTTAGGCTTCTCGGTCTGAGGTTTAAGAGATAATTTAGTCTGGAAAGCCTTCTTCGGTTTGCCCTTAGTTATCCCGGTCTTCTTCGTCTTCTGTGAGGAAGGCTTGGCAGAAGTAGAGCCTTCGTCAGTAGCGTCACTTACCAAAGTGTCCGTAGTGGACATCGATTCTAGCTTAGATGCTGCACACATCGTTGATATAAACCGACGGGAAGTGCAGGTAAAGGAAGAAAGGGACCTTGAAACAAATGACGCGTCGTACACTTGCACAGTTCGCGCGCCAAAGCGAAACGCGCAGTAACTAAATAATAAAAATGGAAAAAAACGACAAACGCAATATACCCGTGATATATGCTTCATAACAGTCACAGAGGGGGTGCCGCTTATATCACGTAGACAGAGCACGGCAGTGGGCGTTGGAAACTAACACACTAACATTATATCAAAGTGTCGATCAACGCGTTACGCAGAGTATGCGACTCTGACACTGAAGGATCAAATTCCTTGGGTCGCGAGAGCTGAAAGATACGCTCAATAGTAGCAATCTCCGTAGCGGTAGTTGACATGCCACAAAAAGCAACCCAATCGTTAGCAATCAAACCTACAAATATTAGAGCCTACTAAATACAACACCCACCTCCTCCTATCACATCTGAACCACGATTCACAGTACCAGATGTCAATGGGATTTGAAGAAGCTGGGACAGCTCCTCCATCTCGTCGGTAGTTGTCTTCACATGAACCAAACCACCCTTGTTTTGAAAACGACAATAACTCCCAATTAAAACATTCCCTGCGATAGAGGCGCGAAATACCTCGATGCCAAGCACGTCCTCAACGATCTCCTCGGTCTCCTTGTCCATATCAACGTGAATCAGACCCACATAGTCGTTACAAGTTATGACATTGCCTAACGCAGATAAACGGTCATCGATTCGGCGAATCTCCACAGAATCGGGGAGTGAATTGCGTAAATGACGCAGTTCGGTGTCAGTACAGATGCTTGAAACGAGGAGACCTTTACGGTTACCTAGCGAATGATGATACAGAAATTCACAAACGATGCAAAACAAAAAAGCGACTTACCAACAGTGACACTGCCAACTACACGGGTGCCGCCGATGGTAGTGTGAACCACTGGGATCTGCGGCAAAAGCTCGGCCTCAAACACGCTAGCAAAGTTGCACGAACTACCCAGAGTTACCAAAGCATACGAATTAGTCAGTGTAGCAAACACACCGACCTCGTTGCTGTTCTCATATTGCGTCCCTGAAAATCGGTAAATCACTAGAAAAATATAACCCACTGATGGCCATTGTGGCAAATTATGGACAAAGACAGACCCAAATGTCAAACTTATAACACAAATATACAATTAAAAAGAGTCTGTCAAATTTGAGGAGACGTACATAATAACATTTTATGATACACAGAACTGTGGGTGTGGAGGATAGGACAACGCGCGAGGGTACCTGTGGGACTAAAAACAACGCTAAAGGATACACACCTTCAAAATATAATGCAAATATCACCCCAAACAAACATTAATAGCACCAAATGGGAGCTGAACTGGCATCAACACGTTCCAGCAGCCGAGCGATGATGCTAGACCTAAGGCAACCTACACAATGGGACTCGTAACAACCGAAAGTGGTACAAGTAGTGTCGATGCCTCTAAATGGGTACTAGAAGATGTGGAAAATAAACCGCTCCAACTAGTAGCAGGGTCCAGACCCCGAAAAAAGCGGAACGTCAACAAGAAGAAGGAAATAAAAGACGACCAACGAGAAACACTATTGGTTCACAATGAAACCGCCGTAGGAAAGTCATTCAGGGACCTTGGGGTGCCAGAGTGGTTAATACAGCTCGCAGAGGGTGTAAGCATCACGGCGCCGACCGAGCTTCTCGCACAAGCATACACTCACCACCTACTACCACTGCATCTACTCGCCCACAAGATACAGGAACTATGCTTACCAGCCGCATTCAAGGGGGGAAACGTTATAGGGTGTGCACAGACTGGAACCGGGAAGACAATATGTTTTTGTTGGCCTATACTTGTAGCACTGGCCAAGGACCCATACGGAGTATTTGGACTTGTACTCACTGGATCTAGGGAACTTGCATTCCAAATCGGAGACCAATTTAATGTCTTCGGTGTACAAATGAACATCAGTGTATGCGTATGTGTGGGTGGAGCAGACTTTGTCAAGCAGTCTCTACAACTAGAAGCACGACCGCATGTAGTAATAGCAACGCCGGGAAGACTGGCAGATCAGGTAGACATCAAGGAACGGAAAATCGCTCACGTATTCCGCAATGTCAAGTATCTAGTATTCGACGAGGCAGATAAACTACTACACCAGACATTTGAAGAACCGCTACAAAGGATAATCAGCTGTCTACCTACCACAAAGGATGGCAGGATAACATACCTATTCTCAGCTACAATCACAAAGGCTATAGACGCATTGTGCAATTCTTTCAGCGATACACAGTTCCACTTTTTCGATGTCACAAAAGGGCAAGAAGCGCAATTCCATGAATTACAACTAAAACAACAATATTTATTTCTGCCACAAAATGTGCATCTGCCGTATCTGGTCTACCTGTTGCAGACAAAACTTATGGAAAAGGACACAGACCAAGGGATCATTTTTACTGCTACTAAGAGAAGGTGCCAACTAGTTGCAGTAACACTTGAATTGATGGATTTCAAGGCCACATGCGTGCATTCGCTCATGAAACAAAGGAAGAGAAACGCTTGCCTTGCGAAATTCAGGACAGGGGTATCAAAGATACTAGTAGCAACGGATCTAGTGGCAAGAGGTATAGACATACAGGAAGTGTCCTTCGTAGTCAACCTCGATTTTCCAGGGTCAACAGAAGATTATATACACAGAGTTGGTAGAACGGCAAGGTCAGGAAAAACAGGTGTTGCCATATCTTTCATCGATGAAGATGACGTGGAGAAATTGAAAAACGTGGAAAAGGAGGCCAACGTCACTTTAGAAAAATTTGAAGTAGACGATAGCCAGGCAGTAAAACTGCTAAACAAGGTATCTATAGCGACGCAAAGAGCCAGAGTATACCTTCAAGAAAATGATTACTTGCAGCGTAAATAGACACAAAAGGCGTAAAGCAATACCCAGTGATATCTCTCGATTCCATATGTGGTGGAGTGTGTATGGCCTTCCATGCCGTGATAAATGCTAATTTCATTGAATACTATTTTAAACAATGTGAAGTATCTCATGAAATCCTACCCGGTGCAGCGAGGGCACAGAATAAGGGGAGAGGCAGCCCTAACGCTACTCTGCCTTGTCGTAGCTATAGCCATATGGGCACTTCCTGCCGTCAAAGCTGGGCGTTGGAACAATAGACAACGTCAAATATGTTCAATAGGCAACCATGTTGGCGGAAGATTGCCCAAAATTGGTGATATACGCAACAGCAATGCAAAGAATGAGCGAACACAGTTAATACCAAGTGATAACTACGACAACAAATTCTCACGTTTGTTGCTGGTTATCACAGAAAATGGGCTAGAAAGGCTGCGCCAGTCAAGAGTACTGGTGGTTGGAGCATCCAAACTGGCCTCAGAGATCATTACGCATCTCAGTAGATCAGGGGTTGGCACAATTTGCGTATGGGACAGCGATGATGGCGCGAAGGAGATGGCGCAGAATATAATGCTATTACAAACTGATGTTAAAATTAAAATATTGGAAAGGGAACCAAAATATGCGGAAGAGAATTATGACGCTGTGATATTCGTCGATCAACCACTGCAACAAGCAATGGATGTGAATGACATAGTGAGGGATAAAAGCAAGTTTATATACACAATATCAGCCGGTGTCTATGGCCTTGTTCTCTCGGATTTCGGTGATGTACACCGTGTTCACGCAAGGGCGGAAAGGCACAATCCAGAGCAACAGGGCACCGTAATATCAGATGGGAAGACGTCAGTAATAGAAGTAAGCTCAAACTATGGTGTGGACACTTACGAACCGGGTGATGTTGTCAATATCTCAGTGACAAAATACCTCGGTTATTCGAAAGCAAGGTATCAAAACGACGGAGATATTATAGTTATCACGGCAAAAGTTTTGAGTGTCGAACATGTAGACCAATTCTCAGTTAAATTGGTCATTGATATAAACATGAAGGAATGGAACAAAGGGAACTTTGGTATTAAGAAGGTAGAACGACCAACCAACTTTACATTCGACTCCCTGAAAACTTTGGTGAGACGTTTACTTGGAGAGAAACCAGGATGGATCGAGCTTATAAAGGACCTATTCAAAAGAACATCTGTGAAACCTGCACAACTCATCATAGCCCCAGCAGCAGGGAACTCTAAACATAGAAGTGTTGTTGCTACTGCTGCAGCGTTGATGAAGTTGGGTCGGAAACGAGCTCCTTCGGTGGATGACGAGACACTGGGCAACTGCAGTGTTATGGACAACTCTGCGGATGAAGAGGTCTCCTTGTCTGTCAAAGAAACTTTACCTGCAAATTTTTCAACCTTGACGCAAGTTGAAGTTCCGGCAATCAACTCTCTTGTGGGTAAGTCATCAATGCTTAATCTTTTATAGAGTTTAGGTTCGCTGGCGGCTCAAGAAGCTATCAAGGGGTTAACTGGAGTGTTCACACCCTCAGAGGTGATAATAGTGGACAGATGTGATGTATTCCCCAGCAACGGCGCCGGACTCTCCGTTGAAGATGCCCGCAGGCATCTGGAACAGGCCAACAAATGTGGATACGTAGTGGTTGGTGCCGGAGCTTTAGGATGCGAGTATTTGAAAATGCTCGCACGTATGGGTGTTGAGCATGTCACGATTCTGGATAACGATAGAGTGGATGTTTCTAACCTCACCAGACAGAGCCTTTTCACACTAGCAGATGTGGGCACTAGCAAGGCGGAAGCTGCGGTTAAGAATCTGCGTTTGATTACTAATCGAAATTTAAAGAATTATGTCGCGCAAAATAGATTGTTTGATGAAGATTTTCACGCCGAACAAAACGATGAAATCACACAGCTCATACTTTTGTCAGCTGTAGATAACATCCATGCAAGATTGGCCATAGAGAACTATGCCATAGAGAATTTACGCATATTTGTGGAGGCTGGCATACATGGAATGAATTGCAGCACTTCAGTTTCGGTACCGCATTGCACGGACTCGTATGGATCAACAGTGGGACCGGAAACGCTCATGAATGATCATGTTAGCTGCTCCGTAAAGGGGATACCGAGGACAATTGAAGACACTGTGTTCTACTCGATGGAGTTGTTTGCATGGATATTTGATCAGCAACATCAAATATTTAACAACTTTCAACAGGACCCCGTGGGCACGCTCCAGAGTGCTTTGTCTAAGTCTTTAGAACACTTCTGTAACGTTGCCAATTCAATTGGTGATAATGCGCAATTTGTTGTTGGATTGTTAAATGCTAAAGATTGGGCCAATAGGGCTTATGACACCTATTTCTCTATCCCCCTCCCATTAAAGAACATGCTCTTGGATGCCATGTCTAATATTAAGCGGCGAGCTGTGCGTTCATTGGGGCAGCGGGACAACGAAAACACTGTAGAGGTGGATAAATTGGGTAGCACTCTACGTTTGATGATAGAAGAACATTGCAGGAAATTAGAAATGACACCCAATGACGGTATGATTAAGAGGTGCTTAGATGCTGTGGATGTTTTGTTAAGGAACCCCGGAATTAGAAGGTTATTTGAGAGTGGAATGAATGTAGAATTGAAACGAACATCCTTCAACGAAAATTTAAAGGATAACCGTGAATTCGTTTTCGCAGCCAGCAATATCAGAGCTCACAAGTTTGGAATATGTCAGAAGGACATGACAACCATAATGAAAGTTGCTAAAAATGTGGTACCTGCAATATCTACCACGGTTGGAATAGCCGCATCTATGGCCATGTTAGAAGTATACAAGGCTGTATCACTACTAGAAAATATGCACTTGGTACATCAAAGGAAAATGGATGAATTGAGCCAAAATGTTGCCAATAGGCAGGTGAGCATCGCAAAACCAAATGTCATGGGTGGTTCCCCAACGCTCATTTTAAATCAAGGTGAGGCATCCTTTTTTAACAAAAATAAAAAGGTGGTATCACTAAGGATAATAGATTACCGGAGAAACCGAGAACTCTCACGGGGATTGATCAATAATTATTTCAACCTTAGCACAATGAACTATATTCCCAGCTGTACGAGCTTCCCTGATATATTCGAAGTCTACAGTGGTGACGCACTGTTAAGAGGAGTGTCATTGTCGTTCTGGGACCACATTATTGTTAATGACGGGAAAACCAATAATGCAAGTTACGGTGCAGGTAAGCCATCCGATACCGTTAAAGGTGCACAAATTACTATTGGTGAGTTGGTTGGTTCAGTAGAGAGGCTGTTCGACGTAAAGGTGGAAGCGTTGTATGCATCTGGTCATATTGTAACCGTGTCTGAGGACAACACCTCCAAAACACTTCGGGATGTGTTCAATTTTAAGGGCACCGGAACAATACAATTGAAGGCAAAAGACAAGGTGACATCTCAGCCTATTGGACTACCTAATATAAGATATGCGATTCAATCTTGAACGACCGTAACAGATGGTAGCTTCGCAAAAGGAGTGTATTCGTATGGTACAGGGTCGCACCAGAGTTGCAACGATAAATCACGTCACGTTGCTCTTACCGGCAGACTGTTCCACGCCGTTGTCCTTGATGACTATTCGCAGCTGTGAAAACATAATAATGGACGCCAAAACCTTAATTCTAGTTTACTAAAACGGTCAATGGCAACATGAATATCAATCTTTTAGGCTATAAAAACCTTATGACTACATAATATTCGCAATGTGAAGCATAAATCACGGTATATTCGTATCAAGTATACGAACTAAACGTTTTCAGGCGACCGGGTTTTCGGTCACCGCCGCGTCATCTCAGATGAAAGCCATAAACTGCAATAGTGCGAAAACGTTCACAGTCAAGAAACCAAAGACTGCGTAGCCCGATTTAATGCGAACAAAGGGTGCCGCACGAATCTTCTTGCTACGCATCGCCTCCACAGTTGTCTTTCTCGAAGCTTCCACTACATCTGCTTCGTTCTCGATCTCCCTGTCTCTTGGTGTAACCGTTGCCTCCCACGGCTTTTGAATACCTCTACTACGTACCACGTTGGCGGCATCATTATTGGGGTTGACACCTGCTTCTGCCGTCCTACCAGTAGTCCCACTAGGTACCACGTTGGCGCCATCATTATTGGGGTTGACACCTGCTTCTGCCGTCCTACCAGTAGTCCCACGAGGTACCACGTTGGCGCCATCATTATTGGGGTTCAACTCACGAGACAGTTCTACATTTGTCGCCGGGGCCATTGTGATTCGATCGTCCGTTGCACTGGTAACTGGGTTCTCGATTTGTTCCTCCGCAGCTACATTCAATTCCATATCCAGCTTCTCGCACTCGCCATAGGCCTCCTTACACAACTGAAAATAAGAATCCAATTCCATCATGTAGCTATAATAATTTTGGTCCCTGAATGTTTGATTCAAGTTTTTAATACGTGCCAAATGTTGCTTTTTTTCAGCCTCGTCCGTCGTAGCGTTGAGCTTTTGCCACCAAAGATCGTAATCACTGCACAATTTACGCATACCCTCGTATACAGCGTATTTGTTGTTTAAGCCACCGACGAGTATCATCACCGCATCGGTCTTCTCCTCAAACTCTGACGCTTTGGGATGTTTTCTGAAGCCGAGCTTCTTGGTTTTGCTTAATAGAACAATCAAGATTCTTTGCACCTCCTTCACAAGTCTCGTGGCGTCAAATAACGTTACCGATGCCGCACTACATTTATTGAAAACCTCCTCAGGCGACACCCGAGGAGAGGCTATATTTTCTCTGCCGCTAGTGGAAGTGGCAGGACTTCTATTATCCATTGTTGCGAGTGCTATGGCATCCACTCGCTCTGATAGTAATCTAGTATTTTCCGAAGTCACCTGAACTTGCGTCCGAAGCTCATCTATTTCTTTTAGCTTTGTCAATATTTCAGACTCATAACTCAATTTTTGTTGTTCGGCGCTTTTGACAGCCTCCGTTATCCTGCCTAATGCGTTCTCATATGCGACACGCATAGGAGGTAAAGCAGCTTGGGGGTCTATAGGCTCCGCCTCATCATATTCATAGGCCTCAGGCCTCGCTATCCTGTCAAGCTCCTCGATCTTCTCAACTAAATTAGCTTCAGCATCTGCTTTTAACCGTTCTGCCTCGTTAATAGCTTCAGCAGTTGTTCTATTCAGCTGATCATACTCTTTTCTTTTTGCAGCGCAAGCAGCTCTAGCATCCTCTTTCACCTTATTTGCGGATGCAACAGCAGCATGTGCCACACTTTTGATGCCATTTAGTTCTTGAGTTTTGGCTGCCAATTCAGATTCAGCCTGTTCTTTCATATGCTCGGTTCTTTTAACGGTTTCATCTGTACTCTTCTTAAGCTGCTCATACTCATGCTGTTTCGTGGCAAATTCAGCTTGCGCAGTCTCTGCCATTTTTGCCGCATCGTTAATGAGCCCATCTCGCCGCCTCTCGGATGCGGAAAAGTCCTCCCGCTTCTTTTCTAACTCGACCTTGATACGACGCCTCAGTTCTGCGTTTTTCAAAGACTCCTTAAACTTCACATCAGCTTCGCTGTGTTCTTTCTCTGTCGCGTCGAATTCAGCTTGAGCAACTTCCAAAGCTTTTTTCGCCTCTTTAATAAGTGATTCCAACTGTTGCTCAAATCCGGCCAATTCTTTTTTCGTATCTTCCAATTCAGCCGTGGCACGAGCTTTTAGTTCGTCGGTATCCGCAGCTTTAACCTTTGCTTCAACCTCTTCAGTTTTCTTTTGTTTCGCCTGTTTTGCAGCTTCTATTTCCGATTTTATTCGATTCAAGTCTTCTATAGATCTCCGTAATCTCCCATCTGCTGCGGCAAGTTCTGTTTGTTTCTCATCCAATTCAGCCTTTGCACGTTCTATTGCCATTTCTGCATCAGGGCCAGTCAACATCGCCTCGGCCTCAGATATTGCATTTTGTTCCTCTTGTTTCTCAGAATCTAAGTTGTCTTGTATTTCATTCAAACGTTTCATAGCATCCTTCGCCTTCTTATCAGCGAGGTCAAGCTCACGTTTCTTCGCACTCAAACGGGCATCAGCATCAACCTTTACGGTTTCCAAATTCTTGGCAAGTGCCTCTCCCTTCCTTTCAGCTGTTTTGAAATCTTTTTTTTTCGAATCCAATTCACGCCGATAACGTGCTTTTACCTCATCGGCAGTGGCAGTTGCTTCCCGCTCCGTTATCTCCGCATCCTCAATTTCCTTTCGTTTCGCTTCAAGTTCGCTTTCTGACACAGCCTTTACACTATCTAAGTGTGCAACAGCCATTTGCAGACGGTTCTCAGCTTCAAAGAACTCATCTCTTCTAGCTGCGAATTCGGACAAGGCAAGGGCTATTTGACCTGCGTTGCTAGAAATTTCATCCCTGCGCGCCGTAATTTCAGCAACCTCGCGTTCCTTTGCAGATAACTCGGCCTCGACTGCCATTATCTTTTCATCCATTGCTTCAACAAGCTTGGCTTCTGGTGGCACCTGTGGTTCTGCTGAAGGAGAGACGCTTTCGCTTTCACCTTCTTCAGAACCAGTAGAAAGGCTAACAACGTCCCCACCCGTGGCGGATGCATCATTCTGTGAAATGCATTCGTCACCATCTAAATTCAATGGAATATCTAGATTGGAATAAGAAGATGCTCCATTACCATTACTTTCAGAACCCGTAGAGAGGCTAATAACGTCCGCAACCGTGAAGAACGAATCCCCCTGTGATGCGCACTCGTCTCTATCTAAATTCAGTGGAATCTCTAGATTGGAATAAGAAGATGCTCCATTATCACCACTGTCAGAACCAGTAGAGGGGCCAGCAGCATCCGATTTGGTTTCGGTGTTAGCTGGTGCTTCGCCATCATCTCCGTGCTCATTCCATGAGATATTTTGGCTCGTATTGGAAGACCCATCGACGCGAAGAAAACCGCCAAATTCATGCAGAAGGGTAGTATACTGAGTGATCAATTGGTCAATATGCTGTTCACCGAAAACGAATTGTTTGCGAGCAAAATCCTCTGCAAGTCTAGCTAGAGAAGCTTCATCTTGCTCTCTTTCTTCCGCTGTAATATCCTTACGAAGAAGGTGGAGCTCCCCCGCTTCGTGCGATCGTAATAACTCGGTCATTTCACGATACATCTGAGAATCTTGAGACAATTTTTGAAAATCGTTCGTAAAACTGGCTAAAATGTCAACGCCCTCTTTTTCGACATCTGAACCTTTGTTTTCCTCTTGCTCTTTACATTTAGTCAGCAGGTCTTGACGCATCGATTCGGCACGGGTTATCAAATCATACAACTTGAACAGCTTTTTAGCAACGGCGTTGCGGTCGCCATTCAAGAGCATAGCTGTGCTTTTCCCATCACCTACTTGAACTATAACGGCATTAGTGAGAGGGAACAACAGTCCATTCCAAACTGTGAAACAGAGGCAGAGCAAAGTCCCCCATGCCCGTGAACGGTAAAAAATAGCCATTGTCGAAAATAAGAGAGACGCCTGTATTTCAATGGCTATGGAAATAGTCTCCTTCTATCCGTCCGTGTTTACTTAACACCTAACTCGGACGAGAATTTTCCGCAAACGCTTTTGCCAATTCGCTGGGTCAATGTTGACTTTTTCAAGGTCCTACACAAACGGCAATCCCTGCTGCGTCAAATATTTTCACTCCTGTCCGTTGGCAACTTGCAAATGCAACCAATCAGACTAATACTGCTATTACACTCAAGCACAGCAGACTTCAACCTGGTCTCCTATAAGCAACTAACGCTGTTGTCTAAATGCTCAAAAAAATGAAATATAAACTTTTGCGAATGAGCAACCGAAGCAACGATATAATCGATTTGTAAGCGAAATTTCTACTGACGCAACAGAGGTCTCGCAAATAACGGCGAAATAGCAGCAGCTACCCCCATGCTGCTCGTAGAATTTTCGCTGTTAACGCGCAGCAGTTAACCAAACGGGTAAAAAATCTAGCTGTTGCTACTAGATAGCCATAAATGCTAGTGGTTCGCTATTTATACAGGCTATAGCCTTAGTATTGAAATTTTTACTTCCGACGTTTATATTGGTTATGGCCTCAAGGCCGGGTCGATGGCGCCAACTTATATCGTATTCGCACCTAGTCCTTTCCGTTGGTGTATATGTACTGTGACCAGTAGATTTGTTTAAAATTACAACCAGAGTGTCCCATAAAAACGGCTTAAATCACTTGGCCGGCTAATAAAAAAAACGACACACCCGTAATCCAATGTCCTCTAGTAACGCTATACAACATCAAGAGTCATCTAGAGTACTACTATTGAAATTATTTCACCAGCGCTGCATTATAAACCTTAGCGGTGATGGGTAGTTATATTCATAAGCTTTGCAGCGTCCCTTTAAATAGGTGACTCTTTCTTTGTCGTATATCGCATCGAACATTGGTTTTAAAGGACATTCAGATGGTTTTACTAGTTTGTATTCAACGTTGTCGATGCCCGGACTCTCCCATATTTTTGTAGACATACGTGGCTTAATAAAACATAGTGAATTCCATAGCACTGTGTTATTTTAGTACCACCGTCATAAGCTATTTAATATGTTAACATGTGTAATGATGTGTAAACAGCAATTATACAATTGAGTAGCGACACCGGATAACCTTTTTCGCCAATAGGTGTGATTCCGGCGTGAGACAATTCCTATTAACTAAAATCTATGTTGGTTAAATTGTTCACGTGACTTTAATTAATAAATCCACATAATAGCGATCATCAAACGTCTTTCAATCTAATGTGTTCACCTCCATTAGGTCGCTGGAAGGTATAAGCGACAGTTCCAGGAAAAACAATGAATAGCGACCCCAAATAAAAAGATGGATGCCAGACTCCCGAATCACGAAAAACATGCGTATGACATCGGCGGGCCTTACGTCCCGTCAACCCGCCAAGGAGCTCGAGGCGTGCAACATGCGTCTGAATGACACAAATTATTCGATTCCCATCGCTGCTCTATTGCAGATGTCACCTATAAATCGGTTTTGATCATGTAATGCGGATCGGATGATTCACGACCGTGCGAATAGTTGTTTGGACATCAACTCTACAATCATAGCACAATCGAACATCGTTCTAGGATGCCAGCTCGAGCTGGCAAGGCGGCCGTGAGGGATGTTGGCCACCAAACACCTTCTGCGATATATGGCGCCACGAGGACGGCCGTCAGAATGGCGAGAGCCTACTGCCAGGAGTAGAGCTGTAATGATGTAGGGGACCGCAGGCACAGCAATTCAAAATAGTTTCTATACGGCCCCTTCAGCCAAAACGTGTTGAAAGGGGAGGTATGGATTTGGAAATAGAAATGGTATGTCACTTTTTAGGATTTGTCGCACCGCCCAAACTTTCCTCGGTTGGGTCACGGAACCATAATCAACCAGTTACAGAGGACGACCTGGATCAACAATGAATGGACGATGTCTACAGCTACAATAACAGCTGTTCAGTGTCGCCTTTATGGGGAACAAGCTATAATTTAGGGACGACATCCTTTTTAGGGTGACTATGGATGGGAAGAACGCTGGAACCAATGTCAAATAATTCAGGTGATGGGCCACCAGTGTTCGATTCTAACCACTACAATGGCGATATTACGGGCCAAATGTGGCATTTGCGTCCTCAGTATAGGTATGCAAATCTGTTTCACCGTCGTGGTAGAAGAGTCGCAAGGTACAGTGTCTGAGTGATAATGGTATCCTCGCCTCTAACGCGTGGGTGGGGTCAGCAGAAGGCTACAGATAGCTTTGGAGATGAATAATATAATGTAGTATTTAGTTGATGGGCAATTCAAGGTCCCGACAGACCAACCAGGTGTTAGATATCAGGATGTAAGAAGCCACTGCAGCCCCTGGCAAACATGGGAGTTGCATGTTTCGATTTCGAAACGTCTGAACGTACCCAGTAGGATCAAGAGTTATTCAATCGACCGTTAAAATGTAACTGCGCTCTGAAGAGCCTTCGATCATAGACCATGTCATCGATCCTTCTGATGTGCACAGCCGTCACCCCTGTACTTGCTGAAAATTTGAGAAAGTTAAGCTCGGAAGATGAATGGCTGACGGAGTTCGACTCAGGACCCAACTGGTACGAGAACCTCACCTGTTTGCAGAAAACGTCGATGATACTTGGCGCTTTCATAGTAACCTCTTTCGTCATTTCGTTAATAGCTTACGGAGTATCGGCAGGAAAGAAATGCGACTTAAGCAAACAATGCAATAGAGAAACCGACGAAACAGATTTATGCAAACACTGCAAGTTATGCAAGAACGGGGAGGACGGTGACGACTGCTGGGGATGCAAGGGAATACTGGACGACCAGTGGCGAAAATGTAGGTCGGAAGCAAAATTATATGGATCAAACAACCGAAATGGTGTCGAGGGTACTCCATGGGACAAGGAAGGAAAATGCGCTGGATGTTTGAATCTTAAAAAAGTGCCTCCATGCATGGGATTTGCCAGGCATGCCACCGTAACATTCGGCAGTCTCACAATTGTGGCATTGCTTGCTTTTGGCTACTATGTTGCGAATAAGTGGGAAAACATAGGCACCAAGAAGGGGGTGATCTTGATTGTGTGCATCATATTAGGTTCCATAGGCATCGGGGCGTTGCTTTCTCATATCGCCAATAAGGCTTGTGATTTACATGAGCGTGTAGGCGGAGATGGTATATATAATGTGGGCAGTGGTGGTAGGATGTATGCCTGGCTCATAATCGTGTCACTCATATTTGTATTGTTAGGATTTCTAATTGTCTACTACACAAATCGATACAAATTGGTTGATAAGGCTGTGGCGGCACTCAAGGATATCTCAGATACTGACCCGTATATGCCGATGGAATGTCGTCGCCCTTGAAGTTGTCCCTTCTAAGTAGGATTGTGAGCCTGCCCAAAGCGGTGCCTCATTTCCCAAGGTAATGTGTAGGAAGCGAAATCTGCTTCTCTATTCAGTAGAGGGAAACAATGTTCTCGGGGACTAACACTTCAATTTTTACGAGATTGACAACTCAGGTGTCGTATCTTCCCGCTGTTAAGCTTCTGGCTATAGATGCGAGTAAGATCTTTTCCAGCAACAGCCATTTGTTCATAAATGACTAAAGTATCGTATCAAGTTATCCGAAGAGTATTGGAGCCTCTTGGATGATGGTGGGATCCACATTTGCCAAATGGATGGCCGCGTTATTGGTTGTTAGCAGTCTGCTATGTGGTAACGTGCTCTGCGACGATCTGAATGAGGTGATTCCTGAATGTCACGTCTGTAAGGATACTCAACCCGAAGTTCCCCAGGAGACGTAGGTCGAAGATCCTATGCCCAGTGATGCCAACCTATCCGGTAGCACTCCTGAGCCAGTTAAAAAGCCTAGCTGGTGGCGTCGGATTTTTGGTGGTTGGAGAAGATGCCCTTCGGAAGAACCGGAACCCGTTGCAGTGCCATGTTCAGGTCCAACTGATGTTTCTCCTGAAGAAGAGGGTAATAAATATTACCTAGAGGTTGGAGTGGATGCTCGCAATAGGCTGCGTTCTCAACACCCGTGGTATCTGGTCATGAAATTCTCCAGGGATGACAATGACGAGCTTCCTGAAGAGCTTGTCAAGGAAGTTGAGAAGTATATAGCTTAGCTTCATGCCCGTTCAACGGCCTCTTCATGGACATGGAGTCTGATTGGTACGACTGATATGCAGTCTCATGTTGACCATTGTATGGTCAATTACCCAATTGGGCAGGGACTACTGTAATGGCGTATCACTGTGGCGAACAACACCCAGCACGCTACGACATTAATGAAGTTGCAATCAATATAATCAACATGTATGTGGCGCTATCGAATGCTTCATCCTACTTGTTGCCACATTGTGGCCTTTGCATATCTGATGTAAGGCCCGTTACCACTTAGTGTTACATATCAGTCTATTCACGCATGAGACTGAGAATGTACTACGGTGATGTGTACCGCAACACACGGAGGTACCGTCCACCATGAAACATTGATTACAATATATACTATAGCATCATATATACTTCATTTGTTACACGTGTTTATTTGTTGGTCGACGTATCTGATGGCGTTGTCGAACATCGGTTGCGGGCGTAGCGTGAGTACTGTGCTGTAGTCGTCGAACTTGGAAATGCCGACATTGATTACATCCGGAGCGATTGTGGCCAGAGTGTTTGCCCAATCCGCCACGTTGTCGTACGTGGCCCTCCCAGTCCCGTGTTTGGACATGAACTCAGCCAACCAGTCCAGGCGCAACAATGGGGGACGCTCGTCGGAAATTGACAGGTCAACCAATGCATTCAGGAACCGGCGCACATCCTTCCAATATGATATATCACGTTCCTTGACGTAGGAAGTGTTTGTGGCAGCCGCCACGCGCTTTGCGTTCTCCCTAATGCGCCACATACCTGGTGTATCCAGTAGGTCGGTCGAAACAGGCAACATGGTTTCATCCCGCAACCTCTTAATTGACCCTATGTCGCTAACAGGTGAATAACACATCTTGGTTGTAGAGAGGTGGCCGAAATCCCGATCACTACGGTTGTTAGAGGTGAATAGTGCAGTGGATTGGGTTGCATCCGTTGCCACGTTTCTTGACAATTTAACTGCGGGCCGTGTAGGGGTGGAAATCGGCAATGGTATCGCATCATCTGTACCTAGGCCGCCGCAATGCTTTGTTGGTAGTGCGGCCAGTGGAATAGGTAGTGACATGTCTGGGTCGAAACCACAGCACGACCCTCGGTCTTGCACATATTCTGCCTTACACCGGGCTATCCATGCGCAGATGATGCTCTTGAAGCAGTAACACGTGTTTTCAAAGTCGTTTGTGGAAGAGCAGAGTCTACCGTCTAGTTTATGTATCCGTATTTGGACATCACTGACGTGGTCTCCACGAGACTCGCTATATTCCGTTTTGTACCTCTTGCGTATAGGTTCCGCGATGCTAACTGATTTCAAAGTGACCAAATTTGGTGCAAGCCAAGCTATTTGTCTCAGGTGGTCCAACGTAAAGTCTTTCCTAGTCATGCGTTGGACCATCAGCTGTACCACCTTGAAGTACGGTCGGTCGCTGCGCATCGACGCACGCCTGATGAACGTGCACATGTTTTTGAAATGCTTGTATAACAGAGACAGATATGTGCCCATCCTCGATTCTGATATCATGCCCTTTCCCAAAGTTGCATAGACCATTGGGTTGACATCGTCTTTGCGCATGTCCTCAATCCTCGCTCCTCCGAAGGCATCTAGATCCATCGCATCACCAGTTGCAAACATCGTCTGCGTATATCTGTTAGGAGTAGTGGAGGCAGTCGTACCAGCCCCCACCGATCGTTGCGGTGTACCTATGGGACTGGCATTGCGCGCAACACCTCCGGCCCTACTCACGGCCATACCACGCCCAGAGCCATAAACATTGGCGTATCGAGGTGTAGGAACCAGAGTTGTGAGGCTGCGTATCGGGGTTTGCGTCGCTAATATATCGTCGTAATCCTCGTCCTCCTCGATACCAGGTAACTCATGCCCATTTTCATCGAATTTGTCAGTCCAACAGCGTGACGCTCCAAGCACTCTCCTCGATCGTTCCACATCGTCTTGGTCCAGTGGCACATTCATACGAATGCTACGTACTGATTTAGCCAGAATGGGATTCTTCACGACGTCGTCGCTCACGTTAACATATATATCCTTATTGCGTAATGCAGGGATGTGTACCAATCCACCACAATGGCCCAGATCCCGCTGTGACGATCTCAGCGGTGTATGCATCGAAGCTGTCAAGAGGGGGTCAGCCGCACCTGACATTGGAACATCATCTGTGTCATCACGCTCATTTAATAACACCGACTCTTCACCCAGGTGAGACACATCTAACCGCATGGTGCTAGACAACAAGTTCTGCCTCTTTCGGACACGATCTTGCATAGACATTCTTGGCGATTTGCACTTTGAATCATCGATAACAGGTTCTATCAAAGAGGGACTCACAGGTCTTCTCGACAGTTTGGGCGTACCAGGAGACTGGTAACACACACTATTGCGATCATTCTCTGCGCTTGAATTAGGCACAACGCTCCCATCTCCAGCCAGTGGTGTCGGCGTCTGGTTAACTTCCTTGCTTGGCGTCATCTCGTCTTCCGCGGCATCCAGCACACACCTTGTCAAGTCTTCTCCTCCCGAAGACGTTCTATGTCCAGCCGCGACGAACGCATCAGGTGGCAGCATACACTCCATGGTCCCACTTTGGGTACAAAGCTGCGCGCGCCAACTCTACAATCTTCATACACCTACGCACCCAACACACTACCTAATTACAATTTAAATTACAATGCGGGGATACAACAGTGTCTACTTATTACAATCAACCAACCAGCCGTGGCCGGCTCCGTGGCACTGGGTACGGCACCGCATTACACTGTCTACGACACAATCACAAGCCATGCGGCATACACACCATTTATAGAACAACTTCTATACGTCTATACAGGGTTTTTATAGCCATATTCTGAGACTATCGCCCCCATACCTCCAACAGGTTTTAGCCGAACCGACTGAATCCCCGCATACCAGGGCCGTAAGGCCGCTCTCCACATTGAGGGGGGGGGTCTAAGTTTTACACTGTGCACAGTACTTTGGGATACCCATGCGGGTGGCCTATGTGTGCCGGCAACAGCGGTCCCCCAGACAGCTGTCTAATCAGCGGCCACTGATGTTGATGTTGTTATTGGCAACACGGAAGTCCTCTGTTGGTTGTATACATTGTATGCGATATGATCGCCGTCTGAAGCCCAAGTGACAGAGGTTGGAAGACCCTGATCACAGAAGGAACAGCTGAGCGTAAGGGTGGGAAGGTTGAATATCTTCACGAGGTTTCCGTAAGTACCCACAGCCACGAATGTGTCCATAGCGTTGACGGCAACGGTAGTTGGTACCTGGTCCAGTAATATTGATGTGACCACACAGTCGGTTACGACGTCCCAGACTAGCAGCTGCTTGTCCATGGCCACCGTGCATATTCTGTTAGCAGACTTCGGATTGTGTCCGAATTGCCACGATGCTGCGACGATGTTCTTCGTATGAGCACCTAGCGAAGTGACGGTTCCCTGCACGCCATTGTGATTCGGTTTGTACAGTTTCAACATGTTGGTGTTATCTAGCATAGCGAGGCATCTGCCCACAGGTCCCCATTCCATGAACAACGGGTTGGACTCCACGGCATCTTGGATAACTGTACTGGCGTTAGTTGCGGTGTCGTATATTACAACTTTTGCATCCGCGCTGGCTGCTGCGAATATATCATTATCTTTCCAGTCGATCTCCGTTACTACAGAACCTTGGTTGTACGATGCCAGGTGACTAAGACCGTTGTACACTCGGAAAACCAGAATTCGTCCGTCGGCGTCTCCCACTGCCAACTTGCATTCAATGACAGTGCTCCCACATTCGTTCCAGAACCGCCTGTTGCCTGAGAAGGCAATTGCAGAGATCAAAGTGTTGCTAGCTTTTATGCCAAATAACCTCTGACCACACGTATTCCAGACGGCCACGCTGCCTGATGCATATCCTGTGCACAACATACGTCCATCATGCCTCCACCTGAGACATGTGCCTGCGACCTCTACATCGCCATCCGTCTCCCTGAGCATTGCAATGGGTGGTACCATCTCACAAGTCTTGACGCGGTTTTTCTTGCTAATTTGGTACATGGCAGGTGGAGCGTCTTCTAACCTGCACCCAGGTGTTCACAACAGATTATCGCCACTAACCTCTTTACGATGTATGCTGGGAATGCTGGGTTGAAATAGGCTACAGCTGCAGCGCCTTTAGGCCCATACTCCAACAGCCTCATGTAGCCGAACACCTGCCACTTGTCCGCAAGCCTCCTCTGAGGTGGCCCCAAGTATATAGCCGATGCCTCGACCAACGAATTGCTCTCCGGATTCTCACTGTTTGTATCCATCACACCTGCACCAGACCTCTCCCCCATCGCTGTCTGTTGCTGTGAAGTGGCGTGCTGACCATGTTCTGACATGATGGGTGTAGACTCCTTGATAGGGAGCCCATTTTGCTGTCCCAGTTTCCGGAAGCAGGCATGTTTACGAAAGAACGAAAATGGTTCATCGCATACTATTTGGTCCCCTGTGAGATCGTCTGTGTGGTATTCCAGGTATATGTATATCATAGCCTTCTGCATGAATGAGACCAGTGCGTTTGGCGGTATTTTGTCAGCATGGTTGTTGTAGTACGGATTCCTCGCTATTTCCGCCTCCTTGTTGAACGAAAATGCCGTATGACTGTAGCTGCACGGTTGTATTATAGAGTTATGACTGGACGCGCCTTTGAGGCCGCTCTTTGTAATGACTGTTCAGGGCGCCGCAAACTTACCCATTCTCTATCAGATAACGGTAAACCAGCAGGTTTATGTCGTCAGATGTCAGGTTTATCTTCATCTTGGCCGTAGTTAGTTGCTACCTTGCTTCTGGGACGCCACAAGTCCTAGTCAAACATTAGGGTCAACCAAACTACATGCCTGGGCATTTACAAATATTCCGCTATTACCCAAAATATACGCAATATACAGGGATGTGTATAACTAACACAGCACTAATACCAACTTATTTTTATGGGTAGCACCATCTTAGATGGCTAGGAGCGGTCCTTGTAAGCATTCGAAGCTGTAAATATTATTTTACACACTCATATCGACATGTTAAATACTGTCTAGTGGGACTGATTTAATAGCTTATAGGTGGTTTGTTATTAATTTTGTTCTGGGTCTGTATCTTGGCAGGGTTAGATATTCTTTCGAGTCAGTTTAACAATGACGGAATCCGAGGTTCCAAAGCGACCACTGTCTATTGAAGATGGTATGTGGAATGTGATGCCGTAATAATTTGTGTTAGATACGGAAGAGGGAGTTAAACGGCGTACTGTGGAAAATCCTTCCAGCAACGTTGATGTTGTTGAGTCCTTACTGGGGAAATCCCGTGTGACAGACGAGGAGTTTAAGGTGGTTCTGTCAAAGGCTACACCTGATCAGAGGTTGCGTTTTATTCAGCGTCAGTTGTCGCACTATTTGTCAAATGAGAACTTAAGTCGTGACAACTTTTATCATCAGCGATTTCAAGAGGCTTCTTCAAAGAAAGGTGTAGATGTCAGTTGTTTTTTTTGTTTGTTATAAGTTGTTTTAGCATGTTATGGAGCTTAAGTACATTTTGAGCGCCAAGAGGATGCTTGAGTTAAGGGCGACTCCGGAAGATTTGAAAGCGGCACTCAGTGCGCATCCTTTGCCGGGCATCAGTATCGAGGAGTTTTCCGACACCCTTTACGTCCGAAAGAGCGATGGTTTGCCTCGTTTCGAAGGCCGAAAGTTGTTCGAAAAGAAGAAGAAATTCGGCGAGACGCAAGACACTTATCATGCTGCTGGACCTATTGTGTTCATATCTAATATCCCAGATAGCACACGCGAATGGCAACAGGTTAAGGATGCTATCCAGCAGAATAAACAGGTCAGGTTTTTCAATTTGTTATTTTAACGCATCTTTAGGTTCGGGTCCGGTTCATTTCCCCCGTTACCGATAGCGGTACCTGCTTCGCTTGGATCTCCAAGACTCCAGAATCTATGTCGGCAGTGAAAGAATTATCACCCGTTTTAGAAGGCACTACATTGAAGGTTTCTCTGATTGACAGTGATGACAAGTACAAGGAATTCATTTCTACCTTGAAGCCTAGCATTTTGAGTTCACGTAACAAGGACTTACAACGCGTCCACTCAGAGATCATGTCATCTCCTTTGGACATTGGTGGCGTGTTGCTTCGCAACTTTGGTTGTTTGCGAGGGTTGCTCAACGGGGTGCTGGAGTCGTATGATCATGGCACAAGAATCCCCGTTGATTCTCAGGCCGGTATATTGGTATGTTTATACGTATTTTTGATATACATGTGACATTAGTTGGAGTTCGTGCTTGACTTTCACCCCCGAAAATCTGAGAAGTTGTGTAAGAGTCAGCGATCTCTTGTGGGTTTTGAGATCGCCCTGGGAACTTTTAAGGAGGGTTCCAAGAAGAAGTGTTTTTTGGTTGTTACCAAGGACAACAGTACCGGTGAAGAGTTTAAAGAGGTTGGTAATTTATGGAAATCAATGAGCACTGTGTTAGGACTTTTCTATTAGCAAATGCATAGAGTGTCTGCGTATAATGGCGCACACCATCCCCAAGACTGACAAGCGTGATTTCGTCAAATCACTATCTATTACAAGCCCATGATGTGTGTCACACAGGGGTAATGATAGCGTGTTTTCGTGGTTTTTCTTGTCATTGTGTTCGTTGCGTGAAATGTCTGTATCCAGTCGGTAAAGTGTCATTTTCCTGCTGAAATATGGCCCCAAATCCCTAATGAGGTTCCCTGAACCATTTAATTATGGCAATCTCGGCGTATTCTTTTTGCTGCTCACAGCGATGTTGCTTTTTACGTCTACCTGGGGATATGTATTGCGCGCCAACACACACGTTTAGTACGAATGTATACAACAAATATATCTATTGTCTGAATATTAATATGGAAGTTTGCATTGCATCAGTAAATTATTTTGGGTCAGTCGATGGTTCCATGGAATGTGTAAGCACAACTGGTCTCCCGTCTGACCCCTAATTGGTGTTATAATGGATTCATTGCACCTTCATAAAGTTTCGGAGGTTTAGTTGTCGATTCGAACAATGTCTGGAATATCCGACGCCTTGCGTTATGTGCAACGCACGGTAGACAGGTCGAAAGGTTCGCCACGGAAAGTACGTTTTGTCGTCTAATAGTACTACATATCGTCTTTTATGTACTTCAACTGAGGTAATGTATGCTTTAGGCACGTTTACGTGGCACGGTAGCCCCTGTTCGCCCGCAGTTGCACAGCGACCCGGTAAGCCGTCTAGTTTAGTTTGACAATTGAGCAGTACATGACTCGCGTCGACATCGAGGACCATATAGTTCCTTTGTGGGATCACCTAGGAGAACGTGAAGGAGATTCGGAACGTCGTGAGGTTACGGACGTCGATTTGGAGTATTCCTACAGCTTAGAACAGTTTATTCAACGTTCCTCCATTGCCAGCGATTATACGGAGTCATCTTACGATGACGATTTCAGTCGTTTTTCTGAGTCTGAAGTGGAGGATAGTGATGTTCGTGGCGTATATTTGGATGGCGTTCAAAGCGAACGAGTTCAGCCGGGTGTGTTAGATCCTGAGGCACATCCGGTGTACATCGAAGGTGTTCCTATACACGGTGGTACAGTTGAGTGTCTGGATATGTCACCGTATCGTGATCAATTTGGAGTTTTGGGTTACGAGTGGTACGTGTTTTGTTATATTGCTTCAATCGTTTTAGGTTTATAGGTATTGATTTCAACTGTGCTGATCGCTACGACCCAGTGCGAATAGGCAGGGATCGTCGTTTGTTTGTGCCATTGGATGCTGTAGGCAAGTATATATTTTGCCGAGCTCACCGTCGTGTGGAGCACCAGGCTGTTGAAGAGTTCAATTTACCCAAAGTTGGTGTCTACGACCCTCATGTATCCGGGTCACATAATGCAGGTTATCTTCCACATGATCATTTTTACGTGAGTATATATTGTTGTATTTTCATGCGTTTTCAGGATATATCGAGCTGGTGTGTAGCCGGTCCAGTATATATGTGCGATGAGTGGTCTCTACAGATAATGAAAAGTCTTTCTGAGGGGGTACATACTATGGATGCGTTATTATACTACGCTGATGACCTTGTTAGGGGTTCTACTACGGCAAATGACGAGGATTTCGGGCACGTTACTGTGCACATCGACTATGAAGGAGTGGCTCTAAGGGACCATGGCAGCCTCGATGCCCATGTATGTTCAGTTCAAAATATGCGCAAAATATACAACTCACGTGTGTTTGGTGGTGAAGACACTACCGCCAATTTGGAATTTTCCGACTTTGAGGTTGGTTATACTTGCAGTCTCCTATAGATGTGCAGGTTGAGGAATCAGGCGAATGGTTGTTTCTGAGCATACACAAGTGCGAACCGTTAGTGTGTTATGTATCTCTTAAATTCTCTGACGATTCTCAACGTGTTTTGGCATTTTTTATGATATCAAGCTTCCGCTTCCAAAAGGTGAGTCCCTTGCACGTCTGTTTCAATTTGTATAGGCATTGGGGCACGATACTAAGTATTGGCATTCGCAATTGATTCGTACTGATGTGTCTAGTATCCGTGATATGTTCCGCGAATCATCTTTTCTTTGATTTTGGGCGCGCGCACCTGCATCCAGGTGCTTGAGATAGACACCTCGTTTGCGTTTGGTGGTGAGCGTATTAGTTAAATTTGGCTGGGTTAGTAGCCTCGACCATAATTGCGAGTTTTTTGAGTGGATTCAGTCTATTTGGTGTTAGTGTGTAGCGTATCGTTTGGGGGTGTAGAGATGCTGTCTACGTTGGGGATATCGGGATGGCGACGATGACTCTGGACCTTTCAGAGGCAGTTGAAGCCTCTGTACCGCCGGTTCCTGCAGCTGCATCTCAGCGTTCGTCCCCTCGAACAGTTGCGACTTACACATCGTATGTGCCTGCTCGTTCCGCCTCGCTTCACGTTGACAATGACAGCGACCCTTTGATTTGCAGTCAAGATCGCAATCCTAGTTCAACGCGTGTTTGTGCAAAGTCGGTCTATGCTGTGCAGCCGGCTCCTTCAGGTTCTTCATGGTTTCATTACTTACCAGCTACATTTGTGATTTTGAGTTTCGTCGCTATATACAGCATCTTTGTGCGTTATCATTTGAAGCCTTCAGTTGACAATGATTTGAGTCATTTAGGAGTGTTGAGCAACAGCACAGTATTTGTGATAATCATCACTCATGTGTTATGTTTGCTTTTCTTGGTGAGTTATGTGCTATGCGCTACGGTTGATCCTGGCCGTGTCCCTGACACGGTTGAATGGAAGGTGTACCCTGGTAGTGACAAGCACGTAATTCCTTCGCTGTGCGAGACCAAGAAATCTGGTGATCGTCGTGTTTGCAAGTGGTGTTGTCATTACAAGCCGGATCGTGCTCACCATTGTCGTGTTTGTGGTCGTTGCGTCTTGAAGATGGACCATCACTGTCCTTGGGTTCACAATTGCATCGGTTGGGCTAATCACAAGTATTTCTATTTGTCTTTGTTCTACGCTTCGACCTTGTCTTCAGTAATCGCCATCTTATCGTTCCCTACCGTGCGGCACGTATTGCATACACCGATGGTTGGTTGTTTGTTATCAAATATCAGTTTGTGTTGTTTGTGTCGATGGTTTAATCATCGTTTTGTATGAATCACACTTATCTGTTTTCTGTAGAGTTTGCGTATTTTGCACTTTATTTACATTCATTCAGGTACCTACGAGCGAGGTTGTTATGTTACTGATTGGTGAGGTATTATCTAGCATTTACGCTATTGTTTGCGGCCTCTTTTTATGTTTTCACGTTTGGTTGATGTGCGAGGCTTATACTACAATTGAGTTTTGCGAGAAGCGATCTCACAACATAATGTGGCCGCAACGTTCTCTTTGGTCAGGTAGTTTGTTTGACAACATTTCGTGCGTATTGGGCCGCAACCCTTTCCTGTGGTTGATCCCTGTCGACAACCGTCTTGGCGACGGCGTCACGTTTATTAACCACGTGTCTGTCGACAGTCCTGATGACGAAGAGACATATGACGAGAACTCTGCATTTTTGAAGATGGCTCGTGAGACTAAGCAGTTTGACCCTATTTTAGAGGTTTAAGTGAAAAACACGAACAACCCACATGCTATGTTAGTAATATTTAATATTTATAACAAATGTTATTGTTGCGTTGCTAGAGTAAGCATCGCCATTACATCGTTTTAGGTTTGTGGGCATCACGTCGTTGTGCCAGTAAAATTATGTTTCCCCGAACAGCACCTTGATCTTCTTGGTGACTGAGTCCTTATTCGGGTCGTATGGTTGTTCCTTGCTGGGTATTTCCAGTATAGCTGGTATAGGTCCTACATGTAGGTCTATAACGGTTTTGATTTTTTCGGCAATATGTTGATTGATAATAATGATTCCACAATCTCTCCGTTCCACATATTGCTTGAATGTATCTTCAATTTCCTGTTTGGTTGTCTCTGTGAGTTAATGTATGTTTGTGGCGATTTTCCATTTACTTACTTGAATTGATTATTTTATAGTTGGTATTCCCCAAACCATCTTTACTGCCTATCCCTGCCATCAGGAATCCTACGACAGTGTCCTGCGTTAAGGTGATCTCTTTGTTAACGGTTATAAGCTCACCTCATCTCCTATGATGTAGACTTTCGCCTCTGTGAGTTCTTTTAAGCGGTGCATTGTTGCGATTAATTACGGTTCCTCTTCTATTAAATTGAGTTCATGCCTCTGCAACGTCTCACTTTCTCGCGCCTCTGCCGCGTATTAATCGGCAGGTTGTTAACGCAGAAGCAAAAATAATATAGACGGTAAAAGTCTATATAAAAATACAAACCTATTTTTCGGTTTTCAGTATATAAGTCCAGCTTGTCTAGCCTCTCCAGCCGCCCGTGGATCGCTCACTACCCCTGGGGGCCTCTGCGACGTCACAGAAACGTTAACAACAAGCGTTTATCTGCAGGTTGAGTACGAATGGATAGAATTCGGGTAAACGCCGCATGAATTGGCCGGGTTCTAGTTCTACAATGTGGACCGTCTGTCGCCATTGTCATTTTAGATAGTTAATTGTCATATCGAAGTACTTTCAGGTGTTTAACCTATATGATTTTATGGTTTTCTTTTAATGTGTGCGTGATTAGTGTTAGCCCAGGGGTTTCGACCTTCTCTGGTTCTTTTTATTTAAGGCCTTGATGTCCAGCTCAGCTCTCTGGGGCTTTATGTCATTGTGACCTTGTGCCGTATCATCATCGCTGGTAATAAACGTATATATTGTTGCAGTCTTCGGGTTACAAAGACTGAACATCTCCTCTCCTTTGCTAGCTTGGTTCAACCCTCTTTTATCCCCCATAAGGCCCGATGGCGACGAAAAAATGGCCACGCTGCCTCCTTGTATCGTATACACATCACTGCCAAGAGGTCACACCGCCGGTTTCTACTCCTATTAGGGGCTTTTGTACTGGTGTATTTTATTAAAACATTTTGTATGTCGTACATAGGACTCTTACATTTTGGGTACACATTGACGTAATTTTTAACATTTTAAAATTAGTTACAGGGTCACTGAGAACAGCCTAGCATAGATTCTTGTGCCCTTTACTCTGATTGACCTAGTAACAGTAGTTTTTGAGGAACAAGGTGGTCCCGTTTCGGGAGCTCTTGGCATCCACGCAAGGTTACAAACACTTTGAGGTGTTTTAGGTGTCTTCACCTTTTCGGGATAAGCTCCCATTTCAGTGGTACGTACAGTAATGTAGGCGCAAATGGATCTGGCGAGTGTTCAACGCACTTGTGTTGTGTGATTGCGATTCGTTTTTTGTATAGAGGGCAGTCCAATACAAGGCTTTCGAATTCCCCACCTTCTCCACATACGTTGAACCCGTACTTGTCTCTAATACTCAAAAACTCGTTGTAAAGGTCCCGTATTGACCTCCCTAAATGTTTTTCATTGAGTCCTGCATTAACATATCTCTTGGAAACGAGGGAGTCAGGTTATATAATAAGACGCACGCACCATAAACATACCCATTGAACACGTTTTGATTATGATTGCATCTACATCATTTTCTATCATCTCTGCAAGTAGTTCGCTTTGTTCACGTCCCCAAAGCGGCTGTACGGTCTTGAGCCCGAGCCTCGTTGCCCTGACATACAAATCAAAATATGTTTGCTTTTAGGCGTTAGGCCTTATTGTATTTATATAAGAGTGTATAACAGTTTTATAAATGACCTGGTTCGTCTACCCTAAAGGATACCAGGCAACATGTCCATTTAAGCCGTTAACTTACACGTTCAACACTCTTTGAAGTTGGTATTGTGATGCTATAGCCCCTGTGAGTATCCCCTCTATATCATTTCGAATGGCCTATGTTCGTGTTCCAGTGGCATTGTGATTAGTGGACCTACCAACGCATCAACAACAATGCGGTATAGATCTTCCACTTCATCTCCCTCCAATGGCGTATATTCCAGTGACTCTGTCACTATGGGTTCACCTATATGATTATCAACCAACATAATTTTTGGCAAGTTATACTGCTTTCACGGTTTCAACCCCTACCTGTTATTGCACGTTCAATAATGGGCATCTCCATACATTCAGCGATTGCTGGGACTATATTGTGTCCTACAGTTTGGTACATGAAGCTATCCAATTCGTTAACATCCTCATTTTGTTTAGGAGTTAGGTGACCTAGCATGACTACTTCATGCCCTTGTCTTTTCGCCGCGATGATGCTATAGATTCCATCCTTTCCACCTGAAATTAGCGCTAAAAGCTTCATTTTCGAGCGCTTTGGCTCTCACTAGATGCTATACACTGTTCACGAACCAGTACATGTGTTCGCGTTGTGTTTTTTACACATTAGACAAACGTATATTCTATGGCATTTCAAAAGCATTTAATCTTTATATATAAAAAAATTTAACACCATGTGTGTGATGTGCAGTTGGCCTTGATGGGCCAGCGATAGTTTCACGTCCTTCCCTGTTGTCATCATCCCGCAACTCCGGGTAACGATGTGCGCAGGGAGCCACGAAAGTGTATTAGCACGCATTGAAATGTATTGGTAGAGTAGACAGCGGTATTGCTACCACGTAACACTGTGGAGTCAGCGCGCGGTTTCCGGCGTTTCCACAAAGGGGCTTTATAGACGTGTTGGAGTCAGACCTGGGTGTATTAACGACCATAGGTCCTTTATTCGTCCTTCACTTCCACTTTAGCCCTCTTGGCATCACTTTTTTCAGATGCGATTTCTAAGAAGTTGAGTACGTCATCGTATGTAATTTGCATCTTCTCTAGCATATACTTCGTGTCAACGACGTAATCTAGCGGCTCCAAGCGTGTGACATTAAATTGATACCTTGTTTCTCCGTTGTAGGTATTCGTTTTTATGTAGCCGCTGACCTTGTAGTCTTTGTGTGTTGCCTCAAAATCACAGAAATGTTTAAGTTTATCAGGGTCCATTGCATCAAGCTCCTGTGCTGTCTTTCCCAGCAATCTATCGCCTGCATTTACGTTATTCTAAGTTGTTTTACCTTAAACTAACCCATGTCTGCCGTTATTTGTGCACTCAGCCTCCCGGTCATATCCATGAAGTTGCAATTAAAGATATAACGTAACACTGGTACCACTGAAGCATCACCGCATACGATGCATTGGTATCTATTAGTGTCTTCGTTCATTATAACTTTTTTGGAGCACATTGGGCATGCCTGATACCACATTCTTACAACTCCGTCTCTGTTTTTCCAGAATATTTTGCGTAGTTTTGCTTTAACAACATAACTTCCCTTTGTTTGGCTTATTATTTCTGCTATATCTGCCAACTCGTAGTTATCCCTGCTGCTAAGGCTTTGTGGTTTTAACGATTTGAACGTTTCATTATTTGCTTTAGCGGATTCGAACCATTTTTGTAGTTGATTTATTTTTTCATGGTCCTTGACGGTTTCTTGTGTTGCGAGTTTTATTTCAGTTGACAGGATGCTTTGGCAGCTCCTTGTACCTTGCCACTCCTTGACAGCAACCCTAGTGACTATAATAGGTTTCCCCTCCATATCTTCAATTCCTTCTAAATTAGCATGTTCTCCCCATAATACCAAATCCATTTCATATCCCGTGTCATCTACAATAGACATGAGCCGTCTTGCTGTTTCTCTGCCGGCCTTGGTAACGACATTCCCTATCGGATGTATTGTATTAGCAACACAAAGGATATCAACCGGCGCTTGTGTGATTTGTGGCATAGACTTGATATCTCTAAGTGTCATTAGTTTATGATCACGTTGCATTTTGATATCCCCTGCATCTTCAACAAGTTCTATAATGCTGTCGTGATGGCATGTTATTTCATAGTTGTGTGGAGTAGTGTTGAACTTTTTGTTTGAAAGTTCTCCAGTACCTTTAGAGAAGGTGTAAACCTGGCAAATTGTATTGGATGTACATTTTCAACGTTACCTTTCCCTTTTGTAGAATCTCGTCCCATTTTGTGGCTGCCTTGCCCCAAAATTTGACTCTGATGCTATCACCCTGCGCCACTATAACTTATCTTTTTGTATTGACTTACATGTTTGTCTACAAGATCAACGTGCAATATGTGGTTATCTCCCTTGATTTGTCTGAGTGGTGCCTTTTCCAATACTCTGGCCTTGATTGTCCAGTTCGTGGTGTATGTCGTAAGACTTTTGATTGGAAAGTATTCCTGCATCTTGTCTCTGTTTCTTTTACACACTACTCGGCATCCCTGAAATATGTTATTTCCCTTTACTGTGTTGTACACAGGTTACGACGAGGTAGTGTAAAAGAGGTAATAACCGGGATATATATCCAGAATTCTGGTCAGCTACGACTTTATACCACTGCGGTTTAGCTTCGGATACCAAAATGAGATTATTCAGCCTTTTCCAGGGCAACGACCCTACTGTACACACTGTGTTTACTTTTTTTTGTGTAGTTACACTTGCTATCTTGTCTTCTCTGGTAATGCAAGTGTCAGTAGTAACTACTAGATGTATCTGAAATGTCCTTCTTTAGTGCACAGTCTTATGTTTGCACATATATACCCTTTTTATGTGTAACCTTCCTTCCTGTGTTGTCGCGCCCGGGATTTTGGAGGGTTTCCTTCGCTGGGTATAGTTCGCCATATAGAATCCCAATCCGCGTTTTTGTATAATTAAAGATGCGGTTACTTAGGTGTACTATATCTGGACGCTTTCGCCTTTCTACAGGCGGGGCGGGCTCTCTGTTTGGTTCTAACGCACGTCCCATCATTACTCCGTCGTTTACCGGCTATTGCAATGGAACTCGCCGCCTACACAGTGTCTGTTCAAGGCTTTCTACACTTATACCGCCATTACGCATCCCAGAAAGACCAAACGTGCGTTTGGTCAAGGACCATTCTGAGTTCCACGATACTGTATACTTTGTTCCAGGTATGTATTTTTCGGTGATGCACAACCTGTAATACGTCTAATGGTCTATTTGTGTCATTATCGTGTATAAACAACTATTGGCATTTCTATAATATTTGTTAAATTATCTTATTTATTTTGTAGAGCGCGACTGCGTGAAGTCTGAAGACCTCGTGTTATCGGTTTTTGTAAGCCAGCAGAACACCGCGTCTCTGTCCATATTCGACACTGTGGCAAGGCTTTCGACTGAGCATCCCGGTCATCGTTTTTTGATCATCGATGCTGACCAGGTGCCCCGTGCTGCTTATGATGCTGACCTACAGCAGTTCCCTGCCGTACTTTTATCGTTCGGAGGCGATATATATCGCCGACTTGTACAGGTTAGCGGAGGATATCCAGACAACTGGCAAGCTTCGCCTCAATGGGGTCTGCCGTCATGTTCATCTGATATCCAGCCGTCTGTGGAATGTACATTACCAGAGACTTTCTACGAATCTGTGAAGCGCGAGATTAAAACATTCAGCGCCAATTACAACGGTAGAGAGATAGCCTCTTTGAAATCGCGTGCCGGTACCCACAGCTATAGCCATGGCATCGATACCGACAATCTCAATGTGAAGCGCGTGGGTTGGCCAACGGAGTAGGAGCTTTGGCGCTCTTTTGATAATACTAAACACATATCTAATGCATTTCAACAACATATAGGTACTATATCGATCGTGTATACACATATGATGCTGGGACTTTGTGGCTGGTTCCGTTCCATGGTGTCATGGCTACGGAGGTCAACTCGCGAACCCCCCTCTGGCCTGTATTAACACAATAGCCATATAAAGCACCACCAATACGTTTGATACACATTATTCAGCTAAGAAGACCGCCTTGTATCCGCGCTTGCATTGGATGTGTAAGCTACGTTAGGGCAGGTCCATCCGCAGAAATAAAACCAAGTTTTAAAGGGCGAACTCCCCCTCATTTTTTATCATATGATGCAATTGCAATATTGTTACTAGTTTATTTAGAATATGGGTAAATCAGGACGCCGTCGGAAGCGCAAGACACACGCCAAGGCGGAAATCGATGCTGACACTCCTCGTATCGTTGTTATCCGCCGTGGTTCGCTACGTCCGGAGCTAAAGCAGTTGGTACAGGATTTGCGCATATTAGTTTCACCTAACTGCGCTAGTCGTCTTAAGGAAGCCGGTCATCAGAAAATGAAAGATTTCACTCAAGTGAGCGATGCCTTGGGTCTGACTCATTTGGTTGCTGTGAGTGAGACTGATCGTGGCTGTTATTTGAAAGTGGCCAATCTGCCCAATGGTCCAACATTGACGTTTTCTATTGATATGATGACTCTAATATCTGATATCGCAAAACATACTTCCAATCCGAAATCTATAGGCGGAGCCTGCCATAATTCACCTTTGGTGGTATTGAATGGTTTCGGAGGTCACGTTGAAAGTCACAAGCAGGGTTCCAGCGGTGATTATGCCTCTGCTATGAAGACTGTGTCCAACACGTTCAATAGTCTATTCAGTCCTATAGATGTTTCTACCACTAAGATGCAAAACTGCAAGCGTGTAGTGTTATTCAACAAAAATCGGGATACTGATGTTATAGTGATGCGTCATTACCTGATAAACCTTGTTGACTGCAACACATCTACTGTGGTACAAGAGCTGATCGATAAGCGTTCGGCAAAGCGTTTGATTCGTGAGAAAGGTGCCAGTTTTAAGGACGTTATACGTGCTGCCACATCTGCAAGTTCATCTAATTTGAACGATGATTACGTTGAGCTTCGCAATGTCGATTCTCGTGATGTGCTCCTGCGTAACAAGTATGGAATCACAAATACGTATGACTTGGAAGATGCTTGCGACAGCAACCACAAGCTTGCAGTTAGGTAAGTTCAGTTAGACTATTATGTTTGCCTTTATCACACATTCGTTTTGTGCTTATCTTGTAATCCTTAATGTATGTTATAGTTTGGTCGACGCTGGTCCTCGTTTGAATCTTCGCCTTATAAAGATCCAAGAGGGTGTATTTTCTGGCGGCGTGTTGTTTCACAAATTCATCCACAAGACACGTGAAGATATTGACCGTCTTGAGGCAACATTTGCTGAGAAACGTCGTTTGGAGCAGGAATCTGAGGAGCGCAAGCGTCGGAAATCTGAAGTGTCCGATTCTGGCGAACCCGATGAATCTGCCGAGGAATAATCGATAACGTATTCGTTTTGTCACCTTATTGCCATATAGGCGTTTTAAATATTCATACGCTTTACATAATAAAGGTTCAACCACGTATTTGATGAATGCAATTTGTGCTTATTCAGCATTTAAGTTTATGTTATGTTTGTCGAACATGATTTTAACCATCTGTATGGCGTGATTCATGTTCGCTAAGTGTATTTATAGAGTGAAAAATTCAAATACCAGTAATTCCTTGTGTCTCTTCTTCTTTGATTTTCTGAACCAGTTCTGAAGCGGCTTGCATGGTAATCCTGACCATGCATTCTTTTCCTCTGGTCATTTCCGTAGTTTTGGGTCCATAGTTTCCCTGGTGCCATTCGAATGGACATCCATCAATGGTGCATATAGCTCCTCCCCTGATGCCATATATGTTACATAGTGTCAGTAGAGCAGAATTGTCCGTGTCTTCTATAGCTACTGCGCACTTGATAAGTGTTTCCCTCGGATCACCTCCATGCATTCCCGTACGGTAGAACAGATCTGTGGTATTGCATACACCAAGATGTGTTGGTAATTTAAGACCTTCACTTGCCTTTCTTAGCGCTTCAACAACATCTGGATGCGCCACTGCAGGGAATGCGGCGTCGATTTCATGTAGAGATACTGAGTCGCCCCTGACGCATCCATAACAGATACAAATATCACCGATTTTACGTTCCGTGGGTACGTAAGTACCACTGGTACCACTTCGTATGATACATTTTACCCCGAGTTCGATGAGTTCTCTGACCAGTACTGCAGTAGGATGGCTTCCTACACCGTGGCATGCTAGGAGGAAGTAATCACCGTTATATTCGAACTCTGCAGCTTTCCAGCAAAGGTAGCTTCCAAATTCACGATAATTTGTTGCATCCTTTTTGAACATGTCGAATCGATTTTGGTCTCCACATATGATGGCGACTCTGTGTACTCTATCTTTTGGTATGCAGGTGCGATTGAAGATTTTTGTACCCGTTTCTGTCATTTTTGCTCTATTAGTTCCTAGTGTCTACTTGGTTTTCCTTCGGTACGTCCCTTTATTCCCTGCGGCCGTTCTATTTGGGACTCAGCAACCTGTTTCATGTAACAGCTTGTTATATTACCTTCTTTATTTGTTATATGATATTGGCTATGTGGAATTGTGCGGCCTGTACATTAGAGTTGCCTCATGTTCCTACTTCATTCCACAACATTTGTGGAGCGCATTCATTGGTTATAAACGTGTTTTTGCATATTTTTGTTTTGTAAATCTCAGTTATAATAGCATTCAATTATTTATGTCTAAGTATTCTATCATTTTATTTATACACACTTCGGTGTTTCTTTGATGTTGTATTGGATTCCTTTAGATTCTTTAGGCTTTGTGACCTTTTCCTACTAAAATCATACATATACGGTACTGCGTTATACGTGTGTAGAAGCTCCCTTAACAGTATCTGCTTCGGTTTGGTTATTGGCGCCATAGAATATTTACACTCGCCTTAGCGTTCACCTAGGTTTCTCTGTGGAATAAGGTACCAAATGCCGCGGCGTTTGGATCGGAGGGTTCATATAACGATTTTTTACTATCCATATACCTGGATTCCACAAAAATCCGACCGCAAATCATAGGCAGTCCCAACTAGTCACAAGCTCTGCATGAACCTCGTGCGGCGCGTCTGGCGTAATAATATACAGGAATCTCCATTTTACATCGCTTAAAATTTCTTTTTTTTACATAGAACATACCCTATTGCAAACTATCAGGTTGGTTATACGTGGATTCCATAGTTGTCGAACCTTTGGTCGTAACTGTCTACCAATATTTTGTCCATGAACCTCAAAATTCTGGCATTATGTTGTTTATACATCTACATTTGACTGTACATAGATAGTGTTTCCGTTGATATTTATTTAGGATGCCTAAAACAGCGATCTGCCCTAAAGGCATTATGAACAAAACTGGTCTACCACTTGACCGCATTCATCCTGTGGCTGTAGTGGTCGGTGACACTAAATGGTTGGATCTTTTAGCTTCATTGGCTACACGACAGCACTTTTGTAGCCGTTACAAATCGCTTTGTTCTGTGGAGTTGGAGTATGCTGGTCAGACATTTTTTGCTTTGAGTTTTGGTTACGGTGCTACGAATTTGCATCGCTTATTAAATGAATTAGGCATTTTCGGTGTCAGATGCGTGATATTGATAACCAACACTGTCAGCTTGCACCCTGGTCGTATCCCGCGCAAGATGGTTTGTGTGACATATGCTTCTTGTCGTGGCGAGAATACTTCAAATTTGGAGGTGGACATAACGTATCCTGCAGTAGCACATCCGGATGCTATACGTGCGTTACGTGAAGCGTCATCTGAAATGGGTGTTCCATGCCGTTTGACCCGTTCGTTTACCCATGATGCAACTTATCCACCTCTAATTAACCGTGTCGATACACTTCGACAACAGGTTATGCAGACCGGTTTGGATTTGGAAGACCGTGAAATTTCAACATTTTTGGTCTTTTGTGGTACGCGTGGTTTGGTTGCTGGAGTTATTTCATGCAATGGCACTGAACCCAGTACATTTGACCCGGAAACTGGCGCACCAATTGAGGATGATGATGTGATTGAGGCTAGGAAGCAGACAATGCGCATCGCTTTATTGGCTGCATCCAGGTTATGTGTTGACTATGATTTCACTGAGGGTAGTTAGAAGCGTTGTATTAAACCCATCCTGTCCGTGTTGGGTATTTCAGTGCAATTTCCACAAATGGAAATAGCTCATTAACGTACACAGTTGTTGTGTTATTTAATTTTTTTAATAATTGGGCCGGCCAATCTGACCGTTGTAAATGCTACGATTGTTCTAATATTATGTAACTTTACGATCGCTACATCCATTGAGTAATGTTTTCGTTGGCTAGATATTGTATTGCGATTACGCATTTTCAATGGTTTGTAATGCGTTCAGTGTTTTCTAGTCAACAGATGCTCGAAGTACTCCCTGAGTATAAGTGTAATGACTATATGCGGTGCTATTCTCATATAGAATGCGCTATATGATGCGTAAAATCTCTTGATTCCGCCTTCTCTGTAATTTTTGATGAAGCAGTCAGTGACTCCTGAATATTGTGGTTTTCCTGGTGTACGTTTCTGTAGGCATGTCTTGACATAATCGAAGGGCAATCCGGCCGTTACAGCAAACCATGCGCTGATACCGCTGCTAGCAACAGCGAGTGTTGATTTATCTTTAATATATGGGCTTAGCATTTCTTTCGCCTGGTCGTATGTCGCCAACATAGCTACATTTAGTGCCATGGCCCTAACTATAGTTGGCGTCGCACCCTTCCAAAGGCTGCATACTCCCTCTTCTTTTGTGATGTGGCATACGGTACTGAAAATGCCTCCATAATTTTTGCGTTGCGCTGCTGGTAGTGACATATTTGATTGCATCCTGACTAAGGCTAGATCTGCAGGGTTTCCTATGAATGCTCCTGCTGCTCCGCTGAATAGTCCTACCATGCATTTTTGGTAGAACGGTATGCTTTGTGTGCCTTGTCGTTCTTTGAGTTTATCACTGATAGTGCGGAATAGTCCCAGTCTTGTTGTCGTGTATAAAATTTGTCTTGCAAATGCGGCATCTAATCCTCTATACATTGCACATATCCCTTCATTTTTGAGCATTTGTCTGAATAATGCGATTGGTGATGGTTGTACATGTCCCACCGCTGCTTCCAGCTGTATTCTGACCTTGACCATATCTATGGGTTGTATGCACACCGTGGCTAAACATCCCGAAGTTCCTCCTAGGATGAACGGTATACAAGGTTTGACAATCGGTCTTGCCGATATCGGTAAGAAATCCAGATTATATTTATCCATTATGGCAAAAAATTCTTTATTTAACAAATCAGCGTGTTCAACCCGTTCGTCTTAACACAAATTCAGCAATATTGTCAATATCTAGGATATGTGTTGCGATTTATGTTAGTGTAACTGCTATCGTAGGCGACCAGCTCCCCATAGGGAGTACGTCTAGCTTACAATATGATGGTCGTACAGCAATACTATAGCAAGCTATGGCGTTCTTCCGAGCCATCATAAATGGCTCTGAGAGCTACCTGCCATAACGGCATTAGTTATCTATCGCATTATGTGTCCCAACTGATGGATCATTGTATACTATCGCCAAAAAACTGAATCTAAAATTCAGATGACCACCAATTAATCACTTTGTTAGTGTAAAGACTAACTATTTGTTGTATCGTTGTAAAACACCTAATGTGTCAGCTTTAGCAATGGTCGGTCCAAGTCGCCATTGCCTGTTGAATATATACACAAATATGAAATGAGTAGTTTAAAGGTTTAGCGAACACACCACCAAGTATAGATATTGTTACTAATTGGTTGTCTCGTGAAATACTGTGCTGGGGCATCCGTTGTGTCCATGTGCGCTTCCCGTGTTACCGGTGGTACGCGTCGCGTCGCTTCTGTGTGGTTAGCGATGGATAGCATTCTCACATCTCCAATTATTTGTTACCGTATATAAATTCATTTTTAGATGCGTCATTTCTTTGAAGTCGGTGTCTATTCTCTACCTTTTGTATATCAATTAGTGACGTCTATCGTTTACGCTGTAGCGCCTTTTATTACTTGCATCCTTAACGTGTAATTCCACATCATTCTATTTGAGTGTTGTGTTGTGGCTCATAATTTTAGTGGTGTGCTCATACATAATTTTGACAGAGTTAGTATTGTCTCTGGTAGCTTATTTTGACTTATCCTCCCATTCTCTACATTGAGAGTTACGTTTTGCGGTATTAGCAGGGATCTCAAGGTTTTTGGACTTATTGTAGAACCGTCATTTCTGTTTGTCAAGCGTCGAAAAAGATTTCTTAGCCTGCGCTCCGTTATACGATATTGGTTGTCGCCATTCGGAGCGCTACCATATTGCGGTTAACGTGTGTGGGAAGTGTGATAGACAGGAGTGATAGTTTTTGGTTCTATTGTCAGATTTTAGTACTACCGGTTGGTTGTTACGCTACGTTTGTTGTATATAATAGTGCGTAATGCATCTGCATCTCTAGTGTGTTATTTGCGCAATAATTTATCATTATATGTGTTCGGTTGTACCGATATTATTGAATGTATCATTGATTTTTAACATTTGAAACATACTCCGAATATACTGCTAGGTTGGTCTGACGACCTTGCCTCTGCGTTTCTGTACATATTCGGTGCGTCTAGTAATATCCAACTACTGGTTTGGTTTAAGGATATTTGCCTACAATAAAGTCTTGTGTGCCATAATTTTTGTGTATAACCGAGGGATATTTTGCAGTTATAATATTTTTTGGCTTCGGCGGTTAGTCGCCTTGAAAGTCACTACATACTTTCTGGAGGTTATGGTTGTTTGTTTTTTTGAGTTGAAGAGATTGAAAAGAGGTTTGAGTTCATATCCGCGTGGCAACGATGGGTGCGGATCCTAGTGATATTAATATGTTCCTGGTACACGAGAAGAATGGTTTATTCATCAATAGTTGTGTATCAGGCCGTTTACCAGAATCCAAAGTTGATTCTTCTAATGTAAGCGACGACAGTGCTCGTTCAGAGGTCCTTATGTCCTATACAAGCACGTCATTATGGTCACTGAACCGTTTTGCACGTTGTTATTCTCGTTCACCAAACAACAATGTGGCTATAGTTGATGACCGTTTGGGTCTTTCAATTTTACATGTTAAAGGTGACGGCTCGTCTGAATTTGCTTTCGATACTCTTCGTGGTGTAGGAAAGTTCAGGAACCTCTACACTCCTATCGGGTGCAAGAACATCAAATATCTGCAATGGTCGGATAATGGCGTATACCTAGTGATCTACTTCAATCTTGGTAACTGTTCTAAGAAGACTGGTTTGTTTTTGGAGGATAATTTACACATTTGGGACATATCTCAGAAGTGTATCGTTGGTAGTTTTGCCACACGTCCGCTTTCTCCGGAACAGTGGCCCGTGATCAAATGGGTAGGACAAAGTGACAAGTTTGCATTCTGCTATGGGCAACAGGTATCTTTCTATGCGATAACATCACCCGACGGCACGTTTCTGAAAAGCACACGCCTACTACTGTCTATTCCTATCCCGCGTGTATTTTCGGTGGAGGTGTTTTCCTCCGAACCACCCACCAAGTTCCCCGAAATATCTGCGTGTGGAGCTCCAGGGCTCGAGAGACGTTCATCTCAGACCTCTTCTAATAGTTCTGTTGATGCTGCGCATAATGTTCACGTAGAGGCTCCTGCTGTGCTATCCTCATTGTTGCCAGCAGGTGACGGATCTGATGGCAACGGTTTACGTCTAGGTGATACCCAGAGTTCTGATGACACGGAACTAACTGGTGTAGGACTGGAGGGAGGTGATATTACTGGCTCGAACCCATCCGTGGGTCGAGGACCATTAGCAAGTCTGCTTGGTATGGATGACCAGGTTGATCTTCTCGCGAATGAGAGCGTGATATCTCTTGCTGCCTATACTAAGGCTGACATTACCAATCAGGTTACTGGCAACTTGCGCATATCAACGATAAAGTGTGTTGGCGGTGAGTTGTTCGAAGTCTCTTCGTATGACCACGAACTAAAGACTGAAGATTCAGCCGATATGTTATGGTCGCCCTCAGGTGCTTCATTGCTTGTGCTTGGTCAATCTATGGTAGACTTGGCTGGTGAGAAGTATGGTTCTACATCCAACTGTATGTTGTTTCGTGCCTCTGGCGCCTTTGTGTGTCGTGTGAACACTCAGACTATCCACGACGCTCGTTGGTGTCCCACGCGTGACGAATTCATCCTAATGGAGGGTAACATGCCTTGCGATATTACCTTGTACAACTCAGATTGTGTACGTCTATTTGAGTTCCCCAAGTCGTATCGCAACACGATTAAATGGAATCCTTTGGGTAACATGGTTGCGTTGTGTGGTTTTGGTAACCTTGCAGGTGAGATTTGTTTCTGGTACCGGAAGGATTCGTGTGACTACGAGCAGATTGTTCATTTGAAAGAACCTTGTACTGTGATTTCGGAATGGTCATATGACTCACGTTACTTTTTGACAGCATCAACATTTCCTCGTATGAAAGTTGACAACTTTTTGAAGATTTTCAGTTACGAGGGCGACCTTTTGGATAGCAAGATGTTAGATGAGTGTTACGGCGTTTGTTGGATCAATTTACCTGAAACTGGTTGGGATTTTGTACGTCCTCGTGTTCGCAAAAGTGCAGAACGCAAGGCTGTGTATCGTCCTAAGATTCTTCCTAAGGAGGAGCCTCAAAAGCGCAGTGTTGAAACTGTGGCCCCTCGTGTGGTTGTTGATTCGGATGTTGCAACTAGCGGTTCAAGGCCGTTGTCGGCTTTGTCTAAAGCGTCACCTGTTTCTGCTTCGTCTCCTGTGGTACCAAACGATACTACTAGTTGGCATACGTCTCCAGCAAGTATCGTTTCTGCAGTTCGTCCATCACGTGAGAATTTGCATCGTGGTTCTCTCTTTTCGACTGACAACGGTGACAAAAACGACCCATCTGTGGATCTTCTGGTTGCATTTCGCCACGTATTTGCTCTTTCGAAGATACTTCCTAAATCTGAATCTAACCATTTCGATGGTATTAGTCCACCTCAGATTTCCCGTGTTTCGGACGAGTCGACTACTCATGAGAGTGCGCCGGCGCCTTCGGAGAAGCGTGTGTCTAAGAATGGCTGTAACAGCTCTGGTAGCCATCCGGTGTCACAAGAGGATGCTTCTAAGAGTCTTTCTATGCTTATGCGCATCAAAAAGCAGATGCAAAGCGAGAAGTCGAAGCCTCTCCAGCAGACGATTTTGGACGAAGTCCAACTGTTGAAACTATTACTGGAGGCGAAAAACCGCTCCGTGAGTAGGACTCGTGTGGAGTAGCGTACACCTTATATAATGTGTGTTTTAGCCTCTCCTTATATTCTATCTGACACCCTGTGATATCACTACCCATCTTCTGTTCATTATTATTATATATATTTATAATATATTTCCAATCTTATAGTTGTGATGTGTGTCGATCTGGAGTAATAAGATCGCCTAAATGTGTGTTTGCTAGCTTTCGGTGATGACCCCTTTGCGTGCGCATCAAATAATCGGCCTTCTGCGGCCTATTAATAGCTCATACCTTCGGGATGGCACCTTATCTATCTCTATTATGTTATAGTATAGGTTTCTGTGTCTGTCTTTGTGGTAGCGTCACTAGGACCCTTAACACCTTTGCCTTCTTACATCCTGGCACTTCTTTTTACAATTCTGGATTGAGAACTAGGAAGTTACTGCCACGAGTTAATGCTGAGCCGCGTGACAACGTAGCTTTATATACTGTACGAGGTGGTCAATGTTACCTTCCTCGTGATCAGCGTGAACAGCGTCGTCTTCAGGAAGAGGTAGGAGCGCTATCCATATTTATACTACTTATATACCTTGTATTTGCTATTCTAATCCGTTTTCAGTGGGTATCAGTGTCACGATCGTTTGGTTTTGCGGAGTATTCACTGGGCGTACTTGCTTATGCTGAGCTGTTTAATAGCGCAGCTGACAAGGAGAATATTCAGAATGCGGAGCATAGGAATGAGCTTTACACGTTCACAGATCGCAAAGGGAGGCGTTTAGCGTTACGTGGCGACGTGACTCCTCAATTCATGTCGTTGCTTCGTGACCAGAGGGATGGTTCACGTGATCGCACCCATGCCGGTGTTATCGAACCACAACAGATATCTAAGTGGTTTACATTGGCTGATTGTTGGCGTTATGAGCGTCCTGGCCATTGCCGTCGTCGTAACCACTTACAGTGGACATGTGACATTGTTGGTTGTCCCAGCAGTGATGCAGAGATCGAGCTTTTGACAATGCTTATTACATTTTTCCGGAACCGAAATATAACGGAAAGAGATGTTTCGATCCACTTGAGCCATCATGATGCGCTTCTTGTTATGTTGGAATATTTGGGTAAGAAACCAACCGACGACCGATGGTTTCATGAGTTCCGTAAGGTGATTGACAAATATCGTAAAGTAGATAAGTGTGTGATGACTGAGATGCTTGGCGGATTGGGGTTCACGTCTTCGGAGATATCGTCATTATTCGACCTCATTTCACGCTGCCGTAGTATGTCTACCCTTGAGGAGGTGTTTGGTGCAGACACTGCATTCGTCGCTAACCTAAGGTATGATAGAAATATCATTTGATTAACATATTCACAGGTCCATAATGGATGGTATGGATCGTGCGCAGTGCGCCGATTGGATGACCCTTGACCTGAGCATTGTTCGTGGTAGTGACTACTACACTGGTGCTGTATTTGAGTGTTTTGATCGCTTATACCCAGAAAACCGTGCAATCGCCGGTGGAGGTCGTTATGATAATTATTTCGGCGATAGCACCACTGGCGATCGTCATCTATCTTACTCCGTGGGTTTTGGTATGGGTAACATTGCTATTTTTGAGGTCCTGAGTTCTCGGTAAGTAGCGAGACATCTTTTTGTTATATCTATCTTATAGCGGTTTATTGTTATCTGAGGGTTTGGCTGATGTGGTAGTGTTTACACCTCCGATTGTCAACGGCCAGGATTCCTTGAGGGGCTGCGACATATCACGTGTGATTGGCGTGATAGATGTCCTTCGGGAGAATGGTTTGCGTGTTTACCATTACTACAAGACTGGTAAATGGTCGAAGGCTTTAGAGTTTGCTGAGCGTGCGGGAGCGTCTAGTTTTGTATATCCTCGGTTGGAGGCTAGCAGTGGCGTACTGTCTTACCAGGTGCATGACATCCCTGCAAAATCCAAGGTAGTTTTGCGGTTCTGTAAAACATATTATGCAGGCGCATTTCATAGCAGATGACATGAAAGGGCTGACAGATCATATACGTAATAATGTGGACTCATCTCATTCACCTTGACGTAATGTACACTTTGGTGGTATGAATATTATGATAGCATTGGGTACAGATTCGATTAGAAATAATATTAGATATTAAAGTTCGGTGTCATTTTCTGGTTCATCTTCTATGAAATTATCACAAGCATCTTGATGTTTATCTTTCATATCCCACCATATCTGTTGGTTCGGCAGTTTTTCATTGCCTTTTGTTAGTGAGTTCCATACTGCCGGCTTTGCTTTTTTCAGTGTGATGGTGAACCTTCCCATGGATACAGGTGATACCTTTGTCTCATTCTTCACTACCTCGTCGTGCAGTTCCAATACAAGCTGGTATTTTTTAAGTTTGTCCGACTGTGTACCCATGCTGGAGTACTTAAGCATATTTCCATTTACTTCTAGTGATTCATTGGACACTGTTAGTGCACCTGAAATATATATCTTATATTTTCACATCACGAACTCACCTGGGCTAGACCATCTATTGGAGAACTTTAAAGCTAGGAATATTTCATGCGGAGATTCAGCCCACTGGAATGCTACATTGACCACATCTACCTGATCATAATGTCTGTTTAACAGCTGTAGCAGCTCCGCCGACTGTTTTTGAACCTTTTCAAGACTCTGTCTAACTTTATATGATAGATCAACACCTGAGCAAGTTTGTTATTGATATAATTTTGACTGCTTACCTTCTTCATGTGACATTAATACGATTTTTTTTGCTAGATCCCACCATCCGTTGGCGATACATTTTTCTATATCATTTTGGTTCGGTATATATTTTTCCTTTGTAGAATAGATTGCGGCTTCCATATCCTTGTATTCTACCGGCCTCCAGCTTATAAACCTAAACCATCTAAAAGTTGGTGATAAGAACGCTGTTGCTAGCGTGTATAAGGCGAATATTGGTTGCATCTTCTTTTGAATATTTAATAGGATCTCGGTAGTCTTTGTTGCGATGTTATCCGATGGTGGTAAAGGTCCAGTTCAATAGTAACTATCAGAAGACTGCTATCATGTGGCTACAGCGCTGTGTATTGCAGCCTCGCTATTGGTTACACATTGATTCTTTTGTAAGCTACGACATATATAGGCACGTTATTCACTGTCTAGTGATATAAATCAGTTCATATACCCGTAAGAGTTTATATTAATATATATTTTATTGCAAATCTATTGCATGGTGGACCATGAGGTCGTGCAATGTGTCAGATGGCCTTGTTGGTTGCGTCGTGATTTCGCATTAGGGACCATTAACTTATACCTATATTAGGTTCTCTGTGGCGATATAATAAAATTAAGGTACTATAAGCGTGTCTATGGACATTTAAGTATCCAAAATATCGTTGAGTGTTCCCTTATATCGTGTTGCTGTAGCGATGTCCATTCCCAGTTGGTGTCAACTACTAGTTGACACATTTTTGAGTTTTTCCCTAAGTTCTTTTAGCGATAATTTTTCGGCAGGTAGTGGTGTATGTTTGGTAGTGGTATTATTTTCACCCTTTTCCAATTCATTTTCCGAAACTATCGTGATGTTGTATTCGTTGTAGTCGTGTTGTACTGTTGTATTTTCTTCGGCTTCTGCTGCATTTGCACTTTCAGCTTCCAATGCCTCGCGTTCATGGCGTTTCTCCTCTTGTCTCTGTAGGCAGTATCTTTCTGTACATTCTGGGTTGCATCCTATTGAGTATGTTGGGAAATAGTCCTGCAGTGAATTGTATGTGAGCAGTTTGGTGGTAGTTCCAAACTGTAGTATATGTTTCAGTGCGTTATGTGCCAGCAGGCCGGCCACTACTCCCATGGTAGTTGGTAGGCTCGCGGTACATACATCTGGTCGTTTAATTGTGCTCTCGTCGCCCTTGACTGCTACTATATAAGGTGGTGCGCATAGGAAACACCCTGTAATCCCTGGTATACATGTCTGTATTTGTCCACTTGTTGCATTTTCCGCAACGCCTGAATTCATCCAGATCTGGTTCGCCTGGCAACATGCTTTATTAATAGTGACCCTAGCGGCATAATTGTCAACACAAGACAATACAAGATCGACTTGCGTGCCAGATATTCCACCAGTGCATATTCGCTCATAAAAAATGGTATAGTCTTTGCATATGTTGCCATTAATGGTTTCAACGTGTACTTGTGGGTTTATAGCATTTAGGGTCTGTTTCGCTGCCTATCGCAGTATGATTCATTGTATATAATAGCTATACTTACCTCAGCTTTGGGCATTCCTACCTGGTTAGGTGTATAAAATAGCCTATTCATGTTGGCGAGTTCCACGTCATCGTAGTCGAATAGTATAAGTTTTCCTACACCACAGCGTGTTAGCATCTCAGCTACCACAGCTCCTACACCGCCGACACCAACAATTATGATAGTGGCATTGTATATTTTACTGTAATCCTTCACTACTCCCATGCGCTCTAGTGCCTTGAGCCTTGATGCTGGATCGTCCTTTTGCGACGACATTGTGTATATGATTATTATAGCGATTAGCCTTTAGATTGTTACGATATTAGTATTTTTACAGGTCCATCAAGCCTGTCTTGGATGAGCAGTGTGCATGGAAGTATTCTCAACACATCATCAAGGGATTACGGTGAAGGTGTAGACTTCTGTGTTGCCACTTATCTACCCCTTTTAAAAATTGATGTATGTGTAGCAAATGCTGATATATGTGGCCGATAAGGCCCCGATTAGACCTGCCCTTTGTCCTTGCGTACCCCAAGCAGGTTGCTGTTAAATAGGTCTAACGTCGGAGAATCTAATTTGGACAGTGCAATTAGCAACGAAAACTAATAATATAATCCTTATAAGCTATTAATTCATAGAATAAGGATATACCGTTGTTATTGAAATATACGTCTCTACTTTATTTTTGATAATTGTCGTCTCATTTTCTACAATATCGATAAAATACACCTTCCATAGTTTATATAGCGTGTTATCATCAATTCTGTAGGAAGGTGTAATTTTTTGTGACGTGTAGACGTCAATATATCGGTACCATCAGATAGCCCAATTGTATACTTGTTGTATCTAGCTCAGGGTATCAAGATATATAGTCAATAATAGGGTTAAGTATTCTATTTATGTGACAAAACGTGTCTTTAAAGGACGTATTTTAAAACCATGTTGGCTGGTATCGGCTGTTGTATGCCATATCGGCTATTACACGGCAGGAGCTTACTATCACGGTGGGCGGAGTCGAACATTAACGGTTATCAGGGTATTGTAAATGTTAATCGACGACTAGGAACATATGGTTCCAATAGACCCATTCGTAGCGATTTGACACTCAAACGATCTTTTTCTAGTACATCGAGCTTCACACCTATTCGATGTTCATCAACGTCAAGCAATTCGTCTACTGTAGATGCTATATCTACTGGTTCAGACGATTCTATCTTCGACGTTAGGGGCAAAATCCCGGTATCAGTCCCTGTAGTGGAGCTAAAAAGCGCCGATTGTAGTAGCACTTTATGGGAATTGGTAAAGACCAAGATGATAAAACCCTATTTGGACCTTTTTATTGAAACATATGACCTTTCTGTAACACCTAAAGATGGTGACCAAGAGTCTGTGATTCAGGAGATAATAAGTGCGTTGAAGAGGCGCAATGTCGCCGTAAAATGTTCTGCTCTAGATCCTCGTGCTGAAGAATCAAATGATGCCAATTATCGACACGCGTATAGCCCGATTAGTGTCTCTTTGCGTAGCCGGTTACTGGGTGCCTTGTTTGTAGAGCCTATAATGATCACAAACATCCCACGTCTAATTCCTACTTGGAAGAAACCGATAATTGTTAGTCACCATGTGTTTGGTGACCAATATCGTGACAAGGGTCTAACACTGCATGGCGGCGGTCGTGTAGAGTTGGTTTTCACACCTAACGATAGTAAAGAACCACCTAAGCGATGTTTAGTGGCCGACTTTTCGGAAGGAGATAATGGCCTATGCCTTGGGATGTATGCAACAGAGAGTAGTATAACGTCTTTTGCTCGTTGTTGTTTCCGTTACTGTATTCTACATCGTTTACCGTTATACCTGAGTGTGAATAACCCAAAGATGGCTACGTATGATGGTGTGTTTCAATCAGTTTTTGACGATATTTATGTAAAGGAGTTTAAAACGCAATTTGATCATTTGAATATATGGTATGAGCCCCGTAAATTTAACAATATGGTTTCTGAGGTACTTCGTTCCGAAGGTGGTTTTTTATGGGCATGTAAGAACTATGACGGTGACGTGAATGCAGACCTTGTTAGCGCTGGGTTCGGACTTCCTGGTTTCACCACTTATACCTACCTGTCTCAGGACCACCAGATGTGTATTGTTGAAGGCAGTAATATTCCAGTACGTCGATTGTCACCTGACGATAAAGGCAGTGGGCTTATTGTCGGCAACCCGTTATCTACAATTTTCACCTGGACGCGTGGTCTAAAACTTCGGGCCCGGTTAGATGGTAATGCGCGTTTACAACAATTTTGTTATGACCTGGAGTCTGCGTGCATCGATACTGTTGAAGCTGGTGTGTATACCCGTGACATATTGCCATATGTTGATAATAACCATCACAAAGTATCTGGTGTCGACTATCTAAGTACAGAGGCATTTTTGGATGTAGTACTTAAAACTTTAAAAGTTAAATTGGTTAGTTTTCAGGCCCCTCAAACATTTTCGGCAGCTTCTAATCGTCTTTCAGATTTATGGTAACTTCGATTATCTGCGATTTTCATATTTCTTTACCTGGGAATTGAGGGTGGCGCAGAGTTGAGGTATCCATCATTGAGTAGAAACTCCTCTAAAGTGCGTTCTGACATCATGGAGAACATGTTCGGGTCTTGCCCAAACGTTGTAGGTTGTTGTTCCCGTTGAGGCATGTATTGTTGGTATTTATACATGGGTTGATTTGTCGGTTCTGGTGTACGTCTTTGTTGCGGATACATTTGTTGTTGAGGTCTCCTTGTTTGTTGTGGTTTCGTGCTATTCGAACGAGCACGTGAACATTTCTCGATCTCTTCGATGTAGTCAATGCGTTGTGTCATACCAGTTGGTATTGAGGGGTGGTTGTTTGAGGAGTAATAATATGCCTTGGCGGCATCATAGCTGGGATCCTCAGGCTTGAATAATCCGTTTATGATGTCCCCCCTTATATCTCCTACTATATGTGCAAGTACGCTTATGGTCCCTGATACGAATCCTCCTACAAGTTGCGCAGCTTCTTTAGCCTCAATGGTCGGTAGCGCCGAAGCGTGTTCCTTGATTTTGTTGACTACATCGTTGAAAACGGAGGGTTTCTGCGTATATAATGTTTTTATTGGTTAATTTAACTTACCCTTTGTGCAGAATTACCTTTATTTTGGTTTCTTCCTTTGAATGCAACATGGTTTGTTAGTCTTGGTTGCGCATGGAAAATTCTTTGTTCATTTGGTTGAAACAAAGCTTTACTAGCTCTAGATTGTTGTAATATTGGCGTTGTCGGTATTCTGTTTGGAGTTGCAGCTTGTTGTGCCGGATTGTATGTGGGATATACCTTTGATACATATGAGCTCGGTACAAAATTGTTACGTGTTATTCCAGTTCCCTGTCTTGGCATAGCTGCTGGTGACTTGTCAGCTACTATAACCCTGTTAGGTATTGGATTAGTTTTTTGTCTTGTTTGTGGCAATACAACGGTCTTTTTGGTCATTACATTATTCCTGGAGATTGGTGATTTGGTCTGCATTGCATCCCGTGGTGTGATCCCTGCTGAATAAGTGATGACATTGGTGGTTGCTCTTCTGGGCATCATCATTGGTACTCTGGTACCAGGTGTTGGTTTGAATTGTGGTTGTGCTGTCTGATAGTTTTGTCCCATAATTCGGCTTGTGGTATTTTGTCTCCTAAAAACTTGGGTCGCAGCTACAGGTACATTGAGGGTACCGGTAGCCATTCTTGGTTGTGCCATATTTTTCGGCACATATGATTCTGGCCTCTGCTGCATTTGTAGTATGTTGTCTGGCATTGTATATTGTTTTGGGATCTTCTTCTAGGCAGCTCAGATAGACTAAATCTGTACTATAAGTTAACTATCTCTATGGTTAAACTTACTTTGTTAATATATCGAGCACTTTGTCTTTGGCATAAGCCACTATTGAGTGTGCTGTACTATTCAAGGAGTCAGTCGTCTACATTTAGCATTCTAGGGGTTGCACCCCTTAATTTATTTCTCTCACGTCTGAATCTAAGTACACATTTATTAATTTACCAACGTATCAATCCTATTTGGATCGGGATGTGCACTTGGAAGCATCAAGTTCCCTTTTGTGGGCGTACATTTGCGCCGGTTCATAATATTTTATTATTATAACCATTTCTTTAGAGTAACTATGTCTTTTTTATCATATTTTTTTACACATCAATGTATATTTGTGCCTTGAAGGGCGTTCATCAGCTAATATATCGAAACCATGGGTGCTACAGTAGCGCCGAGCCACTCTGTTTGAAACAACGCCTTGGTACAACTTTTTAGTGTTTATTTCGATACATCTTTATGATGTGTAACCTCTAGGCTAATTATTTTTAAAATTAGCACCAACAAATTATGACCTAATATAGCACTGTCTATAATAGCCAATGTGTAACAACAATAATTTTATCTACGTCTCTTCAACGGTTTCGTTTTCCATTCCTTGACAAAATTGTCCAATTCCTGCATATGTGTATTTAACATAAGCCAAAATAACATACCGTTTCCCAGTCAGACTCCTCTTCATGTGCCTTTTGTTCCGGTTTATCATCCGAATCTTCAGAACTTTCCGATTCCACGTCATCCTGTTTATTTAGAAGACGGTCGTACTGTTCCTGGGTTATCTTCTTTTTCCGAAGCTTCTTTGCCAACGACTCTTCACGTGCTAGTTCATCCCATTCACGCCATATATTCTCCCTGTATATAAATAAGTTGCTATCTATGTGTAACATACCGTTTGGCGTTACGTTTCTCAGTCCTTGTGCGTTGTACCTTTGGTTGGGGTTGTTTTTTCTTTTCGAGCACCTTTTCCTTGGACTCCACTCTGGATTGCTGTAATTTCATAAGACGCTCCTTTTCATGTTCCGCATCCTTAAAAGGTACAGCGTCAACATTGATATCACTATTTGCGAAGTTGCGTAAAGGTTTTCCTAAAATCTCCTTTACCCTCGGGACCTTCAAAACTCCAAATGCTGTAGCCAAACCACCATAATCGACATTCTGTTACAGTATTGCAAATTGATATAATTTAACTAACCTTAGGTTCGAATATACTCTTCAGCCTGTGCTCGGAATATGCTCGGGTATATGATACGAACGCTTTAGTAGCTGTGAGTAACATAGATCTGTCCTGAGCAAGTTGTGATCGTATATACGACAGCATTTTGGTTGTCTGGTTCCAGGGTAATAGCGGTTGTTCAGGTATGGTTTCCATCAGGAATTCGATGTAAGGCCTGCCATTGGCAACAGTAGTAGACTCGGAATGCAAGATATGTGGTAAAGAGCCCTTAGACACCTCCATTCTTTCGTAATATTGTTGAATATCTTCAAGTGTATCATTGGGTACACGTATTAGTGGTATTTTCCGGTTTATTTGGAATTGAACATAAGCCTCCTCGGTATTGTTCAATAACAATAATGCGTTCCCTGCAGCACCTGCTCTCGATACCCTACCAATACGATGTACATAGAAGTTTGGATCCTGTGGCGCATCGTATTGTATGACCCATTCTATTTGCGGTATATCGATACCTCTTGAAAATAGATCCGTACACAGCAACACCTGTAACGGTGTACCTCTATCATGTTCTGTGGTTCCACTTTTTCCAACACCAACAGAGTCAGGTCCATCAGACCACTCAGGTGGTTTTCGGAATCGATTTAGACTTTGTTGCCGTTTGGTTGTGGGCATTTTGCGATGTATTTTGTATAAAATAGTAGGCCTACCACAATCACTCATACACAAACTGAGTATGGACGAGAAGTAGTCCACCAGATCACAAGTTAGGAAGAATATAGCACACTTTTTTACTCCTGTTGCTTTAAGTCGTTCTAATAATAGTACAACAAAATGCAATTTTTCTCGTGGATCCAGAGGAATATAGAAGTTATTCAAAGTACTTGGAGTAGCGTACACAGCTGCACTATCTTCTCCATCAGCTTCCTTGTCAGCTCCATGTATACCCTGTCTGGCATGTTCATCTGCATTAATAAAATGGTAATTTCTTAATATTTTTTTAGCAAATTCAAGTACTTCTGATGGCAATGTTGCTGAGAAGAATCCGGTTTTACGTTGTTTAGGCATGCTACCCATGATGGCAGTCATATCCGTTTGATATCCCATTTCTAGCAACCGATCAGCCTCATCGAGTATCAGCATTACCAGATCCTTGAATGTCCATAACATCTCTTGTTGAAGCATATCTATCATATGTCTGAACCTTCCAGGTGTAGCGATTACAAATGGCCGTGTTCCAGCTCCATCCTTCAGTTTAGCAATGGCTTTAACATCATGTTCCACCGGGCACCCACCGATAAGTACAATAGATGATACGACATTATTTCCGGATGTTTTGGTATCCACTAACTCCTTATTGATATATTCAGCCGCTCCAGACACGACCGAATGTACTTGTGACGCCAGCTCTCGTGTAGGTAATATTATCACCGAGAAAATGGAGATTAATCCATTTTCAGCTGTTTTGCGCCTCTCTTTCAAGAACAGGTCAAGCATTGGCACAACAAAGCAAAGTGTTTTCCCCGATCCTGTATGCGATTGTACCAGAACATCATTACCACTTTTTATAAATTTGGGTATAGCCAACTTTTGTACATGGGTCATTACCACTATTTTACTTTTTGTCAGCCATGTTACAATATAAGGGTTAACACCAAGCGATTCGAACGTATCCTGTTGATTATTATGTGGAATAGGTTCAGTTCCCCTATGTTTTTTGGAGCTTTTTCTAGATCCTACCGACGGCCGTAGCCCATTTTGGCCGGAGCTGGAGTCTCCAGCTGTTGCCGTGCATTCTCCTGGGAACTCCTGTTGATACAGCGTCTTCTCATCATCAAATGGAACATTGTCGCTGGTAACCAGTTCTGTCACTTTCCTATATATAGCCACTATCCTCCTGCAACGTTGGAGTCGCCTCGATAAACCCTTCATACGGCTGATTCGTTAACAATAGCATGCGATATTATACAACCATGATTTAATGGCGGCCAGATGATAGCTACTAGTTTCACTGATATAGCGGTGTCCAACGCAGAGCTCTATGTGTAATTTCGTAAATAAATACATATTATCTACATTGACATCATTTGTTAGAAGCTACGATAGAAGAAAGTTGTATGTACGATTTGAGACGAAATAATTCAGTACACCGGCGATGTGTACAACAGTGCCGCAGCCTTAGAAGGCGATATGTTACTGCGTGAGATAGTCCCGATATTACTTGTATCTTTCAGCCTACTTTGTATATAATTATACATATAAATTAAAACGTGGTTTATGTCCATAACACAGCAGGTTTATATTACTATCACGTCGTCGCGCCATATATATGGCTATCTTCTATGCTGGATTGTAAGCCTGTTGGCACATTACCCTTGATTTGCATCTTAAGGTGCTAATGTATGTGTTATTGTTGACAATTGGCTAGCGTTTTCTATTTGAAAACTGCCATTCGGAGCACCGCGGCTGTGGTCCCACAAACCTGAGCAGTCCTTGTTATGATTACACCGGTTCTTGGACGTCAGGCCCTGCGCCGTATATTCGGCGCATCCGGTCACCGTCTTTTGCGTAACCATGGCATACAAGATGTGTGTTTTGTGGCCATAGGACGAGCAAATTACTGCGGTATTGTTAAACCATACGGTATCAGCGTAGATACTCAACGAATTTTATGCCGTTATAAGCGTTCTATATGGAATACTCATACATTTTCAAGCAAGGATCCAGATGGGTTTGGCAAGTTTACTAAACGTGATGGCACATCAGAGCCCAAGTCATCTAAGGAGGCTACTGATAGTACCAATAGTTCCACTAAAGGTAAAGAAACGGATCGCGGTGGTCGTTCAGAGTCTCAAGATCCGAAAGAGCCTAAAAATGAGGATGAACGCAAGTTGCTTAGTCGGTTAATGGAACCTTACACATTGATATTACTGGGTATAGGAACCGTTTTATTTCTCGATGTCCTGGACAGTGGCGGTTTACGTAACGAGATAACACTGCAAGAGTTTCTTGGGAAGTATCTGATGCGCGGTCTAGTGGAACGAATCCAAATCGTTAACAAAGATTTCTGCAGATGCTCAATCGTCAATGGTGCCGATTATAAGCTACCACGTATTGTTAGCTTTCGTATAGGTTCACTTGAGGCCTTTGAGCAGAAATTAGATGATATCCAGGTATGTTGCATTATCTATGTGATAAAATATGCTCTTAGGCATCCATGGGATTGCATCCGCAAGATTATATAGGCGTGCAATATGTGAACGAGGTGAACATTATCGGTGAATTGAAGCGTTACATACCATTTATGGTGGCTATGTTACTACTAGGTATCGGTTTACGTAAGCTTACAGTACGTAGTACCGGTGGCATGGACCGTTTCTTTCGTATGGGCAAGATGAACGTTGTGGATGCTAAGGATATAAAGGTCGATGTTCGTTTTAAGGACGTTGCGGGTATGCATGAAGCTAAGCGTGAGATTAGCGAATTTGTGGATTTTCTAAAAAACCCTAAAGCATACGAACACTACGGTGCAAAGATACCGAAAGGGGCGTTGTTATGTGGAGCACCTGGTACAGGTAAAACTCTATTGGCTAAAGCTGTTGCCGGCGAGGCAAATGTACCATTTTATTCCATATCTGGAAGCGACTTTATCGAAGTGTTTGTTGGTGTAGGCCCGTCACGTGTCCGCGACCTCTTCGAGAAAGCAAGGAAGAACGCACCAGCAATAGTGTTTATTGACGAGATTGATGCTGTAGGCAAGAAGCGCGCGAAAGGTGGTTTTTCAGCAGGTGCTAATGACGAGCGTGAGAACACGCTTAATCAGATATTAGTGGAGATGGATGGGTTCAAGACAAGTAGCGGTGTAATTGTGCTTGCCGGTACTAACCGGGCTGATATCCTTGATCCAGCATTGGTACGTCCAGGGCGCTTTGATCGTACAATTACAATAAATCGTCCTGATTTGGATGAGCGTTTTGAGATTTTTAAAGTACATTTAGCTCCATTGAAGCTCCATAAATCGCTTGACATGGACGATGTAGCGCGTCATTTAGCGGCCCTGACTCCTAACTTTGTCGGCGCTGAGATTGCAAATGTGTCAAATGAAGCTGCTATTCAAGCTGTACGACGTAAAAGTACCGATGGAGTTTCACTTGTGGATTTTGATGCTGCCATTGAGCGTGTAATGGCTGGTTTACGTAGATCTAATGCCCTGCTATCTCCAGCTCAGAAATTAGCTGTAGCCTACCATGAGGTGGGCCACGCCTTGGTTGGCTGGTGGCTTGAGCATGCTGACCCCGTGTTAAAGGTATCTATTATCCCTCGCAGTAACGGTGCATTGGGGTTTTCTCAGCAATTACCTGATGAGGCTATGTTGTTTAGTCGAGAGGCTCTTTTGGACAAGGTTGCCGTGATGTTAGGTGGTCGGGCTGCTGAGGACATTTTTATCGGCCGTATAACTACTGGTGCTACTGATGATTTGAATAAGGTAACACGTATGTGTTATGCTTTTGTATCACAATGGGGTATGAACCCATCTTTAGGTCTTGTATCGTATCAGCGTGATTCTGGTGATGAGCCGGATTTTTATCGCACATATTCAGAGACCACTGCACAACTGATCGACAATGAGGTTCGAACTATGATAGAGAGTCAGTATTCTCGTGTTCAGAGTTTATTGCGTGAGAAGGCTGACCTGGTTCACAAGCTTTCTAAGCTGTTATACCAGCGTGAGACCATAACCTACCACGACATCGCTTCTTGTGTTGGCGAGCGTGAGTTCCCTGTGCAAGAGAAGTTGCGACCGTATGTATTGAGCGGTATGGAGGGTGAAAGCGATCCCCTAAAATTACCAGGTAGTGGCGAGGGTAGCGCCTTAAACGATAGCTCGGTATTGTCCGAGCCCGGGAAGGTCACGGGTTCATCTTCTTAGATTGATTTAATAGATTGTTGGTATAATTTAGATATCTATAACTGTATGTGTGAGTGTGCGGCGTTTGACCGCGCGTTATGTCTTCTTATGCTCCGGTGCGGCTGTGTCGCGCCAATATGTAGCCCGTTTGATCTGGCGGCTACAATATCTATAAAATATCAATAAAGGCGCCATGGGCAAAGCTACGGTGGCTGCCGAAAGTTCTCCTGCGGAAGATGTTCCGCCTATGGAGCCCGTGACTGTGGAATATTGTCCACGTTGCGGTATGCCGTTTGACTTTTGTGACTTTGGTGATAAATGGGAGACTGGTGAATGCCGTGCCGAGTGTTCTCGAAGGTATCCTGAGATCTTTGGTACCGCCGAGGAGGTAGCGGAACAGCTTCTTAAAATATCGATTTCACCGCCACCAGCACCTCGTAAAAAGAAACCTGAAGTAAGACAAGAGGTCACAGTGCAACGTAGTACCCGTTCTAAACGTAAGATCGTTACTACAGTCACGGGTTTACATCTCTTTGGTATGTTTTTTTCATTTTCTAATTGTAATATATTTAACTTTAGGCGTGAAATTGGAAGTCGCAGCAAAGTTATTTGCGAAGCAATTCGCCTCAGGAGCGGGTGTTGTTAAGGGTGTCCCGGGACAGATGGATCATATCGATTGTCAGGTATGTGTTTCAACGGTTAATCAACATTTTGTCATTTAGGGTGATGTTGAAGACCAAGTTATCGATTTGATATTGGCACAATACCCTGATATAACAGAGGACAACATTGTTAGGTTGCCATCTAAAATCAAGTGATATTGTATTACTATGCGTTGTTAGTCCGATGTTACGGAAAACGTACCACCAGATTTTAGATACAACAGTTCTTGTTAATTGTGAACACAAAACGTGTATTAAAGGTGCTAAGTTTATAACAGTTAACGTACAGGGGTGAGGAAGGCCCCTTGGACATGCTGTTCTATGTTAAACTCCTTGCCATCTTTACGACATGATAACATAAGTACACATGCTTCTACACTATCGCTTTCGTTAGAAAGCTTGAATACGTCGTCTGGTAATACCAGAACGTGTGATTGCCTTGGGCATGGTATCCTACGTTTACTTGTAAGGTTCAGGCTCTCGTAAAACAGCTTGCCAGGAGCGAGTTCAAGCAACAGTAGCGCCATCACACCTCTGGTGTTTATCATTGGTCCAAAATTGGATAATGGCGGCACCCTTAACATGGCATATGCCGCACCACGTGGGTGGTGAAGCAGTGGGATGCAGCTGGTATCGCCAAATGTTGCCGCTGCACGCTCCGCCTGTAGCTTATCTAATGATGCCGTGTCGACTATCTGGGCATCCGAATAGTCGCTTTCCATAGAGGTTAGACTAGACAATAAAGCTTCCGAAGCTTCTTTCACCCTAGCAACCTCCGTGGCATCCAGCATAAAAGCAAACGTATCATCTTTGCTGTTATCTACAACAAACGCTATAAGAATATCACATAAGCTTGACTTTACCTTTTGCTGGTGGTTTACCCTGCGATAGTGCACTGCGATTGAAATATGTATTTGCGATAGATTTTGGTTGTGTGATAGAAGTCCTGGGTGCCGTCTTTTTGGCTTTTGGAGCTTTGGGTGGTGGTTTCTGTGGCGAAAACAATGCCGGCGTTAGGACCGTACGGGCTTGATCGTTGGATATTGCCGTATAGGCGCCTTTTGCCATCAAACGCTCCCTTAGCGACAGTTGGTTTGCTGACTTCCTAGCAAAACCTAAACGGCCATGATACACTATCTAGTTCAGTTGCATCTATACCTTTACTGCGCTTGCCGCGTGAAGCAGGTACCACTGTCATAATGACCCTAGTCTTCACAGGTGTGTCCGGAGACTACACCTTGCTATACCAATTTTAGGCTATCGGTGTATAGTGTGCCATCTAGTTATATTTATATATGATGCAAAGGCAATGAAGATCCAGAAATCCATTCACTAGACCGACCAAGTGTGCCCCGCCGTACCTTACACGCCGGATACCCCGGGGACCTTATCAGCACTGATAAAACTCACTTGTGGCAGCCGTGTGCCTAAAACGAGGCATAACTTAAAATTATACATGATATATAACTGGGACGCGGATACAACCGTAATATCGACCAAGATATAGGTATTACTCCCTGACGCCAAGGACAGTGTCAAATAATCCTTCCACAGGTATGTTTATATAAGCATTATTCAATGATTAAGGTTATTTTATATACTCTATTTGATATCTCCGCTAAAATACAGCCTTGCGCCCACAATTGTTACATACTGGTCGCCTAGCTCAGATCAGCCGTTCTACTGCAAATTACTGGTTATGTAAATGTGTTACAATAGATGTTACAGGATGCGGAGCATTCTACCGAGGATCGGCAGGCGAGCATTTGGCTCAGTAACTGCTCAATCTGCGGCTACCGCCGCGGAAGTATCGTCAGGGTCGAAGTACGAAACAGCGAGTTGCCTGGCCAAAGTGCATCATGTCGATGGGATATGGAGAGCGCCACGTACTCTACCGTATTCCAAGGAGGAATTCGATCGCGCTTATCCACCCTCGTACAAGGGCATGCGCATAGGACTACCGGAATCGGGGACGTTCCAGGCGGAACACATCGACCCCAAATTTGACGAAATGTCGCCCCTAGTGTGGACGACGATACTCATGGCTCCCATTATCATATGGGGAGGCATAGAGACGTATTACCACTACTTCCCAGCGAAACCTGGTAGTCACCATTAAACAATAATTACAATAAGTTTGTTACACTGAGATACAACGGGTTGGGGTGTTACGTGATGATGATACGGGGCTCATGCTGTCGCCGATGACCTCACGTTCAACGTCCAGACCCCTTTTCACAAACTGCTGGGTTACACACCACACCAATGATGATGGACCCATGTCGCCGTTGTTGACAGTTTGGTCAACCAATACCTCGTCAGTATCGTTCAGACTGACAGCTGTAGAATGTGATAACGCAGGACTCGCGCATTCGTGAATAGCCTTCGAATAGTCCTGACTAGCGGTAATACTAATGCATTTAGCAGGTGGATCTTCTTTAGTCTCTTGAGTGTACTCCTGGTATGCTGTCAAACGTTTTGCGGAACGACCATATTCATCTTGGTAATCGACATAACGCTTGTTTGGTTTAATCGAACGTCCCGAAAATGATGTGAATGTTTGTTTAACAGGTTCTTCCAAGATGACATTTTCAGTCTTTGATTTTTGCTTGATTGCTTTTATTTCAACATTTTGTTGGACAGAGGGAGTAAAAACGCCAATTTCGACGTTTACATCGTGATGCTCAATTTCGTCAGAATGATTCAGCGTTTCATTTAATAATTGGCTTGAACTGTTTTCAATGGGTACAACTTTCTCAACAATAGCGCCATCAAACAATGGCTCCACAACCTTTTCAGAATGAACTGGTGCCGGTTCATTGGCTGGTACAACAGCCTCGGTCTTTTCATTCTTGGATTTTGATTTTACACGCTCAGGTTTCGTTGTTGAAGAAACCTGGTTCTTGTGAATTAAAAGTGCTTGATCAAACACACCAAATTGGTGAGTTAACTCCCATAACATTGGAATATTGAAGAAGGGTAAGTTACTAATGGAAGAAGGTGGGTTCCTTGCTTGGAGGATCGCCCTGTAATATGGAGGATCCTGACGGTAAACACGTCGTACAAGATCAAGCAAAGCGCTTCTTCCTTTGGCACCCAATTGCCTGTTGAATCCTGGGTACCACACAATGCTTTCAGCATCACCCAGTGAAACATCGGCATTCTCTTGTTTGGGTTTTGGTGCTACTACTGTGCCCTGCACAGAAACTGCGGTATCCCTGTTTGCTCGTGATTGTTTGGTCTTCTTAGGTGAAGAATGTTTTTTAGAAGGGTACCGTTCACGAACTTGCTTGTATAATGGCGCTTCTATGGGCTCCGGAGAGATCTCCATAGGTACGCTGATAACCAACGAATCGTCAGATGACACCATTGTTTTCGGAGGCATATCTGGTACGCCATAGATCATGTCAACAATTGACATTGGTGTATTTTCTGCTGATTCGCCGTAAATGTCGTTTCCTGTAAGTGTCATAAAATCAAAGTTAATATCCGAAATATCATAAACCTCGTCATCAACAAAAACATTTTCGCCTCCATAGAATTCATAAACTGCCATAATCTGGTCATTGCTAGGGTCAACATGTTGTGGGTAATGGCAGGCTACAGCTCTCATATCCTTGTTGAATACATCCGCTCGTGGAGCCATAACTTGGTCACAAGCATGCCTGTTGACTAGTGAGTCGCGGGGTACAGACAGTGATTGACCATCGATCTTAGAATGGTTACCGAATGACTCAATATTATTGAGTTGTATCGATTTTTTTTCTTGGATGATATAATTTGATTCTTTTGGTTGCACTATATGCACATATGTTGCTGTCCTCTTAGAATCCTCCGCAAACTTCCTTTCTTGTGGTTCTGCACTCGTTAACTTGGTGCTGCATTTGTTAGACATGATAATACGTTCGTCGAATACGTTGTACAGTTCATTGTTTTTGTAGCCAAAGTGTGTTGCGCCGTTCTTGAAAACCATTGTATCAGGATCGTGTAATTGCTGATATGGACGGTTGTTCAATGGTTTTAGAGAGGCGTGAGTGTCATGGTTTGAGAATGATACACACCTGGTGCTACACATTAACCCATTAGTTGCTGTTGCCATGGTGTTTGTAGACATACGCGGGACGCCTTCTCCATGGCAACATTTAGCATATCCTATAGAACTGAACTCCTTCATTTTGAATTAAAACTGCATTTAGATATCCTCCAGATACGAATTTTTTGAAGTTAGGAAGATATACGAGCTGGCTTTTCGAGCTAAAACATTAAAACCAAAAAACGGTACTACATTCAGAGTATTATAGTAGAATAATGGTGTAATAAGAACATGTATATACATACACGGTTACCACACTTAGACAAAAAATCAAAACGACAGTTTCCTAAATACACAATATATATCTATTGTATACCACTTGTACACTTATTTATAGGCAATATTTAGGATGTCGACCAAATACTCATTACCAAAGATAGCACAAAATCATACACAGGGGTGATTAACCTTGATACACATATATGTCAATGTGTCAGACTATCGTTTTACTACACAAATATCAAATTTTATGCACCCTGTGCTAGACGAGTCCCGACTAATGTCGGTTCTTGACTATTAAGGCACAGTAATTGGTAACTCACGTAATATGAAAATTACACCCGTAATTTGCCTGTGCACATATTCTACCCGTCTTGATTAGACGTGCACGCCCCGTGCCTGATCCTCGTCTAAATGTGTCTCCTGCTAACGTCAAGACACGAGAGGTGCACTTGGTCGTGCACAGGGCTCCGCCCGTACGCCTTTATCCTGAGTATATATGTTCAGACAGATATGCCAATTATTATTAAATGGCACAGCTGATTGAACTGATGCAACAATTGGTGGCGGGTCACCTTCGTCTTACACAGTCGCGTTACCAAGGAGAGGTATTTTACCACCACTGCGTATGGTTGTTGCACCAAAATCTATAACACTTTGGTTAATTCTGATATTCTCCAATTATTCAAGGAGAATTACGTTCACATACGCGCGCTAATCCGACAATAGTTGCACGCGACAATCTTGCTTCCCACTGGTGTCTAATGTTTTTCTCAATCAGACAGAACAATCACAGCACAAATAACCTTGAATTACACGAAATGTAGTCGTTTTCACTACAGGTCGTTAATTAACATACCCTTTTCATATGACGGCAGCGCTACACTTTGGTGTAGAGGACTACCTGTAAACTTCCGAGACAATTACAAGCACCGTTGGAAACTACAAAATTTTCAGTAGTTTCTCACTGAATGAACTCGTTAGGGGAATATTGTATCACCATGGGGTATGCATAATCCCCGCAACATTGTTGTGTAATGCTGTACTAATATTCACTCCTGTACTCCAAATAACAATCATACACCTTCTGAACCTAACTGGAATACGCACAGTAGCAAACATATTGTCAAATGATATCCATTGATGCCTACTCATTGCACAAAACACACCTATATCGCTATAAAGATGGTAATCTACATGCCTTCCTCTGTCTTTTGTAAATAAAAGTATCCTTCCTCAACTCTCACAACGTCAGTATCAATACCTAGTTATATAGAGACCATAGCCGGACGACATCGTTAGGGTGCTACACACAATTGTACTACCATTTTCATAAAAATGCTAATAATGCACTGGATAGTCATATACAGGAGATAAGAATATTACAAGTATATATTATTTTACTGAAAGTGAATGCTGGAGCGGACTTGTCACTTCAAATAGCTCAAGCATGTTTCGTGATACTAAATCGAGTTACAGATGACTTGACACATCACAATCATGTGTACAATATACGATATTTCGCATGTGTTAAACGATTCTAACAAAAAAAACACTATGGAAGCTGTTTATATACCTACACACCCAGACAGACCAGGGTACCATAATATTGTGAATCAGAATTTATGTGAAAATTGACATGGGTCATTATAGAATTTTTAATTTTTTAGAGATCTCAAGCCGCAGTACATGCGGTCTAATTACATCCCGTGAACTTACACCTGCCGGGGGGTGTCGAGCTCAACGGGCACAAGATTCGACACCGCACTCACTAAAATCGCATGAAAATGATAGATTTCGCATGTGTTGTTAGTAAAGGCGGAGTAGTACTCTGGAACCAAAGCTTCGATCATGGATTCCAAAGAAATGAAACACAAGATGGAAGAGGGACATTAAATAAACTCATACGAGATGTTATACTAGAGGTATGATAATGCTATATTACATGTCACGGAATTGTCACTGTTATGAATTTGATCGTTAGGTCATACTTAGATAAGATCTCCAAAATAACATATTCAAGTATTAAATAAATCAATGAGACCCTGTTGGTCCATATATAATATTTACGGTTTAAAACCCCTCTGTTTCGTAATGCTTCAAATCCATATTCCAACATTCACGATTGTATATATATCACAATTTAGGAACGAGGAGCAAACCAGCAGGCCAGTGTTGATGGAGTCAACATAAGATGGAGGGTGCTACATTCCATCGACGCCGTGATGTACATTATATATCAAGTAGGTGGTGAAAATAGTGTTCAATATCAACGTGCAGGGGATACAAAATGCACAAAGCTTAGAAGAACTTGTAGAAGAGGCATCTGAGCTTTTTCTAAAACATGTGAAACAACAACATGAAAATGTTACGACCATTAATTGGATCACCGAAACAATCAGGTTCAACTTTGATGAAGAATTCACCCAGATATTGTACAAAATAGGGTCACGAACAGCAAAAGGACATACAACACAAAAAGACCAAAATAATATACAAAGGAACACAACTAATAAACAAGATAACAATAAGAAACATGAAAAAACGAAACGAGAATGGGGAGTAAAAGCATTCGTATCCAAGAAAGATATGGATGAATTGGACTATTCAACTGATAAAGATGCAAGACAATCTTCCGCAACAGCTTCGAGTCAAAACACAACCACGAATAACGATGTTAATCTAGAAAATGCAAATAAAGGTGGTATCGGAGGGTTCTTCAGAGGAGCCAGGAAGTCAATCTCGAAACTATTCGGAAGAAACAAAAACGAACCGCCATCAAAAGCAAATAGCGTAGACAAAGCATCAAATGCACCAAGTGTACTAGATACCTTCTCACAAATGGTACTCAAATATGCTGGAAATATGGTACTCACACCAGAAGCAATAGAAGAACCATTGAAGGAATTGAAGTTAAACCTAAATACAAAAAATGTAGCCAACGATATTGCCACAATGATATGTGACTCCATATCAGCAGGATTAGTTGGCAAAAAAACAGCGTCACTCAAATCAGTAGCAGCAACCGTAAGAGAGGCACTCGAGGACTCCGTTAGGCGTATACTGACGCCCAAGGAACCCATAAATCTATTAAGAAACGTATCAGAGGCCAAGGCAAACGGTGATGTATATTCGGTCTTGTTTCTTGGTGTTAACGGGGTAGGCAAGTCGACGAGCCTTGCTAAAGTGACGTACTTGCTCAAATGTAACGGATTCAAAGTACTGTTAGTAGCATGTGATACTTTCAGATCGGGTGCTGTTGAGCAGCTAAAGACACATGCTGATAAATTAGGGGTGGAACTTTTTGAAAGAGGCTATGGAAAAGATCCTTCCGCAATTTGCAGAGAGGGACTAAAATATGCACGAGCAAATGCGTTCGATGTAGTACTAATTGATACGGCTGGAAGGATGCAGGACAATGAACCATTAATGACCGCACTAGCAAAACTCATACATGTTAACAATCCAAACCTACTATTATTCGTAGGTGAAGCATTGGTAGGCAACGATGCAGTGGACCAGTTACGCAAATTTAACCAAGCGATACAAAAAATGGCAGAAGCCAACGCGGAACTACGTGGAAGACGTATCGATGGCATTGTATTAACCAAGTTTGATACTGTAGATGACAAAGTTGGGGCTGCCCTGTCAATGTGCTACATTACAGGGCAGCCGATCGTATTCGTTGGCACAGGCCAAAGATATACCAACTTGGGAAAGTTGGAAATAGATGACGTAGTGCGAGCGCTAACCAGATAATTATATAAATATGACGTATACCTTTAATTTTATAACGTAATCGATTAGGATTAATGTTTTTTTGCACATGGAATAGGCAATTCAGTAGATCCAGCTACCTACACTTCGATCCCAAGATACAATCTCCTCAGGTTTGAACCAGAGGTGGCATTCACGCTCGGCATCTTCGATTGAGCTGCTGGCGTGGACTAGATTTAGGTGAGTTACTACACCAAAATCACCCCTAATAGTACCCGCATCACTTTCCAATGGAGAAGTTACACCGACGACTTTGCGGCCGATCTTTACGGCTTCCGGGCCTTCCCATATCATGCAGAACACAGGCCCTTGGCCAATGAAGTCACAAAGCTCAGAGAAGAAGGGCTTCTCACGATGCTCAACATAATGCTCCGCTACAACTTGTTCCGATGGCTTGCAGAACTTGGCAGCTACAAGTTTTAGCCCACGCTGCTCGTAACGCTTCAACACTTCGCCAATTATTCCACGTTGAACCCCGTCGGGTTTTACCATAATGTAAGTACGCTCAACCTTCATTTTGGACACTGAAACTATCGGCCGTAGATTTCACAGGCGATTGGGAATTTATAGTGAAAAGAAGCGACCTTATGGGAACAAGTGGTGTGTGCCGCTAGCAGGTGTGGCGCGTACCGAAGGCGCAGCGACGGAAGTGGCAGCAACCCTCTATAATGAATAGACGTTCAATAATATGAAATTAACAAATGACAGGCGCAAGTTACCACAGTAGAATAAGGTCACATGTCCGAGTGTGTTAGCATTCTAGAATCAAACCATATATGTGTCATCTTCTCGGCAGATTCTAGAGGAATGATTCTAATAGTACAGCATTAAATTGGCCATTATAGGCACCTGTGCTTCTGGATGACGTAAAAGGCAGTGTGTAGTGGCTGGTAGCAGCTATCCACCGTTGTCTAAGATTCCATTCTAGAGTAATCCAACAAACTAAAAAATGGAAGAACCGGCCACTCGAAAAGAATCAGGGTTAAGAATAGAACTTCTGAAGCAGTCTCTGCACATACAACTATTGACACATTTTGATCTGTCTATAACTTTCATACTCTTGCTGAGGGGTGAACTTGACCTGTATGAAAAACGGTCTGCCAACACATTGCTATCCAAGTTTAGCAGAAGATGGCCAAACATCGTCATCACCGCAAGCGATGATGCTACAGCCAGCGAAGAGCTGCAGGCTGTAGCTCGAAAACTCAACTGGAATATAGCCATCAAACAAATCACAACTAGGTTAAGGCAAAAGTTGGGGATACGTGACAGACCTATAAACCTTATGGAACATAAATTAGATGATAGTTGGGGAAATGATTACGAATATTGTACAAGTTGTCTAGGTAGAGAAGCTACAGGCATGCGATGCTTGCTCCGACGATGCCTATGCAAAGCCCGGCCATCGCCGGAGACAGATTCTGCAATTACTGATTCCAATACAGATTTAGATAACTTGAAGGATGCAACTGATCGTGTGAACGATCAAAGTAATGGCAGTAACTCTGGAAATGTGCTCCAAGATGACCATGGTATGGAACCTGGTATCGACAGCTGTGCACGTCTGATAGAAACAGCTACAAGGGAAATGCCCCCAAATCTATCGCAGGATTTCAACTATGACACATTATCGTGTCAAACCTGCTCCAAAGAGCCTGATGCCACACGAGTCGTAGCGGTAATAAGCCCATTTGTTCTAAAAAATGATACCAAGTCTCCGAAAAGCTCGAGACGATCAATTAAAAGATCTCTACGTGCAATGGGTAATGGCAATGCCAGTGGGATAGACCACAACGAAAATGTAGAACTATACGCATCGCATCAATTCCCGCTACATACATACCTCAAGGGTGATTTGGATGAAGGTTCATATGGATCCATTTCGGAGTCAGAGAATATTGTGGGCCATATATTCGACCTAGTGGGTCTCATACTTGACACGCGGGATACGAATGCAATAGAACCGCCCAATGTGGCATATGTCTTGGTACGTATACTTTCCAGCAAAGTAGCTGGCCCATCGAAAGGGGCTGAGGAGCCTTCATGTGCAGTTGGCACAAATAGTGAAGAACCCAACGAATTGGATAGTATGTTCGACAATGAGGTGGCAGAGATGCTGATGAAGAAATATGAGCTCTTAGTGAACAAAATCAACCGACTGGTACCGTTTCCGACAACATATTGGTTAACCGATCCACAGCTGGTGGCACAAGTCTCGGCACTAGAGGGAGCAGGTGCCATAAGTAAACTACAAAAGGTAATAGATGATAGCATTCAAGAGTATGAACGAGATGAGTTGTCGTCTGCGGGGTTGGGGGAACAACTTATCAAGGATAACCTAGCATATATATGCAGCCGCTTGGAACTGGTACATCCGGCCATATTGACAACGCTATATAACATGATGGTCAATTCCACATGTTTCACACAGTTCTACGATGGTAATGGCACGCCTAACTCCTATATATCCCTGACGCCACCAAACGGTAGGGCACATTCTGGAACATCGCGTCAAAAACAGGTAGAACTAGCAAGAGCTATGACCATCGCCAATACACCTAGAGTATACGGGATCGGTGGTAGCCGTAGCTTTGTGCACATAAAGTGCCTACACACCAATCTCGCATTCGCGCTTGTCGAGGGAGCTACCATAGGAAATATGGTATTCAAATCTATAGCACGATACACATAAACTAACCTGTTTGATATTTAAACTGTAGTAGAAAATTGTGTAACATGTGATATTCTCTGTAATCAGTTATCATTCCGACACTAGGGACCAGAAGGCAGGTTGTAAGCGGGATTCCTGGAATGGGACCCTATTATTGCAGCTCATCGGTAAGAATTTTATATGGAACCTATTATATTCCAGTAATCTACCTTAATATGGTAGATAAGGGCCAAATAACTGGACCTTCTAATATATAGGCTGGTGAACCTACCAGCCCCGCATTTGCAAATAGCGCTGTCGACAAATATATGGGTTATATAGATATATGTTGAAGGATATATTGTTTGGAATTAACTGTCTATGAACGTTGAGACGGTGTATAGCAGGAAAACGGGACAAGTTTACAACTATTGCGACTTTGCAACACACCTATTCTGGATAAACGCCTAACTGGGCAGCTATACTGGACTCTCAAGAGATTGTATGTTGGTATTTGACAATTTGAGGTGTGAAAAGACGCCATACGTAGAGCCATGCCACGTCAGCTCTCTTGGTGTATGGACTAACATTAGTTCAACAAAAATCGCCATAAGTTGATGTCAAGTGTAATACTAGACAAGCCGTTCCATGATTGACACCTACGGGAGGTTATGTTATTAGTCTGGAAGGCAGCTCACTCCACGACGCCAAATTTATCTAACTGGAGAAAATCCAGGAATAATATTACCAAAATAGTTTAGTATAGCACGGCAGCTCCAACATCCAAAATGGCCAGGGAAGAATCTGAATTGCCGCCATACTTTCGAAATAAGGTAGCCTTTAGCTATGGTACCTTACAGAGATCGGCAGAGCAAATAGAGACACAAGAGAAAGTACAACATGGGGAAGGTACCAAAATGCATTTCGAAGTTATCAGCTTTGATAATGGACCTTTGCAATTTAATTCGATTGTATTCTTGCCACCAGGAGACACTGTACCATTGAACATTGAAAATAAAGCAATGCATAGATTTCGATCACGCTCAGAAAGGAAACTAAGCGAGTCTGATCTCACAGTATTTGCTAGAGTGGTATTAGAAGATGGAGGGAGGCGTTATGTACCTTTGTGCCTTATGGAAATCGCAGATCGGAACTGGTTAACCTTCGTTTATGAAGTTGACGAAGATGCAGAAGATACGACACAACTAGTTGATGGTCTGCTGGTAGCAGGACGATTGGGATGCGTTTCTTACATATTGGTACGTCATAGAGAAAAAGGGATACCCTGGACGGTAGTACCAGAGGAAGAAGAATGCCTCTACTATGGGCAATATGTTCTAGACACAATCAAAAGCAAACCTGCAGTGGAAGCGGCCAAAGCTATTCTACGACTGGAAACAAATGAACATGAAGCAGCAACAAATACCCTATCTTTATCACATCTAAGGAGATATACAGATGCAGCAACGTGCAAGACACTCTTCGAGGTTAGGGAAGCGGCATTAAGTGATGGACGAGAGGAAAGGTTGGTACAACATTTGATGGACCGGCTGAAAGAGTTCCTTGAACCAGAAATAGACGTTAGTGAATTCGATGATATCAAAGATATGTTTATGGATTGTTATAAACACACCAAGTTTATATTCTCAGATAAAATTCCACTAAATGAAGTGATAGACCCGGTAGTGGAAAAATGTGTTCACCATATGACTTTTGATATCAACAATGTATATTTCGATATCCTGCAGGTGCTAGTACGTGATTGTGACGTTGCATACAGGCTAATGTTTGACATGGGTTTTGGAAAAACATTAGTTGCCAAACTCGTAGACACAGAATCAAAAAGGTGGATACAGAAAGAAAATATGTTAGATATGCTTATAGAAATTGTATCACATGGAAAATGTATGCGCAACTTTATAAGGGCTGACAATGCAGGAAAAAACGAATCACTATGCGATACTTTGCTCTTGGGTGTGACAGGACTACGCCTATTCTCAATGCAAAATATGACAGAACGGTTAGGTCATATAGGGAAACGTGTGGAGCTGTTTTTGACGCTTTCACGGGTGGAGCAGACGTTCCAGAACCTTGAACCGAAATTGAACACTGGCAAAGGGCCACAGTACGACAATCTAGAAATGTTGATCCATTGTGTGAATGAAGCCATCGATATGGTTAAATTACATTATGTTGGAAAGGTGAAATACAGTGTACTAAGTGATATACGAGAGGTGCGACAATATGCCGTATCATACGTCATGGAAACAAGATTACCAGCTGTGGTAACGGGATTGATGAGGGCGCTGTTATTGCACCTGGAAAGTTTCCCAGTAGCACCGTTCCATATTAGCGTAATGGTGGAAAGTCCATTGTGGTTGGTAGCACAATATAACAATTTGATCGACTTCAGTGATTGCTTGTTATATATGGTACGAATATGTGATTTGGTCAGAGACACAGCTATGAACAATGCGCTTCAAAGCGGAATATACGCAAACTCGCGGGTGGAATACTGCAAAGAACGATGCGAGAGTATGGCTATACATACTATATTGCTGAAAATGGCATCGGCGTTGTTTGGAAAGCGTTCTTCTCCGCAAATAGTCAGTGCTATGCATCGTATTTGTACGGAATACGCCTCTGGATTCGGCGTCTTAGCCACTATACTATCTGAAGACAGTGTCATCCAGGCTGTGCTTCACATAATCACAGCAGGTATTGATGATCTTTCGTCCTCGGAGTTTGTTTCAGGCGGCCCACAGGATAATATGGAACTATGGCAACTTCTTAATCTGGTTTGCGAAGCTATGGTCAAGGATGAAAGCGGAAGATTGATATATGTTTTGGGAAAGAAGCTTATAGCACCCTTAGGAGCATTCCTAGATATTTTTATACCTGAAGAACCAATGGTCATCGATTTGGAACTACAACCGCTATATGATCTGCATGTGAACTTACGTCAACTTTTTAATTCACCTGCAATCATGCTAACCGCAAAAAACGAACGTGTTTTCGAGAATGTCGATACATATCTTCGCGAAATGCTGAGCAGTGCTGAGGTAGTATTACATCCCGACACTTTGAAACAGAGTTTCTCCAAGGCTTCTTATATCGACACAATGGCCTTGGCAGGGAACAAATTGCCAAATAGTGTATTCTTGATGGATCCAAGTATATCGAAAACAATGCCAAAGTCAATGTTGTCGGACCAGTTCAGCACCGTATTTAGCGTCAGTGATGAGTCCGTAGAACTCGGTGGAGTCCACTGGAACCCAAAAGATGGTTACACTACACGAGTAACAGAACTTGGAGTAACAGAAGATAAGGCAAATCACTACAGTGCCTGCCGGCTGTATGTTGCTCCACCCAAGCGGCTACCAGAACACGTGCAATACGCTATCCGTTTATTGAGCTTTGCTGCCACCATTGACAACTATAATACAGTATTTGGTGATCTGTTGCAAAAACGAGAGGATACCGAGACACTGCTAAGGCTCTGGGTACATATAGTGGCGTCCATATCACCGGACCTGGATACCGTGATCAATGCCGAAATGGGAGTTTTCAAATCATTGGTGGGATATGAATGGTTCTTTGCAAGCGCAGATGCGGTACCGCTAGTAACTAATCTGACACAAGTCGTATACGCAGCTCTACATCACATGTCATCTGACCAGTACTGCTATGAGCATACAGACGAACATCGTCCGGTAGCACAGGCACCTTTGAGATTCATAAACGATGATATATTGGCATTGGTTGTAATATCCGCCAGCAGTGTAATGGTAGAACGCCGGTGGTCGTTTGAAGGACGCTTAGGAAATCCCTCCCGCAAATGCCTCATATGGTTATGCAAACTCATGTCGTACTGGTATAGGCGTTTCCAAAAGTCACAAGGGTACGTGATGAACAAATTGATGGGTTGGTACACGTCGATACCACGTATGGCTGACGGTGCGGCATTACTTATTGTCTCGTGTGGACCAATGATCAATCCCAACTGCACCGTTGATATATATCGCCGTTCCGAAGGAGATGACGAATTGAGTGACGGAAAGAGGTCCATAAAGGTATTGTTCGAAGCCCAAGAATATACCGTGGCACTCCGTGATCAAGAGGTACCTATGGATGAAGATGTACCTAATGCAGAATTTTGGGGGTTAGTTCGCCGTATAGAGTCGCTCAAGGTCGCAATATTCGCCGAATTCATCTGTACGATAGCATCAAGGTGCTACTCTACTAACCCGTGTACCATGGTCCTTTCCAGCGAAATTGTGCATTTCTTGATCATCAGCGGGGTGCCAATTATGGAATTCGTTTCCGCTCTAGCTAACCGATGTATAGAGGAATGTGTTAAAGGAGGAGCGGATGTCACAAGGTCTGGCAACATATCAGGTAAAGCTTATCGTTTATTGACATTTGGAGCACTTTTAGCCAAGGCACTCGTTTCCAATGAGGTCGTAGAACCGGCCACAGTCTTGCGTGTGAACAACTGGATTTTGAATCTATTCAGCCACTATGCAAAGAATTGCAAAGTTATCACAGAGGGTTGCTGCAAAGCGCTTTTCGAGGGGTACGTACACGTATTCATGTGTCACAATAACCTATGGGAGAATAACCACACAGATGTCACACGTGACCCAGAATTCAACAACTATATGAAACTTATCAATGGCGCGGTTTTTTGGATATGCCAAGTCCTGAACGGTTGTAAGGCCAAGGAAACAGAGACATCACCACAAGGGTCCGGTGGCCAAAGTCAAATGAAACCTATAGAATATGAAGATGGTGGGCGTATGGATTCGTTAATGGTCCTCTCTTGGGAGACAATCCTCGAAGGGTTTCTCGGCCTGAAACATGCGTTCAAGATGCCATTCACAGCGCTAAACATATTGTATACTGTACTCTCGGGACCAATGGAACTGATTGTCAAAATAATCAATAAACAGATTGATTCAGAAATCATCAAAGTCACGCCATCAGCAGCATTGTGGTTACACGGGATTGTTCGTCAGCTATGCGATGCTCTATTACAACATAACGTGGAGGACATTATTTCGGGCGAAGTGACAAGGGATGCATCCCTGCAGCTGCTCATTTTACAGTTGTTACACGATGTATGCGCTTCGATACATCAAACAGGAACATCTCAAGACGTTTTCATATATGCACTAATGTACGGAACCACCCACGCGCCAGAGGCTGATATTCTAGAGCTCGAAAGGAAGTCTGGAGTTGTCGCTGGAGGGACTCTGCAGCAGCAGGAAGATATATATTCCGATATTGTTGGCGGCAGCAAGAGTAGGGTACAGCGCAAAACACCTGCAACTGTTGGTACAAAGCATGGGTCGCTCACTGGTACACTATTTCAGGCTATCACAGATGCTCTAACGACATTCCGCGATAGTGTGGTTGCTGGACTTTCCCGAGGGCGTGTTAAACAGTCAGCCAATGTAGCTTCAACTTCTCATATCGCAAACGTAGTGCTATTGTTGAATGCATTCGAGAGCCTCTCAAAGGTTATTGCTAAGGATGCAGCTGAAAGAACGCCACCCAAGTCTCTACCAGGGTACATTTTTTTGAAAGCACCTTCATATAGCAGATTATTCCGAGATGCAATGGCAGAATCGGGCTCGACAGATGGCCGTAATCCCAGCTCAACGCGTTCTATAATTACGCGTGTTGCACGGATGATACGCTGCGAAGATTGGGCTGCCAACACATGTATGGTAAATCAGACTGTACCAAGCCCGCTATATAACGGTGATTGCCAAGATCTACGTTGGATTTCAAAATGTTTCATGTTCAACGGTAGCCAACAGTCCGTAGATATGTGGAAAAGTGTCCGCTTTTTGGCTACTGCCAAACTGGCATTCGCTGACGAGCTGATGGAATATGCCCCGATAAAAACCAAAAGGATGGATCGACCCTTACCTAGTGAAGGTACCCGGTATATCCGTAGTGTAAGCACACGAGCTCCCTCGAAACACGTAGACGCATTCGAATCGGAGAAGATTGATGCTGCGGGTGAAGATGAAGATTACACGTTTTCACAAGAAAACATAGAAAAGGCTGTTGCACAGCTTAGTGGTGTAATAACGTCGCAAACGTGGCAAGATTTCGACAATGATCTTGTCACTAATGGGCTCAATCTGCGATCGGTATTGGTAAACCCAGGATTGTTGAAGGACTATTCAGCTAGGGCAACGTTCCTGAACGCGCTTTCTAGACACGTTCTTATTAAGGAACTACTGATATCAGTGGGCGTGGACGTTCGTTGATGGCTGCACCCCGCCAAGCATTCGTTTGGTTCCTGCAGAAATTGCCGTTTCGGCGAAACAAATAACATGTGTTTTTAAAGTTGTCTATTTAAAACAGTAGTACGTGTAGAGTTAGTTAATTCAAAATCATAAACTTAATGTGAAATTACTAGAAAGTGGTCGCCTTCTAGGCTGGGTTGCGTACACATCGCCATCTGCCTTGTCTGTATCGCGCAGTGGTCCATACCGTTTTATCTTTGTACAATGATTTACGGTATTTTCATACAAAATCTAAAATGTGAAACGAGACTATCCAAGTGGTATGTTAGGACTAGGGAGTTAATAGTAATTTCAGGTACTACGCGATTAGCCAAGCGGAAAAGAAGCAGATAGCTGATCGTATATATGATGAAATAGCCAACCGTGATACCCGTTGGGTCAATTTTTTCGACCTAGAGGGACGAAAAGTAGTCTATCGTACCTATGGAAACGTAGTGATCAGCATATATGCAGACCGAGATGACAACACTCTCGCCTATCACGAACTTATACATCTCATAGTAGATATATTGGATTCGTTTTACGGCAATGTACGTGAACTGGATGTGGTTTGCAACTTCAACACATTGCATAGCCTGCTCAATGAACTAATACTCGCAGGAGAACTACTGGAAACCTCCAAGCAAAATGTCCTCGACCGACTTAAAGCAACGTATAAGTTAAACTAGGACGTATGATCGCTCCATCTTGAGTCGGACGACGTGACATTGTGAATCTTATGGCCCATAGGGGAGCAACTAGCGTTACCAAACTGCCAAGAGACGATTGGATAACAACAATATGGCGACACGACTATTGTTGCCACTATGACTACGAAAGATTCACGTGACAATCGTTATTCTGTACATATGTTACAGCCCAGACGGCTCTTATAACATCGACCGGGTTGACGTGATCTCACCTAGCGGACCACAAAGTCGGCTATATCGCATGTTTGAGAAGAGATTGTGTCACGGCATTCATAATGAACGTACACAATAAACGGGCTTCTACGTACATATGGAGACCGTTCTATAAAGGAGAGGTCCCGTAAAGGTCAAATAGCACTAAATAGGCCCAAAGGACAGGTTAACAATAACACATTTGGTGGCACCAATTCATTAAAAAACGAAGTTAATATACTAAAGCGTGTAGTGACGATACATAGATCAAAATTATTAGCTAATAGCGACCCCACTGGATATCCAAAAAAAAATTATATTTTCACGTCCATGTGTCCCATATCCACCGGACACTCATTGAACACCACCGCACAGTTGTAAAATTATTAAATCATTTCAGTATAAAGCATCGATTGTTGACCCTCAGCTGCTTTATTCAAAGATTGTAGCTAGCGAATTTTCCTCGCTTCTGACTTTGCAACCTGCTGCTGCCGCCCGCCTACATTGCCACACGGATTTAATCTGCAAACACAACGCATAAAAATTGTTTCAAGATGACGATGAAAATTTTCAAGAGTTACAGGAACTGTCCTGTCCTGCGGGATCGAATAGTCGTAAGCACTGGGCCATTCGGATATTCGATAGCTGCCACGTGCTTGGGATTTGCTACATTGGCCACCATACTTTATGGATGCATATGGGCAGTCGAAGGTGCGGTTTTAGATGAAGAGTTTGGGTTCGAAATGCCGCTTGCTATCAAACTTACAAGCTTAATCTCGACGCTATTCTTGTTCTCGGTGCTATTCAAAAGCGTAAACATGGCGTATATGCTTTCAGCATCGTTCTATAGCTATACCCTTTTACACGTAGGTTTTGGCATATCTAATAAATATAATATGTTCAGACGATGCTACTTGCAGGTGTGATGGATTATCATGATACAAGCGTCGAAGATACTAAGGAACTCTACAGACTTCTCTTCTACGAACCCAGCACAGTGTCATATTATATATTCCTCACGCTCTCTATAGTCAGGCTGGTTGTGACGTTCCCTTTGGCCTACTACGTGCTAATACTGGCGACCATTCGCGTCAACGGTGGGACCGGATGGGAGTGCAAACCTGCTCTAGAGCTAGAAAAGGAAAACATGGACACAAATTTAGATGAACTCAAAAAAAGAAAGGATTGGGTAAACACAGTGGTAAGCAAAAAAATGAGGGAAGTAGCATTTGAGTCACCTCGCTAATCGCAGCTCACAAGGGAGAGCGGACCCGTTACTAGACTTTTAGAGACGAATAACTTTAAAAATTATTTTACATCATAGTGCTTTAACGTTCTGCATTCTAAAATCGTGGCTCTATAATTTTTTTGCTGTTGCTTATTTTTCTCTAAAAAATATTCCTCGGTAGGGCGGATGCGCTGCTGCATCACCCGACTCACTATCAATCATTTTATAATTTGTCGACAAAATGGCGTTCAACGAGCGTATGATTAATACCCACCGGGAAACGGTAAGAGGGAGCCTTTGGAATAGACTAAGTGTAATGCATACGCTGTTTGCGTTACACGCACTCGAGACCATATGGCTAGGCTACTTAATATTTGTAACCTACATCTTCGAGACACGATACGTCGGGACTGGGTTTAGGACACATTGTATATTGCATGGAGTATTTATGGTTTTGTCAATGATGGCTTTCATACCTGGAACGTTCTGGCTACTCGCAAGCCTTCCTTTTCACATATTCAAAATCATGCACCCGTTATTCGTATATGGAATCTTTATAGAAAGACTACTAGTGTGGATTCCTCAACAGCTGGCAGGAGGTAGATCGGAGATCTTTGCAAAATTGCTGATCGTATCCCTGTATAATGGCATTACGGGGTGTTTTTTTTCAATGCCACTCAAGCCCTTTTTGTCAATGATAGTACTCTGGTATCATCTCGTACTTGAAAGAATTAGAAGTGAGAACGGAACGGGGCTCGAGTTCAAGACAGCTTTAGAACTACAAATGGAAACAGCAATGGCGAACAAGACGGAAAACAATGAAAACACATTGTCGGTTCCATTAGATGATTTTGTTGAACAATGAGATATTAATTTGCCTAGAAAGATTTTATTTATCAAAGGTTGAGACACACGTATCATGCCATTCTTATTTTAGACACTCCATGATTTATGATCTGCTGAACTCATATGCGTCCCATGCCTACTTCATAACTATATGTGACGCCTATGATATATATTTATCTGCAAACTGTTTCATTAACGTACTATTTTTCGTCTAGATATAATATGATCTTGCAATAAAATGCAAACCTTAACTAGGTTATCCTTATAAACTATTGCGTACCCTTGGCATACTTTTATTATGACTTTCCCTTACCACGAAGTTCTCTATGACCACGTTATCTACCTGTCCACTGTGTACCGAAGTCACAACCCTTGAGCCTATTCCAGAACTCCAGATTCCACTTCGACCTATATGGTATTACTGTGCATAGGGTTCCATGTGGACCTGAAGATAAATCTATTTTGGACAATCATTTTATCTTATAGCTGTGTTATGAGGATTCGTAAACCTATTGAAACCATGTTAGAGGTGTTCACTAGGCTAGAAATACCGGAACTACGAGAGGAAATCCTTACAGAGGGACACCTCCGCCGAAGGGTACATAGAAATCATGCTATACTCTCAATGGAAGATCAGTCTACACAGCAACAACGTTTCTAAAGTGTTTGGGCGTCTACATATGCTATGGGGACATAATTTCTCTAAAATTGTTAGACATGGGCAACGACCTCCCGGATGGAACGGCACCTCGCTCTGAGAGGTCAGGAAACTACCAATCCGTTAAAATTACGAGATTGTTCACACATTTTTGGATGCAATTGAACGAGAGCTCTCTTCTCTGCGGGTGAAAAGTTTCGTAAGCGGAAACATGGACACTATTTCTGTCTCAATATATTTTTACAGGTCATCAATATTGTAGGCCATATTTTTTCCCAAACAAATAACGAAGGCCAAACCCCGTGGGAATAGCCAGGCAGTATATGGTATATCTAGACCAGTACACGTGAAACGTGTGATATGTATATCGACCACTTTTCGTTGCTGCTATTTTCTCGCTAGTAGGTGTATGGGGGTCAAAATTCTAGTTTTATCTTCACTATTTGTCGAATTAAGTCATCTGAAAAAATGGATATCAACCTGACACTGACTTTTTACGCCCTACTTCTGTCTGCTCTGTCATACGGAGTCAGAGCAGAGGGCAGGTGCACAGACGAGGACCTGATCAAACTTGGTTTTAAGGCAGAACCAATAACCGATGAATCGCTTATACGACTTGGAGTCACAAGATATATCGTCGACGTATGGGTACGATGGAGTGCCAATATTATGCTTTCAGCTCATCCTAGGATGACTATTGCAAGGATATATAGAGATTTGCTGGAAGAGGGTATAGAAGGATTCGATCCGGATTGCCTATACTGCTTTGTTCAAAGGGCAGAATGTATACAGGCCTCTTGCCCTGACGCATGTAAATCAGACAATTTGAGCGATGACTGTGTCAGATGCACCGATGTTAATTGCCGACATGGATTCGTAGGCTGTGTCGGCAAAGAGACCATTAGCCCAGCTGATCACAAAGACTTTCTGAAAACACGTGGATTATAACATCTCCTTCTAGAAATCATGGAAGAATCACAGTTATCATGTGTCGTCACAAATCACACATTGCAATATCAATATTGACGAACACATGGAAACAATATATTTGAAATTTCAAACCAACGGGCAATTGGTCGATGCGGGAACGGAAGATAATCGCAACGGCAACTGTGAATTACACACGAGTTATGTTAGTAATCGACTTAACAGGGAGATACTTTCATCACTCCTTGAATAATCAACACATTAACCGTTTTACTGTTGTTATTCGCGCTGTTATATTTTCACTAAAACCGCGCTTTCTCAACCAGACGCTTTATGTGAAACATAGTAGCATTAATTATCGCAACAATGTTACCCATAAAACCACGGTTATTGTTCACTTTAGCCGTCGACCTAGCGATTATTTTGTGTTCAATGGACGGTCGGTGAGTGTACTCCCCCAATAGGCCATCCTCATTTTGTCATTGAGTGATATATATCAACAGCGATAGTCAGGGAACCATTGCAGTCGCACTTGGACTTTCGATTGCATATACGTAGAGAAGTATTACAGCTCACTTGCTACTACACAATTGTCAAATAATTGACGTGTTAACGTAATCATTTCAAGTGGATTGTTTGTGTTACTCCACGAGTAATCCTTGATTGTAGATGTGGACATTGACCACAAATAGTCCCGTATGGGCATTACTTGCTAGAATCACAGTAAAAGTTGATGCATCATTATGTCATGGGCATCCTGTTTATCAACACCAGGGCCTAGTGGGATATTATATAACATTTCTAGATACGGATCTACCCAGAAATCAGTTAGATCAACGTACTGTGTTCTTTGTTCCATGTTGAAGCTTCTATAAAGCCGTTTGTTATTACCATAATCTGAGTCCCTACGTCTATTAATATTTATTACGACATACTGAGTGCCAATATCGACATGGAAGAACACCTCAACGTGCGTCACAAATGTGTCGTTAGTCTCTTTGTATATCTCGCAGCCCTTCATGGAATCAATAATCCCAATATATATATAATTTTGCTCCATTGCGGGCATAACACTGTACTGCCTGTAGAGCCAATCACCCCTTCTAAGGTTATCTAGAATTATAATTTCTGGTATAATTATATCTGTGCTAGAAATGTCGATGTTGACCGTGATGGGATTTGAAACGCCAGCACTCATTAGAGGTAGTACCAAATCGTAACCGCAATTTAATATATTACTTGGTCTGAATATATTCTCGTTAAGGGGAGGCATATTTAGCACGTGCTTGTCGACGAAGCGCCCCCTTTTGATCCATATAGTTGTACGCGCTCGATCCAGTGCAACATCGACTTTATGGGCATAGCAATGTATCGACGGTGAAGGACTGTTAGGGTCACGAGCAGTGTTATATATGTTGAGAATAGGTGATATTATAAATACATCTTTAGCGGACCTCATATTGATTACTGGAAGTGACCCTCGGCTGCTATAATAAGTTGGAACCCTGTACTGCACCTCATTCTCGGCTGCGCTACTATCTTCTATAATGTATGGATGTAACTTATATGCATCGAGAGCCAGAGGTAATGCTATATGGCTTCCTACAAATGCATCCTTTACTCCTCGCGTAATAACAGTGCACTTGTCTTGTTTCTTTTCATAAAAAGTTGTTTTAAGCAACTTAAAACCTACTTTGTTGAAACGACTAACTGAAATTATATGACGACCTTGACGCCTATAATCCTGAACGTAAACATCCAAGGATAGCGCTGGTTGATATGATGAGTCGAACATAATCTCATCACCGCATTTTACGAGAGTGATTAGGGGGCCGTGTGAGTGAAACATTCTATAAATACCACCATTCCAAAAGCTTCCTACAAAAATATCTATATAAGGCGGAAAATCTTGCTGGCTGATATCCAGAATGACACTTCCGATCGGGTATATGGATATAATTAATGCCGCTGCATATATTGCAGGCCTGGGATTCCATAAGCCATGTACCATTTTCTAATAATTATAATTTATACATAATTAACAATGACGAATGTATGGCTTATGGATGATAAGTGAACTCATTTAGAAAGAAAAATATGTATGCCACATTGTTGTAGCTAGCGAGAAAATTAGCAACTACATTGAACGCTTTTAGGCTCACAGTATATAATAGGAATAATACACATGAAGACCTCATTGCATCTGTAAATGTAGGCCTATAAGCTATCATCGTCATTTAAATGTGAAGAATGACTCTAGTGATGTGTTTTAAGAAACGTCGCCGTAACTGTAACCAGTTTAGAATGCAGTGTGCATTGTATCCTCAATCAATGCCTAACGGCAACACACACGTGAGTGATCCACTGTATAATATGACTT